ACATTCACACATATGTATCAAAGCCATCAGTGTAACGGTACTAGTACCCAGTTGCATCTCTTATGTGATTAGAGAATTGACAAAGAGTTATTACGTTCGAACGTTCTATCACCGTTGATAGACAGGTGGTGTTTCGGTTGCCGAATCGACCGGAGTAAATGGCCCAACTCGATATGTAATATCATAGCTTAGGGGGGCCCTCATAAGTTACATAGAATTGTGAATCCCTAGGTGCAGCAGAAAGAGACAGTATAGTTGATCCTTTTGGTATAAGAACCTGCATGCTGGCTGGGACATACGTACATGTAGGTGAATAATGTCTTGTAAAGCAGTTGACCTAAGCTAGTAGAACAAATTGCAAAGCTGGCTTTGTTGAGAGTCTCCACCCGCGATTTGATAGGTGAGCACTGGCCTCATGCTCACCTGCGCATGCGTATTCATTCGGTGGTAAAAATTTAAAGGGCCTAGCGGCCGCCCAAAGTGTAGAATATATACGCTTCGAGCTCAGTTCAAACTTGATCTTAAAGCATATTTGAACCATAATTAGTAAGGTTAATGTTAGGCTTCTAGTACTTGGACGAAGTCCATAGATCTTTCTAAAATTTTGTGGGCCAATTAAAGCTATCGAAATGAATCTGCTTCATGATCATACTCGATGTGGGCTTAAATATCACAACTACCAAAGATTTTGAATAGATCCAGTGCCGTTTCTGATTTACAAGCATGTATCGGTAGTTAGATAAGATTATGACAACATCTATACATCAAGAAGTCTAATGGACCGATCTTAAAGTTAGCCCGGCCAACTCGGGCAGTGTATGAGCTGAGCCGGCCTGCCAGCTAGGCTACTGAACTACTGTTGGTAATATTCTATCTTGGACTAAGCTAATCCATCCAAGCAGCTTCGAGCAAGGCAAGGTAAGTTAACATGGCTATTGTGCTGCATGATATTACTAAATGTTAATACATGTAGCTGCAATTGGCTCTTTGCTATGCATAAATATAAAGCATTCTGTATAGAATTTGATTTGTTGGGTTATATATTACATTAATATACGCGTACTTTCAGCCTTTCACTCCAGTCTTCCCTCGCACATTGGATTCCCTGACCAGACCCGCATCTAATATGTTACAAGCTTCAAACAGTACATATTACCTACACGTATGTACTTACGAACTCTTTATGCCTCGAGACGAAGCCCATCCTACTTCAAGACCAGGCGAGACCCGTCGGAGGTTAGCGACACCGAGGTGTGACACCCGGGATCACATGGGAAGGGGTTATATGCAGTTTTAGATGCTGCCTACTATTTTTAAAACGAGTTTAAGGTTATTCGATCGGTCATAAGATTTACTGGATGTATCGTACTCTGTATTTCGGCTGATGAGTGATTGAGCCGACGGTTTGGTTTAAAGTCTTGTAGGATTGGGCTTCTGGGATTAATTAATAACTGGGTCGGCCATGCACATTATTTATGTTATGCATGTGATTCTTCGATATGTTGTTTTCACCTCACTTCGTGTCAATCGAGACACTTGCTGTTTGTTACCCTAGGGGATATTTCGTTTCCCGAGATTAGGGGCAACGTCCTCATTTGTGATGACGCTCGTTTCAAATATTAAAATCAAGTCTTTAAGCAACCTTATTCGATGTTAGAAACGAGAGTGATAATACTAATTAAATGCTCAGGCACCCACCTATCTATATATATTTACAATATCTACGCGTTACCGTTCTTACTCCTCGTGATCAGCAGGTTTGGGAATACACAATGTGGATATGGCTGGGTGATACCGCATGGCAAACATTAATCATATTACCAGACGTTACACGCCAGCGAATAGCCCAGAAAGACGTAATAATGCCCTGTTATATAGTTATATTGAACTCGGGTAGTCTCGAGTGATTATTACTTATGTGTTCCCAGAGTGCTTGTACCAAACCATAAGTCTTGTGGTCTTGTGGTACCGGCCGGTTAATTAATGTATACCCTCGGGCCGGTTTAGATGAATACGAATTGGCATCCTATTGGGACGTGACTCTTTTCTTTATATCGTATGGGTAGCTGCCATGCAAGATTTGGCCTTGGCTTTCCTAACAGGGCCGCTTTAATGTTATTCGACTCAGGACCTAATCGCCTTACTGAAATAGCCCATAGAGCTTGTAACACCAATTGTGTAGCCGATGAATAGTTTGCACCAAATTTCACCAGCTACAACTCACCAGGTCACAGGTTAAGGGTTCGCACTGGGCGCGCTCGATCTGTTGACTTTCTAGAGAGCTTCTCGCTTCTCTTTGCCTATTCTGAAGTGGCTTGATGCAGGCGTTGACGGGTAAAAGAATGGCGCTTCAGGTAAGATCTTTATAATTGTAGTGGACAATAGTACCGTGCGGTCATTTAGTAATTTGAGCGGGCTTGTGGCCGATTGTAGGGATGAGAAAGACTATGGTTTCAAGGGGAGACTTTCCCTATTTCTCTCTCTTATTAGTTACGGTATTGATATCCCAAAAGATTCTCACTTAAAATGGTCATAACTGTCCAAAGCATAGAGTTCAGAATGCAGGGAAACTGGCCTCTTCTTACCGGAGAACTACTGTATGGGGATAAGTTAAACCGACCCCCACGACTAGTTAAACGCTATAGATATCTAGATTTGTAGTAGATATATATTAATTTCTCTTATTCGGAAGATTCTGGGCCTTTGCTCAGCACACGAGCGAAAACTTGATAAAGATCTATATCCCCTATAAAGGTAATCTCTCTATCCATTTGGCCGCCAGGACGACTCGCAACCCATCAACCTAACCTAATAAGGTGCTTTCCACTCCGAAAGGCTCGCAAATCCCTACCAAGAGCAGTATCATATCGATATAAATCCGTCACATAAATTACGGGTTAAGGTTTATTTAAACTCAATTTAGTTAGTTGAGGATTGATCCCTAAGCCCTGGGCACCTCATTATACCAAGTTCTTGCCGTAGTATCAAAAAGACAACGCGCCATTGTACAACAGTGCTGGAATCATTTCGGTGTGATATCATGGAATCAGAATGTAATGAGTAGTTTCTTTTGACTGAGCCTAAATACTGAGATAAGTGTTTGGTGCTTAATTTGAGTACGTACACTCTAAAGAAACTTATTAGCATGTAAGAATGAATTTTACATTCATAACCTTGAATATGGGGGGGGGATTCTGACAAGTTACTCAACACACTACATCCCACATCGAAGCTTCGACATCCTCATGAAGTACCCAATTTCCCAAAGATGCACCTTCGCATGGCAGAGGAAGTACCCAGACATGGTTAACATCCTCATTGTCATCACCCCAACCCAAGTCTCCTATTCGAGGTTGCAGCAGCTTCGCCATAAAGTGCGTATACGATGCTCCTATAAACCCGTCGGCGACCTCGCCTTGGAAATCCAGGAGCCAGGTCATGGAAAAAGAGTCGTTTAGCTTGTTCTTGCAGAGTCCGTCAAAAAGGGCTGTAACCTTGGTGTTTTCACAGACCACGTGGAGCGTATATTTTAAGTCTCGAAGACGAGGGATCTCTCCATCATCGGTGAGTCCCACAAGTAGCTTTAAAATGCAGTGGCGGTGGTGAGGTGAGTTATCACACAGCCCTGTAACGAGACGGCCTTCCCAAAGAGCGGCAAGGTATTTGAAGGTGCGTTGGGTTATCGATACCAGATTATTTGAGAAGAAAGGGCTCCAGTGAAATCTGAAACCAAGCGGAAGGGACAAGTAGGATATCCCCTTGCAATTGTCGACATGCATCTCAGTAAACGTGTTTTTAAAGTACCACTGCGCTGCACCCCCGTGAGTCATAAAGACAAACATGCAGCTGAGGTCCATGAACTCGACTACGAAGTTCGAGGGAGAATGGGGAAAAAGGACTGATTTGGGCATTTTTTGGATAAAGCAGGGGTGTTGAGAGTTGTTGTCGAGGTCGGACGCTGTTTCCTGTGATAGTTGCTCGTTATCCCAACGTTTCTGAGATGCAGGATCCGGGATCTCCTCCCCATTGGCTCGGACTGCAAATACACGCTTGGTTGCGGGGTCTGTTGGCGATGGACGAATGCGTAAATGCATGTAATATTCGTGAATGTAGTGGACGGATGACAGAGGTTGGTGGGTAAGGATGCCGGTGGGGATGGAGGTGGAAGATTTGACGAGCACGTAGTTAAAATGATGATTTTGGACCTGGTTGATGCTAGTTGTATCGCTCTCTATCTTGACAGATGGGACTTTGCATGCAATTACATGTAATGAATTTAAGATGGGACTTTGTGTCGAGTGATCGGATATGATCGTAATTACTACAGCGGATACTCTAGATTGCACAAGGATACATGTGATCATTATTCCATCATATTCAAGGACTTACACCCATTGGAATATTGCGAGAACCAGGCATCTTCTGAGACTACATTATACGTCTACACCCAACATCTTTGAGCACACTTAAAATTAACAGCAGGAACGAGTTTACACAACCTCGCTCGAATTATTATAGATTGGTTGGCTACATGTTTGATCAATTGCAGTTGATTGATTTCCGTACGTACACACATGTTTATATATTCACTCTCTACACCAAGCTGTAGTACACTTTTACCACAGTTTACATCTATTTCAAGATACTTACATGTGCCTACATACGGCGTGAAATTATAATGCCGCTATTTACGGGCAAATGATTTTCCAAGAAGCTGAATACAGATACGCATATACGGCCCTACATGTAACATTCTGAATAATAAGGCAAGTTGTTGACGCCTAATTTCTCCTCGTGAATATTTCGGATCAGCACACGATTGTTGACCATCATTTACAGGCATTCATTAATAGATGGAGGAGACCATAATAGCAGCCCGTGTTCTTAGAAATGAATACCCCTCTAGCTCTAGAGTCTATAGAGTTAAACAGACACAACATTTGGCAACATTCCACGGTATCCACCAACCGGCTCCGACTCCAGCCCCCCCCCCCCCCCCCCTACGCCTCCAAAACACCCTTCAAAATCCCCACCCCCCTCCTCAACTCCTTCACGCCCCCCAACCAATCCCCCTCCACCAGCACCCTCTCCACCACCTCCCCCTTCTCCCCCTTCCCCCCCCACACCTCCCCACCCGTAAAATGCCCATGCACATACAACACCTCCGCCACCATCTCCCTCACCCTCGGAAACGGATGCAACAGCATCCCCACCATCTTCACCAGCACCTTCCTCCGCAGCTCCGCCGACTCCGCCGCAATCAGTATCCCCGAGTACGCCCGCACCGCCGCAGCAAGCTTCAGTGGGTTTCCGGACTTGAACTGCAGCTTCTGCACCGTTGCGAAGAGGCGCGTGAGCGGCGCTGTTGTCTCGTCTGTGCCGCCGGGGCGGCCGAGGGGCGTCATTTCGAGGACAGCGGCGATGACTTCGAGTGTGGGGATGACGATGCGGTCGCTGGTGCTGTCGGGGGAGGAGAGGACTTGCAGTGTTGTGTCGACGATGGAGGAGACGTAGGAGGAGGGGGAGGAGGCGGAGACGGCGGTGAGGTGCGTGAGGAGGACGGAGCGGCTGGTCTTGAGCAGGCTGTCGGAGCCCGCGCCGGCGGCGGTGACGTAGCCTTTTAGGAACTCGACTTTGAGGCGCGGGTGCTGGAGGAGCGGGATCACGCCCTGGAAATACTCTTTTGAGGAGATGGAGTTTGCGGCGAGATCGGATGCGAGTTTTGGGCTGTGGGGTTGTTAGTTTTCAAAACACATCGAAGGAGGGCTTGTGAAGGAGGAGAAGGAGGAGGGGATTTACCGGTCAAGATATGACTCCAGCTCACTCTCCTCCCACGAGGCCGATATCTTCAACATCGCCTCACAAGCGCGCGCCCGCATCCTATCCAACCGCTCCGCACTCAGTCTCACCAGCCTCTTCAACACCTCCCACTCCTGCACCCCCTTCACATCACCCCTCCACCCCTCCCCTCCCCAATTCTCAAACACCGCCTTTATCCCCTCCGCCCTCGCCCACGAGCCCACATCCCCCCTCGAGTCAACCTCATAGTCATCCAGCGCCTTCAGCAGCACCCTTGCAACCGCCCCATTCTCCAGCCCCTCCCTGGCAATCACCCCGCAGCCCAGCGCCCTCACGCCCGCCACGCGCAGCTCAACCTCGCCGTCCCGCTCAGCGGCAGAGACAAGCGTCTCGACGATCTTGTCCTTCAGCGCTACGTCGGCGCTATACACGAAGCCTATGACCTCGCCGAGGGCGAGTACGTAGCCGCGCTTCTTCCCGCTGGAGGATGCGCGCCGGCACCATGTCTCGATGAGCGCCTGGCGGTTGCGCGGGGACAGGATGCCGAAGAGGGGCTTTGTGGCGGGGACGGCCTGGGCGAGGACGATGTCGTCGTTGCGGTCGAGAGAGGCCTCGATGATCGCGGTCCAGAGGCGCAGTGTCGGGGCGGGTATGTGTGGTGAGAACAGAGGGGAGCTGGAGGAGAGGGCGGAGACGAGGCGGGATGCGGCCTCGGAGGTGAGCTCGGGGCGGAGAATGGGGTTGACGAATTCTTTGCCGACGAGCTTCTCGAAGACGTTTTCGAGGAGCAGCTTTGATTCTGAGGGCGCAAAGAGGGACGACGAGGTGGAGGTGGGGGAAGGAAGGGTTGAGAGCCCGTCGAGAACTTCTGCGAGGGCCCAGGTGCCGCCGTGCCAGATCTCGACATCGGATTTGCCCTCGGCCCTGATTCGGTGCACCAGAGAGTTCAATACTTTCCTTGCCCTCACATTACGGGCCTCCTCATCGTCACCAGGTAGAGCTATTCTCACCACCCCTCTCAGGCCCAAACCAGACAGTTTCCGGCCCTCAAGGTCACTACTCCCCACGCCTCTCCACCCCTCCACAATCCCGCCCACAATCGCATCCCAGTACCCCACATCCAGCGCCGCAATCTCCTCCGCCACAGCGACCACACTCCTCCTCCGCAGGGCCACCGCATTATAGTCCACAACCTGCACCACCCGAATCCCCTCGATAATCGTATTCGGATGCCTCCCAATCAGCTCCTGCAGCGCCGCCGACGCCGCCCTCCTTATGTTCCCGAGCGGGTCCAGACACCCCGCCACCGCCAGCTCCGTCGCCAGCAGCTGCTGCACATTCCCACGCCCATCGATGTCGCCCACGGCCAGCAGCTCATCCGTCGTATACGACCGCGCCAAGCTCCACGCCGCGTAGCACGCCGCGTCGCGCACGTTCCCGCCGAGCGCGAACGTGGCGCGGCGCTGCTCAAAGTGCAGCGAGTCGATGATGCTGCGCACGACGCGCTCGAGCACGTCGGTGCTCCGTACGGCGCGCTGGCGCAGGAAGGTGGCGAGCGTGAGCGTTGCGCCGTGCCACTTCTCGGCCGTCACGGCGGAGAGGATCTTTTCTCGGTTTGCGCCGTGCGCGGGGTAGTAGAAGACGTCCTCCTCGTAGATGCCCATGACGGCCTCTAGGACCTCGCCAGCGAGGTCCGGGGGCAGCTTGCGCGAGATGACGGCGAGGGACTTTGACGCTCCGAAGCGGACGGCGGTGTCTTTGTCGCCGAGGTGGGATAGTAGCCGCTCGACTATGTCCTCCACGACGTTACCCCCTCCTCCCCGTCCTCCTCTCCCTCGGGCGCGAGTGACAGGATAGCCACCCAGCGGTAGATCTTCATCCCCAGTCTGCGGACATTGGCGGAATTCCACTCCTCGCCGTCGGCGGCCTCGAGCTTCTTTGCGAGCGTGAAGATCCTGGGCGCAAACTCGGAGACGACTCCGCGGCCCCCCTGCGCAAGGATGCCGGCGAGGACACGCAGGATCGCGGTCTTCATGAAGAGGGTGTTTGACGCGGTAGCCATGGTTGTAGCAGCGGTGGCGGTGGTGGTGCTTGGTTTGAAGGAATCAAGACACCAGGTGACGAGTGCGGGCAGAAGCCCGAGGGCGCGCATGTCCTTGCGCAGACATAGTCGGTCGAGCAGGAGCGATGCGGCGTCGCTCTCGCGGTTGCCCGGCGACGAGAGATGGGTGATTCCGAGCGCCAGCAGGCGGCGGGAGAGGGATGGGAGGGCTGGGAGATCGAGCTGCGCAGGGAGCGGCGGGGGGGTTATGGCGGGGTCGGAGATGGTGCTGAGGTCGAACGGGGTGAGAAGTAGATGGCTGAGCCAGAGTAGAAGCACGTAGCGGAGCTCCCACGAGCGGTCGGGGGTTTCGGTGGTGGCAAAGATGCACAGTGGCTCCAGCCAGCGGGGCTCGTTGGGGAGGAAGCGGGAGATGATCTTGGGCCCGCGGATCTTGCAGAGCGTGTACAGTAGTTTTGCGACGCCGTCGTGGAGGGGTAGCGGCGGGTTGAGGCTGGCCTTCTTCTCCTCCTCCGACTGCGATTCCGGGGAGACAGCGGCGGACGGTTTGGGCAGTTGGGCGAGGAAGACCTCGGTGAGCTGGGTGAGATAGGACTGCAGGTACGGGTCGAGCAGCTGTGGGGATTCTTGGAACGGTTCGATCTATGCATGCGATGGAGCGAGCAATCAGCAAAGATATTTGGGGCCAGTGTTCAAGTAGAGAGCTCTTCTCACAAGGCCAATCAAGCTGTCGACGGTGCTTCGTCTCTTCCGGGCGCCTTCGCCGTCCGCGGTCTGCAGCAGCTGGGGCAGACGCTCGCCGAACTGGCCCAGGAGATCCCCGGACACCTTCTGCAGCTTGACAGCCCGATCCTCTGGGGCGTCCATGCTCTGTTTTGTCCCTTGTGTGGTGTGAGTGTGAGTGAGAGTGTGAGTGAGAGTGTGAGTGAGTGTGCAGTTTGAATTCCTTTCTCTTCGTTCTCTTCCTCTCTCGCGCGCATGGCGGGGGGGGAGGGCTAGGGTTGTTGTGCTGAACTGAGCTGTGCTGTGCTGTGCCAAGCGTTCAGACATCGCCAATTTGCAACCCGTCCCAAAGAACAACCGACAGATTCGATTCCCCTCCCTCGCCGCCCAATTCGCAGGAAAGGAGTCGATATATTCCCCCCCCCCCCCCCCCCCGCCCGCGCAGCAGTGAACTAGCTAAAGACTTCCCCACCAATGATGAGCGATCTTGACTAGTAAATAGACAACCTCCTCCTCCTCCTCCTCCGCCGCACCCTTTACTGCTCAAGACCAGACAGACTGACACGCGCCCGCTACTTCCCTGCCCCCCTCCCAGTGCCATCTCACAGCTGCGAGCCTGCAAGCCCATCCCCGAACCCGCCGTCAGAGAGCTCTGCTACAAGGCCCGCGAGCTCCTCATCGAGGAATCAAATGTCCAGATCGTCGATGCACCCGTCACCATCTGTGGCGACATCCACGGCCAGTTCCACGACCTGATGGAACTCTTCCGTGTTGGCGGGGATGTGCCAGAGACAAACTACCTATTCATGGGTATGTCCCTCCCCCTCCCCCTCACTCCCTCCCTCCCTCCCCTCCCCCACCACCCCGCACACACCCCGTAATTGACCCCCCCCCCCCCAAACAGGCGACTTCGTCGACCGCGGCTTCTACTCGCTCGAATCCTTCCTCCTCCTCCTCTGCCTCAAGGTCCGCTACCCCGACCGCATAACCCTCATCCGCGGCAACCACGAGTCGCGCCAGATCACCACCGTCTACGGCTTCTACGACGAATGCCTGCGCAAGTACGGCTCGGCCAACGTGTGGCGCCACTGCTGCGAGGTCTTCGACTACCTCGCCCTCGGCGCCCTCGTCGTCGGCGCCGGCTCCTCAATCAGCGACACCGACGAGATCGAGGTCGAGGTCGTCGGCCAGTTCGGCGAAGTCATCAGCCGCATGAAACGCCCCGAACCCAGCACCACCGCCACCGCCATCGGCGGGCCCCCCGGATCCGGCGCGTCAGGAAGCGCAGCGGGAACAAAGGGCGTCAACAACGGCGCCGTGCTCTGCGTGCATGGCGGCCTCTCCCCGCTCGTCGACAGCGTCGACAAGATCCGCCTCCTCGACCGAAAGCAGGAGGTCCCGCACGAAGGCGCAATGTGCGACCTGCTGTGGAGCGACCCCGACGAGATCGACGGGTGGGGGCTCTCCCCGCGCGGCGCGGGATTCCTCTTCGGCGCGGATATCGTAAAGCACTTTAACCACATCAACAACCTGAGCCTTATCGCGCGCGCGCACCAGCTCGTCATGGAGGGCTTCAAGGAGATGTTTGACTCGTCCATTGTCACGGTGTGGTCGGCGCCGAACTACTGCTACCGCTGCGGGAACGTGGCGGCCATTTTGGAGCTGGGCGAGGAGAGGAGTGGTGCTGGGGTGCCGTGGAGTGCGACGGATCGCACGACGGTGGTGAGGCCCGGACCGGGGAGGAGGTATAGGGTGTTTGAGGCGGCGCCGCAGGATAGTAGGGGGATGCCGGCGAAGAAGCCGGTCGCGGATTACTTCTTGGTGATTAATTACCCCCCCCCCCCCTCTCTTTCTCTCGATTCGATCTACGATGCTGATGATGTGGTGGTAGTGAAATAATGGACGGACGGACGGATGCATGCATGCATGCATGGGGGCATTGAAAGATATCATGATCATTGGCGGAGCTAGCTATTTTTTCCTTTGTACCATATAGACTCCTCTCCCCTCCTCTATCTCTATGGGGAGGGGTTGGTCTCTGTTTTTTTTCCTCCTCTGTTTTTCTTTTGTGTTGCGTGTTTTCTTTTGTCACCGCTATTTGATAGTACTGTTATGAGCGTATGATATGATAGGCGTGAGGTTATCTTTTGTTTTTTTGCAAGAGTTGACGAAATCCATATGTGAAATTTGATCAATGAGAGAGAGAGAGAGAGGACCCAGTGTAGCTAACCGTACTAGTATACCGAACCAACTGTTCTGCCCATACACCACCACCCCCGCCTAGTAAACCAGAGTATATCACTGACAATAGAGACCGATGGTGCTTTCTTGGGTTCTTGGGTTCTTGGCGCGTCACGCGTGCGGCGAGTGATGGTGTGTGAAGGGGACATGGGCGAATGGCTGGGAAATGATATCTGTGATTCATGGTGATGTGATTTTTTATATGTACTTGATACGCAGCCGCAGCCGCAGCCTCCGGTGCGCGTTACCGAGTGAAAAACTCTAGCTGCAGCCGCTCTGAGAGGGTTATGCATGGCATGTTACAAGGTCATAATATTTATGACCGGCCATGACATCAACGCCCCAAACACTTAAGTTGTCGACATCATTGTTACTATTGGTAGCAGATAGAGCCCAATTGGAGTTTCAGTTGGTGGTTTTTATCCTACTAATGCTATTATTACCATTATTACTACTGGTTAGCTACCTAGGCTGTTTGTGGACTTGTTACTATTGCCTACTATTGTTTCTTTCCGGCGTTAGTTGGTTGGTTGGTTAGTTGACGATGGCAATGTTAGTACAGTTCAGCACGACTACAGTACTGTTTACCACTATTCACCACATGTTTTCCACAACGCGAAGTTTATGGGCGAAACAAAGCAAAGAAACCTACCGCCAGATCCCAGCCCTCGTTCGTATCACCAATGGAATGGGCCATGCAATTGACTCACATGCAGGCGCCAGATCCTGACTCACCGCATCCATACAAAAGCACCCCCCAAACCAAATCCCCAATTACAACCAACCCCACGATCCCCAGGCACAACTTCCCTCCACTCCACTCCACTCCACTCCACCCCACTCCACTCTACTATTCCCACTATTAAAAGGAAAATCCCCCCATACATACATAACCCCCACCGCAATGCCCCGCACCACCCGCTCCAAAAAACCAAAACACCGCACCTCCTCCCGCCCAAAACCCAAACCCACAGCTCCCACCGCCGACGCCGCGGCCGCTTCTTCCAGCGCCAGCGCCGACGACACGGGCCCAGTATTCTTCTGGAAGCCGCACGAAGTGCCTCACGGCATCTTCTCGCAATGGTACGAAGCGCCGTTCACCGCGCCCGATCCCTCGGGCAGTGGTACCGTGACATATAACACCGCTGAACAGTACTTGCCCCTCCCCCCCCCCCCCCCCCTCCTGCTCCCCCCTCTCCCGCCCGCACGCGTGCTAACTCCTGGGCGTAGATTCATGATGCACCAGAAAGCGCTCCTCTTCAACGACCCCGCCATCGCCGCCGAGATCCTAGAGACCACTAACCCGCGACTGCAGCGGTCGCTAGGGCGCGCGGTGAAGGGCTTCGACGAGGGCGTGTGGGTGGCAAACAGGAGCCGGATAGTCGAGGAGGTGAGCTACCACAAGTTCATAAAAGACCCAGCGGTGTTGTTGGGGACGGGGGAGAGGGAGCTGGTGGAGGCGAGTCCGAGGGATGCGGTGTGGGGGATTGGGAGGGGCGCGGTGAGGGGTGCGTTGGAGGATAGGGAGGGGAAGAGGGTAGGTGGGGGTTGAATCTTTTGGGGAAGGCGTTGATGAGGGCTAGGGAGAAGATTAGGGCTGAGAAGGAAGCGGCGACGGAGAAGGAGGCGGCAGTGGGCGAGAAGGGGAGGAGGAGGCGGAGGAGGCGGAGAAGACAGAGGTGGTGGGTGATGGTGAGTGAGAAGTTGTGAATGGGGTTTAGTGACTGGTGAGTGACGGGTGAGTGCCTGTGTTTGTTCCGTTTTGGTGGTTTAGACCGCCTGCGTGAGACATGTGACGTAGAGCACACAATGGATAGTAACGCATGTGACGTTGTGGCTTTGAGTAACGGAAGGTAAAAAGGCATCTGGCCCGCGTTCAGTAATTCACAATATTATCTAGCTTTGCAATTCAATTCGTAGAGCAGAATTGAAGATTTCGCACTTTGCTGCAGCAGAGCAGAGAACCCCTACTCCAGATCTCAAGCTCCAACATCCCCTCCCCAAGATCTCATTTGGAATTCTCTAGAAGGGGTGCCCGTGCCAGGATACTCGTTTACCACGGAAAGAACCAGAAAATGCAAGTGACGGAAACAGGGATAGTTTGTATGAGAGATCACCGCCACTCCATACAAATAATCCTTGCCCTGAGCAACTGGTTCTTTTCGTACGCCGTGCCCAGGACAGCAGCCGAAACTAACTAACGAGAGCTTGGGCAACGTCACTCGCCCCGCACTCTAGCCCAGGGTGCAGAGCTAGTGCCTGCCGCTACTAAGCTGCCGAGTAGCAGCAGTCCCTAGCTACAGAGCACTTCCCAGTTCCCAACTGCGCCTGAGCAAGGCACCCCACACCCACCACACCCACCACACACACCACTACACACACAAACCCAAGCTCTGATGTCTGCCAACACTCCCCCCCCCGACTGCGGGCATCAGACAATGCTCACGCAACCCTAACCCACACTCTCCGAATCCCTGCAAGCGGCGATCATGACGCCCCATGACGGCTACCTGCAGCAACAGTTCAAAGTTCCCTGATCATGAAAGAACCCTCTCCCCAAAGCAACTATGATCAATCACCAGCTAACACCACTCACTGTACTACAGGAATATGGGAAATCTTGAAATGCGGTCGACGTAATCAGCGAATGGCCCTTTTCGTTTAAGAACTGGGGTGTTCTCGGTTTGGAGGAAACCCCATTCATCCAGATAGATATCTTTGTTCTGACCGGACGGACTCTCTTTGTTAACTTGCGTTTGACAGCGCTGGGGAAAATACCAATATTTATATACCAATCCACTGCCACCGCCATTACCACCATCACCACCGATTGAATAATATAGCCCAACCGCAAAAACCGCAAAAATGGGTCCCCGCCTCCTCAAAACGCTGTCAATGCTTCTGCGTGTATTGCAGCTCATCTTAGCCCTCTTCATCGTCGGCGTCGCTAGCTTCAACGTCTACCAGTTCTCACACAACCGTCTTGGCCTCACCAACGGCCGCTCTGGCCAGCTTCCACACGCCCTATATGCCGTTGAAGTCATTGTACGTCACTCGTTTCCATTCCCCTCCTCCGCCTATCAAAAAAATATCCCATCTCCCCTAAAATAAAAAGGCTTATAACCAAAAAAAAACTAACAAGTAAACACAGTCCTGCGTTGGCGCCCTCTTCGCCCTCTTCACACTCCTCACCACCTGCTTCGGTCACAAAAAACTCTTCGTCCTCATCACCGCCTTCGACCTCTTGCTCATGGGCGGCTTCATCGCAATAAGTATCCTTCTTCGCGGCTCCGCCCACCAGTCTTGTCGATCCGTTACCTGGAATCCGCTTGTATCAAAGGGGACTAACAACCTCCCTGCCGCTTTCTTCAGCTCCTCTTCCTTCTCGACCTCCACAACAACAACAGGTAGGACGAGGGCACCACCCCGCCTCATCTGTAACCTATTAAAAGCCTCATTCGCCTTCGCAATTGCTCTGGCCGTTCTCTTTGCACTGACAATGGTGCTATCGTACTTGGCGCTTCGTGCATACCAAAAGCAGCGCGCGTTCGGGCCAAGGGGTGGGTATGGCAAGGGTGCCAGGGAGAGTGAGGAAACGGCAATGACGGGGACGACGGCGGGATATGATGCTCCGGGGTTTAGGGGGGAGCCAACAGCCGGGTATGATGCGCCGGGATTTAGGGGGGAACCAACGACGGTTGCAGGCGGTAGGGCGCCGGTTGCAGGTGGTAGGGCGCCGGTTAGTGAGTTGGGCCCAGGGATGGGAGCGGGCACTGGCGTAGGGAATGGGAGGTTTGATCCAAATTTGCCCAGAGCGGTGGCGGGGAGAGAGGGTATGGCGAGAGGGGGTATGGGAACCAGAACTTTTAGGGAGTGAGGGGGTTTAATGAAGTATCCTTTTATTTTTATTTCGTAGTATATATTTGAGCGTTGGTTGAGTAGTGTATAGTAGCTACTGTGTAACGATTAAGAATTAAAATAAATGTGTAGTCAAATCTACTAGTAATAAGTTCTTCAGAGTTTCGGGTTTCTTATCAAGCTCCTAGAATTACTGCACACAAACACTGGGAGGTTTGATATTTACCTGCACTGTCTTCAGAAGAGCGCCCATCTATTGGCACATCCTGAAGATTATTAAAGATCATCGTCACCACGCAGATTCTGTACGCGTTGTGTTCCAATGGTTGTGACATGGATGAGGAGGAAGAGGATAATGAATTAACAGGACTGCAAAGGTTTCTAGCTTTATACATGATCAAGGACAGGTTGCTATGCCACCTATTTCTTGCCATAAGGATACAGTTATAGTATACGCAACTGACAGACACGTATGCCGCTCAGCAGTGTGCGGCCAGCATCACCATATATCACTCGACATATATAACCAGTCGGGTATTGAGATTTAGCGCTTATTGATTGATTGATTTAATCACCAATTATACGCAGCTTCCAGTTATAACAATTACAAATGCTGGGACTCCGATCAACGTCGAACTCTGGGAAAACTATTACCTGACAGCCAATAAGGTGTATGCTTGTATTGTTCTCATAACAATCACGCCAGTTTCTTATGGGTCATGCCATAGTCGGAAGAAAGGCGCACAGATCTATCAAATAATCGATCAGTCAATCAATATGAGTATATATACGGCTTTTCACTTCATGTCCCGTCACTCGCACATAACTAGCGAGCGCCCATGATGCGTGAGTAAGTGTATATCTGATACCGCCCTAGTAAGTATGTTGCTGTATCCCATATCCTGCATCCCGTAGTATCCCGTAGACCGCCAGCCATACATAATCTAACTCAATACAGAGGGCCACTGCACCTTCGACGTCTCTGGGCCCCCGCAGCAGTTCGGCAGAAATAGAGTTTACAGGGGTCTTCACACGTGGAATGGGAACTACGTTTTGTCCAGTTGCCGGGTCGTCGTGCTCGCGCTAGGGGATTTGATAGGGTGGATGGGTCTCCATCTTGCACAATGATCATTGACCCCATACATATACATATCCCCCGCAAATCGGAGAAAAAAACAGTGGCTCAATCTTGCTCGTTCACCCACTAGTTATCCATGTTCCTTGTATCGGGAGTTTTTTCTTTCTTGTTTTTTCTTTTTGGGGCCCAGCGGACCGGGCCGGGCGGAGTCGGCCGCTCGCTTTTTTTTTTTTCTTAGTTGGGGAATTGCTTTTCCTTAACACTTGTTTGACAGCTGCAGGGCTCTCTCTCGCGCTCGTTCGGTAAATGGGTCCAATGGAGGGCCTGGAGAGGGGCACCACTTAGGTAACTAAACGACCCCTGGCTGGCTGCGATTTGATGTGTTTGGCTTCGATGATGCGGTTTGAACCATGCTGTTGAACTAGATTGGTTAGAAAGTTGATTTCTTATTGTTTTATTTTTGTCGGCCGGCGAACCTGCTGAATAGTAGGCTCGCTGGTCATGCCTCTCTCCTCCTCCTCCTCCTCCTCCTCCCCCTCTTCCTTTTTTCCCCTCACCAGCTGCGTACGCGGTAATATCTATGCACATATACACATAACCCATACACTCGTATGTACTAAGTACTACTAGCAGCAGCAGCTCCTTCCCCTCGGCCCCCCGCGGTTGGAAACAATGAAAGTGATTATATACACGGGGAGGAACAAATGAGAATAATAGTGGTATAATGCTTGAAAACAAAACAAAAGCAAAATAGCAAAAATGATGATGCAGGACAAAAAGGGATGGGGAAACAAAAGCATATTCAAACAACGATGGCAAAAGCAAAACTCGACGGCTGGATCAATATATAGTCAGATTCGGTCTAGTACTCCAAAGAGTACGGAGTTGTCGACATGGCACTGACCACCCTGCATTATGCCAGATGGACAGATCTCATCGATCAAACTAGCAGCGTTCTCGCCTGGCAGGCCGGGATGCAATTGGTGGATGAATGACTGTGCAAGGTGACACGGAGTGGTAGATGCGATAGATGCTGCTTGATAGGAGGAAGAGCAAGATGTAGAAGGCAGTGCGGTGGCATATAAAGTGCGCTGTGGAGGGCAACAAGTAGGCATGGAAGATGGGATCATTCTTAGTGGGGCGCACTGGGGTTGTGAAGTAGGGAAGAATGAGTTTTGAGGTTGGGGGCAGCAGGAAGAATTGTTAGTGAGGGTAGGAGCGGTGGGGGTCATTTCGTATGAGTTGTAGGATGGTGGGGAGGGTGACGAAATTGTCGGAGAAGCCATATACGACTGTGATTGCGTGGAAGAGATGTAATTGTAGAAATCGTTTAGTTGAGGAGCGGATGTTGGGATTGGATACTTTGAAACGGAGGCGGTTGTTGGTGTAGACGTAGGCGTGGGGTAATTGGAGGGCGCATGTTGGTGTGGCGGCTGTGAAGGCGGGGGAGAAAGCTATATTGGGGGAGAGACGTTAATTTTCATATATAAAAATCAAATCGAATGACACACGATATATATAAATAAAAAAAAGGCAGGGCTCCTCCAACTTCAACTCCACACACCTCCTCATCTCGCCACCACTCCTACCCGTACTACCACTTACCACTACTACGACCTTTACTCCTCACAATGTACGATGAGAGCGCGTAGGTAGGTAGGAGTGCAGCGTATGGATATTCAGGCTTTGATCAGTCAAGAAAAGAAAAGAAAAAAAGCATACTTTTGATGTTGCAACAACTAGCGCAGGGGCTCCTCCATTTACGGCTCCTCGTCCTCCTCCCCGTTCCGCACCTCTCGTAGCAACCATTCCGGTGGAGTTGCGTCGCTCGTTTGCAGTTCTTTGCTGCCCCTCACAAGATCTAAAGGGCTTGCATTGCATGGCGGCCCCTCCTGTTGTTGGCTCACCACCGCAAGGTCGTTTCCCTAGCACCTTTAAAACCTCGTCTACAGCCGACTCTCTTTCTCCTTCATCTGGTCCCTCTCCCCCTTCTTTCAATGTTTTATTGATTTCAGCATCAGTCACTCCACGCCTGTTCAGCATAGCTCGCAGCAGTTTGTTTTCTCGAACAACTTTCTTTGCTGCGACCTGAATCTCGACATTTGCCTCTATTCCAGTCCTCTGACATGCCTGGAAACGCGCTTCTAGGGATACCAGGTACTCCTTCTTCCTGGCTCTGCTACGCCGCTGGTTTTCCCGTAGACGCGATGCATTGACGACGGCACTACCTCCGGAACCGGTAGCAGAGGAGGACGTCGACGACGTTGGCGAGAGAGCAACAACCGAGTTTAGAGTCATGATAGAGTTCAAATTGTACTGCTAGGCAAACAGTGATGGTACGAGGATTCCCTTTGATGATGGTAGGTTTGGGACTCTTTAGTCTTTGCAAGTTATTTTATCCATGCGGTCGTCCTTCGAGTAGCCAAGTTAGTTACACGGTTAGTCATCCACCCCCACATAAAAAAAGCAAAGCCGTGTAGTTTTGAGCGTTTTCCTGGAACAGGAATGAGACGATTGACCATTCGTCTCTGTTTTCTTGTTCCAGTTCCCCCGGAACCAAGACACCCTACACACCTTCACTGCTGACTATTTGTTGAATCTCTGCGTAGATAAACTTTTGTGCGCAGGAAATACTACATATCAGTATCGAAGATACTTTCATCCTGCAGAAACACCCTCGCAAAACAGCCACGAGAAAAGCTTCTGAAATGGCTACAAACGAGGTCACTAAAGACAAGCAATTCACTCATCTACCTAGACCCGATGTTGGGTTGTGCCACATGCCGCGTGCGCACCGGGAGCATTCCCAGGTATCAGCATTTTACTCTACAGAGCTTAGTGATGGATTGCCGAGTAACACACCTCAACCCATGATGCATCTATCACAGATCCCCACAATAGGCAATTGCCATACTGCGGCGTGTTCAAACCCTTGCAACGTCTTCTTTTTTTTTTTTGGCATCCCAATCTGGATGGAAGCCTGAGTTTTAAATCTTCACCCATCTTAGCCCGGCAGGCGTTGTGTGCAGCTGAGTGTGGGGGTACACAGCACACGAGAAGTAGTGATGGTGAAAGATGAGCTAGAGAGCTCGCTACCGTAATATTACCCTCCGCCATATAATTTAAACGTGCCTTGTACCTATGCTACAGCATGGTCAATGACACATGTACTGACTTGAACGAAAAATTGAGCATCAAAACTGTCTGTTCTACACAAGAACGAAGAAGAGAAATATGAAAAGAAGCACTACTCACCCCCTCCAACACGTGTTGACGTTATGTGACCAGCCGGCGCTGACTCCGCACCTTGGAAACTGATCGGGCACTGTATTCATAGTCACTTGTGGTTTGATGGCTTTTTCCTACCAGTGATTCCATTAGTTTATGTTCCACAAGAAAAAATTCCAATATGAGATCCCGCAATAATCCGAGCGTTTTTTTTTTAATGAACAACTTTCAAACGATGAGTGATCTGTAACTCGTCGAGATGCAAACAGTGAAAAAAAATTCATATGCATTCTCACTACAACCAGATCTTGAGTTTTTAATGAACCAGTAGACAACAGAACGAGATCCTCCCATACATACCCGCTGGGATTCGGGAACCAAGGGAGTGGGGTATGTACGTCTGTCTGTTTAGAACAAGTTTTTTGAATTTCAAAAAGTTCAGTCAAAAGTTTTGTGTCACGCGCATCATTGGGGTGTTATAATTGGGTCATCTTTAGTTAGTAGCTGCATGGTATGTACAACTTATAACTGATCGAGAAGATTTTTTTAAGTTGGGTCTAGGGTTACGTGGCTAGGCAGGAAAGAAAAGGGGCGAGAACCACGTTCGTGCAAGCTACAAACCTCTTTAAAATTGCAAGAGTCTCCAAAGTACACTGGGCATTTCTCCATGAAAATTTAAGGAGGGACACGTGACGTAAATAGCGATTCACAACTAATCACTCGGCTCAAAATCCAAATGAAATTTGCACAAGAACCAACGACTTCAGGGCACATGTTCAGATAACGGATCTAGACTCGTGGAATTCACAAAACGAGCTGGTAAAAGATAAAAATACCACAATACGTGGCCGTGGGGGAGTTAATTTAAACACTGAGAAGCTGATCAGATGTATATCATGTAGGTAGGAAGAAATTTGATTTTGTTGTCGGTTTATACGAACTGTATATCTTATCCCGGATTTCACCGAAGAAAAATGCGCCACTAAAATTGGTTACCTTATCGCTCGAGGACCATGTTGGAGGGAGCGGTGTGAAAATTTTCGGTCAATCCTTGCCCAATGAGTCGGAACTATTAGTGGTGATATTCTTTTGCGGAGAAGGATGGGTGGAATATTGTGCTGCGGTGTCGCACACGCGGTAGCTATAGGCACGCACCCGGGGGGGAATGGGGTGGAGGAGCGGTGGCGGAGTTGGGGTCAGGCCCGCTGGCAACATTAACCGCATGATCTGAAACTCGCCTTTGCGGGGGAAATAAGAGGTGCCCATGGCCACGGGGACGGTTTGATATGCCGTAGAGATCTATATCTTCGGGTGAGCTCCCGCATCACACAAGTAAGAGCGGCCCCGGTCTCCGTCCGCAAATGCTTCACCATATCTTCCCCACGTGTGGAATTTCTCCAAGATAGTGGATAGAGGAAGAGTTTTCTATTTCTACTGTTCGCCGATAGTACTTTCTATAACCAAGGGTTGAATATTGTGTTCTATAGTTAATTAAACCAACTAGCTGAGATGTGGCCGATTATAGCTACGAACCTATCTAATGTTTTCTTCGATCGCTGTTTCCTTTTAATCGAAGATTCTGCAACGCAGATTTTCGAACCCGTTTACTGGTTCCCTAAAGAAAAAGAAAAGTCTTATCCAGGCGTCACCCCGCACAACAACGTCTAGTATACCCGATTAATCCCTTCTTGAATATTGATGGATTTGCCTTAATGTCTCTCTCAACAGATTCCCTCGCAAAGTCATTCCAAAAATATTTTTTCTCCTAATGGCAAAGGTTCCCCTGGCCGGGCGTGATCCCGTAATCCCATGGTATCTTCCTTTCCTTCTCCTTCTCCTCCCTCTCGGCCAAAGTATGCAGTCCCCCTCTATCACCAGCTCTCAGCTTTTGGATGAGTCGGTGGGAATATCTTCGTCCTAATCTCCCAGATTGCGTTATTCCAATTACCACCAATCCTTTGTCGGCCATGTGAGGTTTCTAGGGCATCAAAGTGCAGGTTTGATTGCTGAGCTGCATTTGTGCTTGTGACTTTGCGATTTGATGTTTTCGAAATGTGGAGCGCACCCTGGCCCATTTCTCGTATTCCGTGCGGTTCCTATTAAACCCCTCGGTAAGTTAAATCAACCTCTGCAGTTTTTTCGATGACTAAGCGGAAATTCGCCCCCTTTCTCACAATCCGCATCCATCGAATATCACTCGACGACATTTCGGCCCGGTTGACTAGCGTTTCTGCTTTCCGAAGCCGGGTTTGCTGATTAGCGCCTTCGACCACTAAAATCTTATGTTTATGGTTGTCATGTACTTTCGTTGATGACCACTCTTCTCCAACCCCTAAATCCCATAACCCTCGATGAATCTTATAGTAGGATTGGCCCTCCAACCTCGTTCTTGCTAAGAATGTTTTGATCTCTTTTGTTTCTTTCTCTTCCCACTCTTTTTGACAATTCGGCATCTGAACCCACTCCGCCCGGACTTGAGGGTTCCCCGCAGTCATAAGCCGCTTTTCTTCATGGCAATGGGAATAAATGCTCGACAGTTCCTATGATTAGAATGATCGCAGAAGAGGTCGGGGGCATCTGATCTACTTAGACTTAGTAGCCTTCGAGGAGAGTGAATCATATATTCATGTACCTACCCGTTTGTGAACTTAATGAAAGGTGTTCTTTAGCATGATATAAGGATTGTTCGTGTATCTAATAACTTTATGTCCGCAGGAACCTGCTATCTAATGGCGCTTTAGTCTTGCATATCGAACGAATTTGCCAAAGGCCCGTGAATGTCGAAATCATATCTAGCTTTCTTATCGAGTCTAAAACCAGATCTCTAAGGTTGGGTCTCCTAGTGTTAGTATATCAGGGTAAATCATTTAACCTTTCGCTGCGGAATGAGAATATAACCTCACATTATAGTGACAATGAATATCCCTCGAAGAAAAACGTACAGATTGTCTGCATGGCCGGCATTCCTCGGAGGCTAGCGCCTCTAACAATTTTGCAAACAAGCCCCATGCTAGATGTTTAACCGGAGGACTTCATTATCGGCGTCCAACACTTTGAGTAATAATTGGAATTCATTAATGTAGTGATTCCGGCGTGAACAACAGGGGAATCAAGCTTATTGGCGAAGAAAAGAGAAATTAAAAAGGTCGGTAGTTTAAAAACAAGGATTTTCGAGCTATAAAGATACTGATAATGAACATAGAATTATCGTATAATTAGAAATTTGGCGAATGATCCATTAGATTTCAATATCCATATGGCTAGAATTGAATCGGCAGGTGTTTTTGATCTACCAAAAGGTACAAAGAACTTGAGCCAGTGATGGTCAGTGCCCCTCGTTCTAAAAAAAAAAAGAGAAAAAAGAAAAAAAGGACAGAATATCTTGAAGTAAATCCAACTGCTAATTCTACATCATGATTCTTAGGAACAATGTGCATATTTTCCATCATATCAACTCGAATAGTATTCCTGGCAGAGATCACTTACTTCCATCGGTAATTCCGGGCTGGGGTCCAAGTTACTGTTTGGTTTTTTCTTCCTTCTCCCAAATATCGGCGGTATATCCATTCATCAACCCCAACATCCTTCCACCTGTCTTGACCCATCCTTTTATACCGCCCTGTAACGCATAACTTTTCAATTTGTCATTCCCCTGACCCATAATATAGTCCTGCATCCAAGCCGCAGCTCTGGATCCGCGTCCCTGGGAGGATCCTGTAATTACTATATCAGATACTATCTCCCTTTGTATTTTGCCCCCGAGGATATCTATTTACCGCAGTAAAAGACAATGGCTTGCACCCCCGCTGCAGTTAAAAGGTTGTATAATGCAGGAATAGAATGGTACATGGTTTGAGCTGGTAGGTTTATGGAGTCTCTGATCGTTCCTCCCTTTTGAATCACAAACGTGAGTAGATGTTTGAGCACAGCTGATGATAGGTGCGAGAAGGAGTGGACAAGGAAAAGATATATTCATTGAGGGGAAAAACAAGATTGCTGTTCAACAACCCCCCGATAGTCATTTTCAGACTCTCGATTGTAAGGAAAGTACAAGATTGAATAGACCTAATGTGGTGAAAGAAAAAAAGGAAAAGGTATGGTAACGAATAGAACGGTTATTCATATGGTCAAGTTATAAAGCAGACAACTTACCTCATGGTCCATACGCCTCAGGTCTACCAGGACGAAATCTCGTCCCGGGACCTTCTCACTAGATTCCATCCATTCCAGAACCGTCTCCTGCGGTAGAAACACGGCGGTAGAAACGGGCTTTGGGTAAGAAGCATGCCAAGGCTTTTGTTCAGGCACGGACATGAAGGTATCAGATGTCTCTAGAAATCAATAAAAAAGTTGGTATGTGCGTGGTCTAACGTTTGGTTAAATAGTTAAGTAGACCTGGATTTAAGTAAGATGAAATAGACTCGAATAATATAACAGCTACTCACCTGTCACCAATGAGTCGCCACTGGTTGAGTACGTTAGATGTTGTTGAAGAGCGAAGGAGCTCCAGAATTCCAGAAAAAACGTGCTCATTCGACTGGCAAGGGTTGTCTAGCCAATCGGCGTTTAAGTTTGGAATGTCACTGGTATGTCGCTGCCGACCAATCACAGCTTAGAAGCGTGTCACCCTGCTCGGCAGTTGCCGCCTTAAGAGGACCGCTGTGGGTAAGGTATAAAAAATATCATTGCAATTCAACAGCATTTTTTTTTGGTTTAATTCGTTAATTGCATAATTCAACAGCATTAGCATCGTGTCTTTTCCAAAAACACAGAGGCAAGCTGAGAATACAAGCAAGTTGCAGTCGGAAAAAATGTCAACAATCAATCCCTCCTCGAAGAACGAATTGGAATCCGGTCTTACCTCTCCTAGCCCTTCCACTAAAGAGAAAAAGATCGCAGCAGCACAATCCGATGAAGCCAGAACTTCTCTCTCTTCATTCAAGCAGCTAGGATTTCTCGACAGATTTCTGGCCATATGGATTTTTCTTGCGATGGCTCTCGGAATAATCCTGGGCTACTTCGTACCCGAGACTGGACCGGCACTGCAGAAGGGCGAATTCGCTGAAGTATCTATTCCAATAGCTATTGGACTGTTAGTCATGATGTATCCAATCTTGTGCAAGGTTCGGTATGAGACGCTACATCGGTTGTTGAGGTTGAGGGCGCTGTGGATTCAGGTTGTGTTCAGCATTTTCGTCAACTGGGTTGTTGCACCACTACTTATGGTAAGCTCCCAAGCGATGTGGTATCTGAATTGAGAAATAATTAAGTTCGTACGATAGGTTGCTTTGTCCTGGGCATTCTTGCCGGACCGCAGTGAGCTTCGTGAGGGTCTGATAATAGTTGGTATCGCGCGGTGCATCGCCATGGTTAGTCCAGATACGAAAACCCCCCCAACTTCAATTATTCGAATATTGATTATCTATTCAGGTACTTATTTGGACTGAACTCGCCTCGGGTGACTCGGATTATTGTGCCATGCTTGTGGCTATAAATTCGTTCCTCCAAATCATCCTATTCGCCCCGATGGCAGTATTCTACATCAATGTTGTCTCAAGATCCAAATCCTCCATCGAAATCTCATACTCCACAGTGGCTGTATCCGTCGCGGTCTTTCTTGGAATACCTCTAGGTGCTGCTATCATCACCCGCTTGGCTCTCTTGAAGCTCATCTTCAAGGGAGATGTTGATAAATACAACCGTAATTTCATCCGCTGGATCTCACCGTGGTCTTTGATTGGCCTTCTCTTTACTATCTTGATCCTCTTTGCCTCTCAATCTCGCAATATCGTCTCGAAGATTACCTCCGTCCTCCGTGTCTCTGCACCTTTAATTGTATACTTCGTTATCATCTTCAGTGCTACACTTGCTGCATGCAGATACTTTGGAAATGGAAAATTTGCGGGTGGAAAATTAGGCCATTGGGGATATGGTATTACAGTAACGCAGGCTCTCACAGCGGCGAGCAACAACTTCGAGCTAGCGATCGCAGTTGCGGTAGCTTGTTATGGGGCTGGGTCTGAGCAAGCTTTAGCTGCGACAGTTGGGCCTTTGATTGAGGTGCCAGTATTGTTGGGGTTGGTCGAACTTGTCAAGTTCTTGAAAAGCAGGTGGAACTGGAAATAGATAGACCTTGCTTTAAATTTTTTTTTGTGGGGCGGGGTAGCACTAAATGTTTATTTTATAATATGAGAAAAGTCTGTTAACGAAGACTAGAATTTATCAAATAATAGATATATACCATTTCGTTCCGGTTCGCAGCAACAATCGAGCGATTTGGTTTTTGTTACACGAGTGACCTGTTGTGAATCGTGAATCGTGAGTTGCCAAGAGCCATTATATTTTCTTTTTACAGCCTCGCGCTCAGGTAAGGACCAATCTGGATAAAGGCCTGGGGCATGAGTAGAGTGCAGCGTATCTGATTGGTTGTCGACGTCGGTGCCTATTGGTCACTACACTTACTGTAAACTGCTCGCTGCTTGTAGGATGGGCACGAGACTACATGTAGACTCTAGCTCTGAAGGTACATATCAATCACAGCTCGCTTTGTTACTGTGGATTCGTGGGTTTCATACTAAATGTATGTAGGTACATGATGTATGTACTCGTATTTCTCTGACGTTTGTGGACGCGACTGATATTGCAATAATGGCCCAGTTCAAAAACGTCAGAGAAATACTAGTAGAGCAATTGCACAAAGGGACGATTTGTATGACGCGTTAATTTGTTCGTTTGATGACAAACAGGTGCGTATCAACTTACATGATAGCTACAACTAGTACATGTACTTTCATGACACTAGGCTGGATAAGGTTCCACGATTATACCGCGAATTTCAAGGCGTTGAAACACATTTTTCATATGTAGGTAATAGAGGTACATGTTTGTAAAACAATTGCCTAGTAAAGCAATCAAGATTGCCTGAATTTCAGCTTTTGTGTATGCGTGACGGCTGTGGCCTGAAGTGCTTGTAGGTACAATTGCGTAAGTAAACGTATGTACATGTATATGTAGTTATATTTTGGCGGCTGGTCATACATGACTCAGTTACACGCGCCGAGTCATCGGCCATGATGGAATTTTGTGATAGTTTTCATACGTATTCCAATAAAGAAAATCAACGGCATAGCCAATTTAGAGATGACGAATATATATAAGAACAGGCAGTTGTTATAATATACGCGATAAATGGCTTTTCTATGACGTGCGTGCATACGTGATGTATGCGTATACTCAGTACATACAAGTACGTACATGTATTTATATGTGAATATATATGCTAGCCACATGTAGTAAATCATATATACATGTACTAAATGTACTCTCTTTAAGGAGCCGTACTTTGGTAGCTACAGCTATGTGTACAATAGATGTCGAAGATGTCGCGGCGAAGACATGATAACAGCATGACGTTGAAGGAAACTAGTAGAGTATTTAAGGAGGTTCCCTCCGAGCCTCCTAGTAGAATCATCAATGATACATCTCTTCCAATTACCTCCTGCACTTTTGTCAATTTACCTCATCGAACTCGTCGTATTTGAACCCGAGTGATCTATCATGACGCGGCATATCGACTATACGTGTTAGAATATCATGATTAAGGAAATTATAGAAAATGAAGCGGCCGGAGCTTATGTGTTCGCTAATTACTATATGTAACGACGTACTTGTTTGGGCAATTTACTTTCGGCCCCTTACATCAAGGCTCGGTAAGGTGATGTACGTTTGTGCAAACACCCGCCACTTTCTATGCGTTGCTTTATCTTGGTCACTACCTATATATTTCTGCGCAAGATTCTTCTCTCCTGCCCTTCATTATCTGCTTCCTCGATCCAACATTCAACACAATCTTTCTTCAATATCTTTGGGAAATTACTCAATCATGTTTTTCTCTTTCAGGACCATTTCCCTCGTACTCATCCTCTTCATCGTGGCTGTTATCAGCCAGGGCGCAGATGATGTATCCTACACAAGTGATGCGGCTTTTCAACGTGGAATCCTGGACTTCCATAACAGGCGTCGGGCAGAACATAGGGCCGGTAATCTTGCCTGGAACCCCGAGCTAGCTGGCCAAGCTGACAGATATGCCAAGCGTTGCCGTTGGGGCCACTCTGTGAGTAACCTTTCATCAATTAATAGCTTGGTGTCTATCTCTCATTCACAAGCCCCGAGGGTGGGGTGGGGTGGGGGTGGGGGTGGGGGTGTTTCCAGTGAATACAGATATCCAGACTAACAATTTCTCTGGTAACCTAGGGGGGTGCATATGGGGAAAACCTGGCCGGTGGTTTTGTGACATTAGAAAAGGCCCTAACTGCCTGGTCCGACGAGCGGAAGCTTTACAAAAGCTTAGCGGATTATGATAAACCAGAACCCCCTCCAAACTCTGGCCATTTCACGCAAATGGTCTGGGTGGCTACCACCACGGTTGGATGCGGTCGAGCCAAGTGTAGAGACCTTATCACACCAGGGCAGGATTCATGGTATTTTAAATTCCCCTTATTTGAGGTCTACAGGGAACTTTAGGAGATAGAATCAACTAACAAGAGTTTTTCTGCTTGTAGGTATGTTGTGTGCGCATATCTCGCACGTGGTAACTATCGGGGGCAATATCCTCAGAACGTCCTTAAACCAGTCAGACGTTAGAACCGTTAGAGAAGCGTTTGTAGAGGCTTATAGATTTTAATAGGTAAATTCTACCCCTTGTGCGCTGATCCGCAAGATTCTGACAAGAAGTATCTAGCTATAGCTCGGTACTCTCACTATCATGTTGGTCGACAACATATCTAAGGGTTATAAATATCGCTTTGTTTTACAATAAATTTCATAAGCAGGTCTATAGATTTTCAAATAAATGGACCCACGGTTCCCTCCAGCTGTTTTGGTGTGATCAACTGAAATTTGCTATGTGCATAATCCGAGAAATGTTAATCCAATGCGACAAATGCGAGTGAAGTGAGTCGAAAATTTGATCATGAGAGTATCGTTTATAGTAAATTTGGCTCTGTCTACTATTAGTTCGTTCGTTTCTCTGTAGATAGGAGAATAGGGGTAATGGGTTGAAGAAAGAAGGAGAAAGAAATCTAGATGGAGAGAAAAAGAAAGAAAAAGGAATTGAGAGGGATAAATCAAGTACATGTATCTATGACGTCCTGTGTATTGTCCTATAAATGGTATATCCAAATCCTCTCGCAAACGCTAGCTAGGACTTGAAGTCGAAGTTTTGTCTATGCACATAGACCGGATTGGGGATTGAGGGAGCTAACTTACCAAAGTAAGCTAGAGTTGCCCAAGTGCTACGTAGACATGTGGAATATTTATAACGAAATGATTGCTTGCTGAATTCTCTGAAGACATTTGTTTCATTACAAAAGCTTGCTTACGATTGAGCTATCCTCTAAGAATGTAGTATCGCCGGGGGATTACAGAGATGGTGTATTTTTGAGCACAGGTAACTACATGTATATACATACGTACAGCGCCATAAACATACTTTTAAGAAAAAGTCTTTCTTTCGAAGCTATAGCTAGAATATTAATACGATATCAAGATACCCGTATGATCCGAATTATCCTCTCTATAGGGCCCAGACACATTGACGTATAACGGCTATCCAGGCCCGTTGTCTCTCCCGGGTGAACACCCATTTTCAAAGAAGTCAGGTTCCCGTTGTCTCTGTTTACATATACGGACGGGAAGTTGAAATAGGTAAGGCACCGAATACACGCATCCTTAATACACGTTTTGAGCACAGGTTCTGTTAGTTCCGGCCTCGTATTAACCACACGTACTCCTCTATGTCTGTAAGCCCTTTTGATTTCCAGACCCGTAAATACATGTAGATACTTGGTGTGTACTTACACAATCTCCAGCTCCGAGACACACTCACGCCTGATCCTTCTGAAATCATCGTCATTGAACAGGTTATGAATAGTTGTAAGTTAGCACGGGCATCTTTCCGCCAACCATGTATTTCAAGACCCGAAGTTCCGGGGTCTATGAATCGACCATTAGCTACGCTACTGGCAGTGACAGTAGTACTACCTGCCACCCTTGTATGCGAATAATTATGAATGCAACCCCAATAAATATTCTTAACAAAAGCAAATATTAATATACGGTTACTAGATTCGGCTCGCTACACAGGTGGGTAGAGTACTACACTCCCTAATGTTATGCCCCTTTCTCTGTCCCTTTTCATTTGCGCCGATCTTCCATCGCGCAAAGTTTCCCGTAATGTTAACATGGACACATCGGGTACCTTTACGTCCCAGCCTTGGGTAGTTGTATCGATAACCAGCTGAAATCTTTGTCGGTTGTCCCTTTGAGCGGGGATCAATGATGAGTGAACTTGGCATCCTGGATAACCTAACCCTTTGTGCTCACTGCTGAGCTGTCAATCATATCTCCTTAATATATTAATCTCTTAAGCTCTTGCAGAAGAATCACGTTATATACTTTAACATATTGCTATGTCTACTTACGTGACATTGACCTCTTCGCTTATTCGTTCGGTGTCGGCATTTCTGCTTCCCTTCAACCTCTCGGGGCCTCGGTGGTTTCTTGGGGTCCGAAACTGCCTTCTAGGGCGCGGTGCTCCGCCCCATGCCCGGGTAGTGGATTTTTGCATGATCTACCAATCCATCGGAAATCTCCGCCGCTTGTAGTGTAGTGGGCCCCATGAGTGCTTTTCTTACCCTTTTGAAGTCTGGAGAGAACTTCATCGCAAGCTGTTTATCGGTAGTTGCTGAAGAATGTCCAGAGTTCTTGCTGAGAACCCCACTAGCTGCCATGTGCCTTCAAGATCTGCATAAGGTCTATCCTTGAACTGTTTTTATTAGAAAGTCATGTGGGACTGGAATATCCAACAAGCAAACAATTGTGCCATATATCTATTTATTTTTATAATAACCTTTTTTGTTTGACCCATGTTCTACCTTTGTAATTGTAGTGGTTCGTTTTTGGTAAGAATCATCATTCCCAATCCGTCAAACCTTGCAACAGGCTCGACCTAGTTGGTAGCCGTTTCTAGCAATCACCGTCCATTTTAGTACCAATCCTGGAGGCATCCTGCGATTTGTGAACATTTGGAAGTGATAATGTAAGCTTAATTGGTACGGACCGCGCGGCAAGCCTCAGAACCATGAAAGTACATGTCCCCGCCTAGGATAATCCTTTGTACGGATCTGGAAATACTTGGATGTCCCTGAACCCCTGCCAAGATGTGAGGGGATGCATACTGTAGTAGACCCATGGTAAAATGTTTTCAAAAGCATTGAAACGAGTTGTATTTAGAATCTGTAGTGATGTAAAATGGAGGTAGATCGAGTATCATCATCATGATCTACAGATGCAAATAAAGCTTGTCCGATATCATATTCTAGACTCCTGCTGTTGAGGGGCTCTGCAAGTCTCAGGTTAACCCTGTGATCATACGCTTTTGATGGATCTTCCAAGTATACTATAGTTGGCCTTGTCTAGGTCTAGTTATCGATCACGAAGAAAATATCATTGAATTCATGAACTCACCTTCTATAAAGTATTCCCATTATAAAAGGTGTAGATATAAACCCATGTAACCCCAATTACCTATTGTAAAAGCATGTAGGGCTAGGGCCGAGGACAGTAAAAAATAACCCCCCATCGACATAGCATTCGGGGTGAAGTTGCTCACAAACTACCTTTCTTGAATAGACCCACAAGCAAGATGAATTCTAGACAATAGTAGTATATTTTAGTAGTCTGAAAGCTGTGATAATCCCGTCTTGTCCTGGAATTTAGTGGGTTGTTTTGCGTATAAATTCAGGTGCGCGGTTATTTTTGTAACAAGTGTCTAAGAACTCTGGCTACAAATCAGTACTGAAGCCTTGGCATTTTCGCTCACAGGTGTGGAATCAGTTCAAGCTCCTACCCGTATCCAGCTTCCGGCCATGCTCCATTCCCTCCGGGTATATACCAACACTACAGCGTTTTGTTCGAAACTAAGTTTAACAGGGTCCCCAAGGAGTCCGCTTCGGGGGTCTAATCTCTTCTGCAGCCTTTCTACATCGAGTAAATACCTGTCAAGTCACTTGCTTGATTCCTCAAACCTGGGGTTAATATTCGCAAGCCTCGACCACGGCTGATTATATGAAGAAACCGTGCGCAGGAGTACGGGAGTAGTCAATTAAAGAAGGTGTATAAGTGCATTATCGTACTACCTGTTAGGTTTGTATAGAGAGGTTTCTATGGTGTGATGTAAGCTCAAATGAATTCGTAAGCTCAAGGGAAGGAAATCAAACAACCGGCCAAACATCTGTACTCCACGATCTCGCCTCGGCACTCACTTCGAGATCTACATGTGGCGTGTCTAGCAATGTTTACCACTCTTGTGCCTCACCTATCATGACGATACTCCGCCAGCTTCCTTCTGGGGGGTGGCTCTTTGTAGGCTCTGTAGGTGAATTGATTGGACGAGGGTGTCGCACGATGGCTCAATCAGGCGCAATCTATAACAACCAAGACCCCTAGTGTGCTAAAAAGGAGCAAGGCGCTAAGGCAAAATCGTGTGGCGTCACAACCTTTTGTAGTTTTAGCCGAAGCCCGTTAGGCAGGTAGGAAGCTAGCAGGGCCGCAGCCCGCAGGCAGGCGATGAGGGATGGTGGATGTGGATGGCCATCCTCCGTCGCTTATGGGATTCTGGAGGGTCGATAGCCTATTCCTGATTCCACGCTAATGCAAGGTACCAAAACGTTGCCCAGTACTGGGCCCTGGCGCTGGTAGACAGGGGTGGTTAACGCCTCCTGAAACGATACGCACTGACTATCCCGCTGCACGATTAGAACTTTCTCTACTTGTGAGCGAGTGGGGAGTGGAACCTGCCAAGGGAGGGGGATATGGAGAGGAAATGCTCCGTTGGCTCGGGACCTTCGGAAGATGCTAGGAATAGCCTGCGGCCTTCTACTCCTGCCCATGGAATACATGTGAATCACTATTCAGAGGATTTACTACAAAAGATGGCTGCCCCCCCTCATGTATGCCCTTCAGTTGTTTCAACATCACCACACACGCATTTGCTTCAGGCAGTGCCATTCGTTTTTTTTTTTATTCCTCTTTCTACTTTTCTGTATTCCCTTTTTGTCCCTCTTTAGTACTGCTAGCAGTATAATCACTCACTATCACTCACTATCACTTACTTGATATATATACAATACATATTACCGCTCTTTTGGTATCCTTTCACATTTATCTTTAAAACTATTATATCAAGATGCGTACAGGAAGCGCATTTTCTCTACTCGGGCTTTCAGCTCTTGTTCTGCAAGGTGTAGCAGCAAAAGTATGGTAAACTCCTTGACGCAAGCAGTGGTTATAGCCTAACAATCAATTATAGGGTTGGCGTGATCAAGAAGAGTACTCTTGCCCCTCAAACATCAAGAACGATTGTACAACACAGGAGAGCGAGGGCTTTGATTGGAGTGATTTGGACCTAGGATCATTCGACTCTTACAACGATTACAAGTTTTCGGGTTGGAGTTGTGCCAATAAGCTTGGGAAGAGAAATCTTGAGGGACGAACATTCAATGTAAGACGATCATTGCCAAGGATAATGGTAGTGATATCAGTACTAATATTCTCTATTTAGAGCAAATGCATTGAGGCAGACTTGAGCAACAGCGATTTCAGCAATGAGATTAGCTGTGACAAGGCCTTCTCTATTGGTGAGCTCGACATCTCTGTTGACGTTGAGACCGATGTCGAATTCCATTATGGAATGGAGGATGGCTCTACTTGCAAGCAGACCAAGAGATGTGGAACTGAAGGCACTACTGTCACCAACGATCAATGTGGTGGAGCAAAGACTGTCAAGGTCAAGCTTCCAAAGAACAACAAGAACACGTCATGCAAGCTCGGAGTCCATAAAGTCAAGTTCGAGTGCGGTACAACTACTACTAGCGTCCCGGTCCCTACTACTACGATTCCTACTGTTATCAGCTCTACCTCTTCAGTTAAGGTTACTACCACTTCTGCCAGCGAGACATGCACTATCCCCAGCAATTGCTCGGGTGATTCTTGTACTATGCCCGCTGGATGCACTGGAACCACTCCAACTGGCGGTGTCGGTGTCACTTCGGTCACTTCTTCTGTTGGAACCACTACTACTCCCGCCTCAGAAACTTGCACTGTTCCCAGTGACTGCTCCGGCGAGACCTGTACTATGCCCGCTGATTGTACTTCCGGTACCGTAAAGCCAACAGCCACCACCTCTTCTGTCGAGGGTACTACCACCGCTCCATCAGAGACTTGCACCGTCCCCAGCGATTGCGAAGGCGCGTCTTGCACCATGCCCGCAGACTGCACTGGTACCAACCCAACTGGCGGAGTCGGCATTACTTCAATCACTTCCACTGCTGAGACTGCTACCACCACTGGGCCTTCAGAGACCTGCACCATTCCCTCAGACTGCTCTGGCGAGACCTGCACAATGCCCGCGGACTGCACCTCTGGCACCGTCAAGCCCACAGATAGCACCCCTCCCGCTGTCCCCACTACCACCCCTGCCGCTGAGACTTGCACGGTGCCCAGCGATTGCGAAGGCGCGTCTTGCACCATGCCCGCAGACTGCACTGGTACCAGCCCAACTGGTGGTGTTGGTATTACTTCAATCACTTCCACTGCTGAGACTGCTACCACCACTGGACCTTCAGAGACTTGCACTATTCCCCCAGATTGCTCTGGTGAGACCTGCACTATGCCTGCCGATTGCACTGGTATCAACCCAACCGGTGGTGTTGATGTTACCTCAGTCACTTCCACTGCTGAGACTGCCACTATCACTGGGCCTTCGGAGACCTGCACTATTCCATACGACTGCTCTGGTGACTCTTGCACTATGCCCGCAGACTGCACCGGCACCGGCCCCACTGGAGGAGTCGGCATCACTTCAATCACTTCTACTGCCGTGACTGCCACCACCACTGGGCCTTCAGAGACCTGCACCATTCCCTCAGACTGCTCTGGCGAGACCTGCACAATGCCCGTAGACTGCACCTCTGGCACCGTCAAGCCCACAGATAGCACCCCTCCCGCTGTCCCTACCACTACCCCTGCCGCTGAGACTTGTACCGTGCCTAGCGATTGCGAAGGCGCATCCTGCACCATGCCCGCTGATTGCACCGGTACCGGCCCCACTGGCGGAGTCGGCATTACTTCAATCACTTCCACTGCTGAGACTGCCACCACCACTGGACCTTCAGAGACTTGCACTATTCCCCCAGATTGCTCTGGTGAGACCTGCACTATGCCCGCTGATTGCACCGGCACCAACCCCACTGGCGGAGTCGGCATTACTTCAATCACTTCCACTGCTGAGACTGCCACCACCACCGGACCTTCAGAGACTTGCACCGTCCCCGCGGACTGCTCTGGCGAGACATGCACCATGCCCGCAGGATGCACTGGCATTACTCCAACTGGCGGCGTTGGTATCACTTCAACCACGTCTACCGCGCCTGGAACTGCTGTGACCACCGCTCCCTCGGAGACCTGCACTGTTCCCAGTGACTGCTCTGGCGAGACCTGCACTATGCCCGCTGATTGCACATCTGGCACCGTCAAGCCGACTGACAGCACCCCTCCTGCTGGCCCCAGTACTACTGCTCCTGCCTCAGAGACCTGCACCGTCCCTAGCGATTGCGAAGGCGCATCTTGCACTATGCCCGCTGATTGCACCGGTACCGGCCCCACTGGCGGTGTTGGTATTACTTCTCTTACATCCACTGCTGGAACTGCCATCACCACTAGCCCTTCAGAGACCTGCACCGTCCCAAGTGATTGCACTGGAGAAAGCTGCACCATGCCTCCTGGCTGCCCCCAGACCACCTCCGTCCCCGCTATCGGTGTTTCTACCACTGGTGAGGTCAAGCCTACTGATACCACTTCTTCCCCGGCTGGAACCACCACTGCCCCGGCCTCAGAGACCTGCACAGTTCCTTCAGATTGCTCTGGAGAGACTTGCACCATGCCTGCTGACTGCACTGGTATCAACCCCACTGGCGGCGTCGATGTTACTTCTCTCACCTCCACTGCCCAAACTGCCACTACAACGGGTCCTTCGGAGACTTGCACTGTTCCTTCAGACTGCTCTGGCGATTCTTGCACCATGCCTCCTGGCTGCCCGGCGACTGCCACTGTCCCAGCTACCGGTGTCTCTACCAGCGGCGAGGTCAAGCCAACTGACAGCACCCCTCCTGCTGGCCCCACTACTACTGCTCCTGCCTCAGAGACTTGCACCGTTCCCTCAGACTGCTCTGGCGAGACCTGCACCATGCCCGCTGATTGCACCGGTACCGGCCCAACTGGCGGCGTTGGTATTACTTCTCTCACATCCACTGCTGGAACTGCCGTCACCACTAGCCCCTCAGAGACCTGCACCGTCCCAAGTGATTGCACTGGAGAGAGCTGCACCATGCCTCCTGGCTGCCCCACGACTACTTCCGTCCCTGCCATCGGTGTTTCCACCACTGGTGAGGTCAAGCCCACTGATACTACTCCTGCCGCTGGAACAACCGCTGTCCCTGCAACCTGCACAATCCCCAGCGACTGCACTGGCGCAACATGCACCATGCCCGCCGGCTGCCCGCCAACCGCCACCGCCTCAGTCCCAGCTTCCGAGACCTGCACCGTGCCCGCTGACTGCTCTGGCGACGCCTGCACCATGCCCGCCGGCTGCCCTGCCACCACCACCGGCGTCACTGGAACCACCCCAGTTACTGGCGATGTCACTGCAACCTCCACCGGCACCACCCGCGGCCTCAACGGCAGCACTGGCATCACCTCCGTCGCCGGCAGCTCCACCATCAAGGCCACCGAGTCCATCCCGCCCTCTTCCAGCACCGCCGGCGTCCCAGCGGTCACCATGCCCGCCACCGAGTGCCCCGACCTCCTCCCCAGATGTCTCAAGACCTGGATCTTCATCACTAGCTGCACCGACACCGCTGACCCATCATGCTACTGCCCCCATGAGGAATTCGTCAACAAGGTCGTCGGCTGTCTCGATGCGTGGTCTTCGGACGACGACGAGGTCACCAGCGCAGTCGAGTACTTCCTCGGTCTTTGTGCTCCGTACGTCGACGAGAACCCGGCCATTGTCACTGCTATCCCGTCGACTATCACGCTGCCGACCCCGTCGCCGGATGTCCCGAATGTCACTATCATCCAGACCATCACCACTGTTGTCCCCTGCGAGCCGACTACTGTCACTACTGGCTCTGCGTCTGGCACCGTGGTCACGGTGATCACGTCTACGGCCACACAGACACTCACGATCCCGCAGGTTACGTTGGTTGTCACTGCCACTGACGCTACGCTTGTCTACCCAACCTCCGACGTCGCCGCTACCTCTGCGCCGCCGGCCACAGCCACTACGATCCCTACTGGCGTCCCTGCAGTCACTACGCCGGTTTCTACAACGCTGAAGGCTATTGAGACGTCTCTTCCCTCGTCCGAGGCGGGTGCTTCTCCCTCTTCGGAGCTGGGCACGTCTACGACCATCAAGGCTATCGGAACCACTCCTGCGTTGACCAGCGCCCCGGGATTGACTACCGCCCCGGCCGCTCCTACGACGTTGGTGACCTACCCGGTTGGCTCCGGCGCTAATGCGACTGGCACTGCGGTCCCCGTGACTACTAGTGGTGTGCCGCTCTTTACTGGTGCGGCGTCGGGTATTGTGCCTGGTACTATTGTTGCCGTTGTTGGAGCCCTCGCTGTGGTGCTTCTGCAGTTGTAGATTGGGTGGTTAGTTTTTTTTTATTGAGTGGTTTTTTTGTTTTATATTTTATTTTTTATTCTTTTAGCGTCTGGTTGGGGATATGATAATTGGGGGGGGGGGGGAGGGGTGGTTGAGTTTTTTTTTTCTTCTTTTTCTTTTTGGTTAATGGATACATGGACGATCTTATTTTTGGGGGAGGAGGAGGGGGAGGGAGGAAAAATGTCTGTCTGTAGACCCTATCAATTTTATGTTTGCGCAGAGGGGGGGGGCACGTACGTTGCCTCCATGTGCGCGATGGTTAGTTTTAATTTTTTGTATGGATCTTGCGAAATATTACTCGAACTTGATTCCTCAAACAAAAAAAAAAAAAAAAAAAAAAAAAAAACATTATTCGTTCGTTCGTGACAATCCTCTACTAGAATGCATTCATTGTTCAGTAATCATCACCACGATATAGAGTACCTACTAAATCGCAATCAACCAAAGGACCTGCAGTACCACCAGCAGCATCCAATAAAGTTTCTCGGTAAAAACTTTCTTTCAGATAGGGTGGAATAGAGTAGGTATTCCGCCCCCCCCCCCCCCCGCCTCCGTCTGCAGATAGAGTGCCCAGGCATGCAGGGGTCTCTGGTCGACGGCACCGGGTGAATTTGCGTTCCACGTTTCAAGTTCCGCCGCAGCCAACCCCCGTCGACGGCCTCTTCTGAAGCCCGCGTTCAGCTGGTGATGCTGCTGCTGCTGTTGGGGGCGGGGTCTATCTACGCAGGGGGCAGGGGAGAGGGGAGGACGGTTGGATTGCCACCCTTGCTTGGTGCTGGTGGAGTGTTCTAGAGGCCGGCTGCTGTGATATCAGGAGGCACAGTAGATCCTGCAAAGACGGATGAAAAATGGCGGGGGCGATTGGAGATGTGAGTTTTTGCGTCCTCGGAGGTGTTTCTTTGACGGGACAGAGAAGTGCATGCAGTTGAAACTTGACGGTTGAGGCGTTCTTGCCAAGAAAACGTGGATGGTCCAGCGCCGAGGCCGGGAGCTAGAGCGCTCTCGGGATCCCGACGGCTGGTTCCGGCGTGTGTCAGCGAGTGAGTGGTGATGTCATGCCCCAACGTCGACATCAAAACTCACTCGGCTTAACTTCACAGGATATCACTGAGATAAAACCTCTCATTGGCCCTACACATCTGCTTCATTAATTACAACAGAATTATCACCAGAATTATCACAAAACTTCCACAATGAAGCGTATGCAATCCGCCCCCTGGAAACCCCTCTTCCAAACCCACGTCTCCAAGATCACCCCGCCCACCTTCACCCTCGCCACCCTCTCCACCAGCCCTCCCACGTCCACCACAAACCCGGGCTTCCCACACTCCTCCTCCTCTTCCACCTCCAGCAATGCCCCCTCCACCACGCCCACCTTCACCCCCCGCTGCCGTACCATGATCTTCCGCGGCTTCCTCGCCTCCCTTCCCCCCAACCACCACAACCCCCTCGCCAACCACAACCCACGCGCCTACACTTCCGACGCCCTCACCTTCACCACCGACTCGCGCATGACCAAGACGGGCGAGATCCTGCCCCCACACGCCTCCGGCGGCAACGCAGAGGTACTCACCGCCGGCGGCGGCTACGTCGAGGCCCTCTTCTGGATCGCCGGCGACACCACCACCGGCGAGGATATCCAGAACCAGTGGCGCGTGCGCGGGAAGTGCTATCTGCTCGCCGAAGCGGACGCCGACGAGGCGCGCGAGGTCACGGATGTGCTGAAGCAGAGTCTCGTGCCGACGGGGGAGGGGGATGAGGGGAGTTGGTCGTGGAAGAAGGAGGTGCAGGCGCATTTTGGGAATATGACGCCGGCGCTGAGGGGGTCGTTTGCGAATCCGCCGCCGGCGACTTTGTTGGGCGTGCCGTTGGGGGAGTGGGCGGTTGGGAAATCGGGGGGTGCGGGGGAGCTGGTGAAAGGAAAGAAGATTCAGAATGAGAATGTGATGGACGAGGAGGGGCATGCGGCGAGGGCGAGGGCGAATATGAGGGTGGGGGTCATTGTGCCAGAGGTGGTGGAGAGGCTGGATTTGGCGGAGGATGAGGGGAGGGCGAGAAGATGGGTGTATTCGAAGGTGGGCGGCGAGGATGGGGAGGGTGTGGTTGCGGGGTGGAAGGTGGAAGAGACTTGGCCGTAGGTTCTGTGGGTCTGTAGTTAGATATTAGCAAGACCAGTAGATGGCTTAAAAATTCCATAGCTATTAGTACCACATACTCATAAGTCCAATATTCAGGCTTCAGAAAATAAGAAACAAAGATTTATCCCCGTTCACAAATATGGTCAATTCAATCATTGGCCCAGGCGTAATGCTTGACCAACCAATCATTGACCCATATGTTCTATTAATCTCCCGCGAGACTGTCAAGCGTTTCCCGGCTCTCTGTGGTCGAGGCCTCGCCATCTGTGTTGACCCGTCCTAGATCTAGATATGCAGATGAAGTGTGAGGATGGTGGTTGGGTTTAGTCCATGCCGCAGCTTAGCTTTATAGGTCCTCGAAACAAACACATATGCTTAACCGGCTACAAGCACATCGCCGTGTCTGAACACCTATTCACTACCAGCACATGTGGGGTTGTACCCAAGTGAGATTTCAGACATCGGCACATAGCTAGCATATTAATATAATTTACGCAGTGTTCAATTGGTTTTATGTATGAACAGAAAAAAGGACTACAATGACCACTTTGCGGTATACTCGGTGTGCGATGCCACGTACTGCAGAATGACAGATTATACTCACAAGGTTCGAGACGGTGGGTGGGAGGCTATATATAGCTGAGAAGGTGGAAGGCATCTCTTGCCAGAGCTATTCACGTACTTCCTATGCTCACAACTATAAGCCACCCAATACTCAATACGTTCGACGTCGAAAGCGACAATTGTGTAGGCTCACTTCGATTGCGTGGCACCATGGCTCTGATGCCTTATCAATAATCCAACACCCCCCTCCCCAACGCGCCCAGCTCATAACGCCGGGCCCTGGGTAAATATTCTACATCGAAAACCAAACTCAACTCCCAAATGCCAAACCACCTCCACGTCCACGTCCAACGCCCCTCATCCAAACCTGACGCCCCCCCCCCCCAAACCCAGTTTCAACTCCCCCGATCCAAACCCAACCCAACCCCACCTCGCACACTACGGTATCAGCAGCGTCTGCCCCCTATCAATGGTCCTTACATCGTCCTTGATCCTCGCCGCCCCATGCTCCACACGGTTAACATGGTTCCGGGCCCTCGTGGGACCGTGGAGGAGGTGGTCGACGGACACAAGCGTGAACGAGAGGATGAAGGTGGTGGCGAACACGGCGGCCGTGGAGAAGGAGCGGGGGTGCATTATTGCTGGCATGGCGGACTGGTCTGGGGGGGTTAATCTTTATAAGTATGAGCTCAGGCAGTCCCTCTTTAAACAATCGCTGTGGGTGTGGGGATGGCACAAGAGTGGATTGTGACTGCAGTGCAGGTAGAAAGCTCTCTGAACATGAACAGGGCAAAGGTGTGTAGTCGGCAGTTGTCACAAGCTCCATCTACAGCTCTGGGAAGCACAGTGGGGGGTCCCAGAGGTTCTCCACCCTAAGCGCTAACAGCCGTAGTAGGAGTGACGTCGACAGTGGTCTCCACTCACCGGCCATCACTCGGCCGCGTGTCGCCCCTGCCAGTATGCTCCGCTCTGCCCATGCCCTGTGCAGGTACGCAGACAGACAGACAGACAGACAGATGTGCGACACCCAACATCTGCTGGTTGCCTGTGGTGTTCCTGCGGCTCAAATAAGCTTTGCGGCTCTCTCTCCTCGCTGGCTCCGCGGGCCGTGGCACACGCAAACCCAGCTGCTGGACACTAGAGCGACACTGGCTATTTTCTTTATTCTTGTGTCTGTCTCTTCTTCCTCCCCTTCCCTCTCATCGTCCCCATCTCCATCTTCTTCATCATCTCTCCATCTCCATCTCTTCCATCTCTTCCATCTCTTCCATCTCTCGTTCATCTCCTTTGTTCCTCTCCGCCCCTTGCTTCCATCTATCAGGATAGATAGATAGATAGATAGTCAGAGCTCACAGCTAAGTCCCCCCACCGCCCCACCACCACCACAATGTGGCACATCCGCCCCGGCGAGTCCCCCCTCGTCACCGGCACCCACACCCACATCCGCCGCCGCTCCTCCAACACCCTCCCCCAGCACCCCCCCGCCCCCGCCCCGCCCCCGCCCCCGCCCCCAAAGCCTCCCAAGCACGCACCCGCCGCCAATCCACCTCCAGCACCACCACCTCCACCTCCACCACCAACCCCGCCCCGCACCGCCTCGACCCCAGCACCGTCTACCTCACCCCACGCATCCTCCCCCGTCGCATCCTCTCGCTCAACGAGCCAGGCAGACCGCACGGTGGCCGTCCGCTCCCCACTTCAAACTCAAACCCAAACTTTAGGAGTGCAGCGGAGAAGAACATCCCGCAAGGACCGCAGAGGTACGGCGGTGTCAATCTGCCGTCTGTACCAGAGTTCGCACACGGAGGTGTCAACGGGGTCGGGGCAGGAGGCAAAACGGTCTCAAACTCATACTCGCTGCCCGCGAACCTGACGTCCAGCTACCACACCAGCGCCAGCAGCGCCAGCAAGCGCCCCAACTCGCGCCCACAATACCACCACCCCACCAGCAGCGGCATCAGCAGCGGTAGCAACCCGCGCCTGCGCAGCAGCGGCTACATCCCCAACGTCCGGGTCTCTGCGCCGCAGAACCTCGACGGCGACCTTGGTAGCAGCCCGCTTGAGGATCGCGAGACACAATCGTCCAGAATAGTGCGTAGGAGCTTCAGCAGTACCAGTTATAGATTCCTGACGGCACTAGAGCGTCCCGCTGACTATGACCCCGTCGGGGCGCGAAAGGTGTACAACTACATGCCGAGCGGGTACTGGGCCGGCCGCATCAGCTCCATCATGGACCGGCTGGCGGCGGAGTTTCCCGATGTGGCGCTGGCGGACAGGGTCAAGATGGCGTTTGGGGACTTGTTGGTCATGGCGTGTGGGCCCGGTGCGGAGCAGTCGTTGATGGTGTGTATTTTCTCTCTCTCTTTTTTTTTTTTGTTCTCTTTTTGGGTTTTGTTGTGTGATGTGCTGATTGTGGGTGGGGTGGTAGGAGTTTAAGAAGGCGTTTGAGAGGAAGATGAAGGATGGGAAGATCTGAGGAGCTGTTTTGTCTGTCTGGGACGCCGGCTGCCCTAATGATTAAAACGAATGATATCCACAGGAGGGGGGGGAAAGAAAGAGAGCAACAGGGAAAACAAGATGAGAAGAAACATATTTTTTTTTTACCTCTCACTCATCTGTATAATAAGCTCGGTAAAGGTTGCTGGCATGTAAATAGCTACATGAAGAAGAAAAAAAAAATACTAATACACCCTTCTAACGCCGCTGTCCCATATCCTATAACCTAGAAACCAAAATATAAACACATATAAACACAATATAAACCCCACATATAAAAAAAAGTTAACCACATACTACTTTCTATCCCCTACCCTCTATCCACCCACTCCCTCATAAACACCTCATCCTCAATCCCGCCCCCCCTCTGCCTCTCGGGCACCGCACACCCCTCCCTCACCGCCTCAGGCACCTCCACCCCTCCACCTCCCCGCCCGCCACATAAAACTGCATAACCATCCCCGCCTCCGCATGCCACACAATATGGCAATGCATCGCCCACACACCCACATTATCCATCCGCACCCTCACAAGCACCCACCCATACGCCTCCACCGTCACCGTATCCCTCACCAACGGGTTCCTCACCTCCAGCCCCTCCCCACTGCCATACCCGCCCATGTCGTAATACCCCTTCCCCTGGCCCAGCACCCAGAACCGGTGCCCGTGCAGATGGAACGGATGGTTCCCGTCGTCAAAGTTGTCGATTAGGACATCCACCACTGTTCCCGCTGCCACACGAACAACGAGTTGACGCCCCACGTCGAACGCACCCATCGCGCCCGTGTCGGTCGTTTCGTTCGCCGCGAACGAGGCGTTGTGACTGCGCAGCCCGTCGACGATGGACACGAGTGTCGGCGTCTGCGCCGGCCGCCACGACGAGGCGTTGAAATACCCGCGGGCCAGCGCATACGCGCCGATCTCGAAGTTGCTCCTGAGGCGGATCAGTGTTTCCGCCGCGGGCGGCGGGTGGATGGCGGGCGAGGGGGTGAGGAGGGTTGTGTTGAGGTCTTTACACTCCAAATCCTGCGACGCGGAGCGCGGGGTTGTGGTTGGTAGGAGGTGGGGGTTGTGCGGCGCAAGGGGCGGCGGCGAGGGTGTGTAGTGGAGGATCGCGCGGACTTCGGGGTCGAGGGTTGGTGGGATTGTGGCGAAGCAGTGGGGGAGCATGCGGGCGCGGAGCCAGAAGGTTGGTTGGGAGGAGGTGGAGGGGGAGGTGGCGCGCAGGAGGACGGTGTAGCGTTGGGCGATGTTGATGCGGAGGCGGTGGAGGGGCGTGGGGGTTAGGGGGGTGCCGTCGGCTTCGATTAGCGTCATTCTGCGGGAAGAGTAGTGTGTTAGTGATCATTGACCCAGTAGTAGTTGTAATGACGATCATTGACCCCATGGAGAACAGAAATACTCACTCGTGATCATCAATCTCGATATCAAACTCCGCCAACGCGCCCACATTCACAAACCTAACCCTATGCACACCTCCCATCTCCACGCCCACATACTGCATCCCGCCGCCCCAGCTCTCATTACACACCCTCCCCTGCGCCACGCTCGCACAGTCCACCCGGCCCCTCCCATTAATCAGCGCGCCATCGGGCACGGGCTCCGCATTCTCATTATCGGGCGCCAAATACCCCTTCAGCATTGCCGCCGACACATCATGATAATAGTCCTGCACCATGAGGACACGGTCGCTGCTGACCCTCTGCTCGTCGGGGGCGTGGATGATGAGCGGGCCAAACACGCCGTCGATGCGCGTGGTGGAGAAGTGTGCGTGGTACCAGTATGTGCCTGATGTCTGGGTGACGGTGAAGACGTAGGTGAACGAGGATCCGGGCGGGATGGGGCAGGAGGTGATCCCCACCGTGCCGTCCATCCAGGGAGTGCCGCGCTGGTGCTGGCCGTGCCAGTGTAGCGAGGTGCTGTTGGGGGAGTGGTTGTGCAGCGTGATGTGGAGTGTGTCGTTGGTGTTTGCGCGGATGAGGGGGCCGGGGAATTGGGAGTTGAGGAGGAGGAGGGTGCGGAGGACGCCTGCGCGGGGGTGTTAGCTAGTTTCTGATGTGAGGGACGAGTGATGGCGGGTGATGGGGTAGTGCACTGAGTGCGATGCGGTGATGATGAGACGCGGGGACACTTACCATCCGGACTCCCAACCGCCTCCGTCAGCGTCAAGTTATAGTACCTCGTCGTCGGCGGCGCATTCACGTCCCACTCCGGGTCGAGCACATAGTCGTCGGGGTCTCTCCCCATCGCGCCCACCGTCGGTGCCGTCGGTGCAGCTGGCGGAACCTCGTCTGCATCAATACCCAGCAGCGTTGGCGTTGGCGTTGGCGTTGGTAGTATCGCCTCGCGGAACGCGGGGACCAGCGGCGAGAAGCTCGAGTAGAGGAAGAGCAGCAGCGGCAGCAGGCTGAGTGCGCCGAGGGTGTAGAGCGTTTTGCGGGCGGTTAGGCGGCGCGGGGTGGTAGTACTAGTGGTGCTGTTGGATTCGAGGAGGGGCTCGATGTCGGCGGCGGTGGGGGTGGTGGACAGCATTGTGGGTTGTGTGTGGGTGGGAGTGGTGTTCACTCTACATCCACGGGCAGCTGCAGAAGAGGAGGCTCAACTGGAGGGAGTATGTACCTTCTCTAGATCTAGAGTAGAGAGATTAGATGCGTGGGGGGGGAGCGAGCAAGAGTGAGTGGGGGGTGGAAGTGTAAGTAGAAAGAGAACCGCAGAGAAGGGCAGACACTTCACAGGGAAACCATCGGAAATGCAGGTTTGCCATACATGCAGTTAGCTAACGCACACCGCGCGGGCTGTGCTGCCGGGGGAAGGAAGAAGTTGGGTGCTTTTCTTAGACCAGACACGCTAAGTAAGCGAGCACCGCACAGCACCGCATGTACATACTAGGGAGGGATACTTGAGAGTGGGCCCTCTACTCTAGATACTCTACATAAGTGGTGGTAAATTGCACTCCCCTCCCCCGTGAGTGAGAGTTGTAAATACCTCTTGGTGAACCACTCAGCGCGAGTGGAATACCTAGAGCTAGAGTAGAGTACCTAGGGCTACACACATACAGGATCTGGGATGCTGTCGTCGCCACCACCACTAGATTTCTGTGCCGTCGTCATCTGTCTCATGCACAAAAACCTGGCTTGTGCGGAGCTATCATGCTCTAGAATAGATAGAGTAAACACATGGCTGATGGAAAGGTAGGCAGATACTCTACTCTACTCTAGAGGTGCACTGTTTACACCCATGGCAGGTACACTCTCCGTAGAATAGAGTAGGTGGGTGGGCAGGTATTGCGCCTCCAGATCTTGACCGGTGCTCGCCCGTCGCCGGACATACCTAGAGTTATATGGAATGCAGAGCCAAAGTAGAGTAGAGTAGAGTAGAGCCGGAGAGCAATATATCTACCACCCAAAATCCCCCCCAAAATCCCACGTACCCTTCGTCGCCCGTTCTCCAAACCCTCCTTCAGCATCTCCAGTCAGTAGTACATACAGTACCTACTCCTACTGCAAACACCACACTCACCAAACCCCCTCCCCCACTACCACCACAATGCACGCCCACCTCCTCCCCTCCTCTCCCTCCTCCCCCTCCTCCCCCACGCCCTCGCCGCCGCCACCGACACCCGCTCCCCCACCTCCTCCGTCCCCGGCAAGGCCTTCTCCCGCTTCGTCACCATCTGGCTCGAAAACACCGACTACGCCAAAGCCGACGGCGACCCCTCACTCACCTGGCTCTCCTCGCGCGGGATCAAGCTCTCCAACTACTTCGCCGTCACGCACCCCTCCGAGCCCAACTACGTCGCCGCCGTCGGCGGCGACTACTTCGGCATCAACAACGACGACGCCAACACACTTCCCGCGAACGTATCATGCATCGCCGACCTGCTCGACGACAAGGGCATCTCGTGGGGCAGCTACCAGGAGGACATGCCGTACTCGGGCTTCACGGGCGCCGAGTACCGCAACCAGGTGACCAAGGCGAATGCCTATGTGCGGAAGCACAATCCGCTGGTGATGTTTGAGAGCGTGGCGGGGGACCCAGAGAGGCTGGCGTTGATCAAGAATTTGACGTGGTTTGGGAAGGATTTGGAGGCCAAGACGCTGCCGCAGTGGATGTTTATCACGCCGAATATGACGTCTGGTGAGTGTGTTTGGATCATTGGTCTCTTGTTTTTTTTGGTTGTTGTTGCTTTTTTGGGGGACTAATTGGGGGGGGGTAATGATTAGATGGACATGATTCTTCGGTTACGGTTGCTGGGTCGTGGACCCGTGCCTTTTTGGAACCGCTGCTGGACAATGAGTACTTCATGAATGTAAGAACCACAGCCCCCCCAATCAACTCTATGGTTTTACAGCTAACAATAATTTCAGGATACGCTTATTCTCGTCACCTTCGACGAGAACCACAGCTACACCACACAAAACCGCGTACTCGGAATCCTCCTCGGAGGTGCCGTACCGGCAAACTTGGTCGGCACCACCGATTCAAACTACTATGGTACCACACCCCCCCCCCCCCCCCCGCGTCTATCTTTCCCACCTTCCCATCCCGGAATCCTGCTAACTGGGTGAAAACAATCAGACCACTACAGCGAGATCGCAACCGTCGAGGCAAACTGGGGCCTCAGCACGCTCGGCCGCTTCGATGTCGGCGCCAACGTCTTTGCCTTTGTCGCAAACGCCACCTCCGACACTATCCGCGCCCCGGCGAACCTAGACAGCATCTACCTGAACGAGTCCTACCCGGGCATCTTCAACGACAAGAAGTGGGGCCCGCAGCCAGCCCCAAACACCGAGCTGGAGCAGAACGGGCGAAAGGTGCTGCAGGCGATTAAGGACGAGTGGGAGGATGACCAGGACCAAACGTACTACACGGGCTCTCTGGAGGTGCCGAGTAGTGCGAACCCGCCAACGTATGGATAAGTCCTTTTTTATTTTTTTATTATTTCTTTTAATCTTGAGGAGGTGGGGGAGTTGCCCGGAGTAGTCTCCCAAGTAGTATGGTCCCCCAAGAATGGGACCAGGGGGTGGAAGACAGAAAGAAAAAAAAAGAATATGTAACCCATAAGTATATCGTAAGAGCAGATTGGTTAACATATCAAAATCGTAAAGATTGACTAGTTCAAACGTGACCTCCTCGAACTCCAGCAGCTCAACATCAACAAACGCACCGACCTCCACCACCTCAAGCGGAGCAAACTCAGCAGGGAAAATGGCAGTCAGCGGAGTGCTATGTGGGCTTGTGGGGACGGTGTGGATGGTCGCCGTTCAGGCAGGGTTGTAACGGTCATACCGTTCGTGATCGTGAATGAGGAAACTATCCTCCGAGAAGAATTTCTTCAACGGTCGTACCAGCACTGTATTGCGGCGGCGGCGGTGCTATTTTACCCGGAGGTTCTTATTGGCCCGGGGGGTATTAATAAGATTGGCAGGAGGTGTAAGCTACATATATTGTAAATATACATATATAAGGCGTTTCCGTGATACCCGGTGGGTAGGGATGAGTAACGGTTATGAATGATATTATGTATCGGGCGCTTGGAGTTGGTTGCTTTCATGTGTTTATGATAATAGACTTTTCCTTTTTCTGAATTTGAGTTTTTGATGCCACCTACATAGAGCACTATCAATCCTGGTTCCCTGCTGCGCATCAGATGCGGAATTTCAAATCGTGCTTTTGTGGTTGGCCGGTGTTCTTATGTCGGTTTGGAGATGGGATTCTGTACATACTAGGTAAAAGACCATACCGTTAATGGGATATCGTGCGGACCCACATGGGAATCCACTTTATTGATATGGGACATCTTGAAATTGTGACTGTGCAGAGTTACGGTCCCGCAATGCTATCGATATGATATCTTGATAACTCGATAGATATCTTAGAAACCTTCCTATCTTGGACGGATTACGTATTCATATAAGGACAATCCAACAGGTAATACGATGGATGGTTCTATTATGGAGGAGGGTGAAAGCCTATCTCTTTATACATAAAGGCGACACGTCTAGTTAGACTAGGCTGTAGACACCGTTACTAGGACCACATTACAGTTCAGGGTGATATCAACCCTATCATAGCGAATGAGATATGTGTAGAAGATGTTGGCCGACGTTATGATTTATCGCTGCCCTAGCTTGCGATTGGAGCAAACCGAACGAAGTCTGAATGGGACACATGCACGACGCGTTATACGTTTTGGACCAGTCCCGATGATCTGTGCATTCCGACATGCGTTTTATGTGAAGAAAAGTATCTCCGAGTGCTCTACCGTTGTGGTTGATGCTTTTAGAACCCTCAATCACAAATAATCACTCGCTGTCCTTTAGTCTCAAAAAGGCGGCACAGCTCTTGGCTCCCCCCATAGGGCGGTTTTACTGTCGACGCATGTCTCTGTCTTAAACCCAACCCCAGACTTGACACCTGTAGCTTCGCAGATGTTTATATTCAAACCTAAGTTCATGAAATGCTCATCCGTGTTTTTTTTCTCTTTCCATGTTCATATTTGATGCGGACTATTCCAGGCGAGCTTAGACAGGATCGAAGTCCTCGGAAAGCTTTTCATTCTAAAGCGAGAAGCGTCACTACAGGAGGAAATCGACGAAAATCCCAGACGTATGTTGTTCGAGCTTGCTGTCCAGACAACTGTACCGCAATGTGGCTTCCAGAATCTCGGCTGATCTAGGTAGGCAGTCAGAACTTGAGCTCGATCAAAGTCTCGCTACAGCTAGTGGATTTCATTCTCTTCCCTTATCTTTATAGCTACATGTGCGCCTCTCGGACCAGAAATAAGCAGTAACACAATTACACACCAAAATGTATCTCTAGACTTAATATCGGTTTACTAAGAGGCTTAACTACGAAAAGAAAGGCCCGGAAAAATATTTGGGTGACACGAGATCGTATCAGTGCAGATGGATCCATGGAGAGATCTCGTTGGAAGGTTGTCGTACAGACACCGAAACCGAAAGAAGTAAATCAAAAACACTGCATAAAACGGGGCAGTAGCACAATCCTCCTACCGAAGATTATTTTGAGCTGGACTTGGCTAGTATTGCATCCGGAATTGACCAGACGTAATGAGACTGTTTGACTGCTTTTGTACTTTGAATTCTCTAATGCTTATCTTTTTTACTCGTGGTAGCTTCTTACACCTCAAGCCCGGATCAGCAGGAGGCAGGATTGAACGCATCATAGCCTTGGCCCAAACAAACCAAATAATCATTGATGCCGGTATATTTGTTTCTCTGGTATATGTATTAAGAGCATCATTACTCATGAGCTATGTAGCTTGGTACAACCTCAACTACGCCCGAAAAACACAATCAATAAACATGACTGAGGAAATTCATAAATCATTGACCCTTTGATAATGTACCCCTCATTTAGTTTACCTCCCGCTCCCACGCTCCTCGGCCAGAAGTGACCCATCATCCATATTCTCCTCTACCTCCTCCTCCACGGCAGCACCCTCATGGGGCACCAGCGTCTCCCCAACGTGCCGAAAATGTCTATCTGAATACATCAAGCTAAACACCTCCTCCAGCCCAGTCCCAGCCACATACTTCTCCTCAGCGACAACATCCACCTTCGTAACCTTCCCCACCCACAGCTGGTGGTCCTCAATCTGTATAGTTCTATGCGTCTCGCACTGCAGGCGGAACATGACATCATCCTCTCTCCCCAGCAGCGGCGAGCCAAAAGTGGCATTCGCCAGCGTAATCTGGCTCTGGGTGAACGAAAACGGGGAGATCTTTGTGGAGTTTGTCGCGCCCAGCTGCGCAAACTTGCTGGCGAGGAACGCGGATCGCGGCGAGGGCCGCAGGATGTGGACGGCGAAGGACCCGGCTTTGGTCATTGTGCTGGCTGCCGAGGAGGGCGTCTTGATGTTGAAGGAGACTAGCGGGTGTGGGTTGAGAGAGAAGCAGTTGAAGGATGAGAGGGTTATGCCGCGCCATGTCTGTGGGGAGCTTGAGGTTGCGGATGTCACTATCACAACTTTGATAAAGGAAAGAAAAAAAGTATTAACGATCAATCTAATTAGACACTTTGAGTAAGGGAAAGAGATAAAAGGGAAGAACACCTGGGTGTGGTATTTTCCGCATTATATTCCGAAGCGCTGAAGAAGTCTCATTAGAAGCTTGGGGTGGTGTTCCGGAGGTGTACAAGCGGGTATTCCGCAGCTGTGATAGTGGGGTACATATCGCTACCTTTGGCGCGCGAGAGCACACAAAAGACACCACCGGGCCCTGGGGGAGCCCCCGCTGGAGTAAAATACGAGGAGAGAGTGCTGAGTTCATTGGGGTTGTGGGCGGACTTATCGAGGCATTCGTGGTGGTCGTTGGGGGTTCAAGGTAATGTGACGTAAAGTATACTTGAGCGAAGTGAGGAAAAAAAGTTGTGTGAAACAACGAGACCCCCGACAACCTCCCTCTCGCCCACACAGCTTATCTACCACTCATTACATACGCCACGGCACAGAAGCGGGGGCGGAAAGACATAAAACTTGGGCGCTGGAACAGTTTGGAGATATCCGGAGCGAATCTATTGGAGGAATGTCAGTGCGCGCTTCCAGTCGGTTACTGCGTCAATCAAGACGATTCGGTGCTGGTGGTGGGGTCGTCGGATTACCGTCAGTAGGAATAAGAGCCGCATCAACAACAGCTCCTTCTTCTCCTCCTTCTTCTTCTTCTTCGGCTGAAGGTATCGCGGAATCGCCGGCAGGTACTTCGGGCGCCGTGAAGGAAAATGTATACAACCCACGTCCGCCGCCGGTATCGCCTCTTATGGACGAAAATAAATACATGCCAATGTCACGGCGCCTTCCGCCAAAACCCCAGCGACCGAGGGGAACCGAAATCTTGTCTCCCAGGGAAGAAGCATTGAAGGTTAACCCGTACGGTATGGGTTTCCTGCCTATCTTCCCTTGTGGAAATACTAAAATGCTTTGTGTAATCGATAGCAAAAATACTAGCAACAGAAGTCCGCAACGAAGTCGATTTCCACCGAAGACTACCATCATGGTTCCTCATCCGCTTCGCAATACTCAAGCACCCAGAAACAGATGAGATGTATCTTGTTCCAGACAGAATCAAAGAGGAGGCGCAGAGGCAGACTTTCACGGCTGGGAGATGGGCCATCAATAATATGCGGCTATTCAATCTGCTTGAGGAAAGGAAGAACTGGCGAAAGCTCGTCGGCCATGATATTGACGGCCGTAAGATGGTCTGGAGGAAGAACATGGCAGATCACGTACTGAAGATTACCCGGGAGAGGGTTCGTCTGGAAATGAATAAGTTACAGCGGCGGGAAATTGTAGAGATTCCATGGGAATTTGAGGGCGAGGGCGAGGTTGGTTGTGTCTTGGATTGGAGCAAGGATGACTGGAGCAAAGAGGAAGCTTATCAAGACAAGGAATGTTTGACGATGGTACAGGGAAAATCCGTTCCTTTGCATCATATGCAGACACTCCTGGGGGATGAGATAGCTTCGGAGATTCAAGTGAAGTTAAGGATTCCATATGGAGTCACTAGGAGTGGGATATTACTTCACGAGAGATCAATGAAGGCACAGATGTGGTTGATGAAGATAAGAGCCTATTTGGGCACTTATTGAAATCTAATATCCTTTTATCCTATAAGGTTTCAATACTATCTCCCCGTTATTTCAAGCCAGTACTCTAAACATAGCCACACATTTATACCCTAATACCCTTTTTTGGGAATTTGCTCTTAATTAAATAATGATCATGTACTATCACTCGATGTGACTACTCTTCTTTAGTCGCTTTATCTTGGTCCGTAGAATCTTACAAATACATGTAAGTCAGCTGGTAGACGGGGAAGCGGTCGCAATGTTGCAATATAAGTAGCATTTGTTAATGGTAATTAACGTTGGAGAAATTGAATCATAAGGGATCACTCTTCTTTCTCGATCACCAAGGATCATGCAGCGATCTTAATCATAATCACACAGCCACATACATGTACATAGCATGATCATTCCATATATATGGAATATACTTACATATAGTCAGCGTTGTACAAATACATTATTATCTTTAGCACAGCAGTGGTTACACTCCTCGATGTTAAAGATAACAGATCGGTAGTTGAGTCGACACGTATCCTGGATAAACGTATTATCGACGACCCACGTGAAGACCCTCTGGGCCAGCACCACCATCGTCGTCAACCTCCTACTTTCTCAATTGATAAGGGCCTCATGCTATTCTAAAACAACAACCTAGCTTGCTAAGGGAAATCTGTAAGTTCTACTCTACCTCTACTAGGTATCGTATGTACCCTACACGCCAAGAGTGATACCCAGCTGTTGTTTCACATGGTCTGCATCCCACATACCGGACTCCTAACGCACTTTTCGGCAGGCCGCATTTATTAAAGTGGAAAGAACACCAAGCGATCACCAACACGTAAGACAGTCTGCGGAATCTGACATTGTAGTACCGGACGCAAATAGGAAGTAGTTAGCCGGAGTTCAGCTCTAAAACAAATCATTGCAGCGCACGTGAACATTCACCTGAAGACAACAACAACCCACATTTCCTCTTCACACTTCTCAGCTTTCTATCAGCTTCACAACTACTATAGTAAATAATGGCAGACAATACCGAAGAATCGACCAAACATTTCAGAGACGGTACCGACGTTTATACAAAGCTCTGGAAGGTTAGCTACATCGAAAATTACTATCTTTCCTAGTCTTCTGCTGATAACCAAATCTACATAGACCACTTCCGAGCCAGTTGCCCATATCTTCTTTCTTCATGGATTTTCCGATCACTGTAATATTGACTATCACAATATTCTATCATAATTGCAATTCTAACTGTTACCTATTCTAGGCAATGCGTATTATACATTCCCGTCATTTATGGCCTCCCGTGGAATTGAGCTATTCTCGTTCGACCAGCGCGGCTGGGGACGTACTTCTCCCTTGAACAGCCAATATGGTCATTCCGGTGGAACGTCACAAATACTAGCCGACATTGACGACCTACTCTCCAGCCGACTAGCAGAGCGCCCGAATATTCCTTGTTTCCTGGTTGGCCACTCGATGGGTGGTGGTATTGCATTAACTTACGCACTCCAAGGTAGCCACAAAGATAAACTCGCAGGAACTATTGTGTGGAGTCCTATGCTTGAGCTTGCAGATAAGCCGCTGGCGCTTGCGGTCTACGCTGGCAAGTTTGGGGCTAGAATTATGCCAAATAAGCAGATGGTGCAGAAGTTGCCAGCGGAATACATGAGTAGAGACAAGAGCGTTTGTGATGATTTTGCCAATGATCCGGTTCATCCCCCCTTCTCCTAGAATGCTTGCGCAACTGCTGACGAAATCCCCTAGCTGTGCCACGATACCGGTACCTTAATTGGTATCTCAGATATGTTAACTCGTGGAGAGAATCTTATGAAAGCCAATTTCAGCGCCGGCTTTACACCCGATAAACCTATCCTAGTCTTGCATGGTTCTGGTGACAAGGTAACCACATACATAACTATCTACATATGTACTTATAAAATATTCCCCTTATAACTGACCACAATTTCTGCTAGGTTACAAGTCACGATGCTTCCAAGAAGTTTACCGAAGACTTGTTGAAAATCAAGGATAAAACATTCTCCTCATACGATGGATGGTATCATAAAAGTTAGTTTCCGTTTTCGCCCGTTTGTCTGTTTCTGAATTATTGATCTGATTTTGCTATAGTGCATGCGGAACCAGGCGAGGATAGGATAACATTCGCGACGAATGTTTCGGACTGGATTCTCGCTAGAGCCACTCCTGGGGCAACATCGAAATTGTAATAAATACACGTGTGTGGGGGGGAAATTCCGATATGCGGGCTTTTCATTAGTATTGTTTGTTTGTTTATATATGTGTTAAGCACATATTATTATGGTGATTGACAAGTTGCCGATATATCTAAACACTGGAATCCTACAATTCTACTTGTTACTGGACAGGTTTTTCCAATAGGTTTTTAATTTAACTGGCCGGTTCTCAATGCTAGCGCATAATTGGACCCAAAGGTTGGGAGACGAACATCTCGGGGTGACAACATACATGTAATCTTAATCGGACTCGTGAGTGATCTAATCGGTGGAAAAAGTGTACGAGTGAGAGCCTATGATTTACCAAGACACAGCTTTTGACTTGGTGAACAAAGATAATGAAACCTAACTCTGCAAAACTGATAATTCAATCGACTCCAGATATCACGCGTCCCACAACCCCTACTATAACCAATCGCCCGAAAACACCAAAAACATGAAATTCAGCAAAATGCTATATATACTACATGTAGTACAAAATGACATGCTAATCTCAACTCAGAAAGAAAACACCTCCTGTCGCACTCTCTGGTCCTCTGCAAATCACAATGACCGTGAATAGTACCAATATCCGGACAAAGCCCAGACACAGCACATCATAAAGCGTACATAAAACTCAAAACACGTGGATTCGTTCCAAAAAAATGTACCGAATCGTATAATCAGCTTCTCCTCTCTGGAATAAACACTCCCATCAACCCAGGAGGTGGAAAGCTAGTTGCAATTTGTCCCAAAGACCCGTGTCCGCTATTGTTTCCAATATCGTAGTGAGGGTTTTGTAGAGACTCGGAACGCTCAAGCTCTGACATATTTGTGATGACGCTACCATCGGAAAAGATGGACATGGAGCGTTCGCGGTTATTCGGAGTAGAGATGGGGGCGTGTTGATTCTGCAAGACCAATCCAGGGGGGGTGGCTACATGCATAGAGCCGTGGTTGCTGTGGATACCATCGGGAGTGGACGGAGGGAGCTGAGATTGTTGCTGTTGGAGAAGTGCAGCCTCGGATGCACGATAGGCCGCCCAGTTTTCCTGAGACTTGAGGTGATGCTCGTGCATTTTGACTTCCATGCGGTAGATTGCCTCAGTAAACTCTTTTTCCAGCGAGGTGCGGTGAGCCTGGAGAGCCTCCCTTCCCAATTGCCTCTTTTCTCTGGCCTCGGCTTCCTGGGAAATCTCTTGACCGGCTTTCTCGAGGTCGGCACGCAGCTTGGTGAGTTTTGCGCTCAACCTCTCCTTTTTGGTCGCAAGAGATGCTGCTTCAGATTCTACAGCCTGGGCTTGACGATCCGCTGCAGCTTTGGCTTCGCTGGCTTGGTTCTGTGCTGTGAGGAGTCGATTACGCTCTTCGCGCCAAAGCTTCTTCTTCTCCTTCCACTCGGCCTTCATAGTCTCGGGTACATTCCCCAACTCTGCCAACTCCCGCAACATTTTCTCATTTTCTTCCTCGGCACGCTTGATAGCTTCTTTCAAGGCTAAATTCCTACGGAAAGCACGTTCCTCTCCTCGATCATTCCCAAGAAGGGATCGGTGCTTTTCGATTTCTTTGCGGATATCACTCAATGTACCTTTGTGGGTTTTCTTAACGACCTTAAGTCGGTTCTTTTGTTCGAGTAAACAAGAATTTGCTTGTGCAAGGGTATTGAGAAGGGTGGTGATTGGAGATAGAGGGCGTGATGGCTGTTGTTGAGTGTTGGCAGGAGCAGCGGCAGAAGAGGCTAAAACTAAGTCAGAACCAAGTTCAATCAATATCTGATTATCAATGTACATACCCTGAGCGGCGGGAATTGTGCAGGCGCTTGTCTTGTAGACCACCTGCAATCCCTTCCTCACAAATTCGAAATCGTACTCAGTTGCACCGGTGAGCCCGGTAATATCAATAGTCCATTCGTCTTCGGTAACTCCCATGACCTCTCCATTTTCTCCGTCGATATCTCCAGATCCGGTAGCTTTGTAGATATCGGTCTGTGGCCACACAATGCCATTTACTCGGACAAATAATGGGAATGTTCCATCTTTACCACTACCGTCAGTGCCATTGGTCACAACACCGTTCATACCATACATCTCCTCCCCACCACTCTTCGCTCCAAAAAAGCTTGCAGAAAAGCCAATATCAGTTGACCCAATCTTTGTTATCCATATCCTCACATCTTCTCCGTTGGATAACGCTGAATCGTTGGTGGCTCCGGTTTCGATTGGGTTCGAAATCGATGCTTCCGACGATATTTGAGATTGCTCTACTTCTTTTGCAATATGGACTATGGCACTGGCCATAGTCGCCCATAGTGGTTGATTGTCTCGGATATGTTGTATTTGGTTTTTCTTTTTTCGCCTGCCACCGGATGTCCCAGCAGTACTGCTTTCGCGCTCGAGGGGCTGTGATAATGCCCCGGCAGCAGCCTCTGGATCTTTGTCTTTTTGTTTTCCTAGCGGGAGTGGTTCTTTTGAATTTGTAAGATTTGGTGACGATGCATCTGTCGTGTCTGGTCTCCCGATCAACCATCTCCTGGTCGCCCTCATAACACCCTGCGCAACAATATGGATCGCAATAGCGCTACGAATCCATCCCGCAGAAGATCCTATCCTACCTACAAGTTCCGAAGAAGGGCCTCCCAAAAACGATTCCGAGTGCGGCTGTATACCATCCCACGCATCCGACAATTTGAACCTTCCTTGGACCACCTTGACTCCACCCATCACTCCAGCACAGACAACAGCGTTTCTGAGAGTTCCCCCACTTTGGGTTGCATGCCCGGCACCCATTGAGATGGCAATGACTGCCTGGGCAAAGTCTATCAGGAAGACACGCGCAGATGGCCAAAGAAACATTGAAAGAAGGGCCACAAGGATATCTGCAAAAATAATTGTGAGAAGTGAAGGTGCACCATTTGATCCTTGTAGCAGTAGATTTGTGAGTGACGGTAGAGACGAGGTGGTCGAGGCGCTTAGTAAAGTTGTTGATGGTGGCACGAAGGTTAGTGATGCGAAAAGAAAGTGAATGATCGTGAGGACAGTAGATGGCAGTTGCAAGAAGATGATCAGAAGAGTGATAGTGTCCAATAGGGGAAAGGACGAAAGTACAGTCGAAGGAACCCCGCTAGTCATGACTGTTGTCTTTCCGGAAGGGTTGATATCGATTTGACGGTGTTCGGCCGTACCAGCACCATTCACGCTATTCTGGAAACCCTCACTCAGATCGCTCTCGAGACCGTCTGAATACCTCCTCCCAGGCGCCTTCCCGTCCCATCCGTTCGCATACCCGTTTGTGACTCCCCCATTCGCAGTTGCAGGCTGAAATTGACTGGCTGCAGCCGCAACTTGTTGACTTGGTGAGGGATTCGGAGAAGCCGTAGTGGACACAACAGAGCCGTTGCTCGTGGAGCCTGAGCGAGAGGGACGCTTTACAGGCGGAACAAGACCATTACTGTGGTGATGGTGCAGGCCCTGGCGTTTGGAAGACGAGGCGCCCGCTGAACTTCGTGGCATCGGCAGCTGGTTTATTCTTTGGATGACCCAGACCAGCTCCGAGCCTGTGTCAACCAAAATGACACAAGGCGAGAAAGGCTATTGGGTTAAACAACGACGCGATAAATTGATATGGTGTAGTGAGGACGGTGAGTAGAGTGTAACAAGAGAAAGAGAGATGGAGGAGCGGGGAAGTGAGAGGATAATGGGGAGTAAGAGTGGCGTGTGGGGGTTTGTGGTGAATGATTGAGGAGGGAAAGGAAATGTTTGTAAGGGGGAGAGTCAGCGTAGGTGTACTCTCTCTACTTTGGTACTGTACTCAAAGAAGGCTGGCAGCACCGTTTGAAATGCGGCCACAAACCTAGGATTAGAGTAGAGTCAGTCCCTACTACCTACGGGGTGAAGGCGGATCCTGTCTAATGGTGGTCAGGGATTTGAAGCCAATAAAAGAGCTAGGTTTTGGACGCCAAGGGCAAATTACTGCAAACAGAACCATCAGATAGGATCCGCCGTCAGTAGGTGAGCGACTGTACTTAGGTATTCTTTATGCATGACCCCGATTGTCTGAAACAAACCACATCCACCAGGGGCCATCCAGTATCGACATGTATCTACTGGGTGCTGACAAGGCAGGAATAACATGCCCCAGGTTTTGCATGCAGGATATCTTACGCTACGTGGAGTACCATTTGGCACTTACCGGTGTTTTGTTTTGGAACCTCACCCCCATAAACTCCCTACTCGTGATCATAAAAACGTTTATAGACTAGCATAAGCCATATATCTTAGTGAGTATTTTACAAATATCAGTAATAGGCATCACAATGCAGAATGCGTTTACTTCGCGGGCTTACTTTACTCCAAAGTACAGTATGCGTGTCTGTCTGTCTGTATTCTTCTGCCTGTGAGACTTGAATCTAAATCTCCGAATGCCTGATCCATCGATCTATCCTTCTTCGTTCCCTTTGGTATTAGGGTAGTCCGGTATCGTATCCGCGATACATTACGCCTTGGTACTGGAACAATGTTCACTTATGCTCATACACTTCGGAGAAATTTTTAAATTTGGAGGCTTATACTAACGTCTCTCCCCCCTGCCAGTGCACAACTACATGTACATACACACAACAGATCATAGTACTCTAGAATAATCCCAAAAAGCACACCGGTGAATACGCCTCACAATTAAGCATCTCTCTGCGTGAGCACGATTAATCATCTCAATCCGCTCAGGTATGAGTGGGGCGTTCATCCATAATCTCACTTTAACCTGGTGAGAACCAAATTGCAAACCTCATTAACAAAAGAGAGAAAGGGAAAATTTCTTCAAGTTTATCCTTTCCGCTCACGAGACCAGCCGAGAACTTTGAGGACCTGTTAACAACTTTACACCCCTCCTCTGCTCCTTCATGCCCCATCGGGGTACCGGACGGTGTCCTCGGTCGATTATAGCCATATGCAGGTAGCCCGGTCGGGCTTAAATCTCCACACAAGGACAGATCCCGGTGCAAAGCCCTTCTCTCTCTCTCTCTCTCTTTTTTTTCCCTTCCCTAAAGGTATGACAAGCAAACCCAAACCCTAGACAAAAAGGCAAACACCTTCCCTCTTCCCCGCGCCTCCCCGTGCATGAAAGATTGCCGATATTTGGTTCCATGTGAGGGGACACAAATGACATGATGCCTTAATGAATAACCAATTTGTCCCCTCTTTTGGTGGGGCGAAAGCTTTTAGTTTTGCCGGACTCCACAGATGCCAAAGGGGGAAAAAAATCAACAAAGAAAAAAAGTCTTCTGGATGTATTAACGCGGAAAGTCCACGCTTTAGAGATGCAAAAAAAGTCCGCGATACCCCCTGTAAAACACAAGAATACCAAGCATTTCGTCGATCCACTGGAAATTCAATTCTTGCACACCCTTACAATCGTCGATTCCTGCCCCTCTCCTGGCTCTCCACTTCCAACGTTACCCCTCTATGTCATGATGGAGTAAATTTTTCTTTTCTCACCAAGAGCCCCGCCCGGGTTTCTTTCCTTTTCATTTTACTCCACGTAAATCTGATTTCAAGCGATTGGATCGGCTAACTCCCGGTGACGATGCAGAAGCGTGCAGTGGTGCCACGTATGAATAATGAGCTTGTTTCTAGCAAAAGGAAATAATAAATCTCTGTCAGGAATGTTCCAGTTGCTGAGGCTTCAAACAGAGGAGATGAAGCTCTACTGGTTGCAATTTCACCAAACGGCAAGCCGCAATACACGAGCACCGTTATCGGATAAACGCCCCACCCGAGGTCCGGCTCCTTTACGAGCAGAGAAACCCTTACCCTGGGAATCTTAAAGTCGGGTAGACGACTTGTGCAACATCTGAGCACTGCAGGAGATCTTCCCGCTGCATCGCGAGCCTAGGTCTGAGAGCGTAAGTTACGATAGTGTAACCCATCTACTTTTTAGTTCTTTACAATACCGGCATTGAGACCGGCAGCTAGAGTACCGCAGAAACTCGCCAACTTGATTATCTCCGTGCAGGGATTTCTTCATTGATGATTGGCTGAAAGGCAGAGATCAGCTTCAGATATTTCCTCTACAAGTTAGTTTTTAGTCAGATCCGCTAGCAAAGTTCGTGAGTTTTTGCGGTACTCTAAATGAACTCTACCAGCAAACTTTGATAAGGATTAGAATTTTATACCGGGCGGGCCCTATTCACTACAATCAAGTGGGGTTTTGTGCTGAGCAAGAATATAGCGATGTTACAAGTTGTGCTTTTCAAGTGTTGCTCGGGCATGATCCCTTTTCTGATTAACCCGGTGCCAGTCAATAAGGTCCTTGAAGTCCAGTGGATCTAGAACGTCGAGGTTTGGGGGTTACAATCGTGGTAGATCCTCAAGGGCTTATATAAATGTCAACAAACAATATTCGCTATGTATCCCTGAGTAGAGTTGGAGTGCATTGCCCAGGATATCCTTTCCACAACCGTTGGCCAGATTTAGTATAGATAGATTACCTATCATTGATTCTGGATACTGTGATCGCACGTACGTTTGCCTCCAAGAGTAAATGCGTCAGGCTTCGTCTTGGCCATAAGAGGATCCGCGACGAAACGCTGAAGTTTCGGGTTGAAGACCTATTACAGTTGGTCTTTACCCCGATCTTCGATTCTTACTTCCTAGATCCTGTGGGCCGACGTCTACGCAGCCTAAGATAAATGTTTATCCTCATGGATCAATTGGGCTAGCTAGTCCTTGCTATGCGCATGTTTGTGTGTCTATTACACCGTTATGCAAGACCACCAATTAACAAAATAGTAATGGAAGAATTACAGGCTGAAATCCCTTTCGGTATACAGTATGTAGAGACATACGTAGGTGACGGATCAAGGTGGAACCCGGACATTGGCAGGGCCGTACTCGTACCCGTACCCGTACCCGTACCACAGTGGTGGCATGTGGGGGGGCCTACCTAAGGATATATGAAATCCATAGCCACCAGAGGATAAGAGGATTTGACCCTTGACATGGCCTTATGACTCTAATTTAGCTCGCCTCATGAAGGGTAACACGGCTTACTTCATACACGATCACTCGGCAAACAAACTCCTAGCGTGATTATACTAAGAGGGAATCCTCTTTCGGGGGGTGCAGGGGAGCTGTTTCTACTCTAGCTAGTTTTCTATCCGCCGAAAGCCAACCGCTGCCACGCCGTCCAGACGAACGACAATTGAGAACGGTATCATCAAACCTAGTTAACCCTGCACTGTAGAGTATGTCTTCTCTCCCCTCTAGTGTGTCGTCCTTGAGATTTAATAAATTTGTAGTGGTAGGTAATGCCACGCAAACATATGCGCAAGTAGGCTTTTTACAGCGTGAGTCTACGTGCTACGGATGTACGTACATGTGGTTATACTTTGAGGTTGCCACCCCCCCCCAAAAAAAAAATCCACTGGTACCCCGGAGGTGCTGTTCCAATTACCTTTCAAATGTCAAGAATTTTATCAAACCGGCATCGTATTACGAGTACTAGTTCCACTATTGAATCTCCATTAAACATCAAACAGGACAATAAAATGCACAAACATTATAACCAGATGGGATTAAATAATCGCTAAATGAATACCGAACTGTAGAATAGATATAAATACAACTCCTCTTTTGCCGCAGTTTTTTTTTTGCTTGCTAAAGAAGTAATACTCAGTACTGAAACTCAAGTTGTAAGTGAATGATGGAATAGAGGATAAAAGGAAAAGTAAAGGTTGAGAAGAAGAAATCCTGAGAAACATCCACGCCGAAAAGGAAATTTTAAATATAAAACCCTCCTGGACGCCCGCCCCGTCCTAATTTCCACAAGAACAAAAAAAAAAAAGAAAAAGAAGGAAAAAGAAGGAAAGCCTTCATCACCAAGATGTAAGGAAACAATACTGTCAACATCAGACGCTAACTCTCTTTGCACATAACTCCTACAAAAAAACAAAAAAAACAAAAAAAACAAAAAAAACAAGATACATCTAATCTGGCTCCATTTTGGTTTATCGTATTTGCTGGAATGGATCCAACGCTATACTCATACGGCCCTCATTCTTGTTTTTTGCAAAGCAGTTCCAGAATCGCAATGTCTCGTCGCCGGCACCGGTAACAATGACTTGTCCATCGGGTGACATCGCTAGGTATAACACTCTGTAGGTATGCCCCGTGAGGCTGACAACTTGTGTCATGCTAGGATATTTCCAGACAACAATTTGATTTTCGGAGTATCCGTGCGTGCTGACAATCTCATTTGAGTTTTTACTCCACGCAAGGTTGCAAACTTGGCTTCCGGTATCGATTTCACTTATAGGCTGTCCCGTTAAGGTGTTCCAGAATTTTATTCTTCGGTCCGCTGTACCCCCACCTGATGCTAACGTGCCGTGCTGATGGGGTGACCATGCAATCGCTTTTACTGCTGCTGTATGCTCTGTAAACTTGTATAGCGGTTGCTCACTAAGTTTGTCCCACACGAAAAGTTTGTTGTCGTTCCCCCCTGATGCTAGTTGTCCGTCTTCACAATTCCATTTTAACCCACAAACTTCCTGCTTGTGGCCTACAAGTTTTGCGATATGTTGATCAGGCGCACGGACATCGCGATGATATATTGTTCGGTCACGTGAACCGGATGTCAAGATATGATCATTCCAGGCAAGAGCACCTAACAAGTTAGTACAGAGTTCATATGAGGCATGTTTAGAAGACTTACCAACTCGAGCTGTGTGTCCTGTCATTACTCGTAACCGGCGGCACTCCTTCGCATCCCATATCTGGACATATCCTTTATTTGTCCCTATTGCAACATGTGATCCCTGAATAAATTGTGTTAGCCTAGTCATGAGATGGGTTAGTGGGGGAATATCAATCCCGTACTCTTTGTATCCAAGAAACGCTCGTGACTTTATCATCTGTCCCCAAATCGCATAGTTTTGTTACCATTCCTGAGGCCGAATTCCACATGTAAACACAACTGCCCAGACCTACACCCAGAATATTTGTGCTCCCCCAATCCACTAGATTTAGATAAAAATCATCTGCCAGTTCGGGCGCATCAAGTACCTTATATGGTACTTTACTTACAGCCCTTGGTTGTTTTCTGGGTGATAGAAGCATTCGCTGACTGTCGAACCTAACAGGGGATAGGGAGTATATTTCAGATCTAGTATCAACGTTGGGTCCATGTCGGGTTTGAGGAGTCCGTGTCTTTGGTGACATATAAGTAAAAAGGTTCTTTGAAGGCGTGGCGGGGGTGTTGGTCGAGCTGTTGGTCGCAGGAGGTGTTGGTGCGCGGGCAGAATCGCGGGCAGAGTTACGAGTTGTTAGTGATGATGGTGAGCCCTGGGGAATCTCATTGTGGAAAAGCTCAGAACGGAGGAGCGTTGAAAAAGTCCGGTTGGCTTCTTCGGCTGTCGATAAGAACATACATTAGTACCACCACCCGATAGCAAGGCATATAGGTAAGCATACTCTTTTGAAAATGGAGCTCGCCATGTGGTGTTCTTTTCTTTGGTTTCGAAGGGGTTGAAGGCGAACCATCGGCATGCAGCAAGCTGTAGCTAGCTTGCAAATCCACCCCTTCGCGATTCGGTATAAACCTGGAAGACTTCAATCAACTTCAATCCCTCATAACTAGCCTTCCTAGGCGACCCAAATAATTCCCATGAACAACAGGCCACGCACCTATCACCGTAAACTATCCGCTGCCTCTTCCTACTTGGTGATGGAGCCGGGACCGGGGATGCGACGGCGTCACTCAGGGCTGCCCTCAGCGCATCAGCATCAGGGCCATTAGAGAGCCTTGGAGCTGGCGATTCAGTAGGAGATTTAGGCTTTGCTGCGTGTCGAACCCGATTCTCGAATTCCGACCCTCGCATTGTGGTGGGGGTGAGGAAAGAGAAGCAGAGAGCTAGCGGGGGCTACTGCAAGCTAGCTCGCTGAGGGGCAGTGGCGATGGGTTATATAGCCCAGAAGCTTGTTAATCTAAGGTATAACAAGCTGGATGACTATTAGTGATAGGTTGTGGATTGGATATAGCGTTGATGTTGTGGGTGAGGGGTGATGGATGACAGGTGATGGGAAGCGATGGGGGGGCTCGGGTGTTGTAACTTGTGGGTTGAGCGATGATGAGTGAGGTCGCGGTTGCGAAAAGTAAACAAAAACGCAGGACGTCCCAACCGGGAAATCGGCCGCCCCTGTTTGGTAAGTGCTGCGTTGTGCACCCGGCGTTGTCCGGGGAACGCTACAAAAGGCGACTGGAGGGAGAGGTACATTGTTGTTTCAGCGTATCTTTGATACTGCACTACACGACAATGTATGTATTACGTATATATACTGACAGTTGTAATAACTTTTACGAAAGAATCAATAAGAGACTTGGTTTTTGGTTTCTAGATTCATGATTCTTATGATCAGGGCTTACTACATGTATGTTAATGTTGCCGCCGCTCTAACAAAACCGTTTGTTGTCATTTTAATTTCCTCATGAACGAATCCAAGAGATAAATGCGCTGGAAAAAAAACTACAAACCATTTTCTTGATTTAATATCTTCTCATTATATTCCTCTCTCGTGATTAATGTTTATTTGTTTGTTTATGAGCAGCTCTTTACAATTTTTGATGCTCAAGTCGAGAAAGCCTAGATGCAGTTCTCTAAGTGCTGAGGAATTCAATACCAAAACACACCTACTATTTTCTGGATCAATGGCGAACCCGAGTCAATGGCGAATGACTAGCGGGGGTAGTAAATCGTGCAAATGCTGTCTCACCCGCAGGGTCCTCACTCGCGTATTTTTATTTTCATGTAAAACGGCTAGAATCTTTCCTTATCTGGTATTTATTCTGTCTACTACTATTTATTTTCTTTACCCAGCATTGTTATCTCTTTATCAAAGAGTTACTCTAGATATCCCTGGACCATACTCGCGTCAGGGAAAAAGAACCAGAACATGCAAGTGAGAAAGCAGGGATTATTTGTATGGAGTGGCGCTGAGCTGACATACAAACTAGGCACTTGCATGTTCTGGTTCTTTATCCTAGACGTGAGTACATATAGGCATTAGATGAACCAGCTCCGATTAGATTGACGCTCGGTCCAATGTCTTGGCTCCCGCATGCTTGACATTTACACCAACCCCACCTTATCTTCCCCGCACATTCCATATCATCGTGAACATTCAGAATACCAGTAACCATGACTTCTAGCTCCCGAAAATACGCTCTCGAATTTCTGTCGTATGTCAATGCATCACCAACACGTGAGAAGCTCCAAAAACTTCATTTTTTGAACATTTTGACTTATCAACAAATAAATTAGCTTTCCATGCTGTTGAGTCCTCAAAACAGCTTTTGAAAAAGGCTGGATTTATCGAAATTAAGGTTTGAAATAGCTTGGCAAGGAATCTATATGCAAAAGAAGCTAACTATTTGTTGTAGGAGCGTGAGCCTTGGGCTCAGTGTGTTGAGAATGGTGGTCGTTACTTTGTGACTCGAAATGGCTCCTCTATAATAGCTTTTGGGGTGGGAAAAAAGTGGAAAGTATGCGAATCTCTATCTTAATTGGTTATTTTTGATAGATTTGACTTTCTTGGGATGGATAGCCAGGTAATGGAATGGCGTTGCTTGGAGCTCACACAGATTCACCGGCCCTGCGTATCAAGCCAGTCTCCAAGAAGTTTGCAGAGAACGGATCTTTCTTGCAGGTGGGAGTTGAAACATATGGAGGTAGGCTTATATTAAATCCCATCAAAAATCTTATTATTTTTGGAGAAGGGTAGTTTCCACTAACTAGTTTTCATATAGGTGGACTATGGCATACATGTGAGCCAGCATTAGCCCATATTTCGACTTATTACGCCCAGTCATGCAAAATTAGATAGTCTTTCAGTCCTAATATTTACCAGGGTTTGATCGCGATTTGTCCATTGCTGGGCGCGCAATGGTCCGCCATTCGAATGGTAGCATCGTCTCGAAGTTGATCAAAATCGATCAGCCTATCCTGCGGATCCCTACCCTTGCTATCCATCTGGACCGCCAGGAGACCTTTACGTTCAACAAAGAGACGCAGTTGTTCCCAATTGCCGGCCTTGCTGCTGCCGAGCTTAACAAGACGGCGGCCGACAATTCTTCGGCCGAGAAATCGGGGTCTGATGGCGACTTCAAGCCTTTGGCATTGATGACAGACCGTCACCATCCTATGATCATCGATCGTATTGCAAAGGCGGCGGGTGTTAACGCAGAGGATGTCCTTGACTTTGAGATGATTCTTTATGATACTCAGGAGTCTGTTCTCGGCGGAATCAATGATGAACTGATCTTTTCTCAAAGGCTCGATAACCTCACTATGTCCTTTTGCGCAACTGTCGGTTTGATCGAATCCATCGGAGATGAGAAAGCTCTTGAGGAAGAATCAGGCATTAGATTGATTAGTCTGTTCGACCACGAAGAGATCGGCTCACAAACGGCACAAGGCGCTGATTCTAACTTCCTCCCTGCTATCATACGCCGTCTGTCGTCCGATGCCGCGACAGCTTTCGAGGAGACATTGATCAAGTCAATGCTCTGGTCATGTGATATGGCACATTCTGTGCATCCGAATTACCCCGCGAAATACGAATCTTCCCACCGTCCAGAAATGAACAAAGGTCCTGTCATCAAAGTCAATGCTAATGCGCGCTATGCCACAAACTCACCGGGTATCGTGTTGACAACAGAGGTGGCAAAGATGGCAGGTGTACCGCTACAATTGTTCGTAGTTAGGAATGACAGCTCTTGCGGATCAACCATTGGTCCAATGTTGAGTGCTGCACTTGGTGCAAGAACTGTGGACATGGGTAATTGCCAGTTGAGCATGCACTCTATCCGTGAAACCGGGTACATACACACACAAACCCCTTATAAGCCCGACTGTAGAAAAAACAAGAATAAGAGCTAACAAGATATTACTAATATCATAGAGGAGCTCACGATGTTGAACATGCTGTCAAGCTGTTCAAAACTTACTTCAATAACTTCTCTCAACTGGAGCCGAAGATCCTGGTTGATTCTACCACATAAGCTCACTGCATTCTCTGGGTCCAAACTAGAAGCAGATAATTATGGGCCTATTGAAAAAATCGTAAGCACACTGGTTGAGAGACAATATAGTAGGTGCTTTTGTTGAAGAAATAAATTGGCTATTCTCAATTTAGTTGCCTTTCACAATCCATAGATTTTTAAACTGTGGCCAGGAGACTTAGTAAAATAAACATCAGATATGAGAGTTCCATCCCCTTACCGGTACATATTATGCCTTTGGGTAATACGTTGGGTAGACGTAGCCACTGAAGTATTAAATAGATTCATGATCTATCACTCGCTTACTTCAACTGGAATGAATCTGAGGTTTTTTTTTTTATTATTTATGCTAGATTGATTAATTGTGTGAGTTATTTATGTTAGATCAGGATATAGTGGTGTACCAGCCAACTCTACGCATATTCAGGCATTGTACTCAGGAAACCTTCGCGAGAATTGGTAGGCCTGGAATGCGGCGAATACCAATGGGGGTATATAGGGGGGATTGGGGACACGGAGTTCGAACCCATGACCTTACAATTATATGTACAATGCATCTGAGATATACCATGGAAAGCAAGTACGGTTTCTTTTTCTTCCCACTTGGGTTACAAGGTCGTCTTGAGATTACCTATTGATCTTGTCCCAGGAAAGTATGTAAGTTGATTTCAAAGCCACACCTATCTGTTTGTTTAATTCATTGACAATTGCGATGACTTTTATCTCTTGTTGAGGTATTGGTGTGAGGGCCAGGTGAGAAGCTTATGTAAGTTACGCCTTGTAATGGTTGTTTGTGAGCGTTAAGCACTCTTCAAAGAAACGACGGTGTGCAGTAAGTATGTACATGTACTACATACTTAAGCTTAAGTAAGTTGAGTGTATCTCTATTAACTAAGGATAGCTTCATTATGAGTGTTGATATTTGGCAACGACAACTTCAAAAAAGAAGTGGAAATTTGGCTGTGGGGGAGGAACAAAAATGATAAAAAGTCGTATATACATCGAAAATATAGAAAGAAAGAAAGCAAGTACCCCGTACTTAAAAAGAAAAGAAAAAAAGAAGCCGTCTCTATTCTAACAAATTGCTATTCAATATCGCCACCTTATATATCAAGAGTCTTAACTGCTGATATTTACTTTCTCTCGGAGAAAGAGAACAAATAAAAATAAACCGACAAAGGGGGAATACCGCCAAATACACCAACTTTTGTTTTCTCTTTCGCGCCTGTGGAAAGGAAATGATATGAATGGAACGAATAAGACACTATCTGTATAGAAGCGCTCTTGGGGCCAACCAAATTTGGGCGTGCGAAGAAAAGATAAGGGGATATTAGAAACAAAAAAGACCAGGGTAAATATTTCACAGAGAAATGAATTTTCTTTTGGCAGAGACTAGCCGCCACTAACTTGCACCGCAAAATTCTGGCACAACCCAATTATTAGTAACACATCCGAGTAGCAAAGATCGAGATAACAAACCTGATAATAGCTTCTAAAATTCTTTTGGTCAAATTGCACCAACGCAGTCAAATATTCGTCCGCCAAGGCGAAGCCAAACGAAGGGAAATAGATGGTCCTAAGATAATGGACATAATTTTCTCCTAATTTGTAATAGAGCATCTTCTGGAGCCCAGCGATCTCGCCCAGCACCATTTTAGCTTGCGCGTCCTTTGGGTTGAACCCGGTTGTTGAAGGCACTTGGAAGCATAGTAACGAGAAGTTTTCGATCATGACTGACTCAAAGCCTTCGAGAGGTCTCTCTGGTGGGTTATTAGCAACACTATTCGGCTGCTGCTGCTGCTGCTGCTGCTGCTGCGGTTTTCCAGCAGTTGATGGTCCATAAACGGCTGACATTTTGGACATAAGCAAGAAGGCGACCTTTGCAGTTGCAGGATCTGATATATCCTTGGCAAAGTGTTCTATGACATTAAGACTTTGATTGAAAATTTCCTGGTTGGCTGTTCCCCAAGACCTGTTAGAGTAAAGGCGACGAGTGATAAATCATGATTTCGGCGACTTACATTGAGTTATGAGTACATGTCCAAGATCGTTGTTGAGAATGCACATTAAAAATCCAAGGTATTCTTTTTTCAACTCCGTCAATTCTAGGGCGTCGTCCGTTCCGGTGGTTTCTTCGCCCAAGGCAGAAAATATCCTACCAAGGAGCGGTGTCATCAAGGAATCAAGGATATTGAATATATCCGTCTGGTGCTTTGTGTCAGCAATTATTCTCATTTGTAGCGAAATAACGCATACCTTGAATCCATGCACCACCTGCTCCAACAGCCTCAAGAATGTCACCATCTCCTCCTTTGTTGAGTTTTCTGCTAATAACCCTTCAATCCACCTTGGCAACATTGGCAAGATCTTCTGACCCAGAACACCCACCATTCTTGAAAAAGAATGTCTAGCTGCCTCCCTGACATTAGGAAACCTATTAAGAGCTTCCAATGACACCAATATGGCCTCTGCGGCATTCTTAAACTCATCGGAAACAGGTCCGCCAGGAGGGGTGGTTGCAGATGTGTTAGGTGCCCAATCGGAGAAACCTCTTGCCAATGTACCAAGGGCCATGATATCGTGGTGAATTTGTAGTACCGCTCGTGGATCTCCACCCTTTGCCACACCAAGAATCTTCTCCATGTCTATAAATATGGGATTCATGATTGTTTGAGCAAGCATGACCTGCTTCTGTTCAGGAATCGATTTTATGGAAGACAGACATCCAACTGCGTCAAAAAGGTACAATTGTGACTCAAATGCCGAGTCTTCTCCTTGGTTTTCATCCGAAGACATGTCATCATCTCCATTATCACTGGGTAGCTCTGCATTTATCACAAGAAGATCACTGATCGCTTGAATAATCGTCTCCGAAACTTCACCTATGTGTTGTCGGAGAGATTTGACAAAACGCTGGAAAAGATACCAAGAACGTTTTCGCACCCGGGGATGATTGTCGTGGACCCCTTTGACGAAATCTTCAAGAGCTTGCGCAATGAGGTTGGTATTGGATTCAAAGAAAGGGGAATACCGGTTGATGATTTCCATATACCTTAGCTTAACAGCTGGATGGGATGAGCTAGCAATATCTGGGTGAAAGTACACTTGTTAGCTTTACATATTTCCGAGCATACAGGGGACCTTTGGAGCCAGTTCATACTAGAATTCATCATTTTAAACATCATGCCAATCAGAGTTTCGGCAGCAACTCCATTTGGTTGTCCTTTGATATACAGCCCGCCATTCCTCATTGCAAGTTCTCCAAATATGAACATCTCATACAGTGCAGTTTCTACTTCTCGCCAATCAATCGCACTATGTCCCCCTTGTGCTACCCTTTCAAAGGTATTACCCACAAGCGTCGACAAAGATTGGATGTAAAGACTTTCATCAATACTGGCAACAGTATCTTGAAGAGTCTTCAGTTTCTTCCGGAGCTCTTGGAACTCAGCCTCATCCGTTCGCTCATCCCCATCCCCCCAATTTGTGTCCACATCATATTTCATCTTCATCACAATTGAGCTGAGGATTGGTGGTAGCATTTGAGCATGAGATTGGGAAATTGAATTGGATGTCTTTTTCTCTTTTCGTAGCAGAGTAAGGAGATCGAACATGAATTGAAATACTGCTGTTGATACTTCGTCGTACTCGTCGGAAAAGAATCGGAGGAGGAACGGAACGAAAGCCTGCAAATATTCTTCTGCACGTTGTTTTGAATGGGGATCCATGCCATCAGTATCCAGGATCCTGATTAGATCCATTCCAATACCGTTTACCAACTTTGCCACGTTCTCCGCAAGGTCATAATCATAATCATCTTGCCCTTGAGCCTGCAGAGCAGAAGAAGCCACCAAAGACCCAACAATTTCTCCCAGCTTCAAAAATGCGATCAATTCAAGCTTATCCGGACCTTTCATCTTCTTACCCACAATCTCAGCCAGTGTCTCGATAGCTCCATTCCTAGGCTTTCCTTCGGCTGACAAGAAGTAGAAAAGTAAACCTAACAAGACGTCGTTGACGACCAAAGAGATATCGATCCAGCTGACCCATCGACCGATTACCCTCAAGCATAGCAGAACTACATCCTCATTTGCTCCTCTCCATTGCCCCAAGATTTCCTGCCAAGAAGCCACTAGCTTCTTCACATCTCGCTCACGAGCAGCATCTTTTATTGCGCTATTTCTTTGCATTTCTTCCGCCGACCGCGGGATGAGAACGTCGGCAACCTCTTCATGCACGCTAGCCGTCATTCGCAGAAAAAACATGACACCCTGATAGTTATCATGCTGACCGCTGGATGTCGAAGTTAAAGCTAGTATATCGTCGAAGAAGGTTGGCCATGACGTTGTGTACATTGCGACGAAAAGATAAGTCATAGTCTGAGTGAGTTTGTTTTGCATCATGCCCGAATCAGAAATGTTTGAGCTTGATAGGTATGTCCGCCTCATATACTCCACGAGTGCATTCTTGATGTATGTGAGGGATTGATCCTGTGGAGTTTGGTAACGCTGTTGGATTGCTGTGTTTAAAACATCCAGGCAGAACATGCGCACGATTTCGTTGGCTCTCTGATCCCTGACAAAAAGGGGTAAACAAATCTGCCATCCTTCTGGAGAAACCTTGACGTTCTGCAGAAATTCCATAGCCTATAGATCCACACGTCAGCAATCGCCAAAACGATCGGTAAAAGTAAGACTCTTTGAATCCCAATTTCCAAAATACCTGTCCTTTGAGCTCCTGACTGGTAGTAGGGCTGGACGCAATATCCACCGCGCTTTCAACCTATTGCGAGTAAGAAGTAAGCACAACCAGTTCCTCGTCGTGATGGTGCGAGAAAAAAAATCGTACTTGTGTATCCATGTTTGCCTAGAACACCTCTACTAGAATATAAGGAAGTGGTGCTCGAAGAATTGAGCAATTAAGTCGATAGAGGCTTATGGTTGCGCTATGGAAGCAGATTGTGATCCTCAGTGGAGCCGAATGCGGTCTTTCTATCCTTGGCTGGAGATATCTGATATTTGAGATGGTTTAGTGAGATAAGAGTCACAGATTTCAGATACTAGTGGGTCCTTTTTATTTCCTGGGCCCTTGGTCAGTTAATTTTGTTCTGGAAGTAGGGAAAAGTCTCCCCACGTAGGATAGAGAGTTGTTCTAGAAAGACAAGGAGGAGGATTGAGGCGGGGCAGATGAGTGACCAGACTAGTGACTAGTGAGCACTGTACCTTCAAAGCCGGCGACAGTTCAGAGGAGAGGCAGGTTTAATATGAAGCGCTCAGTAATCTTCGAAAGATAATTTGGGAGGTACCGATCACGAAAATGAGGTCCTTACTTGAGTGTTGTAAGAAAAGAAAACATGAAAGGTATCGTGTCTGCTGGCCTTTAGGAAAAATTGTGGTGGGGCACTGGCCCGATCGCAATGGGTACAAGCTTTCGCCTCGCCAAGACATTGAACTGAACTTAAGTATATCTAGGATGAAGTCACCGCTTAATCCTCGAAATGGCCACAGAGCACGTGATGCTAGATGTCATAAAAGCTTCATACAAATTCAATTTCAATACAAATATGTGATACTTATGTTAAGATAATGGAACAGTACGGTCCATAATGGACGTTATAAACGTAACATGCATTACTCGTTAAACTTGGGATCTAGGCGCGGAGAATCCAAGGCAGTATAAATTCTTCAGTATTTGTATCAAAACATTATTTCGCGTACTTCTGGTATCATTCTGGCCTTCTAGGAAATTTATAAATCCGTCACTCATCGCTCGTAGAACATTAAACCCTCTAAGGATGGAGGGAAAGATTCTTGCCCAAAAAAGAAAAAGGAAAAGAGTAGTCTTGTCCTTTCAAAACTGAACTATTTTGTGACGGCATCTGCAATATTCAATCCACCCATAGTCACACCAGTATTTGGACTTTCAGCTGCCGTGTTTAGTTTCTCTTGTTGAAGACGGATGAAGGCCAATTTCTGAAATTTATTGAGCGAATTGAAGAAATGACGTCCAGCCTATTTATGATATACATGTCCCGTTAGGATCGTCGTAAATTTACAGAAGTTGTTTATGGGGGGTTGATAAACTTACCATGTGTGTACTTATTCTCTCCAGCAACTCCACAACTGCAAACCGTACTTTCTGCAGCGGATGGAAGAGACCAACTGCGATTGGAAATAATCCTCCTTGATTTTCTGGAAGCACACAAAGAAGCTGGTTAATCTCTTCGTATTCTACGACATAGTCTCTGATTGTCGTATAAATCTTGGCAGAGTCGTCGATTGACAACCTCAAATATCTTAGGCGGTCAATTTGGTGGTGTAGGTCAACAACCTTGATTGGTTTTGCCATGTAGAATTGCAGAACATCCTGCTCAAAGTCAGCTTGTGTCCGAAAGAGAAAGCTTGGCGGTATACTTTCCTGACAATATGAATGGTATGTCCTACTACCTCTCCATCCCTCTATCCTAGCCATGTTCGCCGCTAGATCCCTCATCTTAGTTTGTTCATCTGGCCAAACATATCCATGACCACGGATAACATGGTTTTCTTCATGTCCTATCCACAGGGCACTAGATCCATAAATTAACTCTTCGAATGCTGCGGCCATTCTTGTGAATCGCACAATCCAATCTCGCCATTTGGCCCGTAGTGCCTTTTCGCCGAATTTGGAAGAAATGCAGTTCAAGACGTCATCCATGAACGCATTATCTCCAGTATCGACGTGGCCACTGATGTTCGCAAACCCGCCAAAACTGGCACCGTCACCTGGAGGACATGGCTTGATTTCAGGGGAGATCTTTATTCTACCAGTATCAATATTGCACAGGATATCCCACCAGCCGTGATGATTTCCAAAAGTAGGATTGGTGACACCAGCTATGAACCCTGGAACTAAAAGTAGTTCGTCAACTTTAGACAAATCTGTATATGGGAACGCATGCCGCGTAAACCCACGCAATACACCGCCCGATGCCAGTGAACACGCAGCCAGCACATGGTCTGCGACCTCGCCAGAAGGTCTTAGATGACTGAGAAATATTATTCTTTTCTGTGTAAGAAGCCCGTTGACCAATACAATAATTGGATGTGTATATGGGCCATTTGTAGTGAGGTGGGGGTGGAGGGCAAATGGTTGGGGATTTGCGGAGTGATGCTGAGAGAAAGTCGATATCAAGTGTATCAATGAGAACTAAATTCAAGTTACCGTTGGTAACAATCCTAAGTAGTTGTTATGGGGGAATGGCCTACATCTCCAACAGTTTCGGGCATTATTGCAACAGGAACCTTGATAGGTATAGGTATACCGGAATAAACAACCTTGGTTTCAAACTCGTGGCTGTCTCTGTTAATTGTGATCCTCCCATTTACAAGTTTATTCCTTCCTGGTGCTAGATCAATATATGTCGTCGCCCTCGTTTCTGGATCTTCGTCCCCAGTTGTCAGCATTCCTAGAGAAGAGGGGGACCTCATTTGCTGTTGTGCGGCATTTGGATATATATGGGCCATCTCTTCAAATTTTTCAGTGAACATTTCTTTCTGTTCACTAGAAGAGAGAATTTGGCGTTCGAAAATAGAAAAATCCGGCATGGCTGAAAGATCCATTGCATTCACAGCTGTGAAAATCTCTGCGAGTGTATCTACAGTAGGTGTTTTGAAGTATTCCTCAAGTGCAAGGAGTAGGATAGGCTGTTTAATATTCGGTATTAAGATATATATGCCTTACAATAGGAGTTTATAATTACATACCTTATAGATATGAAGGAATGAATGCCTGGTGCATATGGCCATGGCCTTTACTTTTGCGCCTCTGCGGTAGAGTGAGTTTTCCACCCTATATATCCTTGATGAAATTCGAGAGTATGTACCTTTTTTCTCTTTTATCATGCTTTGTATTGACTAAATTGAGTACATATATTAAAGGCGCATGGCCCGAGGCGTCTACTTCGACTGATTCCCGTTCTGCGTCTTTGTGCAAAAAGAATATAGTCCAATCTTGAATGCGGACATGAGCTTGGTCCGGTAGCATAAGTTCGGCGAGCATACTACAAGCCTCCTGAATTAGCGACATCTTTTGTTTTGTTGTCGACATAGAATGAAGAATATATTTTAGTTTTTTAGTTTCTTAGTTTTATTCCATTTGGTAATTAAGGATCTCAGTATATTTAATGTATATATAAACAATTGAGTTATGAAATGGGTTTGATACTCACTGTTCGTCGCCACTGATAGCATTTGGGTACTGATGTTCCATTGTGGGTCCTTTATCAATGGAGAACTCGGCAACTAGGATATACTCGACGTGCAGCTGATTATTCCGCGAACTTCGACTACTCCTAGCACTGGCTCGTTCAGTTCGGACAGTGCTGCTGATACTACCCGACGGGCTTCGTCTGGAAGCCTCATCATTAGGCGTACTCAAGCTCATGATGGGTGGAATTAGAGATTGTAAAGGAATAAATACTGGAGAGGTAGAAGCGAAGTAAATGGCCTGGAAGTAAAGGTAGAAAGGGGCTGGAAATAAGTATGAGAACGATATCTAATTTAGGTCGTGGCTATAGATGTGATTGGGGGAGCTGATGAATGTTAACTGGCCTCCCCTTTGTCGGAGAAGTGGTAAGTGGCAGTTGATACAGGAGTTTTGTGTTGCACGATGTCGCGCGAAGCAGTTGCAGTTGCCCCTCTGTTTCTACCTCTCTCTGGCTTAGCCGATTCCAAGTTGTTCCTGGCAGACCCGCAAGAGGGCAGGTAGCTACCTATAGCTATTTATTTACTGGATATTGTATCTACTCTACCTTACCCACTCTAGGTAGATACATACATTATGTAGGTGAAGCGTGCCTTACTGATCTCCACGGTTTGCATGATAGATATGCTGCAACCAACCTTCCGACTCCCCCGGGTGTTGAATAGGCCCTGACATCCCTACCTAGGGGCGCTACCTTAAAAGCTCAGATCAGCGCCACCTTACCAGTCAACGAAGCATTCCCTAAGCCATTATTGTGGCGTTTGTTCCCTTAGTAACCCACCTCGAAAAGCCCCCAGTCTATTTACTCGTGTGGAATCTTCGTAAATTCACTCCACAACCCTCCATCAACTTCCCGTCAAATCTTTGGGCCTTATAATTGCATGTTGATACCCCTTTCTTTCAATACCACCTGCAGATCGTCAGACAAAACCTTTGCTTTCCACAAGGAATAGGATTTAAATGCCTCCAAAATCTGCATGCACAAGTCCGTACGACGGAATTAAGCAGCAACTGACTGTTGATGCCTGCTCAAGCTCGACTATAAAGCTTTTAACGGAATCATTCACTACTACCGAGCCAAACGTCACATCGGCTACTGTGAAAATATCCTCGCGATCAAAGAATGCGAAATTAACCTCGCAGAAGGTAGTAACAGAGACCGTCACTGTATCGGTTTTGCCGGCATCAAGGATAGTAGAGAAACAAAAGCTTGCGATTGAGGTAATAAATATCTGCCTCAAAGCTCTCACCGATGCGGCGAAAAAAGATGCGCCGCCTCCTTCCGCTCTTGAAATCTCTGCGCCAGCTCGGAAAACAGGAAAACTAGTTTCTACAAATAGCAAACCATTGCAGTCGCGATCCGCAAGTCGTAATGGTACGAGGTCCGATTCAATTGCGAACTTGGCGTCATGCTGCGCTCTCTCAATATCATATCTTAACTCGATCCAACATACCTCTAATCTCCCAGAGATGCCCCCACTACAAGTCGAGACCGCCCAGAACAGCCTTCTGTTAAAATTGATACAGCTCGGAATGTTTGAGATGGCATTAAAAGAGGCTCGGAGTCTGAAGCGAAAATTGACTGAACATATGCAAAACGGATCTGCGGAGGAGAAACAAACTAATAAGGTTCAAACAGTAGCAGCAAAGTCTAAGCACTCCGGGAAAGAAGGTGGGGCTATAAAAGCTGAGAAGGAATCGTTTAGTAAGATGCTTGAGTTTAAGGATGTGATTGCGTCAGTACCTGCTTTTCCATTGGTTATTTCATGCCAACTGGGAATGCTGCGATGTCTTGCAGGATTGAAGAGACCAGAGTTGATTGAGGTTCGTGCTTTTCTGTTTCGCCGAAAACCAAGAAAATACACTAATATAAGAAACCATACTAATCTAATATCTTCCCAGGCCATCATTCCTTCACTATCTTCTCAATACAATCCCTTATCGTTGATAAAGGTTTATTCAAAATCATCCCCGTCTAAAGCGTTGACCCATTTGAATGTTCTTATTCATACTCTCCTATCTATAACTCCTTCAACGGCGGTGTCTTCTGATAGCGATGCCACAAATATCAAACTATTCTGTAGTCCTAGAGCAGCACTGGGACTACAAACACTAGCGACTCAGTGTGGTGTCTTGAGAAAATATCTCCAGTCTAATAGCACGGATATAATTGAGAAGGACACCGCCGAACAATGGGAAAGTTGGCGCAAATACTTAACCGCGTTCGTCCGACGTTCACATGAACAACGGACTAGGCCCGACCGTTATAATTTTATACAACAAACATCAAACATAGTCCGTCAAATACTTCATGGGAGTAATTCATCAAAATCCCTGCCATTAGAGGTGATTAAAACTCTCGCCACCGTCTCGTTCGACGCTGGCTTGCTAAAAGAATCTATGAATTGCACGGAGGAATTACTTATGGAATTGGAGGCCATGAATAACGAGTCAGATGCAGCGCTAAAAGTCATCAGTAATGTCCGATTAGCAACTATCGAATTGAAACTATCAACAATTGGAAAAGATGGAGAGCTTATCCTAGATAATAAAATTGTCGAGGGGCTCAAAGAACGGATTGAGATTGCGGTTGAAGGGCTTGCATCGATTAGAAATGGTAGAAAGGCGGACCTGGAAATTTTGTTGAACGAGGTAGCCCTGCTGAGAAGGGGCGGGGTCAGTTTACTGGCTTCTCTTCTGAAAGACGAAACAGACAGCGAGGAAGGAGTGGAAGAGACATTGGATGATAAAGAGACAAGGTGGACTTTAAGAATTTTATGTGATTCAATCGCTCGAGGGGTTATCCGATTTTGCGGTAAATATTTGACGATGGTGATTTCGGACGAGGAACGAGCAAAAGCAACCAAAATTGTCACATCTACAATTGATACAGCTATCTCAACATCTTGGCGAGGATTTATCATTAGTTCCCCAGATGCGTGGGAAGCTGTCGAGGATTTAGTCAAAGAGTCTTTGACGATAATCAGATCACTACCAGAAAATGATATTGACCACGCTATGTTTTACGAAAAGTTTTCCACGACATATTGGCAGATCCATCTACTCTATCGAAAAGCAGGGATGGATAAGCCAAGCATCCTGGCCTTAAGGAGAAGTCTCATGATACTAGAACGAAGGCCCTCGGGGGAACTCGTCCAAACTAACGCAGCTTTAAAATGGGAGCGATTGGGCAGTCTTTTCCTTCTAGCAGGCGATTATAGGAGGGCTGAGGATGCGCTATTGAGCGCCGTAAACGTGTTTTTCGAAACCGGAACTCTGGAAGAGATTGGACAGAGTGCCATGAAAGGCGATTTGCCTGGAAATGCGTTCGATTTGCCTACTAAGGAGGCAACAGTCGATAGAGTTTTGGCAGGCCTTGTCAAATGTGCAAACAAGAAAAAGGACGGCGTGGCTTCTTCGCTACGGTTTGATTACGCAGGAATATCAAAAACGGCACGAGGTGCGATGCTTGAATGGTCGATGAGGCTGGCAATTGGAACCACGGGAAGTGATGGTACAGTCGCCCAAATATTAGGCGAGAGGTTACTAGACCTGTATTCCTTTGAGGAAATGCCTTTACGAAGAGCTAGAGTTATTTCGAAACTCTTAGAGCTCGCAGTCGATCATGCAGACCTAATCAACAAAGAGGAGGCTAAAAGTCTGGGCGAGGAGACATTTGAATGGGCCGAGGGTCCAGCTGCAGTAACTTCGACGGAGGACAAACACCTATTGAGATACAAAGATGATATAATAGCAGGTTGTCTAGTCAGTTTATCTTTTTTAAGATGGCAAGATGGCGAAGTCGAGCCGGAACTAGTAAAAAATGCATTGGAGCTATGGAATAGATTAGTGAATGAATGCATCACTTGGGACGCAGTGGTAGAAAAAGTGGAAGATATAAATCAAGTAATGAAAAAGCTGGAAATGGTGGCCGAATTTTTCGAGATGAAGGGTGAAGTTGAACTCAAGATTTGTGCTTTGAAGGTCCTGGTATCCTTTAGGGGAATAGAAGATAAAGCGAACTATGATTGTAAGTCAAATTCTCTTCAAAAACATCTGCTTCAGGTAATGTTAATAACCCTTCTTCAGCCCTTGTCCAGTTACAAAGCCTTCTTGGGATCCAGTACCTTCGACTTGGATACTCCGGAAGGGCAGGAATAGCTTTAGCAAAAGCCCAAGCCTTAATTAGTAAAGCTCCAAGTGGATTATCCTCAACGACAGTACTGCAATGTCACTTAGCATACACAGAATACTTTGTGAACATTGGAAATCTTGAAAAGGCTGAAGAATATTTTCTTTCGGCTAGTTCTCTGGTTAATGAAGACAAAGAACTTATGAGCGCGAAAATCTCGGGGGCCAAGATTGCGAAGAGGGTCAAGATCAACAGGATTATTGCGGACGCTGCATATGCAATGAGTCTATTGACATTCGAAAAGGCGAGTGATATACCATGATGGATATCGATATATTTTGCCATGAGCTAATTCTTGGAGTGTTATAGGGAAATCCTAATGATGCATTGACGCATGCTAGAAGATGTGTTAGACTTAATCAACGTGCCTGGGCCGGTTTAGAGGCTCTCAGCAAACCAGCTACCCCAAAATCTGACTCTCTTATCCAAGGGATGGCAGCGCTTACAACTAGCTCTTCAGCACCTAAGGTCCACTCAACTACATTAGCAGCATTCAATACGCCTCTTCTCTGGCCACTTGTCTCGGCTCTTCACTCTAGTCTTCTTCAGGCGTCCAACATATACCGTCATCAGGGGATGGTTCGTGAGGCCGAGTTTTACCTTCAGCAAGCCCTCAAGACCGTTGAAGCAGTAAATGCAACATCTAGGATGGCCAAGACAATGACCTTGTATGGAGATTTGAAAGTGAGGGCAGGCCTAACAGAGGAGGGAACAGAGATGCTAGATCAAGCAAGGGAATTGATTACCAACAGCCACGATTTTGTTGAAATCGAAGTTGCGGCCGGAAACCTGGAGAGAATCAGAGGGGATTGGCAGGAGGAGAGTGAGGCTTATGAACGTGCTGAGAAACACTTAGAAGAATTAATGGCCGTCGATAGGATTGAAAATTTAGGAAGCCATAGACCAGACTCACAAATGGTGGTCGAAAAGTAAGAAAAGTATCTCCAAACTAACTTTGAGGGACATATATTAACGATTAGCAGAATGTCTAAAATGGTTCTAGACGGAGAAAACAAGCAAAACACTAGGGCGAAAGCACCCGCCAAACGCAGAGGAAGGGTACCAACAACAAAGTCAAAGGCTGCAAAAGACGAAATTGAGAAAGCTTCCACCTCTGTTAGCTTAACGTCTACAGTTATTGGCGAATGTTCCACACTTCTTAAGCAGAAAGGGAACGTTTTGAGACTTAAGGCCCATAATTTTTCTATGCAACAAAAGTGCGAAAAAGCCGAGGCTTTACTCAAGGAAGCAGCAAAGCTTCCTATTGGGCACCAAGAAGCCGTCGTCCATGGCTTGACTGAAGCAAGACATCTCTTCCAAGAAGCTTTGATCCTGATGAGCTCTGATCCAATTTTCGGGGTTCTTCAAGACTCAAGTATTTCCATCTATACCTATCATTGAGACATTTATCACTGACACATATATTATTAGCTATTTCTTTGCCCAATATTGCCTTACATAAGTCAGAGATTTTGGATCCAACTACTAAATCAACCCGTAAACCTGCCAAAGAGCGCAAAGCTGTGACAGAGTTTATGGAGCTTCTCGAGAAGGCTAGGGATGCAGTCTATAACGTGCATACCAGGGCCATTAAGTGTGGATCTTCAACAATGACACACAGTGTAGCTTCCCTCCTAAGTGAAATCATTGTGTTGATTCATGCAGTGAGCAGTGTAAAGGGCAAAGGGCCAGAGCATCCATTCTTTGCGAGTTATTCTCTTGGTAAGTTTGGACTCAATTATGTGAAGAAAAACTCGCTTACTTCTGTCAGAATTACATAAAGGACTCTCGATTCAAAGGGAGAAGGCAGCTATTGAGGCCGAAAAGATTTCAAACAGCATTCCTGAAGACTTGAGTTGGCCAATAAACGGACCTCACGGTGGGACTGTGGCAGCGGAGCTTAACTCGTTTGATTTTTCAAGTTTTCAACGGGATTATGTTGATATTATCCCAAACAGATGGGCAGCGGTTTCGATTTCTTTGAATGAGAGGCGCGATGAGCTTTACGTCTCACGTTTCCAGGCCGGAGAAAGCCAATTCATGATACGTTTACCACTCACTCGCGGGAATTCACGGGATGATTCCGAGGCCGTATTTGAGTACGGCGAATGCCGACAGGAACTCGACGAGATCATCGAAGGAGCCAATACCAGTGCTCACAATGCCAAAGAAATGACGAGTAAGGGTGCTAGGAAGGAATGGTGGGAGGAAAGGGAAGCCCTCGATTCTCGCCTCGGTGATCTTTTGGAAAACATTGAACACGTCTGGTTTTGTGGTTTTAAAGGTATATTTTGCCAGTATGCGCGTCATTCTGGACTTCTAGCAAGGTTTAAAGCGACCTTCGAAAAGGTACTTGCAAAGTATCTACCTTCAAGAAAGCGAAAGAAATCTGGGAAGGTAAACATCGATCATCGTGTGCTTGAGTTGTTCATTGGACTTGGGCCATCGGAAGGCCAAGAGACTTTCAATGAGATGCTTGTAGACCTGATCTTTTATGTGGTAGATATCTTACAGTTCCACGGAGAGGGGAATGCTTATGATGAGCTCGACACTGATGAGGTAAGTCACGAGAAATTGTTTTTCAAAAACTAGAGTTTGCTGACTCGTGACTAGATGGTTGTAGAGCTTACAGATGCTCTGGATTCATACCATCAAAAGGCTTCTTTCCACATAAATGATGCCGAACGCGGAATTGATCATACGATTTTGATCCTGGACAAATCGGTACATATGTTCCCCTGGGAATCACTTCCTTGTCTTCGTGGTCATTCGGTTTCGCGACTCCCATCTCTGGCTGCCCTTCGCGAGCGAATTCTAAAGATGCAAGAAAAATCACCATCGCAGACCCTTCCTGGCTTTTATGTAGACAGAGATAAGGGCTCCTATATTCTTAATCCTAGTTCGGATTTGGTCTCTACTCAAAACATGTTTGAAGACGGCTTTAAAAATTTGGATGGTTGGGAAGGAATAATCAACAAAGAGCCTTCTGAGGAGCAATTCCGGAATTATTTGGAGACCCGTGATCTCCTTATTTACTCCGGACACGGAAGTGGTGCACATTATATTCGTGGAAAGACCGTCAAAAAGCTAGAACAGTGTGCAGTTTCTATGCTTCTGGGGTGTAGCAGTGGGGCAATGAAGGATTCCGGCGAATTTGAGCCATACGGAATGTCTTTGAACTACCTGTTGGGGGGGTGTCCAACCTTACTAGCGACCTTGTGGGACGTAACGGACAAAGATATCGATCGATTTTCAAAGGATGTTTTTGATAGGTGGGGACTGTTCAACAAAGCGGACAAGTCTTCAAGGAAAGCTAAAGGGAGGGTCACCTCTCCATTTGCTAGTGTATCACTTGTGGAGGCAGTTGCCAAAGGAAGAGATTGTTGTAGTTTGAAGTATCTTAACGGTGCGGCACCAGTGGTTTATGGTATTCCGGCGTACTTGTCTATTTAGCTTTTTGTTTTTCCTTTACACAATATCAGGCCCGGAGTAGCGTCAGGGAAATTATAGGTGTTTGGGTGCTTGAATTTAGGTTTTTGTTTACTGTATGATACCAAGAATTTTTTAGATAGTATTGTCATGATTATGAAGTTGATGGTATTTCATTAATCAGTCCCCTAGACAGGTAGCCATCTATAGCTAACCGCCATAACCTACGAAGAAGATTTCTTAGAGCTGTTTAGGGGCAAATTCAAATATTTGTAGCGTCTGCGGTTATCCTACAATCTAAATAGTAAATAGTAAGAAATATTATGATCGCGACTGTAAGTACAGCCACTCTGCAAAAGTGCTCGTGATTCCGATTTCGGAGTGAGACATTTCTCCATATATATGTAAGTACCGCGGCGGACCACCAAGAACCCCCAAGAGAAGACCTTCCCAGTGACCAATGGCGCCCAAATTAATGAAGAATAAGGTCAATGACCTATCTTCTTTTTATATATAGTCACTAACTATATTATATATTTTTCGTTGTTTTGAATCTCAACTTTAATAACATCAGTACTACGAGTACGCCACACTACGCACTAACATTAAAACTATATCACGAACACTTTTACTGAGTAGCTATACATATATATTGACTATCAAGCTCGATTGATGTTTTCTAGGATCTACTTGTAGGGTGAGTGCACATATTATAGTGATCAAAGATTTGTACTCATGTATAAAAAGCCAATATGGTACCAAGCCCCATAGGTCATAGATTCCCTTGGCATCAACGCCCAAATGGCAAGATTTCCTTTTTGCTCGTGTACCTTTTCGATCTATTAATAGGCAATACCTAAATATCTACTCTATATGCGTCTTGAATCTTGCATGCGGGAGTTCAGCTAGGTACTGTGTTGAGTGGTGGGAGGGCAACTAAGTCTAATCAAAGGCTCGGCATCAGTTTTCTAGCTATAGAAAATCGTCAAGCCTCGCCATCCTCTCAGTCTCGCCCAACCCCGGCCCGCTCTACCAAATTAAGTTCCGAAACATGGGTGAGCACTGGGGGGGGATAGTTTATAAAGGTAAGCCCTTGGAAAATATATATAGGTTTTCAATACAAGTGAGATATACCGTAGAAAAAACTTGACTAAATATGGATTTATGCTACAACTAAGGTAACAAATTGAACCACCATATCATATGGATTCCCAAATCATAGGTGACAGTGAATTCCGAACTAGCGCACGATAAGTGATCATCAGGGTTTAGGGCTTTCTACAAGCCCTTAAGCTTTCACGCGATAGACCTCCGCTAAAGAGCCGCCCGGTCTAGTGCAAAGATAGTTACAGGATATATTTGTGGTGCCGGAACGGAGAAATGAGAGGTAACGGAACTATAATTATAAGACTAGTCGGATCATAAATGATCACTCGGTCAGCTCTGAATCACAAAGAATCACTCATTGTTCAGTACTATCTTCTAATACTTCCGCAGGGTGGGTATATGTATGAGGCTTAGGCCCATAGTCGCTCATTAGACTCATTGGGATTCTAATCATACAATCCACCTCAAAATCCTTGATCACTCGAATATGGTGAGCATATGTTGAGTACTTTGCCATGCCCAATTAATCATAAGCTAAGCGTAGCAGCGACGCGTACAAATTACAAGACTATGGAACTAAAAGATACGATGGTTAATATAAGCCATTATTCTCGTTTCTTTATCATTCTTGGCATAATTACATATTATGTATATTATTTTAGCTGCACAGGCTACTAGTTGATCCCTTGACGGTCATCCACTATTCCTAGCCTTGTTATTTTAGAGCAATATCCGATATTATTTCATTTGTTTGAATAAAAGATGGAAGAGTCCCTTGAGAACATTGCACAAATCACCTAAGGCGACGGGATATTCTCATTCTAGGTTGAATATAGGGGTAGGATTAGAGTCGATGTACTCGAATTTGAAACAGAGGGGTCGCCTTTTGAATTCGTATATTGAGATTACATATATACATAATATGCATTCAGCGATATCCAGTCCAGTGCATAGAGTCTGACTCGGTACTCCATGGAGTTTGGTTCGGTTAGCTTACTGGCGAGTGAGCTCTGGCGGTCTCGCTTTAATCGCGTCTAGCCGAGGCTCCTGGCAGATAACTATGGCTTGTGAGACCACCCCTCACGTCACTGGCTGGCCCATGCTCAAACTGTTGCAACAACCCTCGACCTGACCTTACCCCGGATTTCGCGATCGGACTCCGACTCTGCTCCATCTTCTCTCAACTCCAGCATATCTACGACATCATAATCGCCAGCATCTGTTGAATATACCCGATGACTTCGCCTGCCTCAGGTTCAGGGGCCCCTGTGCCGGATCTAAAATCTAAGCAGATCTCTAACCCGAAACCTGGCGCCAATCCCCCATCACATGCTCGCCGACTACTTATTCTCTCCCTGCGATACGCGATTTCACCAAAAGAATATGCTATTATTCGACGTCGCATACTTATTAAAGGGCCCTCCTCGATAGCTATTAGAACCCCTTCAAAAAGCCAGTTCGATACTGTTTGCAATCAGGCCGAAGATTTCATCCCAGCCTCCACACGCGCTGGATTACGAGTATTTCTAGCTAGTAGTCTTGTATTAAAATTGTGGGATGTACTATCTGAGAAGTTTTCAAAACGCAAAGGGGGGAAAGAATTGTAGGTTACCTACTCACTCGTTAAGATCGCATGTGATAGTTAACGGTTATGACAATAAGGACAACTGTGATCCATACCACGTTCTTCAAGAACCCAAATTTCCTACTGTCGCTGTCGCTCTCGACACTTGTGGTATTTCATAGACTGCTTTATCGTTTTCTATACCAACTGCGCTCGAACCTACTTCTACCAAATGCCCAAGCTCGGCGGTTTCGACAGAGACACCCCAAAGTATCTGGAGTATTCACTTCGCCGCTTTCACCCTCTATAGGATCTTCACTTGCAGGATTAGCACTACTGTTAAATCCAGCTTCCGATCGGCGAGTTACGATAGCGGTTTATGCTTTTGTGAAGGCTTTGGAGTACTCCTACAACAAACTGGAGGATGATGGATGGTTTCCTGAGCGGCCTTGGGTACGTGTTCCTTCGAAATGGTCCATTTGGATTTGGTTGTTGATCTATAAGTTGCAGTGGTTCGGCTCGTGGCTTCTTTTCCCAATAACATCCGGGCAGCTATTGTATACTTTCGTATTCGATAGAGATTGCTTCCCGTCGGAATACGGCGGGTTCATTCTCGACCACTCTAAAGAGTATATCCAATCAAAACCGGCAGGATATTCTTCCACGGTAAAGTGGCCGGGAGCCTACGATATTATAGACAGTATTAGCAAAATTGCGAAATTAGGTTACCCGTACGTTACCTTTCAGGTTCTTAATCCATTGGTTCAATAACTGACAGTTTTACATCCAACAGGCCATTTAACTCGCCAATCTTGTACCCTAATTCAAACATACTCCCTAAAACACTCCAATCAATTTCTCCCATAGTGGACCCCGCTCACCCCATAATAAATTCCCTCCTATGCGCCGTTCTTCACCCACACGAACCCAGTTGCCTCAAAACATACCTAAACTTCTGGGCCTCAGAATTTACACACGTAGCAAAATTCATGAGTATATGCTACGGCGTCTCATGGGTCCCGAAGTATAGCCTCTTCTTTAAAGACCCCGTAGGTGCGCTTATGAGGCTCACCCGGTCGACACTGCTCACGAGCACGTTCATCACCGGAGCAATAGGAACATCCTGGGCCACATGCTGTCTGTTCCAAAAAACACTACCAAGAGGGCTATTGCCAAAGGGCCGTTTCTGGCTAAGTGGTTTTCTTGGAGGACTATGGGCGTTTGTAGATTCGAGGGGCGGGAGAGGGAACTTTTTGTATAGCTTGCGATTAGGTATTATTAGTGCTTGGAAAGTACTTGTGAAAAGGGGACTCGTTAAGGGACTCAAGTATGTTTCTCCTTTGGCCTTATGCGTGGGTGTACAAATTTCTAACGTGTGATATAGGAATGGGGATGTATATCTTTTCATCTGCTCTCTGGCCATAATCAACTCCCTCTTCGATATGGAAGCGCATTCTGTTACTGGTAGCGCTGCGCGTAGAGTATTGAGTTCTGTCAGGGGGTTGGGGCTGAAGGACCCTGTTAATGAGAAAAAGGTGGTTGAGGCAGAGACACCGGTATCAGTAAAGGCCGTAACGAAAATGGTTTAGAATGATAAATATCTGTTAGTATTAGTACATTATCATTGATTTATGGCGTTGAGGATATCGATGGCTTCTGTACTTAGGAGAGAGTATTTTATATCTGGACATGCTGTTTGAGATTCCTTATATGCGAATACACAGTAAGATACAAGTACCAGTGATGGTTTTCACCTTGAATTAGCTAAGCGAAATAAACATCATATTTATGGTTCAAGTACATATATATATCTTCACAAAACGTTTCTCATCGGTTGTATAAATGGTACATGTATCGCGTAAAGATATTTCTTCTGGATATGATGGATTGGAAATGGGTGAAATTTCGGGAAGGAGGGGAATTTTATTGAAGGGGGTACATGCAGGTACATACTAAGTAGTTAGTGTATTTGCCAAGCCTGGTATTATGTTTCGTAGACTTAAAAATACGTGGGGAGGGGGGGGCACCAAGGTTACTGCGTTCTTAATCCTTCTTTTCTACCCCATAAGTACATGTATCATGTCATGTTTACCTACATGTATCTACATGTAGCCCCACATGCTTTATGCGACACTGCCATACGGAACAATGCTTTCCCAAATTGACAAGCTGCAAGGATGAGGCTAGCTTCCGAGTGATAATTCATGAACCATATCCCGGGTCATATTACAATACTACACAACATACCAAACGGAATTGAGAAACTAGAGTAGAACACATATATAAATTCTTTTTTATCGCCAACTATCTCCAACTATAATCACTACATTTCCAAAAAAGCAGATATCCCCTAGATAACCGCACATGCCATCCACCACCCCACTCCAATTTTTTCACCGGGCTATTCCCAGATCCACATACAATTAACCAAAGGTAATGGTGGTACCAGCGTTAGCAATGACGTATGCCTTCAAAGTGGAAGTTCCGCCAGGGCTGAGACTGTACGGCATGGTGAATGAACCTGTAGCAACGGCCTCGTTAGTTCCGCCACCAAAGTCGTTTCCGACGGCGTAGGCGTAACCGCTATCAGTGGAGTACAGTGGGCTATCGACATCCTCAAAGACGTTGTATCTGACAAGGAGCTTCGCACCCTGGCGAGTATTGATACCGTCGTTGCAGTTGACGAAGTAGTTGTTGACGATATCACCGGTTCCGAAGCGGAAAGAGGGGGTACGCGAGTTAAGGTTGCTCCAGTAGTTGTGCTTGTAGGTAACAGTCAAGTGGCCAGAGTCCTCAGCAGAATTGGAGTCGGAGTGTCCAACGAGAGAAGCCTTCCAGTGGTCGTGGAAGTAGCAGTATGAGACAGTGATGTAGTCACAGCCGTGGGTAATGTCAAGGAGACCATCGTAGTAGTCCTACTTCAGTCAGTCAAAACTTCACTTGTAGGCTGAGAAGGCTAATCTCACTTTGTCATGGTCCATATCAGAGAACAGCTCGCAGTGGTCAACCCAGACGTTGTTGGAGTCTTGGATACCAATGGCATCACCGGTATCGGCAAGAACCTTGGAAATCTTCAAGTTCCTGATAATGACATTTGTCTGTCCGTTGACACGAAGACCAATACCGACCAAAGCTATTTGTTATATCAGTATACCGGACAATCCCTATTTGTTTATTTCTATTGAAGATAAGCTTACATGCGGCGGAAGACTTTCCAAGAATACTCTTGTTGGAGCCAACGTTGACAACAGCATTACCGGTGATGGTTCCAGTGATGTGAATAATAGCTGCTGCAGTCCCGGAAGCAGCTGCTTGAAGAGCAGACAGAGTAGAAACAGTGGTAACCGATGAAGCAGCAGCTCCTCCAGTAGTGCCTACACCATTGCCAGATGTCAGAGAAACCACGAAACAAATGGGATAAAGCTAGAGCTACATACCTCCATTCAAAGTGGCGTATCCAGCGTTGGCAGCCTCAGTAGAGGAAGCGCGCTTGACAAGAGCGTGAGGGCCTGGAGCTGCCTATATTCATGGTTTTAAATTATGAATATCAACTCGAATCTAAATTCTCGAATATTTGAGTATATACGCACCATTGACAGCTGAGCAAGGGCCGTGAGGGCCAAGCCGAGGATAGAGAACTTCATAATTGCGAATATCAGAAATGGCCAAAGGATGTTTTGAAGACTGAGATGAACCTGTTGGATGGAGAAGAAAATGAGCCATTACTGGGCGACATTGCCTTCTTTATATAGCCATTTCACAACCTCTATTCACGGGATATGCAACTCTCCAAAACTATTGCCTGGAGCCGTAAAGTGCATACCTCCTAGCTACCCCCATCATACACGGAGCTTTAATTCTTGTTTACCGAGAGGTTGCACATATGAAAGCTATTCAGTTGGCCAGAGGAAATATGGCCGAGAGAAATGTAAATAGCTGAATCAGGCAGCGATCGTCGTAGCTTCCCTGACGGAAATCATTAAGCGACCGGTCTATCACCCCCAACTCCAATCTCAAAAGGTTTATTTCGCTTGCTCGTATGGTATTTTCCGAACGCGTATAGTAGTATGGAATCGTGGGTATCGGTTCCGAATTTACACCGAGGCCGCGCATCAATATAATCAGCATGGATATCATAGACTAGGTAATCCTTCGTTCCAACAACAGGCTCTGGAGAAAACTCCGTGCCTTAATAACATACATTTGAAAATGGGGCCCTTTACTGAATATGGGCTCATGTGTCGTTGTTGTTACAAACTCACTCAGACAAGTCAACGAGGGTGTTTAACGGTACGAACATTGGCGGTACGAACATTGGCGGTATGAACGCCCGCTAAGTTCTCTGGGGAAAACTGTGGGGGCTATGTCCTTACCCCTGGAACTTACAGCGGTTTGGTCGCCTATAACAGCTGGAATAATTACCTGAACCCGGTTAAAGGCCTGTTATGCAGACAGAATACACCGGTTATATATATGGTGGCTATTGAAATAACCCTGGATTACATGTGATTGGCTTACAAAAGCAGAGAGATATGGTATATATTCGTGGAGCAGAGTACCTACATAGTTACTACATGTCGACCTGTGATTAATTATCTAACCATGTACTGTATTGTGTTGTGAATGTGCAGTTTTGTGGTTCTGTCTGATGTCGGAGACCGAGTGATCTCTCGTGATCTCAGCCCAGGTGCGGGGAAGCCAACATACTCCTGGAAACCTTCCCGACAGGTCCGCTCGACCCATATTTCATCCATTTAAGCATCTGCTCCGACATCGACAAATTCAAAAATGAAATGAACTTTAGGCGTGCCCCCACATATCCATTCCATCCAACGGTTAGTATCATTCCCCACACCCGTCTTCCGGATTAATTTGCGCAAGTTGAAACGGCCATTGATGCATAAACCTAAAAATTTAAGTTTGTGTACGCACCCAAAGAAAGAAGTGCTTGACATATAACGTGGTCGGCGTTATATTCGCCGAGTCCTAGGGGTATATTTCAGGGGATTCCAATTGGCCCATCTCGACTTCAACTGACAGCTTCATGCAGGCACTGCAGGCACTGCCTATAGTTCATCTAAAGTGTACATTCAGCTCTGAGGGGAGGTTCTTGTGTTGCATAATGTGCCCTCGGCGTTAGAATTCCGAAATGGTTTCGTTGTCTCGTGCTTCCACGGTCTAATACTTTATCTGTCTACTCTCCAGAAACCGAGACCGTGCTTTCGCATATATGTCCGAGCTCTCCTTCTGGTAATTGCAATCAATAAACCGTACCGTCAATTCCGAACCACACACATATTCTCCGACTACACGACTCGAAATTCGACATGGATGTAGCGTCAATTATAGTACCGTATATATGTCTGGGAGCCGGACGATGATTATGGAGAGGTTGAGAAGGTTGCTAATTAAGATGGAACTGTAATCATACGCAATCCCTTGGTATGCCGCTATATCTAGTAACAGCTGTTCGTTAACAGAACCCTTATACTAATAAAGCTACCAACTTTCCTTTATATCATATCTCAATTCTGTGGTTTGCGTACGAATTAAGTTTGCTTGATCAATTCATATAGTAATAACCGGCTATCCTTACAATAACCCAACGAGCTAATAGCTCATGCTATCCTCTGGGATTGATTAGAGGGTAGTAAACTACATGTAGTTCCCTACAAACTCTTTACGCCCGGTCTCAATATAGTGTCGATGGCTATTGTGTATACGTAGCTTAGGCGGAAATGCTATATACACGTATGACTGACGGGAAAACTAAAGAGAAAACTAGATGGAATGCACATGTACGTGGTCTGGAACATATATGCGCTGTCAAGTACATATACTTTCCTGACGCGAACACAGTACTGAATGGGAAGATTTTTGTGATTAGTTGGCTTTATGTCGACATTCTTCACCGTACCAAGAACATTTTTATATTGGTATTCACCGGCAAAGACTCCGTCCGTTTGATGAGCTAAATAAAATTCGCAATTCTTCGGCATCTCTTCGAGATATTCCACTCATCGTTTGAACTTTAACATGCCACAGCTTCTTGTGGCCAGCTCACAGAAAAAGTGCTTATATCAGTCCTATTCTTGTGGGTGGATCAGTGATGTGCCCTCTTGGTGAACAAAATAGACGATGACTCCACAGTTGCAGTACCTACAGCTTCGGAATAATACCGCATCATTCGGAGAGGTAATGACCCGAAGCTTAGAAGAAGCTTTGGTCCGTTAGAGTGCATTTCTTATGCGTGGTTTTTGTAAACCTGCTCAATACTCGTGATAATGCTCGTGATAATGCCCGTGATAATGCTCGAAACCAATGGAATTTGATAAAGTCGGCCGATATCTCGAGTATATATGAGACATAAAACAACGAAGATATGTCTATATAAATGGAGTGATTGTTCTTTCGACTTCATGTCATGTTGTTGCCACTGCAGAAAAACATGAAAGCCTACGTATGTGCATGTACACTTAATACCGGCACCCCCTCTCATCTGGCGTAACAGGCACTCGGATTCGGAGTTTGATTGGTTTCTGTAGATTGCAAGCGAGCCGCTAGGGTAACGTCGCGTGGGGACTCAGGGAACTCTAGCTCCACATCCCGAGCAAAAATCATCAAAAGCTTGAGGAGACATGGAGTCGAAATAGGCCACTTAATCTATCATATCATATTGAAGCCAAGCCATTATCCATAATATTTATATTTATATTACCAAGGTTATGAAATTGTATATATTACTCGGCCAAGATCCGCTCAGTTGGCCGATAATTAACACTCCTTTACTCCTGAGCCAAGGCTACCGAATGGTTTTAGTGAAATCTCTTACTTGGCCATTGGATATTAAAGATTCCCGGGGATATCAAGAGCCGAACAAATCCCTTATATATTGTTGTACAAGGCTCTGGCATTAAGTGAGTGAACGGATCCTTACCGGTCAACACCCCATTTAGTTCGCTCACTTAATGCCAGAGCCTTGTATGTTGAATTCGGGCATTGTTATCACGGACTATGGAGCCTCCAGGGTGCGTACGTCACCCAACCCCCGGTGGAAGTAGCTACCGATGGATGCAGAGCATTTCCTCAAGTGTCTTAATGTTCTTCCAGTTTCCCCGGCCGTGCGAGCCGCCTTATAATGATAATAATTCTACTACCATCCTACCAGGTGGACAATATTCTCGAGTCTCATACAAGGCTTCTAGAAGGCAAGGCATTCCAATCAAGTACCTCAAACAACCTAGTAGTTATCTTATCTCCAGGTCGTGCTTTAATTAGCCGGTAAACTCGAATCCCCAGCCAAACACTTCATTCGGATTCGCCCTACGCAGAAAGATTAGCCGACTTGAAGATCTCACAGATCAAATCCACCAGTAACGGCACGATCCGAAGTGATAAGCGATTTACGCATCTCTATGTAGGTACAGCAGTCGGATTGCAAAGGCAGGTCATCCTATCTGTCTTCAGGACAATCAAGCTTTATGCCGATGATCACATATAGCCATTGGGATGCTACGACGCTGGAAAGCGTTGGTTGTGAGGACTTTTGTGAGTAGTGAAGTCAGTGCTTGGCTTACTAAAGACGCAATGATTCGAGAGCTCTAGTCGGGTTGAGATTCAGGGCAGGGTTGAAAGAGGTCCCTGGCCGATCTTTAAAAACATCGGATGGATTTCAAGATAAGGTATGATGACTCAATATTATAGATCTAGATTAGATAATAAGACAAATATGCCCCACACTGCCCCTCTTCATTCTGCTTTTTCGTTCTCTCCGACAACAATTCTCCTCTCAAAATTACACCGAAATAATGGATCTCGTTAACCAGTGAGTATAGAACTCAATTAGACCTTTTCTACAAGTAATTTGTGTTGACTCGCGTCCTTACAGCTTAAACGACCGTCTCCTTTTTGCGGTACCCAAAAGTTCGTTGCGTCTCCTCCAGATTGCTGCCTGAGTCATTGACCTATCTGCCACCTATATGCTAACAGAATTTTCTTCAATTGAAAAATAGAGGGCCGTCTCCATCAAAGCTGCCTGGATCTCCTCCACGGATCCGATATCCAATTCCACCGCCACTCAAGATTAGACCTAGCACTATGCCTCAACCTTCCTATAGCTCTGGTCTTCCTCCCAGCAGCCGACATTCCCCGTTTCGTTGGTGAGGGAAGAGTCGACTTGGGTATTACCGGTCGCGACCAAGTTGTCGAATCCCAGGTTGACGTTGAGGAGATTCTGGACCTCGGATTCGGTTCTTGCAAGCTCCAGGTCCAAGTTCCGGAGATGGGCGATTACACTGACCCGAGCCAATTGATCGGAAAGAACATTGTCACTAGCTTCACTGGTCTCTCTAGCGCTTACTTTGCAAAGCTTGAGAAGGAGCAATCTGACGCCAAAATTACAAATGGAAACACTGTGCTGGCCCCTGGAGAGATCTCACGCCCGACCAGTGCTATGGGCATGGCGGGATTGAGAACCAAGATCAAATATGTAGGTGGCAGTGTCGAGGCTGCTTGCGCTTTGGGTGTGGCGGACGGAATCGTTGATCTCGTTGGTATGTGTCGTGTCATCTGTTATTTCCATGACAAATTAGCTAGGTTTATTTGCTTATGAAACCCCCCCCACACAGAATCTGGTGAGACGATGAGAGCGGCAGGGCTCAAGCCGATTGCGACGGTTTTGGAGACTACGGCGATTCTTATCAAATCTAAGCACCCGTCGAACCCGCAGCTCATCAAGACGATTGAGTCCAGGATACGCGGTGTCATTAGTAAGTCCCTCGCCCCACAATTTCCACCAAACCAGGTATTAATTTCATGATAAAGCCGCCAAAAAATACGTGCTCTGCACATACAACGTTCCCCGGAGTAAGCTTGAGTTAGTCAAGACTATTACTCCTGGTAAACGCGCTCCCAGTGTGATAATGTTGGAAGAGGAAGGATGGGTTGCGGTGTCGGTCATGGTGGAGAAGCGTAAGATCGCTAATATCATGGACAGGTATGTTTAGACCCCTCCTCACTAGAAGCAGCCGCTAATATCTTTCTCTCGCAGCCTTGAGGAATTGGGCGCCACAGACATCTTGGTGACAAATATTGCCAACTCAAGATCTGCGCCCGACCCACCAGCTTCGGCTTAAATGTGTCCTTTTTTTTTTGATGAGATAGATATCCCAGGATTTTCTCTCTCCTATTTCTTTTTTCCAAGTTAATTTATTTTGTTTATAAAAGCAAAGCTCGATGCTGAAATAAAACCTGCTGTTACGTTATTATTAACCGATATTATTGTTCTTATTCGTTGCCGTCATTGTTAAAAGAAGAAAAAAAACTGGTGCGGGGGGAGGAGACTTTGCAGTCAATCCCCTCCTGTGATTCTGACATCCGCATCAGAAACAAGCATTTTAATCTCGGCTGAACCTTATATGGTCAAGATAAGGATATCGACCCATCAGTCTTTTTCCTCTCCCCCAGTGTTTCTAGTATTTCCCTCTTATTCCCACCCATTTCCCACAGTCTTCACCGTCATTTAGAAATTTTTATGTATGACATCGATTCACATCGTTTCTCGTTGTTTCTGTCGCAAGCGGGGTCTTTTTCAGCCGGCAGTTGAGCGGGGCTTTTTCTCTCATATGGCCATGGCCAAAAAAAGCAAAGTGAAACAGTTCATAAACTCTCACTCGAGGCATGCCGCATGCACGTCATCGTAGATTTCTGAAGCACGCGGTTGCGACAACTTCCACTTATTCCAACGCTTTCAACCGATCTCCGTGCCTTTTCTCGTTTTCACCCACACACTAAGGTAACACTCCTCTTTGATTTGCCTGTTTTTCCAGTTTCCATATGACTGGTTCGCGAACACAAAGCCTTAGGCCTTGGCAAAAGCTGAGAAAAGAACCCCGCCGACTCTCCGGTCCCCCGCCCCCGCCTCAATTTGGTTTTACCATCAATCCATCTCATGGCAAACTCCAAAGACCAAATCCTCAGGCGTCTAGGAATCTCCGAAGGCGCGTATTCCCAGATACGAGTCAGTATCTCTCTCTCTCTATTCTTCTCTGCTTCTCGTAGCAAACCTACCTGTTTTCTCGGATCTCGCTGACGGCTTCAGTAGGAGTTTCTACGGAAAAACGTTGATTGGACTGCTTTCGCCGGTGGTTACGAGGGCTTCACGGCCCTCCCGGAGGAGAATCTGGCAAACCTGAAGCAGAAGCTGGTCAGGCGGTTCCCCGCGCTCGACGGAAAGGACGACGAGATTGTCTGGATCATCAAGAGACGATATCGGAATCACCAAACCATAAAGAAGCGGAAAGAGAAGCGAGCTAGCCGTCTGGCTTTCCTAAGCTTAACCTTTGGGTCCTTCTTTTTATGAAGGGCATTCCGAATATGGAGCTGACCTTGTCTATGCTTTTCTCTGCTTCTAGGACTCATCGGAGAACGCAAGACCGACGAAATCCGCATCGTTGACGAAGCACGAACTCGCGATAGTCATATCGACAAACGGCGCGTGGCTAGCATCAACTATCTGCTAAATCCGTCATGATACTCGCTTTTGGCTAGTCGAGGATCGTGGAGGAAGGATTTGGACTTCTGGGGGAACAAAAAACAAAAAAAATACAATAAGTTGAGACACATAGAGAGAGTTCTAATACCCATAAGCTGTTTACGGCTAGTGAATGTACCATCCCGGTTGCTTGTTACAAAGTAAAGGCGTTTGGTTCTATTATTCTCGAGATATTTCTGTCATCAAGAGAAATTCTATATATCTGGGGGCAGGCATAGCCAACGCATTTTCTTGTATTGAGATATCATGACTCTCAGCATCGGGATGAGAGCCTAGAGTTTAGTTCCGCAGAATTGACGGATCACTTCGTTTCCTAGAGTCATTACATATGTGGGGTAAATTTTCTTTTTAACACTTTTGAGAAGACTGGGAGTCTTCCGAATCAAACAATAGACAAACTCGGTTAGAAAGGCTTTTTAGGCCCACCTGTGCTTTAAACCTGTGCTTCAATTGAGTTACCTCGTGATCAATCGAACCCTGGAATAATTCAACAGCATTCAGTTGCCGGATCTTCAGCCCCTCTTTTTTGTTGCAGATCGGAAAATTCTCTTCTTTTCGCCCATATCAGGAGTATTGCCAAGTAAATCGGCAAAACAAAAAATTAAATGGCGAGGCAGGGACAGAAACTGTGAAACAGTTGAAATGAGGTGAGAAGGTCGAGAAAGTAAACACGGCTTTCGCGCGCATGTTCTTCCCGGCCGCCTTGTTGCATCCCGACACCGGCTCTAGAATCCTTCTTTCCGAGCCATTCATCGCTACTTGCAGCCAAAACCTTCGGTCATTACCGCCCTTTAACTTCGAGTTTTAACCTTGAGTTCCTAGGTAGTAGGAATCGCACCCGCCAAGATACATGTAGGCTACCTACTGCATTGCTGCAGCTGCTGCAAGTGTCATGCCCGTTTGTCCACCCTGACGGAGGCACCCTGTCGGCCAACTAATCTGCTGTAAAATGACATACCTATGAGAGGAGCGATGTGTTTATTGGACTAATGGCACTCATATGTACGCTTCTAATGCCCATTCATGGAGAGGGGAGATAATTTCAACAACCTCTAATAGGACAATATTAGAATTTTAAAACCGACGAACTTACCAGCGATATGGTAGATAAGATGTCAGCCTCCCCACTCTTTTGTATGGCGCAATAAGCTGCAGGGTAGATAGCTCCTCTTACCAGAGTAGGTACCACTAATAAATAGGCGAAATCAACAGGTTCAAAAATAAGTGGACCCCGGTAGACATACAAATCTGACTTGTGCTTGAATAACTTGGACAGGCATGTTTATGGAAGATCTTTGAATTGATCGTGATCTGGAACCCTGGAACCGTACTCGTGACAGGCCGAAAGCTGGTGCGTTACATGTATGTTGTGGCAAATCAAAAGTGTTATTGGCAGAAGACATTTCCACGTCTTTTGCCTCCCATGAGTCCAGGGATCTAAGCCAACAAACCTCAGGCTTAGTTGACATAATCCAGGGGCACAGTAACTACATACAGTCGCAACTCGATATGCCGGATCTCAATACGCCGGATCCCTTGCTATCCCGTACGAAATCCTCTGGGGTTTTGGTTTTTTTTACTGCAAAATCAATTTGCTATCCCGGATTTTTTGCTATCCCGTATGAAATCCTTCGAATCTTGGCAATCCGGCATATCGGGTTGCGACTGTACCTATTCCCAACGTTATATCGAAGGTAATATAGAAGGTGTGTAGGTATATATTCAATGCCCCTGCTTTTGAATGGGCCAATTGTTATTCCCATCGATTGCATAACTCCCCGGATCGCAAATAATCTCCAGAGGTGATCTTATTCCATGCAACGGGACCTGGCTCCACAGAGTACATAAACCAACCAGGCTCTACCACTATGTCATCAACGAACGATATAGTAGTAAATTTGCGTCATTGAATAAATGTGATAATATGAATCTTTCTCGGCAGTGTTATTGCAGCCCACGGCCCCAATGTTTACCAGCCATTAATCCCGAATTCCCCCGCCCTAAATGATAACCGGGGACCAATGTGAAGCCGTTCCACATCCAACGTGCATTCCTGTGGTCTTGGTCCCTGATTACTTATATCGTTAGGGATCTTTTGTGTTACCAGTATAGGATAAAACTACATCTGGGCATATCACTTCTTATTTCGGAGCACCTACTGACTGACGGCTAGGAAAAAGACATTCCCAAACATCGAAAAGTGAAATTGGCTTAGCTGGCCATTTAGTATTTGTATCCGGTGACCTCTTTTGAATCATCGAAGTGATAATTCATTATGGGCTGATTGCAAGGCTGCAGATGACCAGATTATCTTGTGGAGGTGGGTCGAATTGTTATCGTTCCAACTGGTAGGAGTCTATATCCGCGCTACATAGTTGAATCGTTTATAGTTAATAATAATCGATCTAAAGTTCACCGGCCGGATTTCTTGGGAACGATTAGCATTGTGGCCCAATGAGCATTTCTTTAACTTCGAGCTCAAGTATATACTAGCTAGTAGCGCTGAAGATCGGTCTCGACGATGGACGATGTGTTCCTGTGTTGTGTGTATCTACTGTAGAGCTGTGCCTGGGCCTAAGGAGTCCGCAGAGTCATGAATAATAGGAGGATGAACTAAAGAGAGACATGTCGTTCGGACGTCGGAGTTCGGATGTAAGGTGTTTTCCTAGATAAGTTTAGAATGAACCTAAATATTCCACTAGGATTAGGTGGTGCTAAGATAAAGACTGGACCCTGTGCGATAAGACCACAGGATTTCTTAACCTATAAATAGTAGACCATGTTATGGGGAGAAAGGTTGGAGCTGGTACATACATGTAGTTTAGGGACGGGAAGGATAGGTGCATCCTCCCTGGGCCAATGGAGCTAGACAGTCAACAAAATACAAGATAATAAGGCCTACAACCTTAATTACATGTATGAGTGCCCACAGAATAATTCAGGCCATCAAATAAACAAGTATAAACACTTTTATATGAGGTACTGAACCTGTAGGTGCTCACGCGCAAAGGCACGCGAGGGCCATGGGACTGGCCGAAGAATCAAGGAAAACGCAACTTCAACCATTGGCAGGTAGGATAATGGCAATTGATATCAACAGTTCAGTCAAGCTATCAGTAAACCGATTTGGAGGAAATGATATTTTTAACTATATACAATTCAATCCCTTCTAGAAAAAAGACAAAAAATCGGAGACCTTTAACACTCTGCCCATGGTATCGGGGATGGGTGGGTGTCGAAGGTTACTTCTAGTTGCACACATGGTTTTCGATACCATGAAGAGCCCGTTACAATCCTTTACTCGTCATCCTCCTCATCGCCATCGTTGACGACGTTGAAGAAGCGAAGTTCGTAAACACCCTTGCTGGTGGAAACGACACGGAGCCAGTCACGGAGGAGGTTCTTCTTGAGGAACTTCTTGGTACTATCGATTTCAAGAGAAATCAGTAAAACATTCATTAGATTATGACAGGCAAGAGGTAAACTTACAGGTACTTCAAGTAGCGTCCAGAGAAAGGAATGTGGGAAATGACAACAATCTTTCCATCGCCCTCCTGGGAGATTTGGATAGTTTCGCCGAGGTTACCGACACGGCCGTCGACCTTGATCTTGTCATGAAGGAACTTCTCGAAAGCGGAAACGTCGAAGATCTTGTCAGATGCGGGCTGGGACGCATTGATGACAAACTATAAAATTGGTATATTAGTATGTTGGTCCGGCGCCGATTCTTCAGGGTAGGAATTGACCAATCGGTTCTTTACCTTCTGGGTAACCTTTTCAGGCTTTCCTCCCTTCTTGGTGGCCTTTCCGGCGGTGGACTTCTATATATTTCATGACACTCAGCCTACTGATCAAATATCATCAACCAACCCGCAAAAGCAGGCGGCCGTGACCAGCAAAGCGGTGTGGTGTATACATACGGTGACTGGGGCCATTGGAATTGATTGTTCTTTAGAATGCGCAAAGAAGTTTGTATATCCTGCGCTCTGTAAGAAGGTCGATGGGCTTATTTGTGGGTGTGCTGGCTGTTCGAAGGCGAGGCGATTGTCGTGAACTTTTTTTTGGCGGTGTTAACTAGACTGTGGACGACAGTCACAGGGTTATTACCCTGTGCGTCATCAGGGTAACTCTGAAATACACTCATCTGCACAGTGTATCACTCGGTTAATATTTTGTAAGCACTGACATTTTTTTTTTTTTAATCCATTAATTGCATTAAGCACTGACATTAAAAGGGCGTATTAGATATAGCTTTTGCACTTAGGCCTTTGTTTTACATATTAAAAGACGCATTGTGTCTCATTTCAACCTCAAAGGAAATGTATACGAACTGTTAACAAGATCCAAATGGGCGCATGCCCGGCGTTTTGGTAAAAGCCTTCACGTGCATAAAAAGAAGAGCGTCTACAAAAACACAAACATACATGTATATAGTACAACCCATCAAATAGGTGGAGTTTTTGATCGCACCAGGGGTCGAACCTGGAATCTCTTGATTACCTTCAACATCACGCAAGTCATGGATGAGGAATCGTAGTCAAGCGCCTTGCCATTGGGCCATGCGACCTTACTGTCTTGTGAAGACGCAAAATATATACATTTAGGTACATAATTATGAAAGATTTCGCATACACAGGGTCTGCGCTAGAATATTCTTTAAAAAGAGTGGGAAAACTTACAAGCATGTCATTTTACTTCTAGACGTTTTCTGAGTGTCACGTGCTTTTGTTGAGCACATGTATTAGTGGATAAGCCGGTCCGTTCGAGAAACATGACCGTAAAATCGTAAGCTTTCTAGAAATGTTATATAGCTGAAAACATAGCTGGAATTCGAAGGGCACAGTTGACTTTCAATATAACGAATCTAAATATCCATTCGATATCGCAAACTATTCGGTACAGCAGATAAGATTTGTGTGAAATTCAAATTCGGATCACCAAAACTCGTTCGGTACAGTAGATCATATGTGGCTTTTTAGGTATCCGGTCATGTGGAGGACGACTGTACCCTTGACCTTTCAGCTTCTTCCACTACATGTAGTATGGCCATACATACTTCATTTATAGATTATAGTGTTTTATATGATGTACCCAGGGGTGCCGGAAAGTGATGCAACGACTCAATTTACTACATGTACTCACGATTTCAACCACATGCAACCCAACTTTGACTTTAACGAAGCAGCGATATATAGTATGTAAAGTAAAGATATTATGAAGAATTCATCAATCACATCAAAATGGAAGAAATTACATGTAACGTGGTTGCGAATTCACTAAGACCTCACCTTATATTTCCAAGCCGTTGCATCACTTTTGGGTACCCCTGGGTACATATAGTGGACCTTTTATATACATCTAAATACTATAGGCTGCACTTCGTTGATTATAAGTACATGTAATATGCGCCTCAAAAGATTATGTGAATACCTGTACGTGTATGCTTATTACTAGGTATTGGGAGTAGGTACATGTGCGTTGGTGAGTCGCTAGGCTGATATCACTTCCACAGTGAATCGGTTGGGGTAGAACATACAGCGGGGGGGAAAATTATTGTAGAAGTATGGGAAGAGTCCCATTGGCCGAGTCAGCCACTTAAACCCTGTTTTTAGACCCCTGTTTCTACAATAATTTCCCCCCCCCGCTGTATAGTTCTTGGACATAAGTCACCGACCTGAAGCAAAACACACCAAAATTGGCCAAAATGGGCACCTTTTCGAACCCTCAATTCTTTATCAATTACCATAGAACTTTCAGTACAGGAAGAAACACTATAAAGGAGCATATATTCTGAGCTGTAGATCTTTTAATTAAATATGTGGAGAGTTATGGGGCCTTGAATTTGCAAATTTTGAAATCCGATCGAATTTTGCCAAGATCCCATACAAATTCGAGGTCTTGGCATGATTTTTTGAGAACAACCGAACACAACTTGAAGGCTCTCCCCACAATGCTACAGTGTTTATTTTTTAAATTAAGAGCTTCTAGATGATTTTTCTAATCGTTAATTTGTATTCTATCAATTGGCATAAGTTATATCTTAAAATTGTGGGTGCTGGGGCTATTTGAAAAGGACTGATTTCGCCGTTTTTTGGTGTGTTCGGGGCACGAAGTCAGTGACTTATGTCACGATGCTATACATGTATACATGTACATATTTGGTATTTGTGTTAGCGTTAAGGCGTGAAAACTGATTGGTTACTGAATTTTTTTTTTTGATATAGAATTTTCTATTTCCACCATAGTATTCCAGTTTCAGGTGTTCTTCAGAAGTTCCTTGTTCGTATGTATGCCGTATGTTCCCATAACGGTCCCAAAGTGAGGACCAAGTCACGTCAGGATCAAGATCAAAATCAAGTGTGCTACGCAACCAATGAGAGCTAACTTAACTGTAACCCTTGGAACTCACTTTAATACGTAAAGTTGGGCGAGGACCTTGATCCTAAGTTTTGATCAACTTGATCCTTACTTTGACGACCGTAAACCTACGCCAGATCATGGGCATATGAACTAGTACTTATGTAATAAAGGTCCCGAAAGGGTTGTGTGGATACGTTGTGGTCTAGATCAGAAAACATCTCTGAATCCCGCCAAGAAAGCTTAGCAGCCTTGGAGCGGAGCCTCATCCGGAACGCGACTGCCTTCAACATGATCATGTTTGTGGCGGCCAGCAGTTCTGAGCATATACATAGCTGTTAGATGAGGCAGAAGTTTTTGAGTCTCAACTAGATTGAAGCATATTACTCTATCTGCTTATTTGGCCAGGTTGAACCTCACCTTAAGTGTTAGAAACAAAAAGAACCTTGTGGAGCAATCCAAAGCTGTGAGATAAGATAAGATGGCGGGGCTGAGGAACACACTAACGCGGTCGAAGAGGGTCGAATGTCTTGATAAAGAATTTTTTTTGGCAGCCTTAAACTCGCATGTAGAATTATGGCCACGGATTTCCCCGTTCCAGCTTAAACAGATCTCTTGAGGTTCTGTGAGTTTCTCTTTCAGTTCCCGCGGGGCAGTAGGTACGCATGGTGGGGCATCCCCTGCGGCTTTGTTGGGTGGAAGCTACTAGAATCTACTCTTCGAATTTCGATCTTGGCACTAACGACTCTCCTCTAAATTCTCCTTCCTCTCCCCAACTTCTCCTCCTTCTCCGCTCCCTCTCACCAGTGATCTATTCTCCCAAGCTTCCCTGAATTACTTTACTCTCACATCTCAACTTTCATCTCAGTTACGTGCTTCTTAGAGGTCCATAGAGTCGAGAAAGTGAGTTATCCTTCTGCCCCGCACTTTTCTTTTGCTGCCTGGTCCTATGGCACAACTCTGCAGATCACTCGCGATGAGTTTGACGCAAGAATGAGCTGGATCGTTTTTCGCCCTTTATCCAACACCAATGTGCTAACTAAATTCTTCTGAGATAGAAAGCAAACAATCATAAAAATGGCTGAGACATTTGAATTCCAGGCCGAAATCTCCCAACTCCTTTCCTTGATCATCAACACGGTCTACTCAAACAAGGGTAAGTCGAAATCACTAGAAAAAGCATTGCTTCCGCATTTTTCTAACTTTGTTCTCAGAAATTTTCCTCCGAGAGTTGATCTCCAATGCATCTGATGCCTTGGACAAAATCCGCTACATTTCTCTGTCAGATCCGTCTGCACTCGAGCATGAGAAGGACCTGAGGATAGATATCATCCCTGACAAGGAGGCTAAGACACTCACAATGTATGGCCCTACTATCGTTCCCCATAATTCCGGCTCTTATTAACATGATTAACTACTAGTCGTGACACTGGTATTGGTTTCACCAAGTCCGACCTTGTTAACAACCTTGGTACCATCGCCAGATCTGGTACCAAGCAGTTCATGGAGGCCCTCTCTGCTGGTGCCGATATTTCCATGATTGGTCAATTCGGTGTTGGTTTTTACTCTGCCTACCTTGTCGCTGACAAGGTCGAGGTTATCACCAAGTCAAACGATGACGGTAGGTTATCACCTTTTCGCATCTGCCACTACTCAACTGACTCAATTTTTAGAACAATACATTTGGGAATCTGCCGCTGGTGGTTCTTTCACTATTAAGAACGATACCGACGGCCCCCGCATCGGCCGTGGTACCAAGATCGTCTTGCACATCAAGGACGGTCTCCTAGAATACCTGGAGGAGGCCAAGATCAAGGAGATTGTAAAGAAGCACTCCGAGTTTATCTCTTACCCAATTTATCTCCATGTTACCAAGGAGGTCGAGAGGGAAGTTCCTGATGAGGATGAGGAAGAGTCCAAGGTTGAGGACGGTGACGACAAGAAGCCTAAGATCGAAGAGGTTAGGAATTTCCATTTATATTTATACTACTTGAGCTATTACTAATGCACTTTTAGGTTGACGAGGATGACGAGAAGAAAGAGAAAAAAACCAAGAAGATCAAGGAAATGAAAGAGGAGGAGGAAGAGCTTAATAAGACTAAGCCCATCTGGACCCGCAACCCCTCAGACATCACCAGTGAGGAGTATGCTGCCTTCTACAAGTCCCTTTCAAACGACTGGGAAGACCATCTTGCGGTTAAGCACTTCTCTGTTGAGGGTCAGCTCGAGTTCCGCGCAATCCTCTTCGTTCCCAAGCGTGCTCCTTTTGATCTCTTCGAGACTAAGAGGACCAAGAACAACATCAAGCTCTACGTTCGCCGTGTATTCATCACTGACGACTGCACTGACTTGATCCCTGAATGGCTTGGATTCGTCAAGGGTGTTGTTGATTCCGAGGATCTCCCACTCAATTTGTCTCGTGAGACCCTCCAGCAGAACAAGATCATGAAGGTCATCAAGAAGAACCTTGTGAAGAAGACCCTCGAGATGTTCAACGAGATTGCCGAGGACCGTGAACAATTCGACAAGTTCTACACTGCTTTCAGCAAGAACATCAAGCTCGGAATCCACGAAGATTCCCAGAACCGCCCCATGCTTGCTAAGCTCCTTCGCTTTCACTCGACCAAGTCTGGTGATGAGATCACCTCATTGTCTGACTACGTCACTCGCATGCCTGAGCACCAGAAGCAGATGTACTACATCACTGGTGAATCACTTAAGGCTGTCACCAACTCTCCATTCTTGGATGCTCTCAAGGCCAAGGACTTCGAGGTTCTTTTCTTGGTTGACCCCATTGACGAGTACGCCATGACTCAGCTCAAGGAATTCGATGGTAAGAAGTTGGTGGACATCACCAAAGACTTCGAGCTTGAAGAGACCGAGGAGGAGAAGAAGCAGCGTGAGGAGGAAGAGAAGGCCTTCGAAGGCTTGGCCAAGACTCTTAAGGAGGTCCTCGGCGAGAAGGTTGAGAAGGTTGTCGTCTCGCACAAGTTGGTTGACGCACCCGCTGCTATCCGTACTGGTCAGTTCGGTTGGTCAGCCAACATGGAGCGTATTATGAAGTCCCAGGCTCTGCGTGGTAAGTTCAACAATCATTCAATTATAAATTAGGCTCTGATCTAACACCAACGTAGACACCTCTATGAGCTCATACATGGCTTCTAAGAAGACCTTCGAGATCTCACCAAAGTCCCCCATCGTCAAGGCTTTGAAGGAAAAGGCTGAGGAGGAAGGTGCCTCTAAGGCTGTCGCAAGCATTGCTACTCTCTTGTTTGAGACCGCTCTTTTGACTTCTGGGTTTACTTTGGATGGTGAGTGCTTATAAATGACCCCTTTTATTCTGTGTAATAGCTGCTAATTCTTTCGATAGAACCCAACGCTTTTGCCCAGCGTGTCAACCGCCTCATCGCTCTTGGTCTGCAGATTGAGGAGAAGGAAGATGATGTTCCTGCAGCTGCTGCCCCAGCTACTGAGACTCCTGCGGCTGCCACTGAGAGCTCAATGGAGGAGGTTGACTAAACGTTTTCATGTTGCCATATTTTCTTCTTTTAAAAGCTTCTCTTTGTTCTCTTTTCTGGCTTGTAATTTTTTCTTTCTTTTTCTTTTCAATCCAGTGGGTGGGGAAATAGTTGGGTTCGGTGTGATGAATTTACGGTATCGGTTCCTTTTTTCTTCCAATGCTCAGCGCCTACCTTGGGACGTGTACCTCAATGTTCTTAAGTTAGGAAAGCTTAAACTTGCTCTAGTCAATGCCCGAAGGGGTTTAAGAAGCAGGTTTCCAAGCAAAGTATGTGAAAGTTGTGAGATTCTAGCGACTGAATTGCTCTAAACAAGTCTTTGACCAATTACATGTAAATACCTGTTTTTTTTATTTACATCTTTTATTTAATATACCAGCGAATCACCATACGCCTGTCTAATGACACCGCAGTATTTAGAATGGTCATCCCAATGAACTTAAGTATCCGTGCGATATTTAGTTAGCCTTCTGGCTTTCTATTACACTTGTAAAATTTGAGACGAACTCACGAGTTTGACACTTTTTAGAGCAAAAAAAGCATTGAAGGCATCCACTGCATCTCAATAACCTGCTATACCTTCTTTTCCCGGTTTCCTTGTCTGGTTCATCAAGTTGTTCCCAGTCTCCACAGCCACAACATGGTCTAGAGCATTGGTCTCCTCTGAGAAGTAGACGGACCTCTAGCGCGGGAGGATCGCTTAGTTTCCAGCCGGTATACTGCATTACTCCAAGTTCTACTAGCTGTATAAGAAGATCCTTCCGATATGGAATTGATAGCGAGAACCAGAATGTAATCTTGCCAACTTCGAACGAAGGGGTAGGTTCCTCTGATATAAGAGCACGTCTCAATTTAGTCATGCAATATAGCAACGATAAACCGTCAATACAAGGGAAGTGAACTGACTAGTACATGCAGTGATTGTCATGAGAATCGCCTGACGATCAGGATTCAATGGGTCATGACGGGCTGCATTGACGAGGTGCACTCGAGGATTGAGCATGTGCTTTGCCTTCTTCTCCGCAGAAATTCCTAGAGCCACCGGGATGGGGTTCACCATGGGGATTGAGACACTTGGTGCAGTGCCCGCCGGGGGAAGGTCTGGGTGTGTGACTCCGAACCAGCGGATATATGGTGTGCGGCGGACTCGTTTGGCCGTGGGTTTGGCGTCAGTGGCTTCATCTTTAATGGGGGGATTGGCGTCGATGGCTTCATCTTTGCTGGTGGTGCAGGTTTTGTGGGAAGGGGATTGACAGCAGAACGCCATTTCTAATATAGCCTGAATGGTTATTATCTCCTGGAGGGATAGAAGGTTGTGAGCTTGTGAGCTTGGTAGCTTGCGGCATGAGTGATCACTCGATGATTAAGCTACTTTATTCGGCGGCTACGCAATGAGCTTTCTAATGTCAACGTCATATTTAGCCTAGGCTACCTGTATTATATCTACTGGGAATCAGATTCATAAAAGATTTTGACTAAATGTATCTACGTGTAGTCTCGGCATCCTGATGAAGTAACAGCTTGCAATTGATCGAACCATGATATATGGCTCTAGTAACCTATGGTGATAATACTTACTGATTTCCCCGACTGCTAAAAAGGCCTGGGGATAAGACCAAATATCTACACTGAAAGTTTCAAAGTCTGGGTGATACCCAGTAATATAGTCTAAACCTCGAGTTGTAGAGCACCGAATGATACTATATGATTCGATCTCCTAGTATGTACTTAAATGCACTATAGCACGGAAGCAAAGTCTGCCCGACGTTGACTCCAGCTTTGATTTCTCGAAATTTCTACCTTGGGGAGGAACATTCTACAAATTACCCTACATGTCTTTCTTCGTTCCCACTTTGAGGCCTGGGGCTGTAACCGCAGGGGTCGAGATCTGCACGCAGGATTCGTCGCGCGCGTGGAAAAACAGAAACCTATGTAACTCCTGAGGGATATGAGATTATAGGAATGTGGCCGGAGGAGGCATGTAGATGCGCTTTCCAGTAGAGTATGTACGAAAGAAAAAAAAAAGGTCAGCTGTCGCGAAATTATTAAGAAATGACGGTGGTGGGGGATGAGGAGGGAATGGCGAATTGCCGTGCGTGAATGTGACAGTAGCGAGAGGAGAGGAAGAAGGAAAAAGCACGGTTGAAGGAGGGGTATTATCTCTTTCTTGCTGGTAGGTACAGTACGTAGAACAACTGGAGGGGTAGATGACTTCCAAGTGGTCGTTACACTGTGTAGCTGAGAGGGGTGGTGTTTTTGCGACACTTGATACATAGATAGAACAAGATGTGGAGATGCGTTCTACCGGTTTATCCTCGGAAGGGTAGGTACATGTAGTTACCGATAGAGTAGAACATACAGGCACAAACAAGAACGGTAAGGGTTTCAGCCGTGCACTGACCAGAAGTGAAGACTCATACCGGTAGCGGGGAGGGAGGGGCGAGGGTTGAGAAGAAGGAAGGGGTAAAAAAGATAGAGAGCCTAAGTGCGAGCCTACAAACACGCCTCTACCTCAGCGCGCACAATCAATCCCGCCAGCTCTTCTCCTCATCGTCTTCCTTAGCCAACCATCATCAGCTTGCGCACCACCCACCACCCACCACTCACTATCACAACCACCCATCTGCCCGTTGTCTAACTCTCAACCATTCCTGTCCACTTCCAACCACTCATCACTCGTTCAGCTCCTGCTCCATCCCTTGCCTACATACACCTCCCTGCCTATCTCTGTCTGCGACTTGTTGCTTCTTCTTCTGCAACTGCCGCGCTTGTTGTCCTTAACCGCCCCTCTTACTGTTACCACCAACCTAAAATAGCCCCCGCTGGCGTCAGATTCTCCCCGCAACCCGTCGACGTCGGACACTCCCTCCCAGACTAGGACTACCTCACTTCAGAACCAACCACCGCCTCCTCACTCGCAAGTCACCAGAGATCAAGTCAGTAACTCCCAGGAAAACCATCACCATCAGCCACAGAATAGTACTGCCCCTGCTCCCGCTTCCCAGAATTTCGGACACTCGCCGCTTTCCACCGTCTCATCCCTCCTCTGGGACTCCCGATACACAACCACTCGGCGGCCAACATTTGCCTTAAAGTCTATAGGCCCTTGCTCTCCAAATCTTAAAGAGGAACTAGACGAGCAAGAGAAAAAGCACAACCGGAAGCCAACAGGCCCGGACGAGGACGGCGAAGAAAACAGAGCTCGGAAGAGTAGAAAAACCACTCCCATAGAAGGGCCACACGTAGAAAAAAGCTCTTCATCTTCTACAAATAGAACAATGGATCAATCCGGAAAACGCCACCCCAGTTCGTTCCAGCAACTCGAGAAGTTGGGAGAGGGTACATATGCTACGGTAAAAGCCGCCACTTCCCCAAATTCTTGGCAGAGTTGATGATTGACCATATCGCGCAATAGGTTTTTAAGGGGAGAAACCGCCAAACTGGTGAGCTCGTCGCGCTCAAGGAAATTCACCTTGACAGTGAGGAGGGAACTCCATCCACTGCCATTCGTGAGATCAGCTTGATGAAAGAGCTCAAACATGAAAACATCGTTTCATTACATGATGTAATCCACACCGAGTCCAAGCTCATGCTTGTATTCGAGTTCATGGATCGCGACTTGAAGAAGTATATGGACCACCGCGGTGATCGCGGCGCATTGGATTACGTCACCATAAAGTCGTTCATGCACCAGCTCCTCCAAGGGATCGCTTTTTGCCACGAGAACCGTGTTTTGCATCGTGATTTGAAGCCTCAGAATCTTCTCATCAATAACAAGGGAATGCTTAAACTGGCTGATTTTGGTCTGGCCCGTGCCTTCGGTATTCCTGTAAACACCTTCTCTAACGAGGTCGTGACTCTGTGGTACCGTGCGCCGGACGTGCTCCTTGGGTCCAGGACCTATAATACCAGCATTGATATTTGGTCCGCTGGTTGTATCATGGCTGAGATGTACACTGGACGTCCACTCTTCCCCGGAACAACCAACGAGGATCAGTTGCAGAAGATCTTCCGGCTGATGGGTACTCCTTCAGAGCGCTCATGGCCTGGGATCTCGCAGTACCCTGAATACAGAAGTAACTTTCACGTTTACGCTACCCAAGATCTGCGTATGATTCTGCCTCAGGTCGACCCGATGGGCCTTGACTTGTTGAGCCGCATGCTACAACTTAGGCCCGAGATGCGTGTCAGTGCTAAAGACGCACTGAGACACCCATGGTTCAACGATCTGAAGCAGCTTCGGGCTGGACTAGCCCAACAGCAGGGACAACAGCAGGCCAGTGCGGAAAGAGCTAGAATGGATGCTGCCGTCAGGGCGCAGCAGATGGGTGCACCAATGGGTGGTCATGTAGGCGGACCAGTCTATTAAGCAAATGGTTATTGGAACAATACGGGTTACGAGTGACGATGCATGGCTCAGGAATAATAGAACAAATGTGTAGGGATTTGGGTTAGCGTGGTTTGTCTTTTTTCCTTTCCTTACGAGGAGACACGGGTTTGCAGATGGCTGGTAGTTTTTATTCCCTTTTTTTTCTTTCTCTTTCTTTTTTTTTAACGGCTGTCTTTCTACATACGTACTCGTGAATTGCAGATGCGTTCCTTCAGGATTTCTGCGCGCGAACCAAAAAAAAAAAACCAAAGCAAAAAAATGGAACTGGAAAAGGTGTGGGGAATAAACATTACCTGTGTTGCAGGTTTTGTAAGCTGTGTTTAGAGGACTGTGAACCCCGCGTAAAGATTTCTTTTTGTATGGTTTCTTGACGATTCTTCATTACCGTTCCCTCAGATGATATTCCCTGCATATCACTCTCTGGGGTTCTATGCAGTCCAGAGTGCACAGCCAGCCTGCCTTTGTGGGACTTGGCCAAACGTAATAACACTGGGGCACTCACGCTGGGTAGGAGTAAAAAGTCGAGTGATGTCTGCGGGCAACAGGCAGCAAAGCCAATAAGAAGAGGGGGCTGGGTTATGAGGAACGATATATATATGCAAAGAACTGGGGTCAAATACGTATTGGGTGTCGTATGTGCGAGAGACCATTTATTGCAAGGGAAACGAAGAGAAAGGAAACTACGTATACAGTTCGAATGTATGTACGCACTGACGGACAGGAAGAGATGGGAAAACAAAGAGGATTGAAGAACCAAAAATAACTGTCCTTCTATTCACTAAACCCCACGCTGACCCCTGTGCCCTGTCCAAGCGATAAAGAGTCGAGTATATATTCCATTGTCCCTTTTCTTTTATTTTGGTCCCTTTTACTGGTGGGCTTCCGGCCTCCCACCCAGTTCATTACCTTATGAATCTTTGAGCTCACTCTGAAGAGAGATCCAGGGGGGTATACTTTGTAATTACATGTATCCACCGTTTATTTCTTGTCTTTTTCATTTTCATTTAGCTCTAGCTCCCCGTACGGAGAGAGCAAGAATTGGGAGGGGGAACAGTGATTTAGACTCTCCTCGGCCCTCGGGCAGCTGGAGCTTAGAGATCAGTGGGAGACTAGCTACATGTATGCCATCGATCTTATAGAGAGAACAAAGGAAAGTCTAAGCCCGGGGAAGCAAGCACGGAGATGGAAGGGAAATAACAGCGATACCCTCTCACGCGGCCCCCGTAACAGCCCAGAGAACCAATAGCAGGCTGCATCCTCCATGAGGAGAGGAGAAGAGGAGGGAAAGGAGGGGCCGTATAAGGTGGGAGGGGGGGCACCCTCAAGCCAGCCATCACCTCTACATCTCTCCCAAGAGTATAGTAAGGTGGTAGTCGGGGTGACTGTTAGAGCCGGTTGGGTCCCTAGTAAGTATGATGTATGATGTGTTTGCCCTTTGCCCAGAGCTTCTTTCGCCTATTGGGCCTTTTGACTTCCCTATTACAGAGATAGACCGCATAATAATCGAATGGATACTGGTCGAGATAATAAATAACGTGGGAAAAACTTATTCGCCTCCCTCTACTGTAATCTCGAGGTTGTATGAGGATGATCATGAAATACTTGCATATAGACCTGGGAAGACTACAAGGGAGCCGGACTGGAAGGTACATGTACGTATCCAAGCGGACTTGGATCACAGAAGATCACTCGGTGCGTTTCTCTCACAGATCTGGGTCGATGGAGAGCGTGGATTGGGCTAAATTTTTGAAGTTCGAATTTAAAACAATTTCTTGTGCGAGTGAGGTTGTATGATGCTCGGCGACCTAGCCAGGTTGAAAGAGTGATGTTAGACCGCGCACGACCTCGTAGTTTGACTAAGCAGTGGTCCGGTTTTTACCGCTCATGTGTTTAAAATTAGTAACGTTAATTAAGGTGGGTTAGAACACCGCTTGCATACTATACTCTAGATACACACTTTAAAAGGCTTGTGATTCGTGAACTTTAGCTCGGGCTGCTTGTAGAATCAGACCTGCAGGGCTAGGGTAAAGGATGATATTATTCTACTTGTATTCTCTCCTTGCTCCATAGAATCTGGATACTTGATTGGGCTTGGAAAGCCTGAGGATAACTATTTCGACAAGTCTCTGTTTTATCAAACCTTCTGACAATCCACCGCATCGAGGCTCAAACCCCTGCAAAGTTTATTCGAACCTAATACCGCTGTAGATTTTATCTCAGCTTCAACCGCATTCACAGCTACCAGGAACGATTATCATTGCCCTGAGCTATCGAGTGATAATTTATGCTTTAGAATCTGCAACGTGTAACCCGTTGACACTAGCCAGATATACCCCCACGGAAACTTGTTAAATGCCTTTTTAAGCCTCTTCTTTTCACCAATTTCAAGGCGCAATCACCCACCAACCACCCGGCATGTCGCGCACAACCTCCAAACAGATCGCTACAGCCCCCGTCACGGCTCCTGACCCTGCTTCCGTGATGACAATTGAAGAGCAGGCGCGCCGCTACCGAGCGCTCGTTAAATCGCACAGACAGCTTGAGGCTCGGTTACGCGAGGAGCAGCGTCTGGCAGAATGGTGGAAGGAACGCGTCGGTGCTCTTGATAAGCGTTGTCGCGATGTCAACACTGAGCTACGGGTGGCGCTGGACCAGAAGCGGGCGCTGATGAAGACGGTGAGGTTCTTGAAGAGTGAGGTTGGGCATCTTTGGAGGTGCCGGTTGGTGGAGGCAAACCAGATCAAAGATACGAGCGCCGACTTAGACGCGTTCCTACAATCGGCAGAAAAAGAGCTGGGTGTTGCGAAGGCTAGCTGGGCCCTCGATAAATGGAGAGGAGAAGAGGATGAGGATCCAGACAGACAGCTTACAAGCTTAAAGGGGACTGAGGAAGCCCAGACAGACTCACGGGCCAAGGATCCCGCGATAAAAGCACTTATACAAACTTTATGGAGCGTGCAGTCTGAGGACTCAATAATCTCAGAAAAGAGTTCAGTGTGCGAATGTGATTCTTCAAGAACTCTCAAGGCGCTATTCCCACGAAGTGATGAGAAGGCAAGAGCTATTGAAGAAGAGCAGCCAGATCCATTAACTGAGATGCTCCTCCGTCGGAGATCTAGGAAAGGCCAAAGTGGAAACGGCACCGCGGAGGAGATGAGAGTGACTACGCCGATTTCTGTCGATCAGGCGCCTACCATTCCCACAGCAGTCAGAACACCTGTGAACCCATCAAATATACAAAAGTCTACTAGAGGCAGCGCATCTCGGCAATTGGGAGCATCGCCTGTTACAGCATCGCCGGCAACAACTTCATCGATTACAGCATCACCACCAGTCACGGATTCACCTATCACGCCTTTTGTTGAAGCTCAGACCCCAGAGGCGCTCTCAAAAGCGAGGAAAGAACATAAACAGGCGCTGAGAATGAAGTTAAAAGCTACAAGAGAAAAGGTTGAGGGAATACGGCGAGAGAACGGTGTTCTGGAAGGGCTTCTCATAGCAGACCGCACTGACGGGACGAGAGGCTAAAACGGAATTGTCTCCTGAAGATCCGTGGGAAGAGTAGGAAGAAAATTTGCGATTTGTTTATATTTGGATGGGCGCCCACAAATTGCGCGACATTTATACGATTTACGAAAAAAAAACCTGTGGAAATGATAGATATTTGGATTAACTTTTACTTGTTGTTGTGGCGGGGATTTATTCCCAATGAGGCATGCGGCGAAAGATTACATATCCCGGCACAGCAGTACAGCTATGACGAAGGAACTCCAGAGTTCTACCAACTCACACCTCTCCCCTGTCTCCTAAATTTATCAAATCCCGTACAAACTCTCCGATGGTGGTTCCACGAATCCCCTATACACTTCCCTTTCCACCTCCGACGATATACCCCTCCCATGCGGTTACGCTTCCCGCCGCAATTGCCGCCGTAACAGACTTCTTACACTCGCGAAATACGGTTCTGCTTACCGGCGCAGGCATATCTATCGAAAGTGGACTTGCAGACTACCGGGGCGAAAAGGGAACATACAGACTTAACAATAAATACAGACCTATATTTTTCGGCGAATTCGCGGGGAGCCATGAGTCGAGGAAACGGTACTGGGCGAGGAGTTTCCTTGGGTGGCCGACGATGGAAAATGCCCGGCCAAATAGAACTCATATGGCCGTATCAAATCTTGGAGAGCTCGGGGTTGTGTCGCATGTTGTAACCCAAAGTATGTTGCATCTGTCAAGCACAATTGGTTGGGCCCAATCTGACATGTCTAGACGTGGATTCCTTCCACCATGTATGCCATCCTAAGTTACCAACAACAGAGCTTCATGGTACCCTTAGAACAGTCACATGTCTCACGTGTCATTCTGAACATCCGCGTATCCCGTTCCAGAAAACCCTTGCCCGTCTAAACCCAAAATGGGCGGATTTCCTTCAGACTGCGATAGAAGTAGGCGCATTCAATAAGAATAACCGCGAAGAAAGTATAAAGACCAACCCTGACGGAGATGTTGATCTCCCTGGCGCGCCTTACACTAAATTTCGTTACCCTCCATGTCCGAAATGTCTCGAGGAAACCCACAACGGCACTGTTTTGATAGATAATGACGGCGCGCACATTCCAAAGCCAGATGATGGTTCAATGAAGGGTATTTTAAAGCCGAATGTTACGTTCTTTGGCGAGTCGATATCCGAGATTGCAAAGAAGGAGGCTTCAAAAGCAGTTGAAGAGGCAGATAACCTTTTGGTGCTTGGGACCAGTCTAGCTACATACTCGGCCTGGAGGATAGCGAAAGCTGCACATGAGAAGGGAATGGGAGTGGGTATTATCAACCTGGGTGGTGTTAGAGGCGAAGATCTGTTTTTCTCGAGTGATGCGAGGGGCGAGAGGATCAGGATTGAGTTCGCATCTGGCGATGTGTTGGGCGGAGTTGTGAAGGAGTTATCGGGGATTGATCATAAGGCTCTCGATACTGCTAATGAGGATACGGTGAAGAGAGCTGGAGGTATTGGACTTGGTGGATGATTATTTATGAAGAACGAGAATGTTTATGGGCTTTTATATTGTAGTGTTGTAAGATATATGAGGTATTTTGTATCAGTGGTGTTTGATATGTTTGTTTTAGTTCTTTACTTATAGTCAAATACACACGATCGTATGTTAAGTTCCGCATACTCCCGGTGATCGACAGATTACGGCCGTACAGCAGCTAAGCTCTTCCAAGTTTAATGAATTAAACAAAAAAAAAAAAAAAAAAGCTCTTCCAAGTGTTTAAAAGAAAGTGTAGATTTACTATTGAATCTATTCCATCTCTCGCCCAGTCATCTGAACAACGGTCTTTCTCGTGATCACCGTCATCGGGAAGCATTAATATCTGCCCCAATGCTTTGAGTTTAGAAGACCGTGACTGTGATGATATACAATAGAGACATCTGGGGTACGGATATCATGAGAGGCCAGTCAAAATTGGGCGTTTTTCTATATATATAGGCTGGCCGGCCATGGTATCTAATGAATACCGCTCGGATCCTCCCGCCTTGTAAATTCAATTCATCAGGAATCATTATGTAACACACAACCGGTACTATAAAGCCCCAATTGAGACATAGTTATTTAGATTTGTCAGAGTAATTTGTACAACTGTCCGCGCGATTTATGTGGGAAAACCGCACAAGGAGCTACATGTAGCTTATATATACGAATGAATAAATTAATCAAACCGATCAAAATAATTATCCAAATCCAAATCAACGAGTCACTAAACACAAAACTAGCGCCTGAAGTTTAGATAATCGAGTGAGAGTATATGATCCAAGCCAAGAATTCGCCTTTGGGCCTGCCTAGTCACTAGTATGCATGCGCATACTACATTCAGAGTTATTGATCATATCAGACCACACCTAGCCCACGTATGACTACATGTATTAATATTACGCATGCAGACTGCGACAACTCAATACTGATGTATATGGCTGCCTAGCGAACATAAATGTATATAGGATAGGAATAGACCCTTCCATACTGCCTTCTGAGCTTCTGTTGCAAGGCCAGCTTGTCACGCCGAGGACAGCTTTTCTTAGGACATAGCTATAAGAAGTTAACAATATTATGTAGGGGGCCTTCTCTTATCCAATCATCATCAAATATATAACTACTCTGTTCATTTCCCCCGATTCCCCGCACTATTCGGCTGGTTAAAACTCATAACGTCAACTGTTCGTCTTCCTTCGGGCTATTTGGAATATCCAACAACTGGTCCTGAGGACCCAACTCTAAGGCCATGACGGACGGGGGCACATAAGGCTAATGTCTTAAGAGCATTAGGTTATGGTCTTTATCAATACGTGTACTTGTAATTATGTGATGGATTATATTTTGGTATGTTCTTACCTTTTGAAACCCCATCTTTTGAAACCTCTGAGTTAACTCAATAACGAGTTGTGGTATCGAAGCACCTCACGGGACAAGCTTAGGGTCAGACGTGCCCAAGGCAGCTCAGGATTATCCATTCTAGCCTCAAACGGTCTTGTAGACTACGCGGTCTCTAGTTCTGCGGTCAACTGTCACTGTAAAGAGCTTTTGTACTTGTGGTATTATAATTCTATCTTTTTAAATCTTGCGGTGAGGCGTTGGGCCCATCCCCTTCCAATCGTTTGCCGTGAGAGGACTAATACTTGTAGATACATGTTAAACCTATGAATGTAACTGTTCCTGCGGGTTGATACATACATGTACTCGGGGCAGGTAAGAAGAACCTGAAAATGACTTTTGATGGTAACAACCTCTGATTCGCGGCTGGCGAAAAGCTACACCAAATTGAGCACCTGCTTGCAGCTTGCATTTTCAGGTTCTTATTGCCTGCCCCGAGTACATATCTCGCCTTGAGACTAGTGGACGACTGATATTTAGGCTACCTGGGTTCACGGTTATATCATAAGGCTCGGGAGCAATCCTACAATCTAGGCTCGCGTGCTCCGCGGGAAAGATCTACTTTATTTACCAAGGTCGATTGACCGCGTTTCTCTACATGAGACTCAGGCTCCCCATTGCTTGCGGTATCCCGTTTACTGCAGTAGTTGCGACTTTAGCGCCGAAGCCTAATGCACCTGAGTGTTGTGTTTTGATCGACTAGGTTTGATCGTCGGGATCACAAAATATCACTCTGTAGGTCATCAGTATGACTAACCACTTTCAGTATTGTCCGGCTCAATAAGTTTGTGTCCGTCGACTGGACATTATACAATGTTCGCACAATTGCGCACCTGAGAGTAAAGCAGAGTATTTACTCGACAGGCAAACGATTGAGTTTATGCAGGGATCACGGTCTGGTAACATGAGCCTCAGGAGCGAGTGAAAGATCGATTAGATTGATTAGGCATCTCGGCCCAGAGCGGAAGATTAAGAAATGACGAGGCCAAGAAAGACTGACTTGAGACCGCCCCACATCCAGCAAGTGGGGTAATTCGGCACGAAATCTGAGACTCTGTTGAACAAAGAAAAGTAATCGTACGATACTCGCACAAGGGTAAGGGTCCACTGTACATGAGCGATCAGCTACCTACCTATGTATGTACGTTTCTCGTCTTTTCTTTTCTTTTTTTTTTTTTGAAGACTCAAAAACACTGGATTGGATAGAGAGTACAACAGCATTTCCAACAGCATTTCCAACAGCATTTCCAACAGCAACTCTCTGGCTGAGGGGTAAATACACGTGCGTCGTGGCAAAACTCAATACTGGGTTTTTCTGTCCACTCTCGCGGGTCAAAGGGCTTCAGATGGTGATAGTAATTTCTGGTCTGGCCTTCCCGAGAACGAGGCGACGGTTCTCGTGTGAGATATGATGTAATCGGACAGTGGGCTGGATTGTTATCGTAGGCGAAAAGGGTTCGCGGGAAGGCGATAAAGGGAATAAACCGATGGGCGATCTTGTCCAGTCCGACGTTGAGCGAGTGAGGTTGGAGGAAAATCGATGGGTGACCGATTTGACCGACACTTACCTCACTCCCCCTCGCCCTCCCGCTTTGTTCCCCTTTCCGAAGATAGGAAGCGAAGGGAACGGTATCAAGTACCAAGATTTGTTACTCCTGGGTAAAGGTATCGTGAGCAATCTCCACCGTTCAAAGATTACAAAACCCGAATCTTCCGTATGCATCTATCAAGGTCTCTGAGGTGGGGGGAATCCAGGTAGAGGGGGATATTTGGGGGGGGGGGGGGGTAGAGCAGTGGTAGTGATGTTGGCAGTGTGTACTTTATGCGGACGTGCTTTCAACAGGGAGTAGGTGCACAATGCCTACTGCAACAGTACTCTTCTGTACCGTGTATCTACGGGCTGGCCGCTGTAGGGTCTCTCTTTACTTATGCGACTTTGTGACTTACCATTCCAGTGAAGCAGCAAGGCCGCAAACTACAACCCATGTAAAAAAAAAAAAACCCCGTTGTGCCACCAAAAGTTATGGTAATGGAAAAGGAAAGAAGAAAAAGAGGGCGAAGAGAGAAGCAGTCTCCAGAGAGTGGAGTGTACGCTATCCCCAGAGCGTATATCTATTAGCTGCTAGTACTACAATTACCTCCACTTCTAATACTACGAATCCCCTCCCTTCTCACTCATTTCTCTTTCTCTCAACGAACACAAACAACATCGTATGCTCATTGATAAAAATCTCACGATATATCACCACACTTATAAAGCCATCAATCCCACGACTAAACCCACCCCTCCTCATCTCATATACACCAAGAAAAAAAAAATCTCACTCACCACCAACGAACCACCATTACCATCACCACAATGACTCTCGGCCACCCCAAACTCTACGCTTACCCCTCAAAGGAGTCTCTCCAATCCGACCTCTACACCTACGTCCTTCAGGCCCAAACCGACGCTTTTGCGCGCCATTCAAAGTTCAAGGTCGCTGTCTCTGGCGGCTCTCTCCCAGCCTACCTCGCCTCACCACAACTCATTTCTTCCTCAGAGATTCAATGGTCTAAGTGGGAGATCTTTTTCGCCGACGAGCGCGCCGTGCCCCTCGACCACCCCGATAGTAATTATGGCCTCTTCAAAAAGGAGCTCCTCGACAAGATCCCTTCCGAAAACGGCCAGCCAACTGTCGTCCCCATCGACGTTCAGTACCTGAACGACACACAGGAGCTCGCCGATGCTTACGAGCAGGCGCTTGTGCGCTCGTTCGCCGCAAAGGACTCGGTCAAGCTACCGATCTTTGATCTGATCCTGCTTGGGTGCGGGCCCGACGGGCACTGCTGTAGTTTGTTCCCTGGACATCCGCTGCTGAGGGAGGATGTGGCGTGGGTTGCGCCAATCGAGGACTCACCAAAGCCGCCGGCGAAGAGGGTTACTTTGAGCTTGAGCGTTGTGACCCATGCGGTTAAAATTGCGTTTGTAACGACGGGAGAGGGCAAGCAGGAGGTGCTCAAGAAGATTTTTGATGAACATCCGGATGTCCAGGGAGGCCAGGTCCTCCCGTGCGCGCTTGTGAACAGGGCCGCTGGGGAGAAGGTTAGCTGGTTTTGCGACGAGGCTGCGGTGAAGGGCGTCGCTTTCCCGAAGAAGAGTTCGCTGTAGGGAATAATCGATTACTCTCCTCCTCCCTGAGTTTTATTTTACCTTTTTTCTTTCTTTCTCTTTTTCTCTTTACTCTTGGCCGGGTGATACTCCCCTTGCCAAATGCAGAATCAGTACTACTACTAGTATCAACTGTTGTGTTGTTTGTTTTTCTCGCTTCTATCCTGTTCTGTCTTAGGTATCTTTTTTCTCTTTCAATATCTTTACCACGATCCTAGGATTCACGACGTCACGAAAAAACGGTTTAGTTAGATCATAGATGGATGGAAGTGTTTTTCTCTTATTGGAAAATTGGGTTGGGGCTGGGGGGTTTGTCAGTGGTGCTGGGCTTAAGCTTGGAATCGTGTACTTTTCTTTTTCTTTCCCTACTTATTCAGTGAGAGGATATCTATGCTTTGTTTTACTGTTGCTATGTACTCAAAACACTTATTGTTTACTCGCTGTTCCTTGATTAGTTGACTGAGTGATCCAATATAATGCATCTCAAAGGGTACACCCGTAATGTCAGCCTGTCGCGCAGGGTTCATGGGTCCTCACTCGACCCCCACTCTATCCAATCGCACCGGCCAGCTAGCTGCTACCCTGCCTTCCATAGGCCTTCCACCGTAGATCCGGGTCGGACATTCTGTAGATCTAGTCCGCCCTGGCAAAAAAGAAAGAAAACCATTCCTTGGTCCCAGGTACCTCCCTGTGTGTGACGCAGTGCTCATTTGGTTTTTCCAGAAATCTATTCATTTCCCTTTCACAAAATAGATACGGCACATGTCAACAGCACCCCCCCCCCCCCCCCCCAAAACACGGAAGTGTGTGTGGTAGAGTTATGGTTCGTTCACTTCCCTACACGTGACGTCATGGGGGAAAACAACGACACCGACAGCTTGGTTCACCGTTTTTAACATAGATGGAAGCCGTACTGATCAACAGCAACACCACTACTCAACTCGACTGCCGAATAAACTAGCCCGCCTGTTTGCAATCAATAAATTAATTGTCAGTGGTCTTTGGTATTGCCACTGAACTCGCAGGGCAATTCGCTGGATACAGATGTCAGGTTCACGTGCGATCTGCAAATTTTAATCTCTGAACCCCTGGAAACGGGAGCTGAAGCCGAGTGACGGATGTTGAAGGGATATGTAACTGACATATTTCTTTGAATCAGGTTTGAGACACGATGATCTAGGAGTGACAGTTGTAAGCTCCTGGGAACAAGAACTGGCGGTCTACTTTGAAGATCCAGGTGCTTGTTTGGCTCTCTGACTCATGACGGATATGAACGGAAGATATAGATAGCCAAGCTGGAAATCCTCCATTGATACCGATCTCTCTCAGGCTAAACCACACGGCTTGTGGATTGACGGCAAGCATTGCAGTGGCATCTTAGAATGGCATATTAGCTCATCACGAACGGTCAGTTCACATAATCATAGAACCTTACTTCGGCAGAGCCTTTTGTCCTAGTGGCTTTGGTATGACCTTCTCGATTAGGTCTTTTCATCGTTTTTAAACGACTTATCTGAGGAAGTTATATACGGCTTAAGGCAACGAGACAGGATTATCTAGATGGGAATTGAAAACACGGTGAGCTGGGTTTTTTTCTCTTCCGTCACAACCTATCATTCGCTCCTGAAATGTGGCTATATACATCCATAAATATTTGTTCTGATAGATATACTACATCTTTCTATAAATGTTTACTTGATAGGTAAGGATTAAACTTCGTGAAAGCCGTCCCTATTAGTGACTGCTAGCGAGACGTTAACTCACTAGTCGTTCAAGGGTCATTGTAGTTTGATATTTTATTTCCAAAGAAAAAAGAGAAAGATAGATGATAATAATAATAATAATAATACAACTTCAACTACTTTATCTTCCAAATCCGGCTAGGTTTACAAGATTGTGAACGGAACTACATGTGTGTAGGTAGTCTTTGCGTAGTATATACGGGTTACAAAAATTACTACACACCAACGACAACCAACAACCACCAAAGTAAGTATATTTCGACAACCACAATAGATATGAAAAAGATGATTCTATATCCATGAATCTAGAGAGTTAGGGAATTATATGTAGTACTCCTGTCTATGACTGGAATGAAACGGATTGAGAACCGTGTCTGGTTGCTATGCGGGAGTACGTAGTTATTTTTGTAACCTGGCAATACGATAAACTCAGAAAAATAAAACCTCTATTTATACGAAATACATTCTCCTGACTTCAAGAAATCATACAAACAACTCGGAAATGAAATACACACTAACACTTGATTCAGAGTACACAGCAGAAAACAAGAGGCAAAGAGTGTAGTAGGCTCATGGACCTAAGCAAATAGCCCATCTAATGTCAATACCAGATTGTAACTCAGGGATTAAATGAACTTTATAAGCTTGTCAACAAAAAAGCCAGAAACGTTGCAGTAATAACAAAAAAGAATGATACAAAACTGTCATAAACTGCCGAATCCAAACATGTCTTTATTACAAACAAATCAAGCATAAACAAACACAAATTTAATCAGCTAATCATCAATAACACCCATCCAGATGAAGATACACAAAACCACTGTGTGTGTAACAACTTACCCGTCAAATCCATTGTTCGCGCCCATGCCCATGCCAAAAGAAAACAAATAAAACAAAAAAATTAAAGTGCTTCTCAAGTAGAAAACCCATCGCTGTATCAATCATCAGTTCCCTGTATACTCAAGGACCTCGCAATCGTCTTCAAAAAAGCCCTCGTCCGTCCCGATTTCCGTTCCAAATGCGCCCCCTTTCACACGCCGCCCTTTCTTCCCAACAATCTTCTTCTTCCCGTTCATCCCGGTACCCTCCAGCTTTAAATGGCTAGCCATAGCCTCCGCAAGACCACCTTCATCGCCAGCAAACTCTACCTCTCCGCGAGCAGATCCAATGTTCAATTTTTCTGCTGGTAACGGCAAACCGAAAACCCACTGGTCCGCTGATTTCTTCCTTTTCTCTGGCGTAGGCGACTCTGGGCGAGACACAGGCGGTGAAAGAGCGGCAGGCGTAGCTGCACCGCGCTTACCACGGCGTTTGTGCTGAGTATCTTGTCTCGTCTCGTCATGCTGCCAGTCATTACCTCGCTGTGGATGCTGTTGTGGAAGCTGATTACTGCTGCCATTATCCGTGTAGACGAATAGACGTACATGCCGGTCTGTGTGGAAAGGGGGGAAGACAGCGTTTGTTTCAATCTCGGCAAATGAGAGTGGGTGTTGGTCGTATTTTGTCTGTTCTTCGCTGCGGTGGTGGTGGTAACGTCCACTCCAGTAGCCACCAGCTTGTTTTTCCTCGCCCTCAATTGAGAGTTGCTGCTGCTGTTGAGACCCATCAGGGAGGAGCGGAAGCTCATATTCGAGATAATTGTTCATGACTACACCACCACCGTTTTGACGTTTTTTACTTCCACCACCGCCAGGTTTAACCTCATAGATTCGTAATATCCCTCCACCATTCATAGCCACGTAGCCTCGTTCTTTCCCAACAAGAAAGCGGACGCAACCAGCAGTTACAGCGCCAAACCCCTGGGGAAGAGAAACACGAATTCCACTATTATCATTGGGAGAGCCGCTATTGCTATTATTTTGGCCGCCACGTTTGGCAGGGTTACCAGCACCGCCATTGACAAATATTCCCCCACTTGGGGATCCAGAGCTTCCTCCACTTCTTCTTCGTCTAGCAGCTGAAAGTAACGGCTGTGTAGAACTGCTTAACAGGTTCACCGCTCCCGAAACTGCTGCACCTGCCGCACCACCACTACCTCCGGTTGTGACCGCACTGGAAGATGGCGGTGGCTTTCTCGGGGGCGGCCATTGATAGGCTCCGCTAGGCAAGTCATAGAAATGAACAGTCCCTTTCTCCGTTACCACGGTCAACTTTTCACCCCGCGGACTAGACCACCCAACATCTACAATCGTCGCAACTGTCAACCGGTTGAACCTTGCTATTTGTCTGACATGTTTCCCTAATGCAGCTGGGTCTGGAGCTCCAATTGTTGAACCTGCCATCTTAGCAGCATCCAACCCACCCCGAGAGACGCACTTGTCTTATGACCTAGTGATGGATTTCCAGGCGGGTGATGTATAGCTCTCATAACATCCCAAACAAACAAGGAATCTCCCTTCGTACTTGCAGTCAACAGAGCTAGGCCTCCCGGTGCGAAGCTCAGATAGCTGACGCCTCCTTGAGGCAGAAAGGTCGCCATTGGCGTAATGCTTCCCTGTTGAGTCCCAGAGCCACCATCTCCATGCAAGATCTTGTTTAAATCTAGGATACCAACAAGCCTTGGTTCGTTTGTAGGCTGTTGGGCCGTATTTTGAAAGAACTGGGTTTGCGGCGGGGTTCCGCCCATCTGCTGCATTTGCCGTAATTGCTGGCCTAATCCACTTGGTTGGGTATTCCCTTGAAAACTTATCATACTTCCATTAGGCATCCCGTACATTCCTCCATTGATGCCAGCTATTGGTAACGGGGGTGCCGGAGGCGGAGGAGCACCATTGCTCTGGTTTCCATTCCAATAACTTTGCAGTGCTTTCTTCCCGGTCTCAGTCGCCCACTTGGCACCACGTATAAACTCTTGGGTAACTTCTCGAGTAAACCGGTTGAGTAGGGCCTCATCTTCGGCAGAAACGGCGACTGTGAGGGAAGGCTGGATTGGAGGGCACTGAGATGTTACGGATGGAGAATTGCAAGCTGCATCGACTTCACCTCCGGCGTGAACAGAAGAGCCCGCGGATGCAGGGCAGTACGCTAACCACCCATTAGAAACAGAAAACACCGGCGTCCCGTCAACAAAGCCGTTCCCTGCAATACCACTATCGACGGAAAAGCTGCCCTGGTGGTTTGTTTGCACACATGTCCACACCTTTCCAAGACACCTCCATTCAGCTTGTTCTTTACTTCCTTTTCTGAGAACCCCATCTTCAAGGCCAAAAATGTACAATTCCCCACTGACCCCGACACCTACAACTACTTTTGTGCCAGTCACCTCCACCCGCAATCCACCCCATGGTGGTGGTGGTCCACCAATACCAAAGCCAAAATCGGCGCTAGGGACTACTGGGCTGGTAAACAGACTAGCGATTTTCTTCCTCGAAGATAAACTCCAAATTTCAACTCTGGTCTGCCAATCTGTTGCATTCGCTGGCGAATGATGTCCACTCCTGTTAGATGCAGAGGTTGAAGGACGAGAGGGTGGAGATGTCGAGTACGGGGTTTCTGTTTCCTGTACTATGGGTGGGTCTGATTCAATGGGCACCACAGAAGAATGTATCGTGAGGCATATCAAAGGTCTATGGGCTGCAAGAGGATCATTTCGAGGCGGGGTGGGTAAAATCTAACGAAGTTAGTTTTATGACTCACACCAAATTTCGAAACTCAGGGTTTCCTGCAAAAAGACAGTGAAAACATCATATCGAGAAACAACTAGTCCTCGATTTTAGATTTAACAAGAGTGTTGTGTATTACCTTAGCACTCTTCACCCCACCTCCAAGTCCTTCCAATCTGCCAACCTGCTCCAGAACACCTCTTCCAACCTTCCAAACATCGACACCACCTTCCCAACCAAGACAGAGTACATTATCGCCTCCGCCACTGCCTCCGCCGTTGCCTGTTGTAGCACCTGCATGACCTCCGAAAGGTTCATCTAAAGTATCAAAACTACAGGCGTAGTTTCCCTCCCCCGGCTGTAACTGAGGTTGTAATCCCCCAAATTGCGGACTCAATGGGATTGGTGAACCCTGCACAGCATATCGTTGGCTTGGGTTGTAGTAACCATTACTTCCTGGAGCGCTGTGGTTTGTGAATTGCTCTTCAAAACCTGGATACCCGCGAATTTGTCGAGGATTCCCGTTACTACCGCTATAGTTCCCACCAGATGAATATGAAGCGGGTCCACTTGGAGGAGGAGAAACACCGACGCCTAGACCAACGCCGCCCGAAGCTGATCCAAGACTATTGGGGCCGTTTGTAGAGGGTGTTGAGCTAGACAAGAACGACGCAAATGGGATAGACCGTGGAAAGAGGTCTGTTGCGTTTGGTAATGCGGAGAGGAGTGGAGAAGCTGTGTTGGAGAGATGTGGTGATCTTGGTGCAGTGTGACGACTATTACTGTTTACCACCAGCTTTAAGTTAGCTATTACTCATTAAGCGTTGGCCATATTACCGGGTAGTCTTTGGGCAAATGTTATGGTGATAATAATAAGGGGGTAGACAAGGAGGTTTAATGAGATTATGACTCAAAGAAATAAAGTGGGAATCAAGCGGGGGTACTGACTATTCTCTAGGATAAATTCTAGCTCTCGAAGAACCAAACGCGTTTCCTCCTCCAAGTGCTGAGGCTCCAGGTGCGGGCGCAGTAATAGGGAGTGGTTTAGAAGGTAAGGACGAGGAGGGGGTATTGCGGTATTGACGAGGATTCTTGTAGTGGTCGGTAAACGCGGGCATATAGTCTTTATTACTTGAGTACGGGCTACAAAGCTAAGCTGTTCTCTTTCTGGCCCTTCCTTTTGCAGACTGAGAATGTCGAAAGGGAAGAGAGAAAGAGAACAACAGGAAGCTAGCAGAGTCTAGAGAGTTTTATAGTAAAGTAGAGATGTCCCGAGAAAACGGGAACTAGAGGTCTGGATAGTTGGCGAAGCTGAATAGATGAAGCAATATTGTCCGTGTGGATATTTAGAACACTGTATATATGGTTTGTATTGGTGAAAGCTGATGTATGTAAGGATGAAAGTACTGGCTGGTTATTGTGTTAATGTATTGGTTGATGGATAGCTGCAGGAGGTGGGAAGGATGGCAGGAAGCTCTGAGGCGGGTAGAGCAGGGTGAGTGATTATGAGAGCAATGACGAATAGGGACGCAGAAGGTAAATTGTGGAAATAGCTTGTTGGAGCTCTTTTGAGCGGAAGGGCACAGGTGAATAGAGGTAGAAGCGGGGGAGCAGTCCTAGAGCTCTCCTAAGTACATGTAGATAGAGTATAAGATAGGAATGTATGTAATAGGTACCTACTTGATCTATGGGTTTTGTTGTTATTGTTATTGCTGGCAAATATATATGGTAGAAGTGGTAAGTATCTATTTAGAAGAAAGTACTACAGGTTAGTTATGTTGGAGTCATGCACGAGAGCTGTAGACTCCTGGAGGTGGGGTTCGCCGCCCGCGTTCTTGGGTTGATTTGTACGCTTCACCCAATCCTATTGCCCAGCGTCTGCATGAGGCAGCGGTACAACACAAGGACACCCGATGCTACTAAGTTAGATTCCCATCACACACGTTCCAGGATTACGAGATGCTTCTACCCCTTCCACTTGCTTCTGACGGCCCGGTCCCCTTTTCCAGTTCTTGTGCCTGCGTTGTCCGCCTATCTCCAGTACAACACATCAGATAGGGCCTTCCTTCACTTACCCAGAGTACCTAAGATCCAGACTTCCGAGGCTATCTAATCTTTAGGGTACAGAAACGGTATTCTTCGGCTAAGACCGTTGGAACCCGGAGCTGCTTCTCCTGCTTCTGCCAGTGCACGAGATGAGACTGAGGAGGGGTTCCCGGTACTCTAGATAACAAAACACTTGCTGGTTCGTAGCAGTTATCTACCCATTACAATAGGTCTCTCTGGATAATTTACTCGTCCCATTTCAAATAGGCTCTATAAAATGTATCTAACCTACATGTAGGTACATGTACCTTAGCAGGAAATTAGGTGGATGTAGGGTGCTCTGCTCTCTAGTAAGGGATGGTGGATGGGGTCGAACAAAGAAATCCGCTACTCTGCTCCCAGACCCGTGGACAGTCTAAAAGGACCTGATTCCCTTCGGTGATCATCATAATCATCCGGTAGCAAGTGCCCAATCGATAAGCAACAATGCTCGTCGCGGGGTTTAAGGCAATGAGACCGCATCAAAGATCTCCTGTGGCTAACAGGCTGAATCTTGGTCAGGTGAACAGGTAAACTGCTGCTCACACATCCTATGGGCTGTGGCACAACACCCAGCGGTAAGTATCACGTTGCCAATGATGTAACGATTAGGCCTCTTTATTTTACCCTTCTGTTCTGTGGGAGAATCCAGGGCCTGGGTTTATCCCATGGACAAGGTTTGAGTATGAGGAGGTTCCACCTTACTAAACACCCACTAAACTGCTTGTAAATAGGTATTGCTTCACTCAAGGACCTACGAGAGGGTTTGAGTATTATTCGACAGTTGACAAAGACACATGCTATGTAGGTACCTACTCTACTTTGTTTACTCCATGTATGTAAATACAAGTACTTACTTACATGTAGCTAGGTATGTAGAGCACATATATGATCTGCAGATGAGTGTTTGAAAACAGCAATTAGGCCTAGGGTTCAGGCGTCCACTTCCCTCTGGTTTGTCCGCGAAGCTCCTTGCCTCGCTGGCCCCTTTCCCGCTCTCAGTTTTAGGCCGATGGAAAGCGTTGAGACCATAGCTTCACCTAACACTTGTTCATGTCGCCTGCATACTTCCATGAAAGGTAATTCAAGAAACAGATCGCTGCGACAACTAACGAAGCCTTTCAATTATTACTTGTGTATGCCGTATGGATGTACCGGTACTACATGTACCTACATGTAGTAAAATACCAAGGGCATATCATCAAAAAGAAACCAGTTTCTCGTAAAAATTCGTCTTTTTTCTTAGGACTGAATAGGCTCGAATAAAAGACTCTCCCGTACCAAGTCCTGACTGCATAAGTAGCAAACCGTTCACCCATTCTCAAATCTAAGCAAAGTAATATATGTTATCACGTAGTGATTTGATAATCGCCAAGGCTTAAAAAAAAGAACACTCTGGGGTACAGTCAAGCTCTTTCGGTGTTCGGTCGCAGTACCTACTCTCCCCCCACCATTCACATCGTCATCACCACAGACCCAGATGTTCCATTTACCCCGACTTTTTTGAGCATCAATTTCTAAATCGCTGTTCTAGCAATTAACTCCGCCCATATTCTTAAGCCATCGCAATCATCGTTATCACCACTATCGAGAGCTTTCGGATATAACCGGTGAATCTTTAATCCCCACTATCACAATCGTCACAACGATAGTAGCAGCTCTTTGCTCCTCCTCACAAAGCCCCCAAAAGGTTCACCCACGTCTTATCGTACATCCGTCACCACGGCTGCCTCAAAGCTCTCCGCTCGACTGGAAGCCCTCGTCTTCCAAGACACTGCGGACATGCAGGTCCTACCCCCGCCACCCGCCTCGAGAGGCCCTGATATCCTCACCAATCCGGTCATCCTTGAATCCATACTTCCTGAGCTACCTCATGTGTCAGACATCCTTTCGCTACAGTTGGTCTCTCGTCAACTGTATCTACTTGTTCAGCCCCTCCATCCCCTCTATGCTCGCGAGATCTCTTTTGCCCACCTTCCAGAAGTCAAAAATAAGGATCTCATCACAGTATTACATCGCTCCCTTCGCCCAGGCCCATCAACTCAGCGTCGGTTATTATCCGATGGACGAACTGTGACCGTTGGCGAGGGAATAGGGAAGGCTTATGTTGGTCCTTGGAGATTTCTTCGTTCCATCACATTGACGGGCACAGCTATCACTGGGAGATCTGTTAAGCTCTTAATTGCTGCTTCTTCTGGTGGTAAAATCCCAGGACTACCGGAGTTACTTCGTGAGAGGCAGACAATTCATTCAAATGGCGACCTTGAGATTCTGGATATCGATCACGGTGTAACTAACGGGTTCTTCGCCAAGGAATTTGGGTCCATTTCTCCAGGGGCTTATCGGCTTCTCGCCGATCAATCGCTACGTCTAGATAAGCTGTGCATTACAGATTGCCCACAGGTCGAGATTACCGACATCAATAACTTCTTAAAAAAAATCTTGATAGCTGTAACTGCCCCCAAGCGCAGAGAACTGAGACTGAGGGCATCACAGCAAGCTGCAGTTGTCGCCGCCCAACATCAGCTGAATGGGCCTCCAAATATCCCCCCACCTTTTGGTGCCCCCGCTGCGCAAGCTGCTGGCAACGCCCAAATCGGCGCGATAATTGCTCAGCAGCAATTACAACAGCAAGCGCCGACTCTATCAGAGGACTTGACTAGTATTCCATACCCACTTCCTGCCACCGTCGAAGAATTGGCAGAGTTTGGTCTCCCTTGTTTGTCGTTGAGGCGCCTTGAGGTTGCAAATGTTGGTGGACTGTACGTGGACCCACCAGAAAGATTTCGAGGGAAAAAGGAGTGGAACTATTCCAAAGATTGTCCCTTTGGGCGTAATATTGGGAGTCTCAATTCAATTGCGGGCTGTCTCGGCCTTGACGTCGATGTTCTCTTTTGCCAAGGTGCAGGCTGTGCCACTAGTTCAGACAATGGTAGATGGCGGCAGAGTAGTCCTTACGGGTTCGATGCCGACGATTTTGATTCCTTCGATGGAATTATCCCCGACTTGGCAAATTCCCGGGAGCACAATCCTCAAGCTCCATCTCAAAGCGGCGAACCCTCAGTTTCTAGCAACAATGACAAAGGCAATGCCCGTCGTTCCTACCATTACCCACTTCCGCGCCTTCCCGGGGAAAGAATTCTTATGTCAGAGGATGGACGTATCTTCAGGATTCCGAGACACGCACTCCCTAATACAATTAATCAACCACAAAACCTACAAGCTCCAATGAACCAACTCCATCAAGGGAATCAGCAAATAAATCAGCAGGCACAACAGCATGCCATGAATATTATGAATAACATGTACCCCCAGAACCATAATATACTACTCAATATGCCAGGTGCGTTCCCGGGTGCCGGTGCGGGTGCGGGTGCGGGTGTGGGTGCGGGTGCGGGTGCGGGTGCGGGTGCCGGTGCGGGTGCCGGTGTTGGGGTTGGGGCTGGAGCTGTGGGTGGGGCTGCGGGTGGGACGGTGGCTGCGCCTACGACTGTGGCAACCTTTGGCACTGGCCACTTAACCTTTGGACCCAACGGTTGGCCAACGGTGACTGTAATGAACGGCGGTAACGGTGGCAATGGCGGTGGCACAAATGGATGGGCGAGTAACCTCTTTCTCCAGGATCCCGCGCAGTACGGACTTGGAACGTTGCACCATCCACAGCATCATGATAACCAGACACAAGCAACTGTCCCAGATCAGACGCTGATGCAGATGAGTACGCAGACCTATCCTGGAACTGGTACCGATCCCAATTTACCACCAAACCCTACAGTACAGCCACCTGGTACTATCACTCCAGCAATCACTTTGGCTCCGAATACTCATCATAATATTGAATTTGGTCCTGTACTCCCCCCAAGCTTAGGGGAGCCTAGTAACATCAACGCAATTGTTAGCCAAGATTTAAATACGGATACCATCAACTCTTCCCAGGAACCAAATATAGATAATGGGCAGCCCAGCGGTACTATCTGGCAAGGGCTTTTAGCTACTTCTGTGGTGGATGCAAATGGTATTCAAACTCCACCTTACGGTCAGTCAGCATGGAATAGTGAAACCGCACAACCGATGTCGGCGCCTGGGTCTTCGTCATCTGCTTTCGGATCTTCTCTTAATCCACCTCCCCCAATTTCCACCGCATTAACAACACAATCGACTCCTGAAGTTGCTCATGCACAGTGGGACCCCGGTCCAGCCACGCCTCCGACTCCTATACTAGCGTCAGCACCAACACTAGTACCAATACTAGTACCAGCATCCGCACCAACTCAAAATCAAAACCAAACCGCAACTGCAGGTGTGGTTCAAGTCGGAAATCACACACACCAGAACCAAGGCCCTGTTGCACAAATGATACAGCCATATTTGCCAGCAGCAGTGGGTGCTGGGATTGGGAATCCACATCCGCACCTGGTAGGAGGATTTGCACCAATGGTACTACCGCACCTCCCCAGGAGGCGGAATAACTCACCTGGTGGAAGCCGCGGTGGAGCAGGTCAGACAGGGGCGAGGCCTGGGAGAAGAATTGCCATGTTGGACGGGCCAAGGGGGCTTTGTGAAAGATGCGAGAGAGAAGTATGGCTATGCGATAGTTGTAACAGGTACTGGGTTGTTACTTGTGGAGGATGTGCCGCAAAACATTAAATCAGATACTGTCAGAGTAGGGAAGAATGTTCTTGACGCTTTTCATAATCTTGGTGGGTTGGTTCTTCAATTTTATTATTATTATCATTATCATTATTTCATTGGAAACGGTTTAGGGTTTTCTTCTTTTATCTCTTATTCGTTTCCCCCATTATTTGGTTCATGGTTGTTTGGGTTTTCATATAGGTTGGTATACTTTTCACTTCTATTGGCTTCCTTGAGATCATTCCCCGGTTGCTATTTCCTCATTTTTTTCTTTCTCCTTTGTCCTGATTCTTTTCTTTCTATATGGCTTTGATATATATGAGAAAACTTGGGTAGCGACGAAACGATAAAAAAAAAATTGGTGTAGGGCTAGATCAAAATGTCGAGCGGGTATGGGGGCTTCGAGAACGAAAAATTGCGGTATCACGGGTATTCTACGAATCAAATCTTGCTCTTTACATTTAGGGCAATTGATATCGTAGCATTTCATTTTTTTCTCATACACCTTTTTTCTGCTTCAATACCTGAACTGGGTTTGAGCAGGTTTACTGAAAGTCATTAAATCGGGTTCAGGCGTTTTAATCCGGGTAGACGATAGAGGCATGGTTTTTAGGTACTCTATGACTGTAATGATCTTTAGAATAGACAATGATAGAGTATATGTACATGTACTTAACGAGACATGGTTATAGACTCATGGAGTATCACTCGATTCGTTTCCCTTATCGCGTGTGTAACCGTAACCGCAAGTGAAACCCGTCGCTGGTCACTTGTTCCGCAAATACCAGATTACTGCATGCATGCCCGTTACAGACATTGTTCATTCCCAGGCGTTTTAAAGTTTAGTCTTTAGTCAAAGGAAGGAAAGGAACTCCATGTAGGCTTAACTACATATTAGAGTTCTGTCGAAGAGGTCACAAGCACCGTCTTGACTCTTAAGCTCATTGAGGGACGTTATGTCAAACGCTCCTCAAGCAGATAATCATGCCCCGTGTACCTTGGTGCTTTATTCCAACTCTTCATTGTCCCTCTTGCCAAGATCCAACATTGGATGAGACAGCAGAGGCTTGGCAGGGACAAGATTCATCGGCAAAAAATGACGCTTGGCATCTGGGGTATAAAATGGTCGGGAGCCTCAAACTTCTCTCCCCTCCCTAGACAGACTGCCAGCAAAAAAAAAAACATTACTTACGGCCTCCTTCTGTGGTGTCAAAGCCACATATCGGAAGGGGGTTTTCGCGCTGGCAGAGAACAACTATACGGGCCCATGGCTGGGCGCCTGGCTTCGATGAATGTAACAGTTCAGAGGAGAAGTTGGGAATCAGCGAGGGTTATAACCATCCACCTTCATACTTGTTTGTAGTATGAAGTAAAACTTCCCCCCTCCTGTATATAGGATTTTAAGATGGCGGATATATAGCACAATAACAATAACTATAATAATATTTTTCTTAATTGATAGACTCCCTTTCGTCCTGTGTCCTGCCAATGTAACAGTCTTGATCTGTGAAATCTTCAACCCCTCTTATCGACTTCATGCTGTCTTTCCTACCTTCTTCGGACTCTTGTGCGTGAAATTGGGCATGCATTCGTGTCCTTTTTCAATCAGTTTGATGGTCTCGCGAACCAGGCTCGTTCACGTCGAACGCTTACGCGGCGTTTCAAGTATCGAGGCTTCGACGGAGCAAACGGGCCCTCCAGGATTAAGCTTCTCTGGGCCTCGGCGGGTAGTGTTCCGAGATAGATGACGTTGGCCTGTCAAGATGGCTACAACGGGGCCTAATCTGAGTTGAGCAGAGAAGGTTATTTGCTTACTTCCGGCGAGAGGCCTGGTTGCGCCTGATTGACGCGGGGGAGGAGGGAAGGGGGTTAATATAAACTATGATTTAAATGGGGTTTCATGTATTAAGGATTGATAGAGTAGAGTACAAGCCAGTGCGATCCATCTAGACCTACGAATTGAAATTGTTGCTTTTCAAAACCTCTATTCAGGGTCCTCGAGTAGAGAGACTTGCGTCACTGGTAGTGGATCTTAGCAGAGCAGGGTGGACAAGTACTCCACCACCGGTGTTTTCCGACGCCGAGCAACTTTTTCGAGCAAGGGCAGGCAAGGAGCAGGGTGGGTCGTTCCTGCATGAGCGGACAGGACAGTACAGAGCTGTCTAAAGTACGTAGCCCTCGACGACGAAAAGAATATTGAAGCCGCCCCCCTCGACAAACTTCAGTAAGGTACGCAATACGCGATATACCTGAGCACGCGATCTCATACAGCCAATCTGAAACTCCACGCGGCCGTTGTTCCCCGCCCCGCCTAAATCAAAGGGAAAAAGGAAAAAAAGGGAGCGCAAAAGTAGATACATCCGCAGCAGATGCGTCTCCCTGTGCTGCGAGGCGTAGTCAGTGGGTTTGACGGGGTTTGTGGGGGAATGAGATGTCGAGGGGGAGGACAGGGCACTCATGTTAGCATTGGCGACGGTGGTGGACGATATATCTTGCCCTGGGCCCAACCCTTCCATCCAAGATCTCTACTGCTTATCCGTTCGCTACGAACACGTTCCCTCAAGGTATCTAGTGAACCTGTTGTGCTACCGCGCCCTAACCATTGCCGCTCCTTCTCGACCACATCACCATCATCGTCTAACTCTAGATCCTCCATCACAAACTATCACCAGGTCCAGGTCCCAAACACCGCACTCGTCCAGTCATCTGCCAGCAGACCCCTAATCTACACACCCCTCAGAAATATGGCATCCTCACAGCAACGGGACCACGGTGGCCACTCACATGGTCACCATCACCACCATGACAATACCTATCTGACGTCGAAAAACAAGGCAGATGCTGGTGTGAGGATTACACGGCTGGGCCTGTACACAAACGTCGGGATGGCTATCGGAAAAGGAATTGGTGGCTGGTACTTCAATTCGCAAGCTCTGGTAGCTATCCCCACCCCGAGAGAGATGAAAGCGCAAGAGGTTATGCTAAACAAATGACTCGCTACAGATCGCAGATGCATTCCATTCCCTGACAGATCTCATCTCAGATATTATGACATTAGCTACAGTCTCTTTTGCCCTAAAGAAACCAACAGAACGATTTCCCAACGGTTATGGAAAGATAGAGAGCATGGGAAGCTTGGGTGTCAGTAGCTTGTTGCTGGTTGGCGGGTTACTTATGGGTTCGTCTCACCAAGCCACTTGTCTCTGGGGGGCTTTCATTCTGACAGGCAGGCCGACCTATCAGGATATCACGCTTTGGACGCCTTGTATGCACAGTTCTTTTTGGATCACGCTGAGGCCTTGGCGCATGCGGCCCACGGCCACGGACATGGCCATGGTCACTCACACTCGCATACCGATCTGGGACCAAATGTGAATGCAGCATGGCTCGCAGCGGTATCAATTCTCATCAAAGAATGGCTGTACCAAGCCAGTAAGTTTACCTCACACTATCCACTGGAATTCAAACACTAATGTTCCCTCCTACCTGCAGCGATGAAAGTTGCCAAAGAACGTAAATCCTCCGTCCTTGCCTCGAACGCGGTCCACCACAGAATCGACTCCTTGACCGCCGTCGTCGCCCTTGCATCCATCACCGGCTCGCATTTCCTTGACAACGCAAGCTGGCTCGACCCCGTCGGCGGTCTCCTTGTCTCCATAATGGTTATCGCTGCGGGCTTCGGAAACACTAGAGCTGCGCTAACGGAACTTGTCGACGTCGGACTTGACGATGAGGTTAAGGGTGACATCAGGGAAGCTGCAGAGAAGGCCCTCGCTCTACGACAGGAAAGACTAAGCCTTCGGGGCGTTAGCGGACTTAAATCTGGACAGAACCTTCTTGCCGAGCTGACGGTCGAGGTTCCAGTTGGCACCACCGTGGCACAGACTGCTAGGATTGAGGAAGAGTTACGAGGAATCGTTGGCGCAGAGGTGAGAGGAATCAGGAGGGTCAAGGTTAGATTTGTAGAAGAGGGAGTAGCCGAGCAGACCGAGTTCGTGGAGAAGGATCAGTCCCTTGAGTTGGAGAAACATGAGCACCACGACCACGACCACGACCACGAACCCAAGGGTGGGAAGGCGTTATAGATCATTTATTTCATTAGGACATAGAGATGTACTGTATTTTGGGGTTTCTGTTTTCTTTGGGATTCAATCGTTTGGCCTGCTTATTTCATCTGGCAAAGATTGGGTTGTATGTATCATAACTGTCTTTGGTAAAAATTGTTAGTTGTATTGTTTTTAGCACATATACTATTTCATTTTCCTCGAGAAGATATATATTCAATTTCGTTATTTCACAGCTAATCCTAGTTTATTTTGTTCAAATAGCACACAACTCATCACAAAATATCACTCGACAGATGTTGTGCAACCCCCCCCTTTTCGCCCCGATGGCTAAGAGCTAAGAATAAATTACTAAGGTGGTAGTTAGTAGACATGCAGATTGTAGTACCTAGTACCCAGTTGTGGGAGGAGTGGTAGCAAAAAGTACGTACACGGTATAACTGGGTCGTGACCCAACAAACTGCTTCAGATAACCGCGTCCGGAGCACCTATAGCACATATATACCATACTCGGAAATAGATATTGAAAAATAGAGAGGTACTCTATGTTAACCGAGGCAGGCTTATGCACTTCTCCGGCCATCTTGTTATATAGCAGCCAAAGTCATTTCGTACTACCGGAGTCATTGTTACTTGGTTTCTCACCGATAACACACCCTGCCGGTTTCCAAACACCCTTGGATATACACTTGACTACCGGCTTCTTTTAATGAGCCGGATTACATCACTGAGTCTGACACGCGAAGACAAGACTGACTCGCAAAAACGTGTAATCATGTAATATCACTCGGTCCGTACTCAGCGGTCATGCGGTTCTGTTAATTGGTTGATTGCTTCTTTAGGGTAGGGTAGTTAGTGGTTCTACTGTATTAAGGCGCTCCTCCAAAAAGAGCGTGTGTACAGTTTGGAAAGTTGTGGACGAGTTCCGCCCGGCGTGCGGGAAGCATTCCATATTAAAGGTAGTCCCGGCCGGCCGGTCAGTTACGGACAGGCTATCCGGACGCGGGGAATAACCGGCCGCCATTTTTCGCCAATCTGTACTTGGTGCTGCGGAGCGAGTGAGTGAGCTTAAGGAGAATACGGAGGTCTCAAGTGTGGGATCGAGGAGACCTTGGAATCTGCGGGGAAACATGGTTAGCTAGTCGTGATCATGCACCCGGCCCACCGTCAGCTGGAGATACTGAGCTCCTGTAATAATGTTAAACAGCGACAGGTACAAGAAGAGATGGTAAGGGTGCATAGGGGGGTTTTCTAGTTAATCGGGTCCGGTATCGATGTATGGCTCCGAATCCTTCGAGCCTGAGGTTCGGATATTAGGTAGGCGCGAACCTCCATATTTAGCTCTCAAGACTAGCGCACTTAAAATAGGGATAACACATTGTGCTTTGATAGACCCGCTGCGACACATGGGGAGACAAAAAGCTGCATAGCGGGTGGTTTGAGTTGGTGGCAAACGGCCTTTTGGTAGGAGAATACCATTTGGCATGTGATTGTAACGAGTGAGAAAAGAGGTTAAGTAGCAGTATATGGCTCTGTTTAACTCCACTTGTCACTTATCTGTCAGTAGGAGGATATCGAGTAACTGTATATCTGTCATTCCCCCGGAACCCAAGGTTGTACACACTTGAAGATACTTCTATAATACCACATCGGCCTCCCACGAACGACTATCAAGCCCCAACAAGAAGAACATAGTCCAAACATTAAAGGCAAAGTTTATGACTTCAAATCGAATTTCCTTTCATTCTTTTTTGGAATGCCCATAAAAGTATCGTACATGAAATGGATATGCTAAGCCTAACCAACATTAAGGCAAGCACTCCCCCAAATCTCGTCATAGTTGTATTTTGACAGAAAAGAAGAAGAAAAGACCATATGATAACAATACTCAGCCCATGTACCCAAAACCAAACACCAAAGGCGCCAGCCATGCTGAGAGACAAAAAAGTAGAAGCTAGAGAGAAGAAAAAAGAAAAAAAGAAAAAAAAGACACAATCCCCCAAAAGCGCCGAAGCCGCAATTCTAAAAAAAATACATACATGTAAAAAAAGAACCCAAATACCGAGACCATTCTAAGAGACAGGTACAGAAACGAGACGACAATGGTTGAGAAAGAAAAAGAACGGATTCGGGGTAGTTATCATGAGCAGCGTATTAAGGGTAGAAACTGGGGAAAATTAGGAAAAGAAATTGAAAACTTGTACGAGAGAGGTATGAGAAACATTGATAGGAAATCTAAAAGCATGGGAACGTGGTTGGTAGTTGTCGGAGGTACATATTAGTGGTATTTATCGTTCGACGTGCAAGGTTGGAAACGTAGCAAGACACATCCGCCGAGTTAAAGACTGCCCCTCCTTTGGCGCGCGCACCATCATCCCATCCAGCTTCCTAGTAGAAGACAATGACATATTAGCAAAAGATACAGACAGATGCAGAACACACTTCAAAACTCACCTTAGCCCTCAAAAGCAGACCACTAACTCTGGTCAATCCTCTCATAATGCTGCGAGAGGGCGACTAACGCCCTCACATCAGTGCTGACACGCTGACGGGCAACGTCAGGGTTTCCGAGAGTCTCCCACAGGTCGGGGTACTCGTTGGCCAAGATCTGCCAGGCAGTCTCCATGAAATTGTAGAGATCTGGCGCATTCTGCTCTGGAATCTCATTGAAACGAATCTTAAATTCTATCGCTGCGAGGAGCGCAAGCACACACCTCGGATCACTCAAAATGCGGCGCAAGAAGCACCCAGCGCAGTTCTTAAGCTGGAACAACTTATGTTCCGCATACGGATTGAATAGGACAAGTGAATCATTGGGAGGTACGACCACCTTCCCTTTGAAGAATTTCTCATCCCAAACAAAGTTGACGTCAAGCAAGAGCTTAACAAACTTGTTTTCCAAGCGGGCGTCGAAAAACCCCCTACTGTCCTCCCAGGACTCGTCTGTGACCAATCCGATCGAGTCCAACATGTGTTTCGACTCGATCCTGCTATGGATAGAGCAAATTCCCCTGCCGACCGCGACACGCCGTGGAATAAGCTTCAAGAAGCCGGTCAACAGACATGTCCCAAACTTACTAGCCCCACTGGCTAGTAGGCCAGGCGGGAGAGCTTCAATCCTTCTTTTGTCTTCACCACCCGCCAGGGGGTGGGTTTTAAGGTCATATATGAAGATTGGTATGAGCTCCGCACTTCTCTGCGTGCCCGGTTGGGCGTTTCTGGTAGGGGGATTACCGGCGACTTGCGGAGCCCCGACTACTGCGTTACCGTCGGCCTCGACTAGAGTGGGTTTGGTGGCTGCTTCGGTCTCGGCGACGCCGACTTGGCGGATTTCGTCTGTGACCTGGACATAACCGATTGCCTCTGGGTCCTCGGGCCGTCCCCCCGAGAGAAGGGAGCGACCTGATGCCGCGGCAACGTTGGGAAGTTGGTCATGTGCGAGTGTAGACATTTTCGAGGGGGAAGAAAAAAAAAGTTTCGGCACGGGATGGAAAGACTACCCGAGACGGAGATGATGATGAACGGGATGAAGGAGATGATGGAAAGAGATACCGAAGATGCCGAGAGGTGGTTGTGGGGGAACGGAGGGAAGGAAAGAAAAGTGGGAGTCGGGCCGAATAAATAGGTTTCGGCTTTTCTCGGCATCCCGAAAAGATCAACAGCCCCCTTCACACAACACATGACTGAAAAGTGAACCCTAAACCTAACTAAATAACAAAAGCTAAGCACACATGGCTATTTGGTTTATAACAGTGGGTGACAGCAGCTGAAATTGCCTTGGGGAGTGAACACTTTGGAATTTTAGGAGAGCTTGTATCTGCTCATGGAATATTTACTGTGGCAGCCAATCTTGTTTGCTGTTCATCATGCAGGGGATGATGAAGTACAATCTAGCTGGTACATAAATGCATCGAAATTAGATGGATAAACTTGAACATCTCTTAGAGATGAATAAACACAATCTCAGGGCTATGATCATATCATATCACTCACGAAACATAATAGGTTAAGCGCGCCGCCCAGCCGCCAAGAAATCGAGACAAAACGCAATCAACGTCAATTAGCTAAGTGGGTTTTAAGCTTCGACTCGGGTCGATGGCGAGATCGCGACACAAATAGAAGTTTTTTTTCGAGAGAGAGAGAACCTGTTTGTGACGGTCCATTTTGAGTGTGACAAAAAATCTTACAGGTTAACATGGGCATATCCCTCTGTGGTGTAGTTGGTATCACACCCGGCTGTAATTGCATGTTTACCGGTTGGTCACCAGTTCGACTCTGGTCGGAGGGACTCATCTTTTTCCTGTCCTCCAAAGGGCAAACGGGTTTATGAAAATAGTGTAGACGATGGAAAGCGTGCGCACTTGTTTTTTGAGGGGCAAACAAATCGGTTCTCAATAAAGTGTATTGTTTCGTGGGCGATATTAAGTTTTAAAATCTCCCTTGGCACGAAAATCCAGGCTAGGATTGCACGAACGCCAAAATGCTAGACTATAATACCGATATAGATAGGGCTGAAATTTTTTATTACTTGCGAAACCTATGTATCTACCGGAATATTGACGCGCTCTTAAGTCTTGTATATAGGTACAAGATGTAGTTATACAATCTCAATTCACGCGGTTACCTCTCAGGGGGTGGTTGACTTGTTGTACTCAGTCGCTTTCTGTACAGCCAGAAAGGAATAAGGCGTGCAACCAAGCGCCGTGGATCTTGATGTAAACAAAGAGGATTATGCCTCTCGATCGATGAGCATTATCGTGCAGCAGATCCGAAATGAGCTGCGTCTTGGGCAGATACTCGGGAACGATCTGGCGGGAGCTTCGAAAGACCTGGGGAGGGGGTAAAGTTTAAACGAAGATAGATAGAGTAGATACTCAAGATATTAACGATAACTCAGCTCTTGTAGATGAGCATTGCTTTCTCCGCCTGTGGTATATATGCTACACAGCGGTGAAGTCCAAACACCTTCTTCGGACAATAGACCGAGGGTATAGTTCAAAGTTGCCCTACCCTACCTCAAATCTCCCCCGCCGTCCGTCCGGTCCAGCCGCGCCATCGTCGTCGTGATTCGCTCTCTCCGGCTCGTACTCGCTTGATACCAAGACATTGTAGGTACTCAGTCAGGTTACCGCTGTATTCAAACACTTTCTGTAGCTCCCAACCGTCTCGCAGCTTGCCCCTTTCAATGTTGTGGAGTGCATGTAGTTACTGTTATTCACCTTAACGTCCTTGCTTAAGGAGGTGAAGTAGGTTATGATAGCCACATGTACTCTACCTACACGTAGATTATGGAGCTAGCTAGTAATCAGTATTGCAAAGCGAAACTGAGGTCATCAGTAATCCAATCCTCCATGGCGTTATTATAACCCATAAATTAGCGAGCGGTTCAGACAGTGCCCTCGAGAGAAAAAGTCTATTTTATTTCTTTTCCGTGTGCAACGCAGCACTGCTTACACTATTGGCACCTTTTCATCTATATCAGAGATATCGATATCTTGGAAGAATAGGGGGTCCGGGAGGAGTGATAGCGCCGGAATGACCACATACTGCCCACAAAAACAGCTGGGCCAAGAAGAAGATTGGTGTAGAGTATCGGAGTAGTTGGGCGAATGTTACTCTATCTTACCACATCTTACCGCCGATAGTTATCCCGACATGGCATCCCGACTTGAGGCCGAGGAGGATGGGAGTTTTGTATGTGCTTCCGGGAGGAGACAACCGGTCATGCACTTCATTGGCTCAATTGCTCCTGTCTCTCTTCACGGCTACCCCTCATGCAGGGCCGGCCAGCTTCACCCGCAAGGGGTGGAAGACAAACTGTAGGTACCCATTCTACTCGTTTTTCTCTGACGTTTGTGGACGCGACTGATATTGCATGCCATACAAAAATACGCCAAGCTCATGATTTTGGGTGTATGCAATAATGGCCTAGTTCATCGAGAAAACGCCAATGCCACTCTCCCGCGCGCGAAACCCGCCCCGGGGATAGGATATTTGCATACTATTGGGTCTCGATTGGCTGGGAGGTGAAATTGGGTGGCTTTTTTTTTCGTTCCTTCTTTGCTTTATTTCTGGGGATTTCCTAGAGTAGAGTAGTTATGGTGGGGGGAAATGATGAGGCGGGGGGTTGGATCTGCATGCAGAGGTTATGTTCTAACTGCATGTTTTGTTGATGTGTATGTTATTCGTTGTCTCATTTCTTTTTCCTTTTCTTTTCTTTTCTTGGTTGCAGTGGAGGAACGAGTGATTGGAAGTGCGTGTGTAGTCTATGCAGGTGTCCACGCATCATGCTGCGAGTACAAGGTATCGGACCCTTCTCCTAAGAAAAAGGGGGATAAGCTTTTGCCAGGGGCTGGGCGGGAAAGCCCCTTCCCCCTTCTCGAGGCTTGGATCTTGGATCATGAGCCTTAGGTCTTGGGATGTATACCGAGTGATATTTGATGATGCACTCGGGTTGCCCGTGAGTTTTTGAAATCGAGTAATCTTCGGGTGAGGAACAGTATATTCCCCGGCCAGTAGAGTAATAAAATAACGAAAGAAAGTGAAAGAAAGGAAGAAAGACGGAAGGAAAGAAAGACAAAACGAGCGGTTACATAATCAAACATCGATCAATGTAGACTCAGGACCTCTACATTGATACATAGATCTTGTCAAACGTACCCTCATGCACCAAACGGCAGAACTACAATCTGACAGCAATCTACATGTACTCTTACACCTCAATGCATAACTACATGTACCTTACTCCATAGCCTCGAATATCAGGCGATGACAACGCCCAGTTACAAACCCCTTACCCAAACCGCCACTCGGTACTCCTTTTGCATGAGTAAGTATTACAATACCAATCTGGATCTGTAGCCACGTCTATTAATACCGTCTTTCTCAAACAAAACGCCTGACCTCAACCACCGATATCCCGAGCCCTATTGCCATAGACTAAGGTCTGCATGCAATCAATGAATTAAACAAAAAAAAAAAGATATCCCGAGCCCTCCACACCAAACATCCCGCGATCAGCCAAGAGGAAATGAGATCTTCCCGCTCCCGGCCAAGGGAAATGACATCGCTCCTGTGGGCGCGCGCGGGCCGACCGGATTTCAAGCCTCCTGGTCAAGCTTTGCCACGGCGGGATCGGAAGAAGGGACAAGCGCCACCGCCGAGTAGATACACCCTAGCCGTCTCTTGGGACATTGTTATAATAGGTAACAAATGCTATCGCATACTCTATCACCGAGCAATGTCATGTCCGGGCTAGTAGCAGGAGGGGTATTCTATTGAGGTTCTTGTTGTTCTATGTGTAGGTGCACTATAAGTAACTTGACCGAATTTCTTTGTTCACTTCCTTCATGCGGCATAACACGTTCAAGTTGTGTCATTTTCCTGACGTTTTAAACTTCATTGACATTCTCAGGGTTAATGCCACACCTTCATTCCTACTACTTCCCGAGGAGAAGGCTCAATAGTTCAATCTAATACGCAGCTCGCCGCTGACAAGAATATTTGCGCATTGTTTCCCGTGCTTTTTTTTTTCCCCCGCCAGACCCCTCACTCTTTCATCTCGAGGCATATATCCCCTTATTTACGTTACCCCTGCTTGTGGAAGAAAAGGAAAGAAGAAGAAAAAAGCTGTGAAACAATCATTGTCTGCCGGACCATTAGTAAAGTAGCGCTCGTGACCTAGATACATGTACGAGTAGAGTACTGGCGAACGAGGCAACCACATAGTGGAGTAAATAGTAATCCCAATTGCAGGTAGAGTACAAGGGGCCCTACTTAGGCTCAGGGGTATGTAGATGAGGGAAGAAGCTAAAATATTTTCTTTGAGTTCAGACGCATCTCTGGACTTGTAAGTTAAGTGATGTCTTAAATACAGCTGTACGGTGACCGGTCGTACACACCGGTAGTAGTTAGTTGGCATAGTACATTATGTATAGGAATTAGACTTTATAGAATAATTGCACCCGTAAGTACTCGTTTGCGGAGTACCTACATGTTACTCTACCTCTAATGGTATCCCGCGAGGTGATCTTACTATATGTCATGAAAAATATTTCCACATCTACTTGTAGTCTAAAAGCACATCATCACCACCAAAACCTTGGTCCTTCTTTCCCACCAAGGCACATATATGTACATACCACCTTTAGCAAGAAAAATAAACCCCTGTTTGAACTCTAGACCAAGTAGAGTAGATTATTAGGCGAGCCCGGCAAACGTCTGCTCGGTCGTGTGGCACTGCTGCCAGCGCCGTACTCACCCACTCACTCGCTGGCTGGCTGGGTACTGAAGGCTGAGTGAGACATTTATCCCCAACTTGGTGCAGCGCATGCGAGGAATTTTGTGTTGTCTCGCTACCAGACTGAGATGTCTAGGTTTCTGATTTTGATGCTCTGATTCTCTGGGGCAGGGGTTGAGATGGGGGTAGGTGTAGTAAGGTTTTGTTGCTTTCTCCCAGGTTGAGATGCGCAAGTAAGTTAAGTGTAATGTAATTTCAAGGCAAGAGGAAAGTGTCAAACATGCTACCCGCCTTGCACTTTTTTTTTCTTTCGTTTTGTACTGAAGGGCATCTATGTGTCAATGCAGGCACCAAAAAGGCACAACACAAAAAGTGCAGATTACCAATCGTGCTGTATGTACAGTCGCTCACCTACTGACGGCGGGTCCTGTCTGATGGTTCTGTTTGCAGTAATTTGCCCTTGGCGTCCATACCCTAACTCTGTTATTGGCCTCAAATCCCTGACCGCCGTCAGACAGGATCCGCCTTCACCCCGTGAGTGAGTGTACTCTGGAATCCAGATCCAAGAAGGCAGATATTGTTTCTCGCTAGGGATGATTCCAATCGGGTCCCAGCGGCAATTAATTGTAAGGCTTTAGAGGCGTTCCTTTTTTTTTTTTTTTTTTTTTTTTACAAATCAATGGTAAGGTTGGAGCTTTGCAGTTTCGTGTTGTTTATCCTCTTTCAGATATCTAGAGTGAAGAAATCTTGAGAGCATGTATGATGACCCGAGAACACAGACATGTCATCTAAAGTGGCTTCTCAGGGACCCAAGAATACGGGAACCCCGCTATTCGGATCATCAGGACCCGTTCGATTTGCCCCCGTCTAGGCAAATATGTACTAGTTTACATACCTAAAGACGGGAAAAAGAGGAAAAAATGTACCCGCTTAATTGTCCGAGAACAAGTGTGACAAGCTGTACTTGATGTGGTGGCAATGGTGAAGAGAAAGGGAGAGTGCCGTTCGAGTACATACATTAATTAAGTTAGTTGGAACCTAAGAGCATCAGCTGGGTTTTTTCTCTCTGTTCAGTAAACAAGAACTGCGGTGTTATGGTTCGGCTCCCCCGCCTGAATGCCTACCTGCCTACAATGCCTGCTTGTATGGACGCGGTACATACAGGCATGACTTAAGCTTAATTAAACTTAGGTAGATGATCTGCCTGCGCAGTGCGCACATGGCCGGGTCGAGGATTAGAATAGAGAAAAAGAGAAAGGAGAAATTAAAGGGAAGATGGTTGGAGAAACTCTAATACGGTGGTACCTGAAGATTCTTTCTCAATTCCTGTTTGTCCAGCTAGCTAGTTTGGGGGTTTCGGTGTTTTTTCATTCTTTTTTCGTGACCCCTGCATTGATAGTTGTGTAACGCTACACTTATCTTGGTAGAGTTGAAGGCAAAAATAGAAACCCATCCCTCAATTTCGGATCGCAGTTTTCCCTCCTCTGCGAAATGCTTAGCAGCAGACAGCCGAGAAACACAACCAACTAGAGCTTCTTGGTATTCTTGGGCATTTTGCCCGTTTCGAGGAGCCCTGTAGTCTATTTGAAACCGCCGTATTTAGATATCTATAGTTGGGAGTAGAGTCAAGTGTAATAGATACTATGGCTAAGGTAAGTAAGCTGTGTGTAAGTACGTTAGTAATTTCAAGGGTGTATACAATCGTCCGATGTTAATATAGCTGACTGATTTGTACCTTCTGGAAGGAGTGATATCCGGCCCTCTGCCCAGAGAAATAGATAGAGCTCAGCCGTTTGGAATGCATGTAAAGTAGAGTAACAATTCGTAGCAACTATCCTATGTACTCCCAAGACCTGTTGCTGTGCCGTTTCGAGAACTTGTGAATATCGAATCTGGCAATGGAACCTCGCAAATACGGGATGACAATTGGGGTTCACCCACACATCCAACACCCACACCGTACACATCTGGAATACCTTGTTACCGATTTGGTCCGGGGGGGAAGAGGATCTTGAACACACTCTTACTTTAGGGTAGCCATGTAGGTAGGGGTGATGTGATGTGATGCCAGCCAGCCAGGCCACCAGCCAGCCAGGCCACGATCCAGCCGTTGTGATTTGACGTTCACATCCGAGTGTTGTACCAGCTAGCCCAAGCGAAGAGTCCCTGATTGAGGTGATGTTACTTTTTGAATCACAGGCAAAGCAAGCCACCGTGCAAGCTCGTATCGATTGAATGAACCGATGGATGGCCCATGTCCATGTCTTTTCGCGTAAGGTACCGCCTTACCTCCTTTGTTTGTATCTAGGTACCTTTTTTGATTATTATTTTCTTCTTCTTATCCTTCTCCCTCTGAGACAGCCGGGCCGCGGGGAGGAGGACGACGAGTATAACTACCATGGGCCAGCCCGACATAATTTTCTTTCTCTACCAGCCAGCTTTCGACTCTTTGAGAAGCCAGTACAGTTAATTCGACTTTCTTTTATTTGATACTGCTACTACTACTGCTAGCTAGCACACATTCTTTGCAAGTGATCGTCCTGTCGATATACACTAGCATTTACGCTACTTAATTCTTGAAACTTAATACAAACAACCATACTCGATAAAATATAATTCGGTCTTTTTGGTCTAAAAGATATTAAAATATCGTAGGTACCCCCCACACATTAAGACCTCAAACATATTATACCCCTCTTTCTTTATGATATTAGTTTGGTTTTTGAGTATATATATCTGATATATCCTATTCCTTGGGGAAATAATAGATCAACCATGCCTTCCATGTTCTCCAAAAAGTATAGTGGCCTCGCCCTTCTCCAGCTTCTTTCAGCGGCCACCGTCGCCTTGGGCCATCCCGGAGGCGTCCCCCGCCTCATGGGCCGTAGCGGCTACATAGACATCCGTGATCTCCCCGACCTTACTGGGAGAGACAGCAACCTTGTCAAGCGTGTCGTCTCCCCCGACGGTACCTGCGGTGGTACTAAAGCATACACTTGCGGGACAACCGTGAACAAGTGCTGTTCCCAATACGGTTCGTGATAAATTCTTCACTTGAATCTCTGACTTTTAAAAGTTGTTGCTAACAAGTAATTACAGGATACTGTGGTGACTCCGATCTCCACTGTCAAAGCTCCGAAAACTGCCAGACGGCATTCGGGAATTGCATAACTACAACTGGAGGTTCAGGCCGCTGTGGAACTCAGGGCAACGGAGCGAGCTGTGCAGCGGGACAGTGCTGCAGTGAGGGTGGATACTGTGGTACCACGGCGGATTACTGTATGGCACCACTGTGTCAGGTTGGGTTTGGAAAGTGTGATGCTGAGTATGTATTATTCTGGGTTTTGGGATACGTGGAATTGGTACTGATATTAAACAAATAGTACTATCCCGGCCGGAGCTAGCACTTCAACTGTTGCCCGTCCTAAGGTCGGCAATGTCCTCTATGGTGCAGGTCAGTTATAATTTACTTCCCAATATTAAATCGAGACCATATGCTGATGTGCATTTCCATTACAGGGGGCATTTACGCCTGTAACACCGTCGGAGAGGTCGCACTCACCTACGACGACGGTCCTGACCAGTACACCAGTAACATGCTTGACCTCCTTGCCTCTTATAATGCTAAAGCCACTTTCTTTATCACCGGTATTAATAACGGAAAGGGTGCTATCGACACGACACCCGCCTGGAAAACTGTGATCCAGAAGATGTACGCCGCTGGGCACCAGCTTGCCAGTCACACCTGGTCACACGCAGATCTGAGTGCTATTTCAGAGGCAAGGAGGAGGGACGAAATGGTGAGTCTATGGCTATCATTAGTTCCATACATTCAACTTGGATTTGAGTCCTAATATATATACACACGATAGTTCAGACTTGAGATGGCCATGCGCAACATTGTCGGATTCTTCCCAACATACATGCGCCCACCTTACAGTTCCTGCACCGCCGCCTGCCAGGCTACCATGGCAGATTTGGGATACCACATCATCTACTTTGACCTCGATACTGATGATTACAACAATGTCACTCCCGCGCTCATCAACAACGCCGTCAACAACTTCAACAACGCTGTCAACCCGTCAAACCCAGCGACAAAGAGCTGGTTGGCCATTGCTCACGACATCCACCCATTGACAGCCACGACGTTGACACAGGAGATGCTGAAGACAATCACCGCCAAGGGATACAAGGCCGTTACAGTTGGAAAGTGCTTGGGTGATCCAGAGGCCAACTGGTACAGAGGATCTGCCACACCCCCAACATCTTCTACAGTACGTAAACCTTAGCTGTGGTGTTGATCATGGGCGTGTAATACTGACACAGATAGACCACCACCACCACCACCACCACCACCCCTGCCACCACGATCACCACTTCTACTACTTCTGCGGCGCCGACGAGCACGGGTACTTGCACATACACTGTCAAAACCTGGTGCGGAAAAGCAATTCCATCATGGACTACCACTGCAAAATGTTGGGATGCTGTTGGCAATTGCTGGTAAGTGAATCTAATTAACCTTAAAAATATGTAATATATACTTACCATATATCTTAAATTATAGGGACCAAGGTGACTTGTGCTGGAACACGGCTGACGATGCCAAATGCTCAAACTACCAGAACACCTGCGTGGCCATGGAGAGTTACTGCCAGGCTTGCGCCGATAGCGGAGCTACCAACTGCGCCTACAAGGCCCCTGTCTACCCTACAGTTTAGATTCGTCTTTCTATTAGCTAGAGGCCCTGAGTAATGTTTGTATGTGTTATTGCGATTGTGGAATATTATTTATGTTAATTGGGGTTTGAGTTTTAATTATGGATACATTGCGATGTTAATTAAATCGAGTTTTGGTCTCAACTTATCACTCCTCTCCCTTATGGTGATGTCTGTAGCGTGCGATGTAGTAAGTGCAGTGGCGCCACTGAACTTTGCTTTTATCAAGACAAATCTCAAGTTATGGCACGGAATTATCCTGGGACTGAAAGAGCAGCAGCAACTATCAACTATTGGGTATTAATTTATGAAATGCTTGCACGTGATACCTACGACATGCCAAGAAACTCATCTGAAAGGTGGTTTGTCTTACTTGAGCTTGGTGGAGGGGGATACACAGCAACATATATATTGTTTTTTCCTCCCACACACTGCAGCTGGTCGCAAAATACTGCACTTTGATCAATTTCAAGCGCCACCCTAAAGCCCCATAATCAAAGCAGAGTAAAAGCTCTTTTCCTTTTCGAATCAAGATCCAAGACTTTACATAACCTAACTCACCGCCAGTTATTAGAAACATAATGCTGAAAAATAGTAGATACTAGGTTAAACTCACGGCACATTCCTGCTCGGCGTTGAAGTGTATTTCCTCGATGTTCTCCCCAGCAGCTCGTCTTTCTCTCAGTCGATCCGCGAGTAATGCCAGCATCCCTCTCTAAATCACATCTCGTTATTGGTATCATGCTAGCTCTGCTTAAAGAGAAGGAGAAAATAAAAAGCATGGAAACATGTCTTATAGAGGGAGAACATCACGCAGTATACAGGTTTAACCACTCATCAAAACTCAAACTAAGCATCCTTACCGCATGTACTGCCTCCTGAAGCCCACTCTCTGTCATGACCTGATTTTGGCCCCTAATCGAGTATTCGTTTTGAATCCGCTTCCTACTTTCATTTAATCGCCTTCCGGCTTCAGGCTCTTCTTCGTCGTCGTTCAAAGATAATCCTTGGAATTCCCGCTGTGCGCTTTCGTCTGGAGAAAATATCTTAACTGTATAATCAATGCCTGAAACGGCAAGCTTTGGCTCATAAGGGTGACCAGTTATCACGTTAACGATTTCATCGTCTCCACGAAGGATATTTACTATCTGTGTTGTTTTCCTGTCCCATATAAAGAGATTGCCACAGTCACTTCCACTCACAACGTATTCGTCGTCCATTCCATAAAAGTTAACATCCTTGACAGTCTTAACGTTGCCTAATATAACCGTTATCAGCACCAAAGATAAAGATATGAATCATAGCTAAAGTGATACTCACAATGTCCACTGTAAAATTTTGTATGTTCCCATACCGGTGCCTGGATTTCGACACGTCTCCCTGAACCTGGACCGTACTCGTCGTCTTCCTCACTATCTTCCTCTTCATCTCCCTCCTCTCCCTCCTCTCCCTCCTCTCCCTCCTCTCCCTCCTCTCCCTCCTCTCCCACCCCCTCCACCCCCTCACCCTCTTCATCTTCTTCATCGGCCTCGAGTTCTGGATTAAGGCCTCCGGTTTCGTCTTCAGAGTCACCTTCTCCCCCAAACTCCTTAAATGCGGAATCAACGAAGGCAAAGTCAACTCCATCCCCTTCCTGCATCAGGAGAGATCGCCCTACCCTTTGCCCCCAGAACCTCCTTATGGATCTGCCTCTGGTAGTATCCTCATCTGATCCAGCCATAGTCTCATCATGTCCTAGGTCGAGGGCGGCTTTGAAAGCCTTGACCATAGCCTTCTCACTAGCAAATATTTCTTCATTTGTGTCGACATCTCTTACTACGTTGTTCCCAGCTTCCCTTTCAAGAGCATCAAGGAAGCGTCCAATATCTCCTGAATCTGAATCATTCTCCTCATCTTCACTATCTTGGTCCTCCTTGACAAGTTCCTCTACTGCGGTAGATCCACCATCGAGAAAAGAGATGATTATTTGTAGGAACCGATACCGAAAACTAGAATTTTCAGGTCGTTCGGTTCCAATCTGTATAAAGACACCTACCCCCAACCCGATACCTTCCACAAATCCACCCAAAGCACGAGAGAGACATCCGGCAGCTTTAACAAACGCTCTAGTTCGGCGTCTGTTCCGTGCACAGGTTCTTCTGAGAGTTCTTTCAGATACAAAGTCTATATCTGTGCGCCCCTCGTTTTGGTCGAAGAACTCTAGATCTTTTCTTTCAAGGGCTTTAATCTCCCGGTCAATTCTCTTAAGTAATACCTGCGCTGTGCGTAGTGCCTCATCCCAAGATTTCTTCTTTTCTCTTTCCACTTCTTCCGGCTCCAACGCCGAGTACACTTCAGAAATAGGCATTTCCGAGGAATTTAGTCCGAATATTTCCTTTCTTAATTCTACCAAGAGCGCAGGAATCCTAATAATCTCATGCCCAGCGCTCAAATCATCACTATCCTCGCTATCTTCATCACTGGAAGATTCCGCTCTCCTCCTTTTACTTTTTGGCTCCCCACCCCTATACCGTCGATTCCTATCGCTCCTTATGCGGTTACTATTTTCAGATAAATTCCAGGGTTCTCTACCAACCCCCTTTTCATTTGGTGCTGGAGAGCGGTTGATGTCGAATAGGTATATTCCACCACCGCTCCAAGATACAACCACATCATTTGGATTTGCGTCAGATATTTTACAAGCGGTGATATGAGGACTTGCTCGATGCTCCCGGCTTTTTGCTGGGCGAGGTGCAAAACGACGGACACAGCGTGTAGCCGCCGAAAGCTCGTTATCAGAGGTTGATGCTCCAGCCCCGGCCTCTTTCCCGAGATCACGTCCGAGCATGCGTCGATCATGAAGGAAACAATGAAGATGAGCTCCGCCAAGAGCGATATAGTGGGGCTGGGATGTCGAACAAGAAACCGTATTGAGATCGATTTGGTGACGCTTATAGGAAATAAGGGGTGGGTTTCTGTTGTCGTCTTCTTCTGACGAGACCATTGATGATAATGTCACACCAAAATACGTTCTTTGTGCCGAGGAGCGGCTGGGTCTGCTGTAGAAGTCTGATGGCTGCCGCAGATCAAACTGACGAACTGTACCGTCTTCAGAGCAAGTAAGAAATACATGTGGGGAGGATTCAGTCACTATGCGTTTGACCCGGTCTGTGTGAGATCGATAAACCTTGTGATTGAGGTTTTCGTAATGGGAATAGAGCTTTTGAGGAGTCACTTCGGGTGTATGCACCCCCCTACGGCGATAGCCTATGAGGCGAGGATGTGTTTGTCCACTAGAAATTCTAGCTGATGAGGATCTGGATGAGTTTGTAGCCGAAGATGTCGGGGCGTATTCAATATCGAAGATTCGAACCTCCCCATCCCCAGCAGCCGAAATGATGGTTCGGTCGTCTGAATGGGGCATAAATTTTACGGAGAATATATTCTCAGTGTGGCCAGTATCTATACGAGTATTCAAGACAAACTCGGGAGTAGTTGTATGTATGTTGATTTGTGTATCATCACTTCCACTAGCAAGAAGAGCACCATTGCGTGACCAGCTGTAAAATGGTTAGAACTGATATACAACTTTCAGAAGCAAAACCACAAGTAGTGATTTTACCTGACTGCATTGACACATCCAGTATGGCCTTGGAGCTCGTTCACGATATCGAGGTTTTCAACCCATGCTCGAGAGCCATAGAGGCTATTCACAGAGCTGAAACCCGTGTTTCCATTGAGTTCTCTGTGGAAAAGTTTACGATCCATCGAGCGCGTTTCAAGTTGCTCAATCTCTTCAGAATGAACTTGGCATGCGATGGGACTTCCGAATCACCGAGTCGCTAAGTTTTTGGCTTAAAATGTCGCTCACGAAGCAGCAGCAGCTCAGTGTGGAGGAAAAGCTGAGGAGGCGGCGGTGGGGGTGGGGCGCTGAATGACGCAGCAATCAAGGATGAGGAGTAACCCTGCTCGCGCGTTCGTTAATCCTAGCTCGGATAGCTAGTTGCATGTGGATATGTTGCACCAACAGCATTAATAGACTTGGGGCCCGTTCGGACAACCTTAGATTATTTCTTCGGATTATTGGACAGAATGGATTATCAGGTAGCGAAAATGATAATAATACTCATAATAAGTGGATAATCTACATGTCCGGATAACGTTGAAATAGTATTAGGCTCCTAGGATATCTGTGTTGTGTGGGAATAATTACCTCCGAAGGTGATGATCTTCTTGATGTTGGAGTATTCAATTGCACGAACAGCATAGATTATTGTGATCAGATTATCGCCAATAATCTAGATTATTGGGTTGCCTGAACGGGCCCTTAATCATTCATTAGGATACAACACGATATCGATAATCAGGTCCAGTAAAAGCAATGCCCTAATGAAGTTTAATTAAGTTGCACATACTAGTACTACGTAGTAGACATAAAAACTGCAAACATATTTTTAAACAACGATCAACTAGCCAACATGCAATTACAAGACGCGAAGTGGGTTGTGCCGGTAATTTATGGTGGGGATCATAGTTTTGGCAAGGTCGAGATATTATGAATAGCTGTTGCTTCAAATTAATGACTTGAAAAACGCAGATTCTATCCTAGAGGCTCCTGTGCTGTGCATATGATCAGAATATCGTATTAAAACACCGGAATCTGGCGTTGTTAGGTCAAACGTTGCATCACTTTTAGGGACCCCCGCGGCCGGGCACAATATATACACACACCAATAATATGTATAATGGCTTCATTTAATTCCCCTAAAACTAGGCTTTTTAAGTTTGGGGATGATGAAAAGTCAGTTAAAATAATAGCGCGGGTTAAATGTAGGTCAAACCCTTCATGTACCCGTTTACCACGAAAAGAACCAGTTGCTCAGGGCAAGGATTATTTGTATGGGGTGGCGGTGATCTCTCATACAAATCATTACTGTTTCCGTCACTTGCATTTTTTGGTTCCTACCCTGGTATACGAGTATGTATTGTACGTCTAGCTATAGAGTCAGACACTATAGTAGCTACGGCATTCGCAGAAGAACATCGTTTCTTATATAATCATCAAGTCAGAGTTCATGAACCTACTTGTAGATACTTTAATAGTCTAATATTTCAACTAGGCTGAATTCCATTGCAATTGTGTTTGTGTGCCGGCTAACTTGAGCCCAGTCTAGTACTAGAATGATGCAGACTAAGCAATGCTTTGGAATAAACTTCCTATATTCGCCTTTGATACTTTTTGTTCTTATTTCCAGAACATAGAGTTAGTAAGTCTATTATATCAGGAAGGTCTTTGAAAGGACTATAAGACAGCTATGTGTAGCAGAAAGAGTTGGTTTCATGGGTTGATTGATCTTAGCTGTGGATGAGGCAAACTACGTACTTTATATAATCATCTATGACCTGTCACATGGCTTAAGAACATTCATGCTAATGATCATAGGGTTTACAAAAGAGGACTCATGTATATATGACTACGATAATGCCCCTAATATCATGTACTTAATATTTGATTATATACTCCGAAAACAATCATTTAGTCTCTAGTTCACATATATTTGAATTCACCACTTGGTCGTGATCGAATAAACTAGACTTCCATTCTCAAATATACAGTTAATTTGGTAAATATTTCCATATAGGAAGTTTTTTAAAGATTTGTGAGGACCAATGAAGAGAGGGGCTAAGAATCTTGCGTATACGATCATGATCATTAAGCACTATATATATGATTGTAGGCACTAAATAAACGCGATTTAACAAGTGATAGACTTGGTACTCCGGCCTTGACACATTCTGATAAACATATATATAGATGCACAACTCCTTATTAAGCTGATGTATATACATATATTTGCTCATGAGACAACACTAGTATATATATCAATAAATCTAGTGGCCAGCCTCGAAGGCATGGCAGTCTTTCAATATCGGGTTTGAATAACGTGCATGCGGCATACATATATATATCTATATTCCCCATTGGTCCTATCCTCAAAATTAGACCTAGGCCTTGTAGGATATAATCTCGATATTTACTATATATGCCCTCGTTATGTTTTAGCAAGTCTGAGTTATTCTCAACGCGCAGAAATCTAGTGATTTGGCGCTAAATTTGACCTCGAACAAGTGCAATGTGTATGATTCCAATTTTAGTAATATTTATGTGATAAAGTAAGATATAATTCAGTTGCCAGGAGCGTTGACCTATGGTTGGCTTTGTGGATTCCGCATCACAATGTGTCACTCGTGGGCACAAGTACTAGCTGCAGTGGGGGTGGTTATGCCAAGACCAAGTAACAACATCCGTAGCATAATATAATTAGTGGTACTGTTACTAAGCTCAATCCAGGGCGTAAAAACTCATGCTAAGGGTGTTTATCATAAGTATTTTGACGTGCGATGGATAGCATAAAAGGGAAAATACTCTAGATCTACGTAGATGGCTCCGCCTATGTTTCTGTAATGGTGTTTAATTCAAGAGTACGTATATACATGTAGTAGTCCCTACTATAGGCGTGTCGCGGTGCCACGTCCTCTCTACATGGCTGATTAATAGTACTAGTATAAGCATCTCTTCTCCCCTTTCAAGATATTCCCTCTCAATCATTTCCCGATTGAATCCTGGCTCACTTGTTCATATCCCTCTTAGCCTTCCATAAATCTAGATAGTCTTCCACTTGTACTCTGACTTCGAATTCAAGTAGCCCACTTAATTTGCTGCTTCCAGCAATCAATTTGTTGCGCTAGATCTCCGGCTTAATCTCTAACTCGGCCCGCAAATATGTCCTCGCATGCCTTACGGTACCCACCCACCGTCTTCAGAACATTGGGCTTGGGACTGGATTTTCCAACGCTAAACCTTCTTCTCTCCTATCAACTATCAACTTGACATTAATCCAGAACAATTTCTTCGGTAATTTTGGGATTTAGGGACAATGGCAAGTGGAAGAAACTAACCATTGAATCGAGTATGAATGCAGAATGTAGCTGCCCCCCTTAAGTGTGTTATTTTATAGGCGTCGCATAAAGTTGTCGTGGTGATCCTTAGATAAGTTGTTGAACTGGCCAGTGTTCCTGTATTTCGGAAAGAGTGCATCCAACGCCCCCATTTCCCCGCAAGCTGAAACGCCAGGTGTGTTGCCTGTGATGAATTGATCATGCTATTCGTGCCACGTGGTAGCCGATAGCATATCACAAGTTTATCGAAGCTGATGACAGCCTAGGTATGAACGTGCGTCGTTTCTTTGAGCTCTTGAACCGTTTTCTAAGCGAAGCATGATCCTCCGGCGGTCATTGTTCCGAGAATCAACCTGCAGCCGTGGCGGTTTTGTTACCTTCCTCACCTGCGATGGGGAAGACCCGTAAAGATAACAAAGATCGGATTGTAAATTCTCCCCCGGATCCGCCTTGAGGTTTTCTCCCTCTGGGTAGGAATGGGCCTCTATGTATCTCGATGCGTATTTATGGGAGTGACGTTCGTATAATCGACAGCAAAAACATGGCAGAATCACATGCATGATTGACATGCGGTAGATTACTTGAGGCCTTTCTGCCAGGTCACCAATCCGCTTGGCACTTTCACATGTTAGTTACGTCACAACGTCCCAGCTCCTACAATTACCCCCTCCTCCCTCGACATCTTTACGATTCTCCAGTAACCTTTTGCAGAGCATAACTAGCATAGCAGATAATACACTCAAATTCAATGGCACCCCACGCAGAACCTTCACCACCTCCCTCTCCTACAGCGGACGGCCCCAAACATTCCAGCTCTGACAACCGTGCTAGCTCTGATTCCAACTCCGAGTCCAGGCCCGATTCTCAATTTTTCTCTCACCTCTCCACCTTTCCTCTCCTTGTAGACTCTCAAAACCTTCTTCAATCTCACTTGCCCCGCATATTCACAACCTTTCTAAATAAAGCCAACTCCCTCACAAAAACGTACATACCTCCCTCCATTCTTCACCGTGCCGACAGCTTTGGAAACACAGCTTTGACCCAAATCGAGCATACCTTCCCAATTGTCAAGGCCCAAACCTCCCAGTTTACCTCAAAGCCAAAGGCAGTATATGATAGGGTTATCACTCGCCCAGTAACATCCGTGCAAACAGCTATGGACACCTATAAAGCTGCCGGGAAAGAACGTATGGATATTATTAAACACAATGTTTACGATGCATATAAGACCTATGCCGAACCTACAATCGGGGTATATACAGACAATTATGTACGAAAGATCAATGACCGCCTCGAGGAAGCCTTGGACACAAATATGCCAAAATCTTACAAGGAGGCCGTTGTTGAGGGGAATGATGAGGAGAAAGCAGCTCAACACAAAAAAGATGAGATTGAGCTCTATCGAAGCATGAGGATTGCTAAGAACGCGATGGAAAGAGGAAAGGCCAGGTTCTATGTGCCATTGCAGAATATGGTCCAGAAAACCGCGGATGACGTGAAAGAGGGGGGCACAGGGATCAAGGCAGATATTCGGAGTTCGCCTTCAAAGATGAAAGAAGGGGCAGTGCATCTCTGGAACGTTATGGGCGAGGAGTTTTCAAAGCAGAAGACGGACGAGGGGAGTGTTGGGGTGAAAGGAACGATGAAAGTTGTGTACAGAGTTGGCGAAAGGTGTGCAGGTGAGATGGCTGATGTTGGACTGGTTATCGCTGCAAAAAGTATGGGGGTTATTTTGGGAGTGTTGGCGGCAGGAAGGGAAAAGGTCAAGACGACTTAATCCCATTTGTTTTAGTTTTGTTCATAGATCTAGCTGTTTGTTTATTTTTCAATAACATTTTCTTTTAGGCTTTAAGGGAGTTACAAGATGTAAAACGGCACTCCCTTTCTATGTTCTTTTGGAGTGGTGAAATTTACCTCGACTGCGTCATACACCCTGCACGATAGCCTAAACCTCCCCCATATTAAACTTAAGTCTGAGACAGCTTATTAATTCCTTGTCAGATTTCCTTTTAGTTGACCCAGCCCACGTTCGTTTCTTCACCTGATGCCAGTTCTCACAGCCTCATATCTTGCACACTTTTCGGACCCGTAAATCACCAGCAGCAACTTAAGGGCTGAAGATAGATATGTAGCTAGCCAACACGGGGCTCCACATACCTTACAATCAAAGAGGTGAGTAATAAGAGTGAAGGACTAATTGTTAACAAAATGTCACAGTTAACTCTAGATGTAATGTTTTAATAAACACTAACTACCTGATTAAGAACTGAAATCATATTACAAAATACTGAGTAGACTATAGCTACTCGTAGTTGATGTAATCGAGCCCGCTACCGTGGTTTCCGACCTCTTTAGAGTCCGTAAGTTATTCGGGCACCAGTGTGGGGAGTGATGCCATACCAAACTATTCTACTTCCCGTGGAAGCACGAATAAACATAAAATGTTTTCCTATTAGTATGGCTGTATATCTACTTTCCCTTTTGAAGGATATCTTGCGTACCGATCATTGACATACTAGCCCGAGTTATGATCACGAGTCTCGTTAGCAAATTTAAACATATGTCTCTAGGGTTGCTGTTTATTAATCCGTGGAGATAACTCATTTAGCGGTCAACGAAATATTTAATCGACTTTACCTGAGAGTATGGATCCAGATAGTAGATTGCCTAAATTTATAAATTTAAAGGCCAAATTTAAGAATGAATACACATCCACTCGTTTTATATATATCTCGTTTGGATACTGTAGCTTCTCTTTGAATAGGATCCATAAAAAGATGGCAAAGGAAAGCGGTCTCGAGGCCGAATAGAGTTGGGAGTTGTCTCGCCTTAATATGAAATAAGGATTTTGGGCTTGCCAGACGTTACGAGTGGGATGATGGGGTCAAAAATGTTCCATCAGAGGTCCGTTAGGCATAATTGTATAATCTTCTCATCGTAATTAATAGGCTAATAGCGAGCTATGCTATTGGTTTTAACACTGAGAATTGAGTTTTGGGAGTTTCAGGACCTCCCATATCCGCGACCATGTACCTACATGTAGTTATGCCCTGTAGATCCAAGGGGGGAAACGGGTTTCTGTTCTGTTTCGCGCCCATCTCTATTGGGGAGGTGAATTTAGCACAGTATTTACTGAAACGGGCCAAAATTATTCTCATTTAATCTTTTAAGCGGACTCAACAAACGAAACGAAACGAAACGGCTACATCAGCTATATCTTCATTTGAGAGGCGGAGGGTTCAATGAAACGTGAAACGAAAGTAAAATTAGAACCATTCCGTGCATGTACGCACTGACACTCCCAAATAGCGCCGCTTCTGGAATGTCTCCCCGTACAATCCTCTTAGGCACTTGTATCCGGGAGAAAGAGAGTCGAGAGTGTCTGTGCTAGTACCGATGCCAGGTAAGAAGGTTGGAAAGTTGGCAAAAACAGTTATGCATGAGGCTAGAGTAACTACATGTACATGTAGTTGCATGTCTAGTGTCGGAGATTTGTACGAACCCTAACCCAACGTTTCTTCTAGAAGATTAAACATGGGGGAGCTTTGGGTTCAGGATGGCTTCTGCTTGATGTTTTGACGTTTAGAGTAGATATCCCATCACGATGCATACACGGCTCTGGACGTGGTCCAGTCAGGTCCCCAAGCGAAACAATTGGTCGGTAAACAGGAGTGATCGCTGTGGCAACCTAGGAAGGGCGAAAACATCTCAGACAACATCCAGCAAGCGCCCATCTGCACCCTTCCCCCATCGTCCACTCACAGCACATATCCTCACCCACACCAGAACTATTCCATCCCATCCCCATCCACTGGCCCTGGTTCGACACAACGGCCCGTGGAGCGCGGACAGGGAATAGGTTCTGTCAACAATAAGCAAAACATAGAGTAGAGTAGGACACAACAACTCGCCCCCCTCAAAAGTGCCTTTACATCTCCCTTTCTCTCCTCTCCCCTCACCTTTCGGAAGGGCACTATCCACCATGCCTGCCCCTCTTCCTACGCCGTCAAAGATCCCTCGTCAACTGGGCCCGTCAGCTACGGACTCCCAGGAACCTCCCACAAAAAGACCTTCCTCGTCTTCATCCTCAGCTTCCGTGTCTTCTAGGCGACACAAGTCCTCTCCGCCCACGTCCCGTCCAACGTCGTCATCAAGGAATTCACCACCTCAGACCTCCCGAGACAGGTTCAATTCGTCACCCACACTCTCGAGCCGTTCAGGTAAACGAGGCGACCGTAGTCCTCCTTTGACCTCATCCAAGATGCAGAAACAAGATAGCGACGACGACACAGCCAAGATGCCACCACCACCGCCGCCACAATCCTCAGGGGGTCGTGCAGTGGGGCTGCGTACAAAACCTGGCGAGAAACGGAGTATTACAAGCATATCCAATAAGCCTAAGCTTGAGGATAGGGTCAAGCCTGAAGATGAGAAATCCTCCGTTGCCACGGCAACCGGTAAGGGGATCGGGAGACTTCTTGCTTTGAGCAAGCCAACCTCGTCGAGATTGGCAAAGCTTGATTCAGAAACGGGGAAGAAGTCTTCGTCTCTACGATCTAGAGCTTCAACCATGGAGAAATCAGAAAGGGACGAGAAGGGTGTTGCTGGAGCTAAGGGTGTTGCTGGAACTCTGACTCGAGAGACTAGTGGACGTCTTGGCAGGGCTATGTCTTTGAGATCTTCTACTAAGGCTATTGGGAACGGGAATGGTAATGTAAAGACAGAGGCCGTTCCTACTGAGAGGAGGACTAGTACGAGACCGAGGCCGGTTTCTATGTATGGAGCCACATCATCCAAATCGGATTTGAGCTTGTCTAGTGCTGCTGGGACATCAACCACTGGCCCTTCGCACACCAGGAGACCATCCACTAGTTCAAATACAAACCCAAGCGCCTTAATAATACCACCTCCTGCTCCATCGAAAGGGCATAAAAAAAGCTCAAGTATAACGTCTTTACAAAGTGTTGCTAGTGGTATACCCACAGGAACTAATGCAAGCTCTCGACCAACAACGGCAGGGAGTGTTAAGGCCAAACGTCCAGCATTCACAGCGTTGAGCCAAGACTTTTCTACACCTATAAACGCAAATCCAGGCCAAGCTTCCCGTTCAAGGGCTGTACCACCGCCACCTCTTGACACGGCAACCATACATGCTCAGACACAGCTTCTCCAGCTGCTTACACTACATTCATGTTCCACTGATGTATATCAGCAGCTCATTTCATCTGCTACATCAACATTGAAATCACGATTTGAGAAGCTCTCTGCCCGTCATTATGATGCGCGGGAAACAAGCTTGAAAAAACAGAAGTGTCAAAACTTTGACTCTCTTGCTGCTGTAGTTAACAACGCTGTTCCGGGAAAGAAACGTCGGGATACAACCAGGAGCCCGGAGGAACGTGTTCAAGCATTTTCGGAGGCTATCAAGCGTATTGACGCTATGCGTAGTGGGGAGTTCAAGAATCTATGTGGTGTATTTGGCGAATGGATTGCCGGGTATAACCCCCGTGGCGGTATTGGCCGTGAGAAGTGGGTCGATGGAATTGGTGAGGAATGGCGAAGAGAGTGTGTGGGAATTTCGAGACGGTTAGAAGTTTCTATCGCAGGTGTCGATGGTGTTGCTGGCGTACTTGCAGACTATGGCGAGGAAGAAGCAATAGTAACAACGGTCACAAGAGTGGCTGAGGGCTACAAAGAGCTTGCGGAGGGGATGCTTGAGGAGGTCGAGATGATGAGGAGAATGGAGATTGAGGTTGTGGAAAGAGAGCGCATGGAGTTAAAAAGACGCATTGCCTTGATTTTGGAGGCCCCTGTTGATAGTAGCTATAATAGTGTCGCTGTTTGGGCTGCTTGCTGAGTGCTGTCAAGCGTTTCATTTTGACTTCAGTTCTCTTTTCCTTTTTTTTTAGCATAATTTCCTTTGTCACTTTCCTTTGATGACGGAACGCCCTTAATGCTGCTGGCTGTCTATCCTTTTTTCTTGCTGCAGACGACGATGATATGATGGTCACGTTGGATGTGTATGCGACTTGATGAGCGTGTTATTGCAGATATGATATATCATACTATTTTTCTTCTTCTTCTGCCGGTGGCGGAGCCCGTAGAAGGAATGTAGTAGGTAGCTGTATGTAAATGAGCGAAATAAATGATATTTTCTAATGAAAAAGAAAAAAAAGGCGGGTTTATCTGGGTGTACATCATTATTGGAGTTATTTTAAGGGTATCGGTACTATAAACTTCAATCTCTATGAATGATATGTGAGAAAGAATTTGATTTTCTTCAATCACTTAAATTTACAACTAGTATATCTCCACTACTTTTATATAATCTATCGCGGAGTATCCTATATTTCCGCCAAAATACAACTCAAGACTAGCCCGGCAGGCGGGTTAAAAGTCATTTTTGTAATGAGATATCATTCAACTGTATAAATAATTTTTTGACACTGAACAATTAATGAATTATCAACCAATCAATCAATTCTTTGAGTGAGTTACTCACGCGTTAATTAAGTTCTGAGAATTCTTGGTAGCAACGACCTCACAAAATTTCTCAAGACTTAATTAATGCGCGAGTAAACAATTTATACCCCCATAAAGCAAATATGGCCGAGTTGTGGCAGTAATGCAGCAAAATGGCTAGAAATGAGCCCTCTAATTGGCCCATAAGTCCATACTTCAGCCACAATTGTTCCACTTCGATATGCTGCCGTGTCACCTTTAAGAGTGTTGCATGCAATTAATGAATTAAACAAAAAAAAAAAAAAAAAAAAACCTTTAAGAGTGTGGCACCATACACACCGAGTGAGTTTTGGTGATGCCAATACGCAGTACCACCAAGTCACACCCATACGCATAATAGACTAAAAAAAGACGGAATAGTGGGCTCTTCAGAATTTACAACCTTTCCTTTTAATATTATATGTAACTAATAGGTACGTATACATATGGGGGAGAAAAAAACTCTATAGACGAGGTAGAGTCAATAAAATATTCGCAACAAGAAAGTAGACGAAAAGATCCAAACAAAAAGCCCCACGCGGGGGTCGAACCCGCAACCTTGAGATTAAGAGTCTCACGCTCTACCGATTGAGCTAGCGAGGCTAAAAAATTGGTTATAAATTAAATATTATAGGCAATATCAACTAATTTAGTGTTGGTATTGGTGACCAGTATTTTGAGACTTTTTGGTTTACTACTCTAGTGAAAATCTGATTTGTTCTAGCTTTAGAATTTGCTGTTTTATATTGCTGGATTGGCAATCGTTAGTGGCACCAGTAACATTGCCAAGCACAACTGTCGGCAACTCTTGTTTCGAGAATACATGTACTACATCATACAAGCAGCAGAACCGGTGGGAGCATACCCACGTACGCAAAGAGCTTTCAATATACACAGATACAAAGGGTAAATTCATATAAAATATGGGGTAAAGCATGGTCAGAGTAAGAATGTGTAGCCATATATATTTGTATAAGATATTAGTGCTTTTTAGTGTAGGCACGTTAGTTGTAATTCTTAAAAGTAGATCTATTGCACGTACAACTCATTCCGTCAAATAGCACAAACCCGATATATTTGCCAAGTAGGATGAATGATGATTACCTCACTAATAATCACTCAACAGGACTATACAAAGTCTATGATTTTAGTGTTATCGTTTCTTTATATTCCGCGCGGAACAGTTTTAATAGCTGACCTTCGAAAGCTTAAATACCACATACTAGGAGGCAAATACACTTACCCGGGGAATCATAGTACACGAGTATGTGACCCCTTCTCCCTCTTTACGGTGTTTCTCTTCTCACTTGTTTCCAAATCATCTAAAAACGAATGAACCTAGCCTGTCGCACTGGCTTGACCGGTAAATGCATTGTTATCCATAAAACTATTAAAGAAAATCATCATGTAGAGCTTAGGTATAGTTAGTGAGCAGCTATTTAATCCTATATATATATAGATTCAGATAAAAGCCTCTATCGATCTCGCGCGCTGGCTTCCGTTGGTTCTGATTCTTGCTTTGATCGGTGGGGGTTTATACCTACAAATCCAGCTATCTATACTATTTCCTCGCTTGTTGATGACAACATACATTCTCTATCCAAGTTCAAACGTGTTAGGATAGTCGATACGTAAAGTGGGGCCCGGTTCTCCAGATATGTATATATATTGCCAAGTCTATATGCGGGGAGGTGTGTAATATAGAGTACCTAGAGTAGGTGCTCCATGGTCAATTTAATTCGGATAGTAATCGGTCACCCCCTTATACACGCTCAAATTCATAAATGTTTGACACCTATTGTTAAATTTCGCCGTAGTCTGTCTGATGTGATCCACACTTAACTTTTCAGTCCAATTCAAAATTACCATGATCAACTATGGTTCGATATCCGTTTCTCTCCGAATTAACCATTTCCTCGCAGCCCAAGATATAATGTACTGATGTCAGATATGCACAATGAGTGGCACGCTACTTACCCGCTCATGCAGGTTATTGAGGCTTATAATGGTGGTTCAGGCATCTTCCTTGAAGGTAGATTCATACTAGTCCCAATTCCAAGGTCTCCATTTTAAGCCCCATCGAAAGTACATGGTACATGTACTTCGGGGGTAGGGGTAAGTCTGTCAATAGGTGGCGGTGCATTGGCTGAGGATTTTTGGGTATTTGCTTGTGTGTCACCGCCACCTGTTGACAGACTTGCCCCTACCCAAGCTCTCCGCCTACTAATGTCGTCACAAGCTATCACTCGAAACGAATTACACAAATCTTAGAAGATGCGCATGAACTTCGATGCGATACATAAACCCACACAGCGTGTATTTTGACCTAGACGCCTAGATGGCATGCCTATTTCAATTATTGACGATTGTTGGGACTAATATATATTTCTTGGCAAGAATCAGATGGTTCTTGGCATTGATGCATGTAGGACAGTCTCCGGGGTGCTTCCGGATGCATGTAACGACAATCTAAAACCATAGGATTTAAAGACTAGGCAGCGCTATTAGGAATGGAGTCATTTGTATATATAACTTCAACCTTCCCCTCCCCTCCCGCATCTTTATGAAATTAGTAGGCCTCTCATATTGGCTGTATGTAATTATATAATTGCTATTGTAACGTGTTTCACTGGGAAAGCGATCGTCACCGGGAAAGCAATCAAGGGTGACAACGGGATGATCCAAAGTTGGTGAAGAAAGCCGAATTTATATACAATTACAGAACCAAGTAGCCAGAGGTGTTATTTAGATGTCTCCCAAATATTTTTGACATGATTTACCTCTATCTAGCGAGAGTATTGTTTCAGAGAGGTCGTTGACTGGGTTAGGGAGTGTAAGCTTTATCGACTTTAACAAATTTTGGTTTATATTCATTATAAAGTAACTCCAGGATTCGGAAAGGACACACTGAACCCTCTTATATGTGCCTGCCTTCATATATTGTGTTTTAGTGCCCACAACCTCATTTTGTGAGGTTCGGTTGCTTTCCCGGTGATGATCGCTTTCCCGGTGAAACGCGTTAGTATTATACTATGGCGAATTCGAAGAGATCGAAGATGAGATAATAATGACTGAAAGGTTTGTCCTATTAAATCTTAAATGTGGTTATAATTTATATTATATCATCACCACTAGCGAAAATTCTACTTTTATGAATATAATGTGCAGAGGTATGCAGGTACCTCAAGCTTGAGTATTCGGAGTGTGGGGTGAGTATAGCTAAATACAAGTATTTTTCTCCGCATACTTGCGCGAGTATGTGTATCGCGAATGTGTACTATATGTATGTATGCACAGAGTACATATAGTGGAGAATCTCAGATGCGTGCACCGTGCACATAGAAAAAAAGAAAAGTATCTTCCCAGTCAGTTTACTATCACTATCTTCATAAAGTGGGGACAGCAAATTAAAAACTTTGTAATATTATCCTTCTAGATTGTTCCTAGGTCCATATCGATCATTGGACGCTATGGGCCACTTTTTTAGTGGCGAAGGGCCTGAGAGTAGAGCTGTTCTCGTGCAAATTCAGGAGGTATGTACGTACGCAAAATCTCTTCTTGTCAGTAATCAAACTCAGTGCTGTAACCCGTTTCATTGAATCTTGCTAAAAATATGCATATATGATAATGTAGAAAAAAATACTAGACAAAGGATTATGCTTCTATATGTACTGGCTATGCTCTATCATAGTTGATATAAACTCTAACGCCTCCCAAAATGCAAAACCCAAAAAATTAACAAAGGGGAAAAGGCAAAAAAGATACAAGAAATATCCAGCATGATTAGGAAAAACGAACTTAAAAGTGCATGCCTTACTTCGCTGTCATCGGGAGTCTGCTATCCCCTTTCCCAGCTTAGAAATTAATTCCGCATATTCGAAAACTTTGCTTCCTTCCTTTTTCGTTTCTTCTAGTCGGCTTTCCAATTCTCTGACCCTGTTCTTTAAATCAATTCTTTCTCTTTCACCTGCCTCCCCAACCGCAGCACAGCATCCTCCCCCGCCATCAGCAACCGCGGCTCGCAGTCTCTCCACGTCATTCTTCAATCCTTCAATTTCGTTTCTCAAAGCTTTCTCCACTTTACATGCGCCTTTCTCGAGCTTCCCTGCATTTTGTACAATTGTGCCCCATTGTGCCCCGCTCTTACGCATTTCAAGCCTCATTTCATCACGCTCGGCCCGTACCTCTGTAAGGGTCTCCTCAAGACCCTCGATGACACCCATAAGCCGTTCACGCTCATTTGCCAATAATTCAGTCTCTTCCGTGCATACGTTCAATTTGCGGTCCAATGCCGATGTGCGTGTTTGTGTACGAGTGAACGCAGATAAAAGATTATTATGCTCGGTTTCGAGAGTGTTGTGAGCTATCTGTAGTGTCGATAAAGCACGCTGAAGATTTGAAAGATTTGAAGTATAGAAAGCTTGTTGCTCATTAGATACCGGACCGCCATTAATCTGTTGCTGCTGCTGTTGCTGCTGCTGTTGCTGTTGAGCAAGGGGTGGTTTTAACCGTTTGAGCAGTGAATATATGGTCTCCAAACATGTTGCTAGAGCTTCTATTGACGGAAGCTGATAGTGGGCTATTGGAGATGGAATATTGGAGCTTGACGAGACAGATGAGCTTGCAGCCAAGTCAATGGCCAGGTTATGTATTGTCGAGACTATATTAGCAAGAGCTGTGGGTGATTGGTTGGAGGGAGACTGGTGATTGCGATGCTGCTGTTGAGGAGGTGTAGCCGGACGAGATCCTGTAAATCGAGGTGAGATTGATGACGAAGATGGAGCTTGTTGCAGTGGTTGATGTTTGTGCAGCGGCAGAGCGGGTAGAGGTTGCGTGAAATGGTTGGAGTTGTGGTTTGGCTTGATGTAAGCGCTGCTTAGCACCATGTCGCCCTCTCCCCGCCGGTATATGCTCCTTCCCCCACCATCCTCACCACCTCTAAAATCGGGATGAACTTCAGACGGCGAACCCAAAGATGGCAACCCTAGGCCATGGTATGGTTGATCCATATAATCGTTCGAAAGCCGCCGTCTTTTCCGGGGATTATGTGGAGAGAGCGCCGAACTTGAAATGGACGGCATCCGTTCGGTCATAACCAAAGGCGCTGGCAATGGCAACGAAGGCCGACCATTATGGAAGCTCGTCGGGGGTGCCGCAGGAGATGCGTCTTCCCAAGGACGGTAAGGAGTCGAGGGAGCCGGAGGAGCCGGAGGAGCCGGGGGCGAAGCCATGATGATGGGGAGTGTATGAGGCGAGGGCCTCTGTGGTATGGGTAAGAAAAGAAGCGCCGTCGTGTGAGAATAAGCTTATAGTAGATTGGGCTGTTTAAACTGTTCCTTCGCAGTTATGTCGGGAAATATACCATAAAATAGAAGTGAGAGTGCGTGAGGTGTGTGTCAAGCGCGAGGAGTGCGAGGAGGAAGAAGAAATGGAAGTAGAGGGGAAAGAACCGGGGAAAAAAGAAAAGGGAAAAGAGACCTGCTCTCTCTCTCTCTCTCTCTCTCTCTCTCTCTCTCTCTCTCTCTCTCAGACTACAGTAATTCCTGCTGACAGAAATATTATCCGAAGTGAGCCTTAGGGAAAATAGGGGGGGGGGGGGGCAAAGAGTTGGTAGTAGCAGAGAAATATAATCTGAAGAGGCGGTCACCACTACAAACCATAGGATTCATGTACTTATGGCATGTAGGTATGTACAGACAGAACAACAATCCAATGAGTCGAGCGGCGTCTGTACATAACGGAGCCGTGCTGTGTGCGGGCTGCTTACAAGAAAATTCTCCTTCTGCCATTTCCCTGCTGTCGGGGATACACCAGTTACCTAATCAATAACCCCTCGATGATCAATCAATGGTACACTTTGTAGTTCCTAATCACTGATCCATTATTGAACCTGGGCTGGGAGTGGTCTTAGATCATGCCTCTATGACCCCCGGGATCACCGGCCAGGGCTCAGCATACCCAGGAATATGCCTGTTGTGCTTCCAGAGCAAACCCTACTTCTGTAGATCGAGTCTATAAAGCCTGTGTGTTAATGGTACATACAGGAAGTAACTCTCCATAACTACTCTGGGTTGGGCGTCTGAGTGTTTTTGAAGGATTACCTATCACATAGGCTATTAGTGCTACAATAGCTGATTGATGGTTACAGTTACATTCTTATGCACCAGTAGAGCTGTGTATGTACTGTATGTGTTTACATACCTTCTCAAAGAGCACTATACACTCATAGCTACCCTAACGTAGCCGGTCGATCAGCTCACGCGCACTGCTGTACAGACCGAACTTGTAATAACTAATGATATCAATCCGATCAGTATGTCGGTGTCTCTCCGCCCTACGTCTCGATTCGATCCTCACTTGCAATTCAGTCAGTTATCACCTCTGGAATTCTTCTAGCTAATACTCCTCTTCAACTCTTATGATTCCCCTTTCTCCTCCCGAAGTACAATCCAGCCCTGAATTAATTGAGGGTGCTTTTGTTCCTCGGCAGTGCCGATTTACCCATATTCTTCCTCTCCATCCAGCTTGTTCCTTGGTCACTCGAGATCCCAGCTGCCGCAACGCACATGGCTAACGGTGTGTGGACTAGGTGTGCATGGGTTCGAAGCAGATAGGGCTGCCTTGGCTACAGTTATGTAATTTTGGTGAGTGCGGTAAAAAGGCTGACAAAGTCCCCAGTATGCTGCTATTGCAGGGGTCCGGGAACCATGCATACGGATGACGCCCGAAGGGGGAGGTTATTATTAAATGCGGAGATAAACTGAAACCTTGAAACCGTCAAATAAGGCAATTTGCTAGTATTCCCTTGAGTGGGTCCTCGACTCACCACTTATCAAGGGCGTTTAAATGTATACTACGTCGACCTGCAAGCACAAAGAAATGTCTACTTCATGTGTATGTGCGTACGTCAAATGTAGCAGCCTCAAACCCTCTCTGGACCAGAAGGAAGGGCTAGAAAAGATCAAAACCTCGTCCGCGCGCGGCCATCCCTCATCACACACCTATGAGAGAAATTCGTTATGGTAATCACACATAAATTCACTTTTACAAGCGAGGTGCGGGGAGAGAGGGGGGTGAATTGCCCCACAGTACTTCCAAAGGCCAGGCAGTATGTATGCAGTAACAGATAATTTGCCTCAATGATATGCCTGGTCTTTCCCCACGATATGAGTTGCTTTTTATTGATGGTTTAATGGGTTTGGTAGACCGCACTTTCACCGGGGCCAGCTATACACCGTTTAGTCAACATTTCTCTCAGGATGTCTCGGGGAAGGGAGGGAAGAGTCGGGTTAGGTATGCACCTGAGGAATTGGCTGGTCTGTGCGCAGTGCGCGATCAAGATCCTTCATGACTGGAGTCCCGTATTTGGAGTCCCGTGGTACTCGTGTTCCATACCTCAATACAACTCTCCACACATAAAACTCTCTCCTCAATAAGTAATCATGTATATCATGACCGCATACTGATATTAGGATAATACGGAGAGATCTCGAGCTCGTCTATCTAAGAATCACCTACTTTCCAATCGATTGGCGACTTCTTATTTAAAATTGGGCCTATATAGCTATATAGAGACTAAGATTATATAAAACGAGCGGTTACCTACGCACTCGATACGCCATAGTTTATACTGCACGCGATCATTTGTACCCAGAATCAAATTGAACATGATTTTAAAACTTATGTATGTACCTATAGTGTGTCTCTCTATCTGGGTCTATGGGGATTTGACTCCGGACCAGTCATTGTACTGACTGGCTGCTATATATAGGTACATATATGAGTGTAGGCACATATAAATCCTTAATTAGGCACCATTAACACTAGTCGGAGCAATATTTGAACCGACAGGCGAATCATTTCCGAGACAGCCGGGAAATATCAATAGCAGCTATCTTACAACGAGGTTTTTAGATTTATAAAAGGGGTATATGTCATGACTGCTGGGAAAAGGGCTAATGTCCACATCTGCCTGTACATGTAACTGACATGTGTTTGTCTAGCCCATGTTTGAATTCTAGCTTATTAGGATAATATTCTTTTATATTAGTCAATGAATTGTTAGGTCTTCAATCGTAATAATGCGGATAATACGTGCCTTTTTCTTAAGTTTTGCCGCTCTTATCGCACTTGCTGCTGATAAAATTAGGGGTAGGCCTACCGATACTTACTTAAGAGATGTCAGATCACTATATACGAAGTCGAGTGATCATGTATGAACCTTGAGCTCTACCTATCATTGGCGTCAAAGTTAAACCTCCGATGGGTCACACCTCTCGGAGGCTCAGCTTTGCAGGATCATTAGATATTAACGTATGTTTTGATCAGATATATGGATGTCTGCTTTTGTGATGCCATGTCAGAGAGGAATTCTTAATCATGCCGACTGTCTCGGAGTTCTGACTTAATTACTGTGAATAATCAACTTACCCGAGCCTAATGCGGATTGGTTCACGATCATACTATCGTAGGATGTTCATAAGTAGTCGATATGGTATAGCCTTTGTATTTTAGAGTTTTCGAGCGGGGAAGAAGAGCTCCTAACGCAACACATTGACCTCTCAAATCAGCCCAGATCGGAGGAAATCAAGAAAGAAAAAGTTAGCAAGGATCTTTACTATTGACGTACCAGTTAGTACTACTTGTTGTGAACCAAGCTCTGTCTTGAATCACATTTTAATAGCCTTCTGACACCCCCCGAAAAAAAGTAAAGAGCTTATGTAAAGTACTATATCTAACGGGGCATGCCGAGAATCGTGTCGATCAGGATGCTGCATAGAGAAGAGTAATCAAGCTTACCTGGTTTACTAGTAGATTTTCATTGGCAAGCGCATGATAGAGATATTCTAATCCAATCGCTGGGATTTCCAGATGATCTTGTAGCCCCTATTGTGCCGAGAATTTCCCTCGAAAACAGCGCATGAAAAGATATCTAAGCTTTTGGAGAAGATAACAAGGTTCATAGGCCATTTGAGCGCGACAATAGCGCTGATTACTTAATTGTGGAGACTTTACTAAAACAGATGCTGCGGCGGCAAGGGAGGATGAAACGTGGCCGAATCACCACCCCGAGCCTGGAATCTTGGAATCTTGTCAGAGAAATTTGCACAGTGTATTAATTACATAGTTCGTTGTGCGGTAACTTTATATTTGGGGCGTCGGCATGAACACACAAAACGATAACGGTGATGGACAGAAGTTATAGTTTTCCGCCTGCATGGATACGGCCAAATGTTCGAGCTGATGTAAGAAGCACCATTTAAATCATTCCTTTCACCTAGCTATGTGAATGGCGCTACGTTACCTGCAGATGGTAAGCCCAAACCCGAGTCACTTCTCATTAAACATCAATTTGGGTGGCCAATATCCTCAGATGTGACTGGAAACTAAAGTAGAAAACATGACATCAGATTTCTCTGCATATTGTCCATTGATTAAGCAATATATAGAAAGGTCGGGATCGAATAGAACGTAATCGTTATTCGCCCCACTGGAACTGCGCACCTGAACTCCCTGGAGTGAATCTCTGAGCAGATACGGGATCCATATCCTCATCATGTCAACCCAATCCTCATACACAAACCCCCATCGATTATCTTTAACAGGTGCGGTGTTCTACGGACATTTCCGGGCCTCGCTTATTGATACCACAGAGGAGTGCATGCTGCCACATTCGTATCAGCTCTAGATAGCTACTTTTTCCTTTTGGACCCGGTTATTGTTCCGAGGATTGCCGGACTAGGATGCCGTATGCTCAGGGGGGAATGTACATGGGTAATAGCTTATTTTAAAAAATTTGCCTTACTGCAACAGACCCAAGAAAACAGGTTGACAGCAGTAAGGAGAAATGGTCATAAGAGATCACTCGGTTGGTAATGCACTCCACATATATATGTTGAGTCTAGAACAACTTTCTGAAACTGATGCACAGAATCGTAAACAAGAGTCCTTAGGTTTAAATATGCGCCCTATCCGTTGCACTTATCTGTCTTAGGATCTTTGGACTACCAAGAAACACCCTTTTGAATTCGGATTTTGTCAATGGATATTAATCATCCCGGCTGGACCTTCAAGCCTTTGGGACCTTGTACTCTATGCGGTTCGAACCAGCCAAGGAAGGGCTGAGGAAACGAACAATTGATATCTAAGACCAAAAACACGCGCTTCATCTGATCATACCGATTATCAAAGCCGTACCCATTTTATATTTGGAATGATCGAATCGTGTGGGAGCGGTGGCAAGCCAGCTTTCAGCTACCGATGGCTTGGAGACGACCTACGCCTCCAGATTAAAGACTTATAATTTCGCATGTCGAAATCCGGCAGATTAACCCTGAGATATGCTGCTGAATGGCTTCTTCGTGTTGTGGGCGGTTCCCTAGGTATTGTAATAATTCGTTATCATTGTTAATCGATCTCGTACTTACCAGTGCAGTGCACGGAAGGCTAGCGACGGGTATGAGATTTACGCGCGTTGTGCTCCCCATATATAAGCAACTCTGTAGTTACCAGCATGCACATGTCTGAGAGGTAGCCCTTGGAATCTAAACGCCGGGTGTATGCCTAATTTCACTTGAATTCAAGAGGGAATAAACGATATCCTATAGGAATGTGGAGAACTTTTCTGGTTGTCATAACTCACCCAAGAAGCGGCGCTGTTTTGTTGAGGATCGATCAGTTGCTTGTACCCGTAGGGACCCCGGTTAACCATACGCCCAGGAGTGCGTCTAGCGAAAAACTCACTAGATTTGTCCTCCATTCCAAGGCCGAGAGAACTTCAACCATTTAGCGCCACACATACGGCTTCCATGTCATGCGCCGACTTGATCAATTGACCGCACGTAGGAAATGATCTTCAAAGAACCAGTTTACTAATCCTACCTGTATCAGAGTAGCGGCTAAGCGGGAGAGTCAATTCCATCGATCTGAAATAATCTCCGAGGTTTTGAGTTTATATTTCCAAATCGAAATATTGCTGGCATCGTAACACAATTAGCAATGGTCTGAGCGATATGTTTGTCAATGGTACTATATACAGAGTATTTACCTTTATGTGCGTACTTTGATGAGGCCGAATTGTAAATCTAAAGCCAAAGTAGATCTTTAAATGGTGGTCCAGTGACCATGAAGCTACAAGTGCGTTTATATATCAATGACAGCTGCAGACTCTCAAGGAAGATCGATTTACCTGATGCAAGGACAAGCCACAGAAGTAAGGCTCCCCCAAAAAGAAAAATACAAAGAGAGGTTGTATGGAGCAACGCTGCAGCTGTTGCCTTGAGCAACCCACCATCTAGAGCATTCCGCCCAATCTTTCAGCGTTGGAAAAGAAGGATAGGAAGCGTGTTTACTAGGTTGCTGCTGCATGTTGCAGTCTTTAATGATAAAACACTGCACAATTGCCGTTATTACGTCCCAGCAGAAAAACACGCAGAAGCCCCCTTTTCCACACTAGTGTCTTGTTTGTTGTAAATGCCATCTTACATAGCGTCCGAGTAGGTGCTCTACCTGCATATTGAATATATACTAGAGTAAATGATCGTATTTCCCCGTCCTGTCACAGATTAGAGCCTCTGACTGTTGAATATTAAACCAGTTGCGGCGCCAACCTCGTAGCTGCATAACTAGGGCGGGTTGAGGCGTTCGGCGCGGGCGATTAGAGTACCCACTCAAGAGCGTTCAAGAAGATGCAGGCATTCACATACTGGTGTCTGGAACTGTAGAAACCCGTGCTGCATTAGCCACGGGAAGCTAGACATATAGGGATGATTCTAGTCATATGATATCACTCGTTTGGTTGAGTGGGGGCTATCGCGCAGGACTAGACTTTCTGAACCAAAGTCAGAATACTGGTTTGTGGTTTATTTGATATCGAGTTGTTCGTGGTTGCCCTCGGGGAACCCATTTTCGCAGTAGTAGTGAACTTTTAATCACATGAGGTGTGAATTTATTCAACGTATTTATTGGAGATTGGCCCACAGGTTGAGTCACTCCTCTCTTGAGTAACCAGTTAGACGATGAATAAACTTGCATTTTCCTAATCTGTAGCTCGGAGTCACTCGAAATCTTTTTCTTTCTTTCTTTTCTCTTTCGATAATAGGTGTATTTGCAAGTTTGGTCGTAAGGGGTGGAACAATGGATCAATGGCTGGTGTTGGCGTTTTACACGCCACCACTGCCACCACCACCCAGCGGTTACACCCAAAGGCAAGCTATGTATGTAAAAGCGGCCGGCTGAAACCTCATGCATCTGAGCATGCACTCATCTCGACTGAGCATGGCCAAGATTTCGTCAGCTGTTGGTTTTCGCTCGCGGGAGATAGAGCGAGAATCCAATTCGACTATGTAAATTCGAGATGACCTTAATAGAAAGTTCTTAGAGAAGCACTAATGTAGGAGGGAAGGGTGAGGGGGGGGGACCGGACTTGCTAATGTGAATTTCCTCGGAAGTTCTGCTAGGATTATGTGTGTAATTTGGGGCCCGCATACTTGATGCTGTCTATGGCGCACTCGCTGACTTGTTTTGTTTCTGCACCCCTGCGATGTAACGCTACGAAGGATGAAAGTGCAGACTCTATGGGAGAGAGGATGGGGTGGAATCGTCGTTTGAAATAGGCACATGGTGGGTTATGTGGGCGAAATATAGGCTGGCGTCGTCATGCGGTGAAATGTTTGACCTTTCTCAGTGGCCACAAGAAGCGAGTGAGCCCCAAAGAACGTGAAATATACGAGAGTGGTTTGTAGAGGGATATTTACAGAAACAAGCCCGCTACATAGCCAGCTTCCAAAAACTCGTGTGTTCCCATTGCCGTTACACACAAGCGCTTTTCAGGTGTCACCAGGCTGCTGGGCACAACAGAACCTTATTCGTCTCCCTGGACTCGTCCATGTTTCAGATGTACCACTGCATGTAGTTACGACCAATGCCTTCCCACCACCACGTAATCGAGTCGGGCATTGGCAAAAGGACTGCTGGCGATGGCAAAAGGACTGCTGGCGATGGCGGGTGTGTCCATAGAATTCGGGATAAGAGGAGTTTTCCGCATGGCCCGGCCGAACTGGGCTTTCAGCCCTGCTAAAGTATCCTCACGACTGTTGTGCACAACCCTTCTTTTTTGTTCATTATCGTTATCTGTCTTTCTGTTCCTTTTGCTTCTCTAATTCATGCAAACTCCATGATATGATTGATTGACGGCACATCCACGTAGACGATCCAAGACCGGCCACTCTTTTTATTTGGCAGCCATCAATCAGTCCGTCGTCATCTGGCCCATCAATCTATCCGTCCAATCTGCTCCAAACGTTCGGAAGATCGCTTATTCACAGTACTGCTGGAGATGTACTATTACAATACCCTTCTGGTGCTATTTACCGGCGCATCACTATGTGTGGCATCACCGGGTGCCAGGGGTGCCAGGGTCGGTTTGCAGAAGTTGAAGGATCGGACAGGATCTGGTCCCTCATCTCAACAGCCTGAGCTGAAGCGAGATGCAACCCCCCTCCAGTCGCAGTCTTATGTCACTGTAACTCAAGATTCTATAACAGATGTAGGTTATGGTAGTGAATAGTTTCTGTGGAAGGAGCTATGCTGAGGATATAAAGATTACAACGGAGTACGCAGTAGTGACTTCGTATGGTTCAGAGGTAAGCTAGAAGTTTTGTCCCTTGTGTTCGGTTTGAAGACTGATGATATCTCCTTGCACAGGCCCCCGTGGTTGTGACGAAGACGATCGTTTCTCAGTCGACAATACAGCAACCTGCTCCACCATCCCCTACATCTAGTAAGTTCGTCTGTATTTGGGGGGGGGAGGGGGGCACTCTGTGTATCTGATTTAAGTTTGTGAAAATAGCTTCGGAAGCCCCATCATCAACGTCCCAAGTTGGCCCGGCGGGGACGTCGGCCCCTTCATACACATGCCAAAATGGCTTCTTTCTTTGCGCTGCCGAATTTAACGGTACGAACTCTCTTTGTTGTAGTTTCATGTCATGTACCGTTGCTAATAAGATCATATGCCTATAGGGGGGTGCTGTGGGAATGGATATACTTGTGCAATAGATAGCTGTATCCCACCGCCAACTGCAACAGGGGATCATCTATTTTGTGATACTGGATTATATTTGTGTCCCGCAAACTTACAGTACGGTTGCTGTCCAGGTGGTTATGACTGTGGTATCAGTGAATGCTCCATTATCGGGCCGACGGCTGGAGTAAGCAGCACCCTTGCGAAAGCCTCAGCTCTAAATCTTCTCGCAAAACATTCCATTACGACAGCTAGCCCTTCGAGTACACCTACATCTACCCCTGGCCCAAACCCAGTGTCAGAAATTTCTCCTGTTACAATCGGTGGTATTGTTGCTGGATGCCTTGTCGGGATCGCTATCTTCGTCTTTCTGGGGTGGTACACGTACCGTAGAGTAGGGTCTCGTGGGAACAATGATCCACCTGGGGGGGTAACAACAACAAACTATTACGACCCGACAGCCTCAGTTTCAAGAACTCCGGGCAGTAGCTCATCAACTCGTTACCATACTGTTACGCAAGATCATGGGTACTTTCCGAAGATGCCTTTTAAACAGAAGACAGTCCCATCTCAAGCCTTGCCCCCTCAAAATGGGGTGGTAGAAATGGCCCATAACACTGCTTCGTATCCAGCACAACACGGTCAGGTAGCATGGGGAAACGGTAATCATAATCATGTCCCTGTAGAACTACCGGCATTGGATCGACAGGAACCGATATATGAGGTTGAGGGTACGAAGCTGAAGAGCGCAAATAGATGGACTGGGGCTTTTTCGAGGCAGAGAGGTGGCCGATGACTAGTCGGCTGAATTTTATACTTTCATAGTTTCTATCTCGGTTTAAGGTTGAGCGTTTCCATCTTCGGTTTTCGCATTTTTTGGGCTTGGTGTTCACGTCTGTCGTTTCTTGTAAAACAGTATTGGTCTTCTTGGTCTTCTTTTATTTTAGAGCTACAATCAGTATTTCTGGGTTTCCCTTGTTATTTTTGGTTGTTAAGAGACTTCTTATTGGTGTCTTTGGGAGTACCTTCGTTTTCCTTTGATTATTTTCCTATTCTTTATTTTCTTATATTCTATCTTTATCTCATGTTTGTGACTACAAATATATCAGCTTGAAGTTCTTAGCTATTAGTATTTCGTATTAATTTCCTTTGTCTGGACTCTATTGAAAATAAAAAGCTGGGTGATTGTATCGTCATTGTCGAAATTAAATCACAACCTATCACTCGTCAATTCTTCTGAGCAGGGGGTGCCAGCACAAATCCTTGACGAGCAATGTCGGAGAATAAAGTCTCTGTGATATCCGTACTTGAATCGAGTGAGATCTGGCTTTGAGCGGGCGCTTTATACTCCTTGGGTATTTCCGCGGCCAACAGGTACACACATCGTGTTTGTTCATATGCACTGAGTGGGGTATGATGTCCTTCGATACCATCGCCACGATACCGAAGTGTTTCATTTTCGTCCTAGTTTCTCGTATCTAGATAGGCCGTGGTCAGCGGGGAGGTAGCGGAGCTTCAATTGCGAGTTGGGTCTCTGTCTCCAAGTTCCTGGACCTGGTTGCCCCTTTAGAGGGAAAGTCATCTGGCTTGATTAGCATGTTTTATGTTCTGTTCTGATCTTCGGAATCGGAATGATGAGTGTTATCAATACTCTGCTCTGCTCAGGTAGGTACATGTACGTATGTGTAGCTAGTATGTTACCGCTTTCCGAGGTCTTGCAGTCCTCGCCGATAGAGGGAGCTACATGTAGCTGTATGTCAGTGACAGGCGGCCTTTGTGTACTGCGGGGAAAAGGCTACTTCGTTGGTACCACTATTAGATGCCCACCAATGTACTCTGTGGCTGTCAGGAGCTGTCCTTTGGTGTCGATGTTCTGTTGGAGGCTTGGAGCTGGCTGCGGGGTGGGGGTGGGGGGCTGGCTTTGGGGGTTGACATGGGTAGCTTTGGCGGCTGCAGCGGGTGCTGTCTAAGTGCAAGTGCGGACTGCTGCAATGATGTGCTGAGACCAAGAGCGGTGTACTGATCTGGGCTAGGTGGACTAACTGGCTAGCTGAATTGGGTTAGTGCTATTGGCCGCTCCGAGTGATTTTCTGTGAAACTCCGTAACAGAGAGTTTCTAGGCCTCTGTCGACGTTGGGATAAGATATGTTTGCCCCGCCACGCTCCATGCAGTGAGATGAGTGAATAAAGCTCAAGGCAAAGTAAAGCGTCTTGGTCATATCACTGCAGCCCCACATCGTTCAATTGGAGGTTGGCTAACGTTCTCTCTAGGCTCGATCGTGTACTCTGTCCGCCGTGGCCGGGTCGACAGTGATCTGCTGTTACATCTTTCTCCGTGTCTGCAGTCGGAAAGATACAAGCAGCCCTTAAGCATGCCCATCTTATATCCACGTCTATCGACTTTTGGCTAATATATTGGTAGGAACAAGGGGCTGGGTAAATTATAAATCAATGACACTACCATCAACGCTTACATGGCCCTATAGGCCTGGGGGTTTCACAAACTGTACATATAACCGCACTACACCAGGTGGTACACACAAGTGAGCCGGGAGGGGGACGCTCGTTAGAAGGTACCATTGCTACGGTGGGCTGGCCGGTGCTCACCGCTAGCTCCCGTTTCATGGTCCAGGCTCACGCCCAACGCTGCTTAGATTAATACAGCGACAGTACCAACAATTACTCTTGCTTGGTGGTAGCTGCCTATTGTAATATACATGTACTTGCGTTTTCGGGCGTGCTACCGTACTGGTGTGGATGCGGTACGCTGCAGACGAGAATAGCAATGTGTTTCTGTTTGTAGCGGTAGGTACGTGTAGGGAGTAGATACTGTCGACAATCCCCTTCTCTGATCCCCGCGACTAGCTCTAGATCATCATCATCATCATCATCATCATACGCCGCATATCTCTTCCATCTAGGTGGGTCAACGATACCAACTCGCTGGTCCAAAACCGCCCCTCAGATATAAGCATCCCCAAAGAAATATCTTGGTATACTCACCATCAATACTGCGTTCACCACGGTTTCTCTATCTACACCGTCCCCGCCGCCCGTCTCTATATATTTGAGGATATTAATACTTCCCCACGACTGTTTTCAACGGATACATATACGGGGAGCACTTTCCAGTGTATATAGAACTACACCACTACTATATGCAGCAAAGTTCCAACCAGAGGACGAGGAGGAGGGATGAAGTGGATTGTTGGTTTTATATTGCCTTACCTGTGGCAGCAGTGACATGTTGGTGTGGGTGCGGCCAATTAAAGCCTCCAGATCAAGGCCGCTGAACAATGTCTCTGAGCTTGGAGAAATCCGCTTAGCATAAGCGCACCAGAAGGGACGAAGCGGCGGGTATTCCTCACTTGATTGTTCACTCGACCACGAGTCTACCAGTCATACGAGAAAGTGGGAAAGTCACTGTGAAACAAACCCGTCGCTTAGCTAATCCCTCATATACCCCAAAACCCAACATTGAAACACGCCTCGCTAGCTCAATCGGTAGAGCGTGAGACTCTTAATCTCAAGGTTGCGGGTTCGACCCCCGCGTGGGGCTCATATTATGAGTTTATTCTTTTTTTCTCTTTTTGCATGCACTCACTTGGTGCAGAGTGATGTCTCGTGAACCAAACAAGAATGTAGTTGGTTTTAAGTTTGGAGGAGGAGAGTTTGTATTAATTAATTTGGTTAATTAATTTGGTTAATTAATCTCTTACCTAGGTACATGGCATGGCCGCACTGCTAGCCATATCGCTCGTTCGCTCACAGGAGTATCGTATCCAGCTAAAACTAAAAAGAAGAAGAAAAAAAAAAAAAGTAACGCTATAACCACCACAAACTCCACAAAAACAAAAACAAAAAAAACAATCCACCACCACTCCCCCCCTCCTACAACCCCCTCTCAACAAACCTCCCAACCCTCTCCCGCACCTCCCTCATGCCCATGCCACCCTTCAACACCCTCCTCTCCCCCTCACCACCCCCACCACCATCCCCAGAGAGCTTATCAGTCCACACAGCGTCACCACTCACAGGATCAATCTCCAGCCTTACGCCGTCGACAAAGAGCATGCTCCACCAGCCCGTGTGCGCGTCGCGCCGGCACCAGCCAATGGTGGGCACGAACGTCGTGGACGCGTCGATGGGGAAGGGGATGTGTTTACTGTGCGCTGCTGCCGCTGCTGGGGGCGCTGGGGGTTGTTGTGAGCGGGCCTTCACCGGCGGCGGGGGCGGCGTAGCAGTAGCAGCAGACGTAGACGCCTCCTCCAGCACCCCCACGCCGCCGCCGCCCTCCTCCTCCAGCACCCTCCAACACGCACTCCACATGCGCTGCGCGCGGTCAACAACCTTCTCCCAGCGCACGCTCCCCACATCCTTCACCCGCCGCCCGCCCACCCAGACCCCCACCTCCTCGCCGCGCACGCCCTCAATCCGTACCACCACCTCCTCACCCTCCCCGCCGCCGCCGCCGCCGCGGACAGCCTCGAAGCGCCCGTCCGCCCACCGCCGCCCGGTCCATACCCTCCCGCCGCCGCAGCGCTCACGCACCTCGACGCGGCCGACGACCGTGGCGCGCTGGACAACGCTTACGAAGCTCTTGGCGTAGCGCAGCGCGGGGAGGTGTTTTAGTGGTAGCTCGGCGAGGGCGTATGCGGCTGTTATGGGCGCGGAGGTGGGGGAGGGGGAGGCGGTGGTGACGGTGATGGGCAGGCCGTGCGGGGGGATGGTGTATGTTGTGTGGGAGCCGCCGCGCAGCGTGGTGGTCGGGCGCAGGTTTAGTGTGAGGTGTCCCGGTGAGGACGGGGTCGTGGGTGTGAGTGTTAGTGTTGCGGTGCGGGAGTGGTGTGTGAGTGCGGGGAGGTGCGAGAGGGTGAAGGTGTAGTGCGCGAGGAGGTCGGCGGTGGTCGTGGGTTTGCTACTGCTGGGGGAGGTGCGGGTGCGGCGTTTTGGTTTGGAGGTGGGGTTGGCGGCGGGCGGAGGCGTGGGCGTGGAGGTGGGGGAGGGGGAGGGCGAGGGCGACTGCGAGGGCGACTGTGACCGCGGCCGTAGTGCCTCGAATTGCGCGCGCAGGTGCCGCATGTGTTCCAGCGGCGACACGTCCGGGTCCGCCGGCGCAGGCGCGAGTACAGGTGTGGGCGAGAGCTTGCTGGTGCGGCGGCGCGGGGGAGCAGTAGCAGGCGACGGCGTGGTGCCTGTGGCGAACCTTTTATGGAGGCGGGACAGCGGCGGGGCAGGCAGGGGCGTCAGGTCGGGGGAGGGGCGGCCGTGGGAGAGGATGCTGGTTGCGGAGGGTTTGGTCTTTGTGGGCTGGCGGGGGTGGTGGTGGGGTGCGTCTGTGGGTGTGGTAAGAAGGTGGTTAGTAGATGTAGCTGTAGATGTCATTGACACCCCCCCACTTCCACTCCCCCACTATGTAAGCAAGATAAACATACCCTCCTCCTCATCCGTCACCTCCTCATCATCCGTCTCCTCCGTCACCTCCTCAATCACACTCGTCCCCTCCCCCTCCCCCTCCCCCCACTCCCACCCCGCCCCGCCCTCCGGCCGGAAAGATACTCGTCTTCCAGCGCGCGCAGCTCCTTCTCGCGCATGCGCCGCTCGCGGTGCAGCTGTGTGCCCGGGGATGTCCTTGCTGCACTCGTAGCTGCAGCTGCCCCCTTGTGGCCATCGCGGTAGATCTCAAAGTCGGACTTGCGGCGCTCGGTGGGTGAGGCTCGCGGGGTGGCATCGGCGTCGCTCATGAGGTCGTGTAGGGAGGGCTGGCGGGTGCGGGTGCGGGTGCGGGAGGGGGGCGGTGGGAGTGCTGTGTAGGTGGTTGTGGTTGTTGCTGTGGCGGTCTCGGTCTCTGTTTCTAGTTCTGTGCTGGCCATTGCTGGGGGTGTTTACGTATCTACAGAACAAGGCTGAGGCTAGTAAACAAAGAGATCGCGCGGGCCACGTGCAGGAAGAACGCGTCTCGGGGGAGAAACGGACGGGACTGGACGGGACTGGACTGGACTGCACGGGACTGGACTGGACTGCACTGGACGGGACTGGACTGGACTGCACTGGACGGGACTGCACTGGACTGCACTGGACGGGACTGCACTGGACTGCACTGGACTGCACTGGACTGCACTGCACTGCACTGCACTGCACTGTGGTTGATACATCATGTAGAGACTGCCCAGTCCGACAGAGAGAAGCCAGTGCTGTGCTATTCACCCAGCCACATCGAACCGCCACACCCGTCTGCGTTGGCCACCCGCTGCGCCACTCCGTGTGCATCTCATCACAACAACACAGCCGGTTGTTGCTGGCATTCCCTGCCTTCTTTCTTTCCTTTCTCTTCTCTCTTCTCTCATCCTCATCCTCATCCTCACTGCACTCACTCACTCACTCACCACCACCACCACCACCACCACCAGTGCCAGCATCTCCATCTGTCTCTCAGCCAGTCAGCCATCTATCTATCCCCCTCTCCTGTCCTTCATCCCGCTCCTTCATCCCCCTCCTTCATCCCCCTCCTTCATCCATCTGCACCATCAATCGGTGTCAATCGGTGTCAATCGGTGTCAATCGCGTCTTGTCTCTCAAAAACACGAATAATACAGCCACCACAACCACAATGTCGTCAACAACAACAGACTACTCCAAGCTCAAAGTCACCGAGCTCCGCGAGGCCCTCCAGAAGCGGAACCTCCCCACCGTCGGCGTAAAGTCCGAGCTCGTCGCGCGCCTGGTCGCCGCAGACGCATCAGCAGACGCCCCCTCCCCCGCCGCAAACAAGAGCCATCTCCCCACCGCCGACGACTACGACGTCGACTGGGACGACAACGACGACCCCGCGCCCGCGCCCGCCGCCGCCGCTGCTGCAACCCCCAACACCACCACCACCCCTACCGCCGCCTCTACAGCCACCCCCACCACAACAGCACCCAAACCAGGGCCCACGCCCGCCGCGGCAGCACCCTCACCAGCGGAGCCCGCAAAGCCAAAAAAGAAGTTTGCCTCCATCGCCGCGCTCTTTGACACTGCGACGCCCGCCACCACCACCACTGCTGCCGCCCCCGCAAAGGGCAAAGACGCCGCCGCAACACAAAACTCGCAATCACCGTCCTCGCCCTCGACCGTCACGGACGAGGCTGCAACCAGCACCACCGCCGCCGCCCCTGCAACAACCAGCGCGCCCAAGGCCGAGGAGCCATCATTTGCCGCTGGCCTCTCTGCCTCAACGCTCGACGTAGAGCTCGAGCGACGCAAGGCCCGCGCCAAGCGCTTCGGCATGGACGACAACGCGGCCACCACCGAGGCGACCAAGAAGCTCGAGCGCGAGAAGCGCTTTGGCAGCGGCGCTGCCGAGGACGCGCCAGAGAAGAAGAAGGAGGTTGTCAAGGGCCTCGACTCGGCGCTCCCCGACCGCCGGGACAGAAAGCGTGGCGCGCCGCCGGCCCAGGACACGAGGGGCAGCAAGAGGACCAGGGGCGGAAATAACAATAACAACAATAATAACAATGGCGCGGCACGCGGCGGTCAGCAGCAGAGGAGGGCGCAGGCGCCCGCTGCGGGCGGTGCCCAGAAGAAGGGGGGCTATAAGGCGGTTCTGGACGACCCGGCGGAGAAGGCAAAGGCGGAGGCCAGGGCGAGGAAGTTTGGGCTTGCCTAATGGATTGGGGGATCCTTTTGTTAAAAAAAACTTTTTTTTTTTTCACGGCTTTTTTTTTAGTTAATATATAGCTTTCAGTTTATGAGATTTCTTTTTTCTGACGTTTCTTGGTTGTGTTTTTCAAACAAAAAATAACGCGCTTTTTTTTCGTGTGTATTGTCTGCTAGATTGCAGCCGCGGTGGAAGGGGTGGGTAGTTATGAAGCGCTCGAGCTCGAGTATGGGGAGTATGAGGGAGTATGAGGGAGGAAGAGGGGGGGGGGGGGGGGGAAGGAGGAGTCTAATTGTTTTTTGCATTTTTCCGACGTCTGTGTCTGTGTTGATTTTCTTTTCACAACTCATGATGGGTTGCGATTGCGATTGCGATTGCGATTGTACGAGCTCTCTCTCTCTCTCTCTCTCTCTCTCGAAAAAGGAAAACAAAATAGGAGTATGTATGCTATGCTATGCTATGCTGTATGGATCCAAACTGGTAGTAGTAGTAGTAGTAGTAGTGGTAGTAGTAGTGGTAGTAGTGGTAGTAGTAAGTAGTAAGTAGTTAAGCCTGGAATCAAAAAAATGTAACTCAAAAAATGTAACTCAAAAAACGGAAACCAAAAAAACGGAAATCAAAAAAACGGAAATCAAAATAATGCCCTGGCTAGCTAGGAGATGGAAGTCAAAAAAAAGAGGAGTAGATCTAGACCTCGTGTCTGTATGTTTTCTTTTGCGGGGGGAGGCAGAAAGAAAAACGAAAGAAAAGAAAAGAAGAGAAACCACAACCGACTCGGTCGAGAGACGTCAACGTTGAGGTGTTTAGATCTAGCGCATCAGGGTGTTGGATTGCAATGAGCATGAGGAACAGCACTTGTTGATTGAGTGAGTGAGTGAGCTCTGGGGGGGCCAGACCACGAACGATGTGGAGTATACTCTGTCGGCGCTGAGTGGGGGGTAGGTTACTGGTTGTTTGTGGAATTTGGAATACATGTAGGATTGGAATGTCTCTAGTTATTATATCTAGAGCTTCCAATTCTAGAGTAGATAGCTACATGTAGAAAAGCTACATGTAGCTTAGACAGTATCGCCACTCACGGATCAGGTCTATAGATACATATCTATTGAGTTTAAACGGTCTTGCAAGGTACCACATATATATGCACTCCTGATAAAAGTAGTCAGCACTTGGGGGGGACATATCAGCAATAGGGCGCCCCCCCCCCCCCTCCCAAATTAAGAACAAGGGTTTCCTGGTATATATACATACATGTAGAGTACCATACAAAACGGTCATCGATGAATGATAACCCGGAAGGGGTTGTAGCCGTTTTGAATTTTTTTTTTTTGCTAACGTGTTCGTGGGGCCGCCACGGAATTTTTTCCCCTACTACCGCCCTTGGAGCTGGCCTGCAATTGGAGGCCTGTTCAATATATTTCAGAAGCTTACCGGGGAGTAAGTTTGGGGAAGACAAAAAAGAAAAAAAACTGATAGGTGCAGCTTGCACGTCAACCGCAAATACAAGCGAGCTAGCTAGACAGATGGGAATTAAATGCAAATTTCATACCGGCTCGGCCTCTGGTTGACTGGAGTGTTCCATGTAACCGGCTCTACTCTACTATCTGTCCTGCTCTTGCTAGGGCACTAGCTAGGTAGTTGACGGCGCCGCATCATCACCTATTCTTCCACGCAGGGTCGGTATTATATGCGCTTGGGGAATTTTTATTTTGTCAGCCTAGCAGTACCAACGCACCCAAAGCCGACCACCAACCAAACCCCCCCCCCCCCCCCCGGGCAATATATACGACAAGGTGTATATTCAGGTCCTCCTCCCTTCTCTTCCCCTTCTCTCACGTCACGTCAGATACATATCACATTCCCCATTATCTGTCCTGTCCTGGCTGCAGAGTAAACATATAGAAACTCCATTCTCCACGTACGGTAACAGAAAGAGGAAACGAAAGAAGGAGTTACCTATCCCAACTTACTACTATTACCTCTCCTCTAGCTCTCGGCCCCACGCACCTCTCTACTCATGTCGCCGCCCGAACACCATCATGAGTATTTGCCTGAGGACCGGATTGAGGTGGATATGAGTTCGGTTAGTCGGAAATTTTTTAAGGTCTTGGGATGGAAAGATATAGGCTGACTGGACGGTTGCTGCAGGATCGGGATTGGGAGTATGAAGCATCTATCTATTTCAATTCTGTCGCAGATCTGATTTTCTTGGAAGGAGCGGGGTGGGGGGCTGGTTCCGCAGCGCTGGGCCGATAGTTTGCGTCAGTAGGTTGATAGCTAATTGTGGTGTGGTGCGTGCGACACAGTGCTTGTAGTGTGAATTCGGCCGCGAATTCGATATTCGAGTATGGCAGTTTTATTCTTGAGTGTGTACGCGGAGACGATGCTGAGATGCTGGTTGTGTTAGATATCGGTTTGAGAACGGGCGGAGATATCATGCATATCGGGACGGGTATATTCCCCTGCTCACCTTGGCTAGGAGATTGTTGCTCATAGGATTGATAGGATATATGCTTTCCCAAACGACGAAGTAACCTCTCATTTAGGCCACCTATTTTATCTGATCTCATCTTACTGTTCCAATTCTGACGCTTCTATGTGAAACCCTCTAGGTAGAACAGGTTCGGTTGGTTTTCATGGCTCTCTCCCGATCGATTGATATACCCATCCTTGTATATAAACTCGCTGAAATTCGTCGGCGAGCACAGATTGGATATGTTGCATCATTTATGCTTGCTCGTGTTGAGAGGAGAACTACATACTGCCCCAATATGTCCAATCCTACCAAGATATTAGACGTGGGTACAGGAACGGGGATCTGGGCGATTGATATGGGAGAGTATGTATCCTGGGGTTGCCCCATTCTCTGAATTCTCCTCTGATGTGTTCAAAGGCAGTATCCCTCCGCCGAGGTGATTGGCACAGACCTAAGCCCTATACAGCCCAGTTGGTAAAAATAACCTCTTTATTCCCCCCCATTCCCTCCATTTTCCTGGCACTGATGTCGTCACCAGGGTACCCCCAAACGTGAGTTTCCTAATAGATGATGCCGAAAGCGAGTGGGAATGGCCTGAAGGAACCTTCGACATGGTACATATTCGCTACCTCAACGGTGGAATCAGCGACTGGGGTGCACTCTTCGCAGAGGCTTACAGGTATGCTCTTCTACCTGCTCAATCAATTAGAGATGGTTCATTGCTGATTTCTGAAGGTCATTGAAGCCCGGCGGTTGGATTGAGGTTTGCGAGTTTGAAATGGGTGTGGCCAGTGATGATGGGACATACGGGGCGAATTCAAACTTAGGAAAATATTATGAACTCACGAATGAGGCCGCTATGAGAGCTGGTGTGTTGTTTGCCTTCCGTTCTTTTTCCTCTGCTCATGGATATAAGCTCATCGATGTAAAAAAAAAAAAAAAAAGGCCGGGATTTCATAGGTGCCGACACGCTCATCAATGGGATCGAGAAAGCTGGATTCCGGAATTCTACTCTGAGGAGGATTAAGGTACCGATCGGTAGTTGGCCAGCCGACCCATTGCAGCGAGAGATTGGAGAGTGTTATTTAATGCTTTCTGAGACTGGATTTGAGGCGTTGGGGATGGCATTGTTGACAAGAAATATGGGTATGGATCCCGGTGATGTGACAAAGTTAGTTAATAGCGCCAAGCGAGAGCTGTGGTCAAAGAGTACGCATACCTATAATACCCAGTAAGTCTTTGGTTCTTGCAGGCTATTTGAGGTGGTTGCTAACGAGGAGTATGCAGCTACTTTCTACACGCTCAGAAGCCGCTTAAACCGTCTATTTAATTGGTTGCTTTCAGAGCTTGAGGGTGAATGCCTTCTTCAGATAGGCCTTTGTGGGGGGAACAATTGCAAGTAGGCCGGGTTGTAATCTTGAAGTGCGATGTTTGGTGCATTCTGATACGTCTTTTCTTTTCTTTTCACTCGTCAATATTTAGGAGTTTCTTTTTAGTTTATGAGGTTACGATGGGAGCTTAAACACACCTCCGGTGATAGATTTTCTTGGGCTATGGATGCTTTATTATAGGCCCGTGTACGGATTTGTAAATCTTGCGATTTTTTCTAGCTGTGAAAATTAAGTACGTACATGTAGTTGGTGAACTATTGTGGAATATTATGTTACTGTCGGGGGCATTAACATTCGAGCGGCATAAAATAGAAGAGATTGGGGTTTACCTGCATTAGACCATTCCTAGAACATCATATCCTATAAGTTTTGAGATCGTTGACCGATTCGAGGCCTGTTTTCGTAGATAACCAGGGTAGTATACACTCCACAGAGTGTTGGGGCGGGGGGTAAAACTACAATAAGAAAGCTTAGTGGACTGGTTATTAATGATGTTGTAAGAATTGGAAAACATTCATACTACCAATCGTGAAACCACGTGGTTTTTTGAATTGCCTTTATTTGACACATATGCATAAACCGATGTGTGGCTGCAAAGGGTTGATTACAAGGGTGTCAGCTTTGAAATCTTAATCATGGTTAATCACTCGATAAAGCCAAGACATGCGCCCGCTCCTAGATATATACAAACATGTACAGCTTAAGAGGCGAAGTATAAAGACAGCGCAACAATTGTTAAAAGAAGAGTAAAATTGAGTTGGTACTATCGGTATTTAGATACAGCTATCTTTTCTATAGACAGATAGTTAGCATTGTGATAGAAAAGGTACATTGTGACAGAAAAGGGAAAACGTACATTAATACTTCTTGCTTACGATCGATATGAAAAACCCCGCTAATTAATGCGTGTTCGGATACGTGTATCTTATACCTGACTCATTGACTTTAAGCCTCCATGGATCCAATCATTCTTCAATCTATCCCATACACCATACACCATACACCATACACCATACACCATACACCATACACCATACACCGTAAATCATAACCCCCCCCCCACTGCTCTCAAAAGAATATTAGCCTTTCCATCCGATAATCTGACTCAAGTCGCCTACTGCATTCTACACGTTCTTGTGTTTGTAGAACATAGAGGCTGGCGGGTGCCCTTCAAATTTCCTGATCGATCAAGCTGAAGGAGGTGGCAATGGCACGAGTATCGCCATAACGGTTTTCCTTGCTCAAGGTCGCCTTGTCGAGAGCTTGCTGGTCTCTAGGCCCGTATCCAATCAAATCCCATTCGTTTTTGTAATCTGACTAAAATTTAGCGATAAATGGCATAAGATTGGAAAGTAGTTGCTGACTTACCAAGAGGGAATAGTGGTCCCCAGACTCGAGGGGTAATAGTGACTCGATCCCATATTTTGGTGGACTTAGTGTCGTTCGATGAAGATTTGGGACTGGAGGGAGGAGTGACCATGGGGATGGGGTGGGTAATAGTCAATTCCCAGTCCATTTTTTCGTTCTGGCGAAATTGGCTGCACATCTTCATATCCTCAATGATGGCCCTTACTCTTCTTCCAGGCTTGAAGACAGTGGACTTGGAGATACTGGAGTCATGGGGGCCCGGTGGGGAGTTGATGCTGGAAAATTTGACTCCAAGTTTCTCGTACTTAATCTTCTCCAAGGCAATTCTTTGTGAAAAGTTCAGACTTATTCCACGGAGCTCGTCGTACTCGGGATCGTTCTTTCGGTTCTTTTTCCTACGCATGTGGTGCAGTTTCTCTTCCCAATCATGGACGAGGTGACGGCGAGCACTCGCTCCGGTGTAGAGACCACAGTCACACTTTTGGGGAAAATCTTGGCTAATGCCATTATGAGTAAGGGTTGTGTAATGAGTAGGGTAAGTAGACATGATGAGAATTGTTTGAAGGATTTATGAGATCGTAGACTGTTGAATTTAGAATCGAGTGTTGGGGATTGGGATGTTGTGGGATTGGAATGTTTGGGGGATTGGGATGTTTGGGGGGTGAAAGGAAGTGGAGGTGGAGGGAAGAAGAGAGAAGAGAAGAAGAGAGAAGAGAAGTAAACAAAGTAGTGGTTGACGAATGTGAGGCAGCGTAACAGAGAGAGCAAAGTCGCAAGTGTGGGCTCTTCCCTTGGAGGAGGTCAGCAGCCGTCTTTCAGTCCTGGTGTCCGTTATTTCTGCGTGCATGAATACATGAGAAACTTGCTACAGTTGGAATTCTTGCTGGACAATTCAATCATTTGATTATTTATTAATTCTTTAATAGCCAATTGAAACTTTAACTACACCACAGTTCATTACTTCCAATACCTAAGAGATACTTATTTCTACTGACAATCAACTAGCACCGAGGCGGTGCAGGCAATCCCGACATGTTAAGCACTAGGCACTTTCAAAACAAAGGATTGCTATAGTAACAATCGCTGTTATCAGTACGTAATCTGTGAGTCGCGGCCCATAGTATGGGAAGCTCGCACAGGGGGAGCGATTAATTGTTAGGAGGGAAATTAGCAAGTAGTACTAACTTAGGTCCATGGATGCAGATGTGAGCTACTAGTGCGCTAACTATACACTTACATGTAATTAAACCCACGGATAAGACCTATTTGGGCCACTCAGGATGGTTTCTGTAGTTGCTAATGTCAATGATCGTATTGACGGAGATGACTCCAAAGAGGTACCAATGATTTTTCCCCAATTACACCACACCCAAATATCCGAAAACCGAGAATAATCTAGTGGCCAATAGTTATCACTCTCAGTAAACCAGTGATGGCCAAAAATGCCACGGTTAACATCCCGAGTGGCTGTTTGGCATTCAACCTAAAGTTATCTAGAGAAAGGTTTTGTATTTGTCTTTCAAGTATTTGTTTATTATATATTTCTCAAGTAATTTTGAATCTCAGGATACTGTGTACAGCTGACTTTTCTAGGACAATGGGGAAACTTGGTTAATCGAGGATGGCGACACTTCAGCCAAATAGAGCTGATAGTCAGCCAAGGCAAAGGAGTCGGTGAGCTTTTGTTGGTTTTTGTTGGTTTTGATCAGTCAATTCGCCATCGAGGAAGGTTCGCCATTGTTCTAGAAGAGACACTAGAGCTTAATATCTACTGTCCGATAAATAGGCCGAACAAAAGACTACTCTCGAATCAAAGCACTACTTATATCTGGATTTCTAAACACCGCTGAGTATAGAGATGATTCCGAACGTTATCTACTAAAAAAACAAAAAGGACTAAGATTTCTTGTATCTTGAAGAGACAAATTTTTCATCACCATGGTTTCGGGTTGTTGAGATCAATACTAATTGTAAGAGACTACCGATTCGTTCGGTATTAGGTGTCAAAACCTCTTTAAAATAGACACTCAAGTAGACGATCAGTAAAAAGAAAACTCTATTCGAGCTACTAAATAATTAGAGAATATTTATGAAGTTTTCAACACCCAGCCCCTCAAATTATGATAGCAAAACCGTAACTCACCAGACATATCATGACGAAACCCCGCCCCACCCGACAACGGCCCCATCAGACAGCGAGGTAAACTCTGATGCATATAAATCTCTTATTTTACGACCTTGCGTCTCTTACATCCTGCTCTCAGATCTCGTTCCACCCCAAAACGGGTGTCGAGATGAGCGAGTGATATCTCATGATTCATATTTTTAAAAAATGTGGCGGTGGGTGTAGCATCAAACGAAAAAGACTTGACACCCGTGGACTTACAAGAAATAATTTATTCATTTAAAATATATAACGTTATTGCAGAATAAATAACAATCAAGATATCAAATACTATAATACATAAATACATGTAATTTCGTTTATTTGTTAAGACCTTTATTTTCATTCCACTCTGATTGTTGCAGGTGGCCTTGTGACTCCCGCTCCCACTAGTACATGCGCTCTTATTACATGTACGTATAGTCTATTGAGAAATGAGGCCAGTTAGTTTCAGCGGATGACAGTGTGTCAACTTGGCCATTTGGCCTCATAAAAATCTGTCATTTTTAGGGTTACTGTCGCCTCTCGATATAAGGATATGGTCGGACCGAAAATATGTGTTGAATATATTCTTATAAGGTGAAGTAAAGAGATACTGGTAAAAATGTATTTCGGGACCACCGATTGCTATAATTATAACGAGAGTATCACTATATGAAGTATCACTATAAAGAGAGTCGACTGTACTTCTCTCCCTTGTGGAATAGGGGCTCCCGTAACTAATAACTGGCCGCTGAAGTATGATAGAAAGAAAGAACAAATTATTCCGGAGGTTTTCATATCACCTAACCTCTCCGGATCTATAAAGATATCACACCAAAGTATTTTCTATAACTCTACCGGTACCTTTGTAGTTAATTAACCGGTCCTGCTCATCCTGCTCACAAAGAAGGACCGAAAGATTATACCCTAACAAAGGGATTATATTTACAACGGTATCATTATAGCACGCAATTATTGCAGTGTCGGCAAATGATGCTCCAGGAGGCTAACAAATAACCCTAGCACCCCTCTCCCTAACGACTATCACCAGTGCCGATGCAAATAATAACTATGTACATGTATATATTACAGAGCGTCATCTCGATATATTTCATAGGTCCTATGACACTCACGGCGTGATGTTACTTCTCTCAACTGTCTTGCCGTTGTTCTATCCAGGAAGTCCATATATACGTTCAGGTGGGGCAGAAAGCCACGTTATACATATAGACTCCGGAGATATTACCCCGCTATTATCTACAGGGTCAGTTCTCTGAGTATACAAGTAGCGGTTGAATCGTAGACCTTCTACTAGTTGCACGTGGGGTTACAGGAAAGTATAATACGGATGACCAGTCTCGTGGGACATCATTAAATTACTCGGTCTTACCCCCTCGTACCCCTCGATTGCGGCTCAAAGTTCCATCTTTCTCCCCTGATTCAATCATTGTAGTCTCGGTTTAGTTTGAGGCAGGAGATTGAATCTAAAACAAATTCGTCAGCAAAAAGTGCAGAAACACAGCTTACGCCCGAGGGATATGCATAATACTTCATTTTTAAGGAAATGATCATCAAATTAATAGGTTTCCATCCAATAACAGGCTTTCTTAGTGATAGAACCCGAATACCACATTTTTTTTTTTTTTTTTTTTTTTTTTTTTTATATCATGTAGTTTTAATTGATTCTAGGTACAAAACTCTGCATGCAGTCTTAGACTATGGCATAAAAATACCTCTCCCCGACTTAGAAACTGAAATTCACGACCCCAGATGAACAAAGGAAAACAATGAGAAAAACAGGACGCAAAACAAACTAACAAACTGACTTAGTGACTGCAAGGAAAAACTGACGCTTTGGCGGCCCATATCCGACATAAGAAATCTTCCTGCTGGTTTCAAATAACCTGTTGCCCCTTGAGGGTCTTTTGTGGGTGTGGAGTGCCCTGATTTGGGTTGGCTTTTGTAGTGGCTAGGTGGTGGAGGGGGGAGAGCTGAGGGCACTTGATGTCTCAGATCCGGAAAGGAGGGGGGAGATGTGTTCCTTTCTGGGGAAGTTCGTTTTGGTGGCGGTGATGAAGGCTCCTAGAGCTAGCGTGTTGGTGTGGTTACTCCAGATCTCCTCGAGGGTTTTGATTCCTGGGAGGAGTTGGGCGCGTTGGGTTGCTTTCGCTCGGCAGAGGAGGATGGCGTGTTCGGTGGTTTCAGGGGCTTCGCCGCATCTGTCGCACTTTTCGGAGAGGTGGAGGTTGAGCCAAGATTTGTGGCCTCTGAGGTAGCTTTTTTGGGCTCTCATTTGGTGGATTCGAGTAGCCGTGAATTTATGTAGGTCCATGAAGGGTTCAGGGCTTGTGGTGAGGGGGAAGGAGTAGTAGGGGGGTGTTGGGAAGTCGTGTGCCCAATTGTCTAGCATTTGTTGTTTTGCTAGCTTTGGGAGGAGTTTGTGATCTGTTCCTCTTGTGACTGGATGTTGGAGGAGGTGGCAGAGATGTTCGATGGGGAGGTGGGCCACTCCCTTTGTTGCCGTGGAGTTCCACTTCTTAGGTGGGTTGGGGCGGCCGCGGAGGAGGGTTGTGTGGGAGGGGACCCTGTCGGGGGTCAGTGTGGGGAAGGAGGGGTGGCAGCGCCCTGTCACTGGATTGTTGAGGGGGTGGGCGAGAAGGACGCGGATGGCGAACTTTGTTTTCAGGTAGTGGATGTAGTTGATGAGTGGGGGGCAGTGTGCCTCGGCCCAGAGGACGCGTTGGTTGGTTGCCCTGAAGCAGCCGGTGGCCCATCTGAGGACTGAGTTCCAGAATTTATTCATCGCCTTAATGGAGCTGGTGGGTGTTAGGACGGATGCGCCGTATGTGAGCATTGGGCGGATGGCAAGCAGGGCGATTTTCCTGCAGTTGGATGAGGAGAGGCCTTTGCCAGGGGAGGAGAATCTCTGGAGGATCCCGAAGCTGGCTTGGGCGGAGGCTAGGCGGCGGATAAAGTGGGTGTTTGGGTTGAAGTTTGGGGATAGCCAGAATCCAACCCATCTGACTTGATGGCCTGGGTGGAAGATCTGGTTATCGAGGGTGATGGGGAGTGTGCAGATCGGCCCCTTGTCTTTGGGGGTACGCCAGTGCATGAGTTCGGTTTTGGGGACTGAGAAGGTGGTGTTCTGGGCGGCCGTGATGGCTGTGATCGCCTTGAAGTGTTTCTCGAGGATGTGGATGTTTTGTTGGTAGCTGGGGGAGCCCACGGTCACTGCGAAGTCATCGACGTAGGATAGGGTGAGTCCTGGGGAGGGGTCGTGTAGGTGGAGGATGTTCATGTATATGACGAAGAGGAGGGGTGATATGGGGGAGCCTTGGGGAACTCCGACTTGAACGGGGGTTGGGATTCTCGGGGAGCCTTTGAAGAGGAGGGTGATATGCCTGTCGGAGAGGAATGACAGGACCCAGTTGATGATGTATGGGGGGGTGGCTTTGGCCGCGAGGGTGGATGCAAGGGTGTGTTTGACGACGTTATCGAAGCCACCTTTGATATCGAGGAATAGGGTGGAGACTTTTAGCTTAGCGTGTTGCATGGCTTTGGTCTCATGGAGGAGGGTAGTGACCGCGTCTGCCGTGGACAGGCCGGCTACTGATCCGCATTGGTGGGGGTGGATGAGGCCTACCGCTTTGGCGATAGATGCGAGGCGAAGGGTAACGATCTTTACCCGAATACCACATATACACCCAGATATTATCATATGGCCTCAAACCATGGGGCACATGGGGGCTTCAATATACGCGGACCTGGCGGACTTAGAACCAGTACGCTATTCACCAATGGTTCTTAAACTTCATATACACCAAACATCGATCTTCCACAGTCGCTGACGTTAACTTCTTACTATGTAAACTCGAATCAATCAATTGGATCACCTACGAGTCGGACCAGTGCACACGATGGTCCAGTCGGGGGAGAAAACCAGAGGTTCTCCTGCATCGCTTTGTGCATGTTCGGTGATGACGGCCGTTTTCGATCGGCTCGGGCTATTCACACATCCAAGACACGGAGCAGGTGTTCCCCACGACGTTGATTTTGTCTAACCGAATCACGTCATCATATATATATTAGAGCGGTGATACATATAACACTCTTCGTCTATTGTTTCGTAAAAGCAAATCTTATTGCCTCAGCTGAATCACACAGATCTGAGACAGTCAGGAACTCGAGACATCGCAACTCAACTTCACAGGCCATCACTCCGCTCCATGATCGCTTACCAAAACTGTACCACAGTAATAATTGCCGCGCTTCCGTCCGGCTCGGATCGAACCCTCCCTTCCCTTCTTCCCCACTTGACTACTTACTTACTAAGGCTACCGTACTGAAGCGACATCGTAGGGCGGTGTGCGGTCTTTGCGCGTGTTTGCAGCCTAGACCCGTTGCGTGAAACAACTGCGAATTCCTCTCATCCAAACAAACCCATGGAAAACTCTTCTCACCGACCACCCCCCTGCTGATATTGCGAACCAACCAACCAACCAAACCACGGCTCACATCTCATTTTATTTCATAACTTCTTCGCTCTCCCCGATCCGTTGTTTACAACTGCCCCCACTAGTAACCAAGGACTCGAGATATTGGCACACACACAGGCACGCCCTATCATACTCTACCAAAGGCTCGCGAGAAGGGGAGGCGCTTATCAGACAGTGGAACCGTAGATCCTCGCATGAACTCAAAATCACATGATTTGCGTGTGGTTGCGAATGGGATAGGCTTTCCAGATTGGCCTGTGGGGCTTGACGAGCCGAAGAGAGCTGGAGAAAAGAGAGAATCGAGATCTATCGTACGGTGCATGTGGTGGGGCTAGCTCACTCTACATATGGGCTCCTCAACTCTACTGTGTTTTTTGCAGCCACACATGTAAACATGAGAGGGAGAGACAGAGACAGAGGGATTTACACGAAAGTACTTTAATTTTCCTTGTCTTGTCTTGTATATTTACCGGTGTTACTTATTTTACGCACAGGATCGACAAATGACCCGCAGATTGCTGTTATCTGCAGGCACTTTCAGTTACAGTGGAGTAGTAGTAGAGTAACTTATGAAAATCACATAGCGATAAAGTACGTATAGAGTACACGGCTGCGGGTATCTAATTCCAATTTCATTCAATATATTGAGCCCCCATGTCTTAATCTCAATAGCAAACTAGTCTTGATCATCATCCCAACCCATCTTACACAACCAGCACCCAAAAAGCACCCAAAAAGCAAAATACTAAAAAAAAACAAGAACCCCCCAGATATCGCTAAAATAAAACATGAGCCGCTAAAGATACAGAACAAGAAAAAACCAAAAACCAAAAACCAAAGAAAGGCAAATCATGATCATGTCAAGTGTCGTAACCAGTACATACAGATCCCCACCCAATCCAGTCTGTGAAAAAAATATTAAGACCCTCTCCTCCCACCCAGTAATAACAGTAGTAGTAACTAAGAAATAAGGAATAAGGGAATAAGCAATAAACAAAAAAACAAAAAGACATGTCCAGACTAGTCGTGAAACCTCATAAACTACAACAAATTAGAATCGAAGAAACAAGTAACAACTCTAGGTCATCGAAGAATGTAGTTAGAAGAAGAAAGAAGGGCCCCGATATCTAATCAAAGCCCCATAAACGAAAATGAAAAAAACAAACAATAAAAACCTAAACCCTTCCGCTCAACATCCCCTCAATCAGGCCATCTAGTCCAGTACTCCTCTCAGCCACAACTGGTGCCGAGTTCCTCAACGGCTTCCTCGCATGCGCCACAAGCATCCTAAACGACGTGTTCTTCTCCACACATTCCCTCAGCAACGCTCTATCATTCCACATACTCCTGCGCATGACCTCGCCCCTCGAAGTAATGACGCTCTCATAGCACCTTGTATACCACCACCTTCCCACAGTAGCCATCATCCTTGCGTCAATCATGTCGTTCGCCCCCTCCTCTACCGTTGCTGGAGCTTCAAAGTCCTCCGTCGGTGCAACGGTGGGAAGGCTTATGAAGCACTTGCTCACCTCGTCGAAGCCACGCTTCGAGAGGAGCTTCAGCATGCGCTCTGATGTTGACGATGGGCGAGAAGATGTGGTTGGGGAAGCGGGGGTCGCGGCGGACTCCCGCTCGCGATCCATGATTGCCTTAACGAGGTTGACGGCCTTTTTGGTGCGTGGGCCCATGCTAATAAGTTCTGGGTCGAGCATTGTGACTTCCAAGTAACCACCTGGCTCTAGAACCCTCCTGCATTCGCTTAGGATAAATGGCAGCGAAGCATCGTGTGAGGATGGTAGGAAGCGGAGCGAGATGACGTTAAAGAAGCCCCCTGGGAATGGGAATTGCACGGTGAAGTCTAGGTGTCTGACTTGTTGGTGGTTCGGTGGCCGAGGTGTTGAAGGTGAAGGTGGGAGGCCGCCAGGCGCAGCAGAAGCAGTAGGGGAAAGGTTATAAACTTTAGCACGGGGGTATGAGAAGGCGCAGTAAAAAGACCAGTCATCTGTAATAAATCAGTATTTATGAAAGCCAATGATTATAATGCAGGTTTACATACCACGTCCAAGACCATCGATAACCAGGACCCTTCCGTTGCCACTATTGCGAGGACCGAGCGGTACTGTGATACCGTTCATTTGCTCGTGTGCAGGGCTGACGAGAGTACGGTCGAAGGAGAGGTAGCGGTTTGTCATGAGTGCCCAGAGTCGTACATCCATTTCGTCACCCGAGATGTCCACGAAGTTGTCGGAGCCAGTCGAGAGATTTGAGCTGTTGGATCCATTTGAGCCATTTGTTCTGTGGGTTCTGACTCGAGTCCTTGGCCTAGGTGGTGGTGGTGCGCCGAGAGTGATTGTTGGGGGTGGAGCAGGTGGTGATGAGGTTGGTGGCTGGCCCGAGCCAGAAGGATAGGAGTCGCGGTCGCCATAAGAACGGATGAAAGAAGATACAGAAAATGGAGTTGAAGGTGACAGAATTGCAGGGTATGAAGGTGGAAGGAAAGGCTGGCCAAGATCCATAATCGGGCTAGGAGCAGCAACAATAACGGTTGGGAGCGCAGGTGAAATCGTAGGCGAGTCGTGAATGTAGAGACCCTGCTCTTGTACAGTATCCTCAGATCCAGGGGTGTGGGGGTCTTCGTTATTTTCGTCAAGGAGGTCGGGGAAAGCGCTGCAAAGGTCTGCGTACTGGAATGGTGAACCGAGTGATGAGGTTGCGGATCTAGTATTTCCCTGAAATTCAAGATCGTCTGATGGCTCGCCAAACATATCAACATTGTACAAAAGGTCATCATATTCGTTCCAGATATCCTCATCACAGTCGCTTCCATCCACTACCACATCAGGTCCCAGAGTGGGCGTCGCAAACGGATCCTCGCGGACTGGCCATGGCATATTAGTCGTCGATGTCACTGGAGTATCGTCAATTGGAGTGAGAAGTGCGCTTGCGCGGTTGGCCTTTCTGATATCGAGTGTGTCGTAGATGAATGGGTTCTCGAGTGGGTGTGCAGTTATAGGTGTCTGTGTTAGACCGAAGCCACCCCAGTTGACCTGAAAAGTGGGTTTTTGCTCATTAGCACGCTTGAAACTCTCTTCGAATGGTCTTCCCATTGTTGGCGGCGCCGTTAAGAGATCGGTGTTGCGAACATCACCCCTGGGGTAGTGAGTAGTAAGAGGAGGAAGCATCTCCACCCTCATTCTAGTAGGAACCCCAGGAGCCCTGGCTGGAGCTGGCGCTGGTGCCGGTGCTGGTGCCGGTGTGGATACAGGTGCGGGTGTGGGTGCGGGCGCGGGTGTGGGCACGGGTGAGGAGACGGGAGCTGGAGCTGGTGAGGAAATAGGAGTTGGGGCTGGAGCTGGGGTCGAAGCTGGAGTTGGAGTAGAAGTCGGAGCTTGCTTAACAGGCTCATTAGTCTGTATTGATGTTTTCCGTGAGTGATACTGCACAGCTGGAATTCTCCCGATCTGTGGAACCCTTGATCGCCCTTGAAGCCTCGACCTCTCATCCGCCTTTGCCTGCCTAACCTCCTGCTTTGCCTGCTCACCTGAGGCCACTGCTGGGGAAGCCGGTGTCACCGACTTTTTCGGCGATGCGGGCGCCGGCGCTTGTACCTGCGGTGCTGATTTTAAAGTTGAAGGCACAGGCGCCGCAACTGCAACTGAGGCAACTGAGGCATTTGAGGGCTTCGCAGAGTGAATGTGATGCTTTTGCCTGAGTGTCCCTGCATAATTTGTTGCCACCGTTTTCTTATTCCTCATTTCCTGCAACTGCTCTGCAAGCTTTGCGGCCTCTTTCTGCTGCTCCTTATCCAAGCTCGCTAGGTAGTGAGGCTGAGACCTTACATGCTGCACATGTAGCTTTTGCACTGGTGCAGGAGCCGGCGCGGGTGGTGCTGGTGCTGGTGCTGGAGTCGCTGCGCGCTCCCTCGTTGATGCGGTACCGCGCAGGAAGCCCCATGCGCCCTTCTTCTTGACCTGAGGTGTGGCCGCTTCCGTTGGGCCCGGCGACGGTGGGTTTGGCGTAGAGATCTTTCGGCGCCCGAATATTGAACCTTCTGAAGAGGGTTCTCGGGACATTGCAACTGGGGTGGGCGCCCGCTTGCCGCCGAACTCGAAGCTCTTCTTTTCCTTGCTGCTTTCTTGGCTGCCAGATCTGATCATTGACTCTGCAGTGCCAGCGAGGTTGTAGTTCTCGATTACGCCGCCGCCACCGGCGATGACGACGGGGAGGAGACGCTCGCGCAAATAGTCATCTGTTGGCTCTTTTGACTCGCTTCCTCTCCGGCTTGTCCGTCCCCATGATCCTGTAGCTGTTGAGCTGGCACTCCCACTCCTGTCAACGCTCCCACCGGTTGAAGATCCGCTTCTCCCTCTGCTAGTGAATACCGAATATCCTTCATGTCCAGTCCCAGCCGCCGGCCCTCTCTTCTTCTCCTTCGCTGCTGTCTCCTTCTCCTTGACCCGCTCCTTCTCTTCCAACGACTCGTTTGTCCTCGTCCTCTGCCTTGAAAAGAACCCCGGCCGCGACACCGCCACCTTCCCAGGACTCCCACGAGTCGGCGATCGATCCCTCCCAGCTCCCTTCTCCACAACTCTTGAGCTCATAACCCTATGTCCCAAACCTCCCTGCATTGCTACCGGATCCCTCGGTGCTGGTGTCGCACCACGAATAATCGGCGGCGCACTGTTCTTCCGCGGAGGCGGAAACGACGGCGACGGTATCGGTGGTGTGACAGCCTCTTTGCGCGGTGGCGCGAATGCGGTACTACCGCTGAGTGATTTGCTGCGACCCTTTGCGAGCGAGGATGCTGTTGGTATTGAAACACCGAGGCCGCGGCCAGATCCAGAGCTAAGGAGGTCGGGGGTACGGCTGCCGAGGCGGGAGAAGGCTGCTGTTGAGGAGATACTGACCTTGCGTCTGCTTGAGCTTAGTGCCGGTGATGGCGCTGAGAGAAGCAGTGGTGAGGGTGAGGGTATAGGTGCGAGCTTTGGTGAAGGGTTGTGGTGGAAGGGTGTTGTGGCAGGAGAGACTACAGCGGATGGGTATTGCCCGAAATAGTTCTGGTCGTCACAGTCAGGAGTGGAGCTCATTGGTAGTGGCGAGTCGGACCATGGACTGATGTGCTCGTAGTCTTGGTCGTCACCGTCTCTGTCTTTTGATGCGCGGATTGTGGAGCCGGAGGATGTAGAGGTGGTGGATTCTCTTACTGAGTCAAGGTTGTTGGATCTTGTTGGGCAGGGCGTTGGGGTTTGCCTACTTCTGTAACCTCCTACAGGCCCGAAGCCTGGTGACTGTGATGCTACCGAGCTTGCGGAGGAGTAGTTCATGAACGGTCCTGGTGAGTCGGTATATCTTGTTGAAGGGCTACTGCCCGGGTTGGGTTCACTGATATTCGGCGGTGGTGATAATGGTAGATCTCGAGTCATTATCCGCGGAATCTCGTTTGAACTTGAGCTTGCAGTCCGCTTCTTTGCAGCTCTTGATGAAGACGTTGAGGGCATTGTAATTCCCAGAAATGATTGTGAGGGATTCCTTGAAGCAACACTAGACTGGCTTGTTGTCAATGATACCGTTGAAGCATTTAGTGAATTAGTAGACCCTGTCCTCAGGCTAACTAATGAAAATGATGACGACGCATTTGACGAAGGTTTTCGCCTAATAACATTTCGCCTTTTTTCTGGTGATAATGAAGCGCCTCCTCCAAATACTGCATGTGTTTTTGTTGGCGGACTTGTTCGTGACTTTAATGTTGTCACAGGTGTGAGCATCGGTGATGAGTTTAGTATAGACATTGGCTTCAATTGTTGCTGTGCAACCTTTGGCAAGTTACTTTTTTTCACAAGTACTGAAGCTGAGGGGGGGTCCCGGTCCCGTGAAGATATAGTCTGTCGGGATGCTAGTGACGATGTTGAGGCTGATGAGGAGTGCTCTTTTCGAAGCTTCGACGAGTTTTTGAGGCGCAGCGAGGGTATTGATATTTGAGATGTGGTTGTATTGTTAGTGTGGGGCACTTTTTGCTGTTGCTGCCTGTGCTCAGGGTTGGCCATTGGTAAAAAGCGTAGTCGGTTGCTGGGATGGTAAAGTAAGATATATTACTACGCGGCCATCTCCTTCTGCGCGGGTAGGGTGCGGATAGCAGTAGGCAGGTGAGTCGATAAGAGAACTGCCGGATAGCTGTAGTGTAAGCAAAACTGGGTTATGGATTTGCGAAATGTCATAATACACCCTGCCCGTTAAAGCGATCGATCATCCATCCCAACATGAGGGAAAGAAACACATTCAAAAGAAATAATTAAACAAGGCGTTTGTCTAGATCTTGTCTAGCTGGGAACAGCCCTACTTCTTGACACGAGGCCAAAGGGAAGAAAAAATAAAATAAGGAAATCCTCAAGCAGGGTCATACCTTTAATAATGACTATTGATCTCTTGATTTGTCTTGAGTTGCGAGTACGGGTTGAGTTGGTACCAACCGGTCCGAGTGAGTAACCAGACTTTTCACTTGCTAGTGGCGACTAAAACCAGACAAAAATTCCGGATTAAGCGAAAAATTACACTGAAATAACCAGAAAGGAAGCTGATCTGAGTTCTGGGAAAAGAGAAGCGATAATATATGGCAGGCTGGTACGAATCCCCTATTTTCCCCTTCTTTCTTTTCTGCTTCTCTATGCACGATGAGCTCAACAATAAGCTGTTGTCGACTCGTTGTTGCTTTTGTGCTGTGTGGCGGCTTAGATCACAGCTGAGGCGGAGTAACAGCAAGCACACTTAGCAGTGGTTGCTAGCAAGCACCCTGTAGCACTTGTCCCAACGTACCAACCAACCCAACAACCAAAGAGACCGTAGGTAAAGATGTCTTTAATAACGTATCAGCAGCACAGCGCAACACGCAATTGGAGACCTGATGAAGCTTCCGTATCGGCTTGCAAGAGAGGCTTCAAATGGTACTGTTTTTTTGTGAGAAAAGCCTTGGTTTCAGGATGTATCGTGGGATGGCCTAACTAGCTAGTGGTAAGAAAAGAGTCAAGATAAAGCCCCAGCTGCTAGTACGTACTTAAAAACTGCGCAAGCGGAACAAATCGCTACGTAAAAGACAAGGAGAAATATATGTAGTAGATAGTAATGAAAAAGGAATGCGGGGAAATGATATCTCTGGAGTGACAAAAGGGTCGAAAGAAAAGAGATCAAAAAAAGGTATTTTCAAAGAGGCGAGAAAGTGAGGGGACAAAGGTTATTATCTATCAGTCCAACTCCTCAAAAGTTACATACAAGAAACGAAAAGTTGGATAGGAATAGGGAAGAAAAAAAAATAACGCCGTCGAGGAAAAACGACCAACGAGCACCCAATGCAGCCATACTAGCCAAGGGTCAGCTTGGAAGATGGTTCCCATCGATCTGGTTGGGGGAGCCGGATAATGGAGAGTATGCACGTCCTGTGGTCCATAAAGGGAGCCTTGTGGACGGGCCAACCAGGACGTGCTAGTTGAAGGATTGGATGGGCATTCTTCTTTCTGTATGGAGGAATTGGGTACATAACGGAGGATTGACTGTCGTGAGCACGACGCCGAGCATCGAAAATGGACCGCCGCCACATCCACTTGTCATGGGCGATGAGCGACGCGGGGGAAATCGAAGCGGTAAGCGCTCTTTCTGCATTGCAGCAGTCAGGTTAATGCGATGACCAGGATCATGGGTCATATCCAGTTCCTCGTCCCTCCCACCGAACCAAAGTCGCGCGATATGGATGGTCCATGCGTTCTCCTCCTCCACCAGTTCTTTTGAGGAGGAGGAGGAGGTGAGAAGTTACGAGTACGAACTTTACTGCGGTGTGATTCCTAGGTATGAGACGGAGCTAAAGCAGGTCGATGGTGAGCCGGAATTACAGCGAAAACGAATATCAACCTTGTATCGTTTCGTTTTGTCTCGTCCGATGTTGGAGAAACTGGGTACATGTAGTAACTTACTGATGTTACCAGGCCGTACATTATGATGCCTTGGTAAAGTAGGTACATGGGGCATTTACTGGCTGCCTCAACGACCGCACGGGGAGTGGAGTACATACGTAGGCATCAACAGGCAGAAATCCAAGGTTTCCAAGAATACATCTCCAGTAGATGTAAATGAATTAGACAGTGCAGCCACATCGATGAGATTCGTTACTCTGAAAGAGGATACACCTAAAAAAAAAAAAAAAAAAAAAAAAAACACCGCCTTAACTCTCGACAAATACTCTCAACCCCCAACAGAAACTCAATTGCCAATAAGCATAGCTTTCCATCGGCTATTATTGTTGCGGTTGATGTTTTCTTCCACTTACCTCGTACCCCCACCCCCATGTCAAATAAACATCACCCCTCTCCCCGCGAGTAGTATTCCAGAGACATGCCAAGCAGTTGTCTTTCGCCTGCTATTCGCTTATCCAGGTTTGAGGACGAAGAAGGCAGAGAGACATATGGAGTAACGGCAAGCAGTAGCCGGGCCAACTATACGTTACTCTAAAGTTACATCCCAATGGAACACCGACGATATGGATGGGAGTGGTACTTTCACCGCAAGTACCCACCAGGTGAAACGTTAGTTCTCCAAGTAAGGAGCCCATAGGCACGTTCACTTGGGCCACATGTACCTGTTTTCCCTGATATTCAGCTGGGTAGGTAGTAGATAGGAGCATCACGAGTACATCATGCTCATCTATATCAACAATAACCCCCCTGCATTCCAGATCTACTCTACCGTCACGAAATGGTGCGAAGGGGGAAAAAAACAAGGAAAGCGTGACACAGTGACTGGGCACGCATGTAACCCGCAAGAGCTGACCGCAGGGTAGCGTATGTTCCCTAGGCGCTTGAGAGATTCGTCGGTCTCGGAGAAATCTGTGGCGCGGTTAACATGCGCAAAAAAGCATAACAGGGGTGAGATATCTACGACACCCCGTTAATCACCGTGCATATCAGCTGTGCTGCACAGAAGGATTTGGAAAAATATCTCCGGTTCCGGGGCTGAGGGTTTGCATCTCGGTGCGTGCGCCACGGGATCTCTTGGCGTATCCGAGGTACTTTACCTAGAAGTCAATTAACCTCAACGTGATAGTTAAACCCCGCGCCCCCTCTTCATTTCTTCTCGAAATTTTTAGATAGATCCATCCACAATATACCATACACCACACAAGACACTTATTTGAGCCCCACTGCAATTATCGATCGCCATGTGGGATTTGTACGTACGACTGCATGTTCTACCTAGGCCTCCTAACTGTACAATGGTCACCATCCTGAGCGTACATGGCAATGCAAAGTCGATTCATAGACTGCATGAAATCCATCGTGATAAGCGGTTGCGCTCTATTGCGTGTACTTAGAGGCCGAGGACCTAAGTATGGAAACATAACTTTATAAAGTTTTAAACGACTATATGTAGGTTGTGGAGGGCAGTGTTTCTATAGGAATAAGGCTTTAGAAGATGTTCCCTCTTTGTTTTTTTCTTTGCTTTTTTGGCTTCCTTTTTTCAAAGCCGTTGGACGAACCAAATTACTCTAGGGTTACCTCTTTGGCAAATCATGCACTTATTCATGCGCCTTGGGCGACGCCTCAAGAACTGCTCGCATTTCCCAGGAATCTGCCCAAAGTGCCTCGGCATCAACTCTAGGCAACAGTCTTTTATCTATCTAGGAGTCGATCAAACATAGCACAAGCCATTAACTGAGACTAGAATAAACTATCTTCAGCATCAATCGGAGGTGTATCCAGAGCCTACCGTTACGTTACGACTTATACATACGTGCAACTCTGTATACATACTGTGCCGTTGTAGTGCAACAGCGGATCGAACCGCCTGTAATCCCATCAAAGAAATGTTATCGAGGTAGGAGCTCTATGCCTTTCAGAAGTGACAAATACCCGTTTCTGTACCATCTTGTACAGACTATCCTCTCTCCCCCTACGAGCCTAAGTAAAGACAGGACGGCCAGCTTTTGTGAGGGTCAACCCACTCGCCCGGTAGCTGGTATATTATCGTGCCGTGTTCTGTTTTAGATGTGACCTCTAGCTACTCATTTCTCGTTCCGGATTTAGAAAGGGTGTAATTTTTTGTTTTATCGAGGCTGTGGAGAGAACTCTAATCTTGCCCATGCAATAATTGATTTTTGATTTACTCTCAAGGCAGAACTGTCATCTCATACCAGGACACTAGACATTAAAAGAATAAACTTGGAGTGCAAATTATGGGGGAAATGTGTGCCGAATGCATCCCAGATGAGTCAACTTGTTCGAGTAAGATTATGGCGATGGGATTTGGGGGAGGGCGGGTGGAGACTCTAGGAGACAACTTAATCATTGAATCAGCAAAAGAGCTATAGGGAATATGAGATCCCCCGTCACTATATACGTATATGATAAATGTCCCCGCTGTTTGGGGTCAGATATAGAAGGACGTGTGGTGTCTCGATGTTTATATCCGAGTGATATTTCATGAAGCCATTCGATCTCCGAACCAGTACCAATTCCCGGAATCCCATCGTTTCAGCCACAATCTATGCATACACGTGGGTCAAGGGAGCTTGTAATTTGCTCATGACTATTCGTTGCGTCGATACATGAGTGGTGGATATCCTGCATACTTTGCACCCTTTGATTGGTTCGGTACGAAGGATGAGTAGGAAGAATTTTGATGAGAGTCGAGGAGAAACATTCCCTGCAGGTAATAGGAACAGCAACATTTAACGCAGGGCGGTATAGATGGGGGTCATCTTGTGGATAACTGATGAAGATCTTGATCGAGTGATAGTGCTTCCTCACAGCACCTGAGTTACGGGTCGATTCAAAAGCTATCACCGGCCAGGTACCTATCCCTGCGAACTAATTAGCCCCTCAAACTTCTGGATGTTTAGGTGAAAAGAGGCCCGAGGATAGGTAATAGATTATGCCTGAAATCTGGGGAAGCACAAAGCACACAGACTCTGAAAGAATTCCGTGATCGTACAAGGTAATTGTGGTAACATCCACAGGATTCGTCATTTCTTGTGATCAACCGGCCAATCGTCTCTGTGTGGCTTATAAACATATTATTTTTCACCGAAGATGCTTGCGTGTACAAAGGAAAGACGGAATGAAGAGCGGGGCCATCTACAGGATGGTTGGATATAAATCTAGCACAGGAGTATTTTGAAAAAATAAAAAAACATTGCGACATTGTAACAAATAGATATTACATTGGACTTACCCCGTGAACATCCCGTACCGTCCTTAACTTTATGATCTCCCGCCCCTCTAGTTACTGTGGGCTTTGCGCGGTAAATTCTGTCTACCATATTCAACTGCACATAATGTTTATCTCGATCCCAGGTTTTCTTTTTTCTTTCTTTTCGGGTTAAGTGATTAGCCCAAGTGGCGAAGGCTGGTGGCCTGATTCCTCGGCCATGAATTACATCCCGGGGCGATTTTAGAGTTTGTCGATAGAAACAAGGGTCGAATGGAGGTTTCGGATCACACGCTCTGTTATTTCCTCTTTCCCCAATATAGCTTATTTTCCGGCAATCAAGTGAAAGGCCGTGTCAGACCTCGTGTAAGCCTTCTTATTAAGCCAAGTAAAAATACTTTAACTCTTAAATTCATCAGCGCTTCTGTCACGATGTGATGGGGCATGGAGAAAACCAAGATGTATCATGTACCAATGCCCCTGGCCTGGCTCTATCTTTGAACAATACCCTAACAGCGGGGCACATCGATGTATCGATCTTGCTTCTAGAAAAGAATACCCGATTTGAAATTTAACTTATTTATAAGTTGTCGTAGCTAAAGTAGGCGCGCCTGGATAAGCATTTAGGTGACCCCGCGGCAAGGTCCGCAGGAGCTCATAATGTTCAGCTGCTTGCATTCATACCACAACAAGCTTAAAGGGAGGGGATCATTGATAGATATCCCAGAGAGGGATAGATAGTTCGATCTATTAAAAATCGGGAGCCAACTAGTTCGGAGGGAACTCCTCGGGAAAGATTTCGAATTCATAGGGAAACCATATCCATCAAGTGAGAGGTAGGTAGGGTGTGAGGGAAACAATCTTCGGGTAGCGGTTTTTGGTAGCCGGTGGAAACTAAGCCAGTGGATTTCTTGGCACTAACTAGCTCTTGAAATTGATAGGTGGCCATTTCTGGTTACCCAGTAAGTAAATAGTCCGAGACTCTAGCTAGGTACAAAGTCTTCCAGAGTACCTACTATGTACTTACCTAGTGAGCCCCACGTTTCAAGGCCGATTGTTTATTGCAGAAGACTCTAGGTGTGCGCCATCAAACTAGAGACATCGAGTGCCTGAGAGCTAATAGTGGTATATAGCTATTTTCGATTAAAATTCGTCTTTTTGCGTAGACGTAGTCACCAAATGTGCGGTGGCACTCTGCCATAGGGTTGAGAAGACAGGAGCCACTGGACCTTGTGTCTTAGGTAATAGTACTGAAAGCCATCTTTAATTGCGTATATTATTGCCGTGTTTACTGTCCAGCCAAGTTAGAGGGTACTTTTGGACCTAGAGATCTAGAGATACCCCCGTCAGTGCTTCAACGTTCAACAGGGGACACTGCGTGGAACTTTGCCACAGGAAAGTAAAGCTTGTGTGAAATTATCACCTTAAAGGCCAGCCCCGCAGCTCCCAGCATTATCAAGGATTACCAGTTGAAATATCGGTAGAGTAAAGCTGGCTGTATTCTGGTTCTCGCCGTTCTCCGGTCACTCTTCTAGCGGTTAGGCGCGGGGGATTCAAGAGAGATGATTATCCATGCTTCGCTTTGATTTCCGCATGAGGAAGTCCTGAGATCTGCATAGAAGCCAAGGCTCGGAATAATCCCGAATAATGTTTAAACTTTGTTCCTGCGACACAACGACCTTCTTCATTTGAGTATTCCACGATCATGTTCTTATCAAATCTCCTTCCACATAATGCTCGGGACTAGATCATCGACTGTAGTAATAATCATGGTAAGATCTTCTTATCTCTTGATATTAAGAGGAAAAGAGTTCTTAATAATCGCTGAGATGATGAAATATTGAGATATAAGTATGGGATTCCTGTACCTTCTTGACCATTATTCTTATCAGTATCACCAGCTCAGACAACCAGAGTTCTCTTTGCTCTTTAATTGTGAATCCCAGAATCCCCTCTTTCGAGTTCCAAGATGCTTGTAAAAGGCCTCCTTCCTCTTCTTGCCCTGGTGAAGATTGCGGTTTCACTTCCAGCGGCCCCCGTTCCTCCATCAGAAGGTCTTCGTCTTGTTAAATTCTCAGAAGATGATGAGGGGACCTGGGTAACGGAAGATCAGAAGTTTGATTTGTTCATATCAAAGAAAATAAACTTTGTGGATGTTACTGATACCTGGGTAAGTTTGTTACCCCTGGCTGCTCATGCCATTATTTGCAGCTAACATAAACCAAAGCAATTGGAAGAGTTTGGCGCAACAACAGGCTCCTCCCTCGAAGCTCGTCAGATCTCATTCCCCAGTGGGCCTACCCACCAATCTCAAGCCAATCCCTTGATTGCTGTAGCAGGCAAAAGCAACCCTCAAAGCTGGACAAACACTTTCACCAGTTATAATAACCGCTACTATCGATCGACAACTGGCGTGACTTCGGCAACATGGCTGTATAACACTATCAAAAATATAGGAGCTGCAAACTCCGCCATCACCGTAACCCAGTATTCACACTCTGCTTCGGGCTTCAGTCAGCAGAGCGTGATTGCAAAGATCCCAGGAACAAGCAGCGCCACAGGTATTATAGTTTTATACTCAGAAGAATTGACAAAAGCTGATTGCTCAAATTGTAGTGGTCATCGGTGCTCATCTTGATAGCGTTGGTACGACGACTTCTGGTAGGGCACCTGGTGCTGATGACAACAACTCTGGAACGGTTACTATATTGGAGGCTTTCCGGGTGCTTGCCAATGCAAAGTTTGCCCCCACAAACACTCTTGAGTTTCATTGGTATGCTGGTGAGGAAGGCGGTCTTCTTGGCTCTCGTGCCATTTTCAACAGTTATGCCAGTGCTGGGCGTAACATCAAGGCTGTCCTCGTCCAGGACATGACCGGTTATTCGCCAAACAACGTCATAGCTGTCTACACGGACTATGTTAGCACTGCTTTGACAAACTTCATCAAGACTATTGTTCCTGTTTACACTAGCCTGCCGGTTATCACTGATGTCTGTGGATATGGGTGCAGTGACCAGTAAGTTCCTAGCTACCAATATATTTATTCTCATTATATGTGATCAGTGATTAATATAGTCTTCGCATGATAGTGCTTCAGCAAACTCTGCTGGGTATCGTAAGTTGAATCTTCGCCGGAAATCGTATGCTTGTTCTGACTCCCTATAGCTGCATCTTTTGTTACTGAGGATACCTTTGACGACTCATCTCCGTATATACACTCGGCTAGTGATACTGTAAGCACTCTCGATTTTGACCACATCCTCGAACACATCAAGGTAAGAAATAAAAACCCCAGCATGATCCGGGGCGGCTTGCTGACATACAAAATCTAGTTGACCATTGGTTTTGCTGTCGAGGCATCTTACTTTTAAATCCACAAGTGATGGTAGTCGAGGAATGTGTTGTTGACAATGTGTCGTTTGGATTTCCTAGCTATGTGGAGAAGAGAATGATGAGGTTTAAATAAATGCATTGATGTTGCATGGGCATGGTGACAGGTATATTGCTGACCGCATGTACGTACGCTTGTGCCACCCACGTGTGCTAGGACGCAATGGTTGTGGTGCAACGTGTAGGTACGTATATACATGTATGTATTGCATTTATCAAGTCAAAATCTCAAAGTCAAACTTCAAGTAAACTTTTACAACGCCAGTGCTCTTTTGGCGCATATACGTACTTTTGTTTTCATTTGTAGAATGACGTGACACACCGCTTCTTTATGCCTCATACATTTTGTGGTTTTATTTCGTACCCGAATATACCACGCAAGGATGCTGTCTCACATTATGTAGCTTCTTTTTAAGTCCAGAAATGTTCTCTAACCTTAACAGCTGGGATACTGGTATTCACATCAAATACATAGCAAGGGATCGAGTGATATTACATGACTCCTGGTTACCCCTTATTACCAAATCTTTTTTTTTTTTTTGTTTAATTCATTACTTGCATCCTTATTACCAAATGAAACGAGATAGTCTATTCTTATATTTCATCCCATACTCCTACGTCAATCAAAAGTGTTTTTAGCTATTTAACGATCCAATGTAACGGGCAAAAGCTAGTGTCGATGGGGTGCCGAATTTGGTCTCGGTATATAAAGCTTGCCTGAAGTTCTCCAAAATATTAATGAATTATTAATCAATTAATTACCTGAAGTCCTCGGTGATAATTAGTATAGCCACTCTGCAAAAGTGTTCGTGATTCTACATGTAGTTCCGAAGTAAGACATTCCTCCATAAGTAACCGTGGCGGACCATCAAAAGAAAAACCCCAAGAGAGGACGTTTCCAGTGGCGAATGGTGCCCAGAAGCAATTAAAAATAAGATTAATGATCTACCTTCTTTTATATGTAGCCACGAACTATATTATATATTTTTCGTTGTTTTGAATCTCAACATTAATAGCATCAACATTACGGGTGCGCCACACTGCGCATTAAAGGTTAAAACTAAATCACGAACACTTTTGCAGAGTGGCTGTAGTAACTTAAGCTAGTACTAAGCATCATGAAGATCTATATATAGTTAGGGATCTCAAGACCTACACGCACACAACGAACGTCGCAAGGACCTACTGTTTTATGAAATGAAAATGTAATATAAGGAGGTATGCTGATTAACCTGAATGCTGGGGGCCTAGGCCCTTTTCATGAGGCCCCGTTTGAGAACAGAACCCACCTATCCTTTGTAACCATACTGGCTTTTATGGCGAGGGAAAACTCCAGCCATCTTGTGTAGTTGAAGGGATAGATTTAGTGATTCTCACATGGCCATCATACTCTAAATGCTGGAATTACAAACAAAGGTTCAGAGAACAACATAAGTTCATATCTAATCACAATATAAAACGACCTAGCTAGGCCAGGGAAAATTTTCAAAGAAACAAGAAATCGTTTTATACGTTTCTCGAGTTTAATTTATGGCTCCATCCAATGCTCTTCCTTAATGGTTAATATTTGTTTACCTTGTAACGAACTCCTCACTATACCACTAGAAGATTGAGGGGAAAGCTCCAATATATATTATACCATAAACCCATGTCGATCTACAAGTACAGGCACATTCACGTACACGGGTCCTAGTCGGGAACACATACGGAGTAAATCTTTATTAAGACATCAGATGATTATCGGATACATTACCTGAGAGAAAACGTTACCAAATCTCCTATAAATATCAATACTGGAGGATGGTAAGTATTATGGGACCCAAAAAATAAGCAGAAAGTAAGATAGACGGCCGCACTAGGTAATTTGATCACCAAATATCACTCGTTAAAACATTGCACCCTGCTGTTGAATTATGTTTTCTAACCATACTCAGCCGGTCTAGACATAATCTCAGCGGCTTCTAAAGATCCTGCATGTTTGGCATGGCTACATATAGCGCAGTATATAATCAATTAGTCTCCACTCCGCCGATACTTGCTCATACCGGCCGGTACCGGACAGGCCAGAAGTACATAGATGTGCATGCAGATTTGTGTTCACTAGGCCTGATGAGTCGTAGTATGAGGGCCCCTGTTTGTATTAGTCTCGTGCCCATACCCTACTAGCAGCAAGCTACTCCCGCTGTAAGGATGGAAGCGGGGGTGCTTGGGGCGAACTTAAAATGTATGTACATGTACCTACATGTACGTAGACGAACCTGCTGGTGGGAACTGAGTAGCTTGGTCACCCTGCCGTATCAGCTGGCGATGGCTCTCACGATACGGCTGCGAACAATAGGTGTAGCTCCTTGTTTTTGTTTTTGTTTTGAAGCTGAGAGAGATGTTTCCCGTTCAAGTCGGCTGCAGGTGCTACCTCAGTTGTGACCGGTATTCTCAACAAGCTCGATCGTGAGAAGTTTGTATCTACAACTAACGAATTTAGAGCTTCGGGGGTGGTTCGGTTACCGTTGATCTGCAAGATCGAGGCTCTAAAATCTAACAGTTATATGATCTCCCGTACATCTATGTTATAGCCTACATATCGGATCAATTAATTGATTTCTTCATTCCTGTCTGCCCATACGCACGTACGTGCATTGCGCGTTTACGTGCATTGCATGTGGGTAGGAATTGAGCTATAAAGAAACGTAGAGCTCGCTCATATTGCCTCCATATATCCGTACCCAAAGAGATGTAGTGTTTGTTAACTGTAGAAACAAAAAAAAAGGAATCCAATTTGCCGACCCACACCGTGACAACCTCTTGCGGCATCATCGTCGAGCGCCCACATCAACACTGCTCACCAGACAAAAGATCCCGAGCAATATATGTAACAAAGAATGCTTAATTAAGAGGATTAAATAAATAAACACTCACTTATTATCACCGGTATGGTGTAGCATCTAATGGTCACAAAATATCACTCGCAGATTTTTTCTGTGGCACTCTGCGCTACAGAGGGGTTTTCGCGGCTGGTGATTACAATGCTGACGATCGAGCCGCAGTGCTAAGCCTCGACGACTCAGCGAGCTTCTCTATGTGAGAATGTAGTCTCCCTTGACCTTCTGCCCATATCCTGCCCTTGACATCCCCATCCCGGCATCAACCCGCCCCGGTACCACCTTCAAATTACGCCCATCCCCTCATCTCCGATCTTTATCTCCCCCTATCTCATCTTTAAAACCCTAAGAAATGGCGCAGCGTTCAGCGATCTCCCGTAAGTCTTTGAGTAAACTTATCAGCAACGGCCAAACCCCGCCGGCACCGGCAGCGCGAACACAGCCGAAAGGAAGCAAAAGGCATAGGGTTAGAGACAGCATCAGTACGTTCATGAAGCTGGGAAGAAAGAGTGAAAGCGATAAAAGTTCTTCTGGTTGGAAGCGTCCAATAATAAGTGGACCAATCCCTATCGATGGGATAGAGTTGCAAGAGTTTTCAATTTCTAGCTCCCCTTCAAGTATTACATTGATTCCTATTCGGGAAAAGCAGATTGTTTCACATGTCGTTAAGGATGACATTAAAATTCCTTCTAGCCCCATCATCAAGGATTATATTGAAGCTTCTTTTAGTCCCGCCGTTAAGGATGACATCAAGGCTACTTTAAGCCCCGTCGTTGAGAGTATGAAAGCCATGTTTCCTCCAGGACAGGGTCGAAGGAGCCCAGAGAATTCTTTAAGATTCATCATTGAGAATGAGAAAGACACATACACATCTCATGGGGCAAAGAAGAATATGAGGCTGCTAGATGCTACTTTGCACCCCATGATTAAGAGTAAGAAGGCCACTTCTCATGAAGCAAAGAAGAGAAGGAGAGAACTAAAAGTCACTTTGCGCCCTATGGTTAAGAACAAGAAGGCCGATTCTCATGCTGCAAAGAAGAGTAGAAGGCAGCTAAACGCTCTCCTGCGTGAAGCTGAGGGTAAGGAAAAAGAGATCCCTTCTAGCTTCGTCCCTCCCTCAGTCAAGAAACTGGAGCCTCCTTCTATTGTGATTACCAGGGCTCCAGAGCCACGAGTTTCCGTCCAAACCGTAAGTCCTGATGCTTCTCCAGCTCCTCTGGTTGAAAATCAGATTTGTCAAGAACAAAGTGTTCGACCTTTACAGGCTTATCGAGAAGACGGTTCTCTGATCACTCAGGAAAACTTCGACGTGATGGAGTTGGTTGGCATGGTGAGGGATGAGTGCCCCAAGTATTTATTGCGTTTCTGGGACATGCTCCCACAACACATAAATAGCCCTCTCAACCACCAAATCATCAACACATCACAACAACTGAAACGGGTCTCAAAAATGTTTCGTCATCAATCCCCCCGATCTGTCGCCCATCTGCGTAACCCTAAGTCGCTCGCTGACCGTCTCGCCGCCGCCGAGGCTGCTGAAGCCGCCGCTTCTGTTCCAGGCAAAATCCCCCCATCCCCCGCGAGCAGCGCTACCCCACCAAAGAAGAAATCATCGAAGATATCAAGAATGGACACGATATTCCCGAATTCATGACTGTCGAGGTTGCCTACGAGAAGAGGTACAAGGATGCGATCTCGGTGCTCTGCGAGGAACTTAAAGAGGTCAGGCACATGTTAGTTAAAAAGCAGGAGGAAGTGAATAACTTTCTCGATGCTCTGGGCGTCTTTGTGGATAAAGCTGGTGGGAGTGAGATTTATGAAAGTGTAAGTGATGGAAGCAGCTATATCACGACCGATGATACCGACGAGGAGGCCGCTGGGGATACCAACGGGAACAGCGATGGGGTCGCTTCTGTCCGCGAAAATGTCGAGAGGGACGACAAAGGCGCTATTATGAAAGATGACTCCTCCGAGGATGTCGATTACTGTGCTTTGTATGGCTACATTGGTTATGATGATGACCTTGACGAGTCTTTACCCGCATGTGACGCTGACGACGAGAAGGACGAGGTGGAGGAAGAGGAGGAGGGGGAAGAGGAGGAAGAGAAGGGGGAAGAGGAGGAGGAGGAGAAGGAAGAAGAAGCTGATGATGAGAATGAGGGGGAAGGGGGGGAGGAGGAGGAGGAAGGGGAGGAAAAAGAGAAGGATGGGAGTGCGGGGGAGGAGGAGAAGAAGGAGAAGGAGAAGGAGGAAGAAGAAGAAGAGCACGACAAGAAGCAGGAGCACAGGAAAATCTCTATCAATGAGTACGTCGCCCAAGAGCACATTCTCATTCACTATCAGATGATTAACGTTACTAGGCCTTCCAGCTCCGGCCATATGATACTTTGAAAATCTTCTCGGGCACCATCGGAATCAATCGATCGAATCAGCGTACGCTTAATGAAATGGCTATCAAAAAAGACCCGGGGGAGGTATAAAATTAGGTAATGGGCTTTGTCATTTGTGGCTGCTCATGGGTGTGATTTTGATCTCTTTTTCTTTTTCTGTTGTTTCATTTGCCTTTTCTTTCCATTTCTCTGTCTTCTTTGAGTTCATTTTGCCTTCGAATTTTCTAGCCACTACTGTCTAAGTAGTAACCGCTAAGCCAGAATCTTTAATCAAACCACAGAGTTGGGCTTCATACTTTAAAATGATCATTGTGGTTTCTGCTCAAACCGTGAAATGTGTTGACATCAACTCCATCCAGTCCATCTACCAATCGTAGTAAACAGCTGCAGTATGAACAGATAAAATAAAGTCATGAGAAAAAACAATTATTAGGCTAGAAAGAGAGACGAAAAAACGTTTCACTAAAGAAAGATAGAAAAACAACTATGAATCCGGTGTCTCAACACCATGTGTTTCCTCTCACCCTTCATCCTCCCAATCCATATCATCAACCAGCACACCGTAATTAAACCCCCCCTTACCCTGCATCCTACTAGTATCGACATAATGGGCCTGAATTCTTTCATTAAATCCCGGAAACATCATCCCCACCCGTGAGCAAGTATATTCCCAATCCATCCCCTCACGAGCACACTCCATCTCCAACGCTTCCCCTCTCTCTCCAGATCCATCTACATATTCCACCCCTCCACCGCCACTCAGCACCTCAAAAGACGGCGGGCCCTGCTTCATCTGCCCGATCTTCCCAGCATCAAGCTTGAGGTCCAGATCCGAAAGGTCGAAAATAATCTCCACCTCCTCATCTCCCTCCTCGATTTTTGGCAGCATCACCGATATTTTGGATCTTGGCTTCTTTGTCTTTGAGGCGGGAAGAATGCGGATGCTCTGTTGAACAAGCTTTACGAGCTCTCTGGTTTCGTTTGTACGGTCTACATAGGACTTACGAAGAAATATAGGTGCTGAGGAGGAGGAAGGCCGTGGCTTGTGGAACCGCTTCATCACCGGGGAGGTACCGTGGACGGTGTATCGCCGCGGGCTATGACGGTTACGGTGGCGGGACATCGGTCGGGAAATTGGGAATATAGATATGGACAAGTAGGTATGTTAAAAATTACCAGGGAACGGGGGAGGATCAAATATGGGTCATCAGAAGAGCAATGAGTTGTATGCAGGGAGTGGGTTGGTAAATCTTTATTTTTGCACTCCCCTAATATTTATATTCAGGCAAAAAAGAATCATCATGACTAGACAATACCACTGGGGCTAACACTTATAAAGGTTGCTCTCTCCCCCTTAGAAAATCATGGTCGACCCTTCTGGGGGATGGCGAAGGGGACCTTTTACTTCTTTATGAAGATTGGAGATAGACCAGCTTGCTATTGGGAGCCTGAAGGTTCTCTCGGGTAGTACAATTATCATGAAATAAAGAATGCGAGTTTGTATTATACTAATAGTCTTCCAGAGCTTTCGTTGCTAAGCCTAGCACATCAGTTGACGTTGGATGTTATTCTGCTACTAAGAAATTACGAAAGCATGGAAGGTCAATGATAGTTTGATGGCAACCGCTCTGTTTTCAATTTTTTTATAAATGAACAGCGAATGCTGTCGCAAGCCTCGCTAGCTCAATCGGTAGAGCGTGAGACTCTTAATCTCAAGGTTGCAGGTTCGACCCCCGCGTGGGGCCTCTCTATTCACATGACTTCATTGGTTTCTTGGGGAAGAAATCATCCAGTTTCTTTTACACCCACAGCCACCTTTTACCTATTATGGTAGGTGGGATGAGAGGCTCTGTTATCTCATTGAAAGTTATGCCTTCAGTGTCCCAAATCTGGTCTATGGTTTTTCATATGAATAGCTCGTGGGCAGGTTTTGGCATACGTTTGTTCTTCGTGGGGGAGCACGCGACTCATGGTGGCATTTCAAAGACGAGGAGGGTACAAAAGGCAGAACAGATACAAATCTCAATCACTTGGAGGCACGCAATAATGTCATCACGTCTTTCCAGGCGTAGATCAGCCCTATCTTCAAACGACGAGTTAAAAATCAGATTCGTCGGGCGCTTGCGACATCTAAATCCAGTAGACCCGGGGCTGAGGGGGGTCTCAGAGCGCGCCCGTTCCGGAATCCGGGAGAAGTTTCTATTTTTTATGTTGACGGATTTGCTGCTAGAATTCTTAGGCGCCGCTGGGGTTCAGTGAGAACGGGAACGGAAAGGGAAGGGAAGAAAACCAAGATGCTGGCGGGTTCTCTGTCACTGGGACGATAAAATTGGTACAACCTTGGGAAGGCTTGGAGCCTCATTAGTAGTCTCTGTTCTGAGCGCTGATTGGTTGTTACTATAAATAGCATGTCCCAATTGGGACAGGGTCTACTAGTCCAGGGACAAAAAGGGACGAAACTCGTTGACAGGTGCTTCTGAAACGCGGGAACAATAGCTTCTGCCTACTATAGATTTTCCCTTTTGTGTTCATGGAGGGCAGCGACAATGGAGACAGGAGAAGGAGACGCGATAAACCGCACTACTGTTTGGTATTGCTCTTTGTTATTGGCATCTTGAAAGCTGAGGGCGCCAAAGATGGAATTCAATTCTTTATAATGGGTCGTGCTTTCTCTCCACCCATAGAGAAATCAAGCACGCAATCTCGTCAATCAGCATATTAAATACTTTCTTCATATATAGTACTGGTTACTATTTTTTTTTTATTACACACTTTAATAAATTTTATATTCCTTACCTTCTATACCAAACCACAATAAGATGTCAGCCATAACAGATTCAGAGGAGTGGACTGTCGGCCACCCTTCACAAAACAAGTCCTTCATTGCCACAGTAGTGATCGCTTCCCTCCTTATAACAGCCTTTTTCGTCGGTTGTGGCTTCATGCTCTATTACTGGATCAGGTCATGGCGCGGCAAGGACAACTACAAACCCAGCGTCTCCTCCTCGTCCTCCACAAACGAAAAAGTCGAAGATCTAGAAGCCCAGCGACAGCGTCCGGGAACCCCTCCACCCGAGAGAACTTATGAGAGTGATGATGAATCACCGATTGTTGAAGGTAAGCCAAGAGTTGTGAGAAAATTGAAACACAAGGAGTATGGTGGGCTTACATGTTTCGTCGCAGTTTCAAAATGGAGGCAAGAGACAGTTTCGGTGGATAATGCGTCGTCGCAGGCATCATCGACCAGAAGTTCATCGGAGTTATCGCTTAATGGGAATGTTCCAGAAAGACCCAGGTCAAGGGACTTTCACGAACTGTATCCGAGCAATTGATTTGCTTTATCGGAATTTTTATGTCAACGATAATGAAAACGATACTGCATTCTGGGAATCGCAACAAGCAATACAACCACAACCACTACAACCAAAAACTGGCTAACGGGAAAAAGCTTCTCAAGGTACGATAGCAAACAAATGGTTCTTCCAATATCTTACAATCACTAATACATGTACCCATACAGTATTATGCAGCCACTCCCAAAACCCTACCATCCCTCTGTCGTCTTCTGCTCCGCGACCTTCTCTTTCTCGCTCCCTCTTTCCTGCATACCGCCACATCCCGTCAATCCCCCCGCGACATTCTGCAACTTCCCCTCTGCACTCAGTGACGAGGCTTTTCTCGCACTATAATCCATCTCTTCGTCGCCCTGCTGTTTTGCGGCCCTCATCTGGCCGATCGCTGCCTCCTTATCCTGGCGACCATAGTCTTTCCAGGACGCGGAGTCAAGTGTGTTGCCGATCATTTCCTGGTTGAAAGAATTGTCAGTTGATGACAAAACCAATAGAGAAGAAAGAAAAAAAAAGACTTACTGAGGCGGCTCCCTTGACATACTGGAGATGTCCACTGAGTTGGGAAGGGTTCTCTCCTCGGTTCTGGTTGGTTCCGCTCATGGTGTATGATACGATTTTGTTTGACGATATGTGTTGTGTAAAAAAGGAAAATGAGTTTTGGGTTATGGGACTTTGCTTATGGTGTTTCTTTTGTTTTCTTTGGAGTTTGTTTTTTCGGCATTTGCATTGGGTCTTTGGGGAGTTTTTATATAGATTGCATTGGGCGGAACGGTACGGTTTATAGTGCGGTGAGGTCATTAGTATGTCTATGACGTCAGTGGGCAGGAGTCTGGGGAATGATGATTGATCTCAGGGTGGATTTCTGTAAATGATCATGATCTAGTTTAAGGAGCATCGAAACGGGGATCGAGAACGTCACTTTATTTATTTCACTTGAGATGTCGCGCCGTGACTCGTGAGACGTGACACTGGCCGTTATTCACAGCTTATCACTCATGTCTTGGCCCTTATAACCACACCTCTAACTTCTAACCCATTGCAGACACAACAGCTTCATCAGCCCATGATCATATCCATTTCATAACTAAAATGCCATTTACATCTTCTTTTTCCAAAAATTATACAAAAAACCTTCTTCCAGAACCCTTAGTTCAACTCCAAAACCGTCACCGACAAGCTCGGGACGTTCCATTGGACAGTCGATCTGTTCCCGCCCGCCTTGATGGTCGTACTGTTCCTTCCATTATCCAAGGTAAACTTGACTGGTGAAATTGCCGTCGCATTACCAATAAAGTTGAAGCCATACTCATCATCGTGCCTCAAAATCGTACCATTGACACTCTTTACCTTAAAGTCTACATCAAAGCTTACGGGCACCTCATACTCAGCCGCGTTAACAAGCTTGACAAACACCCTATTATTCTCTGTGGATGCATGCCACCACAACGGGTTGAAGTCACCCTTGGTGTTGATGATTGGAAGCGTCTCCTCGCCCTTGAAGTGAGAGAACATTTGTTGCTGGTAGTAGGATGTGGAGAGGACTGTCTGGTTCGGGTCCGCTGAGAAACCGATGAAGTCAGGGGTCCACTGATAAGAGTTGAAGTTTTGGAATAGTGGTGCGTAGGAGCTGAGAGTTGCAACGTCTGGGTTACGCTCCATGGCAAGAGCAAAAATGGCTTCACCGATGGCGGCTACCATGGTAGGGTAGACAAAACGACCCTCACCATGGGCCCAGTCGACACCGCCGGCACGGTCCCGGGAGAGAACGGAGTATTCACCCACAACTAATCACAAAAAGGGTTAGGAACTAATTATTATCGGGGGCATAGAAAATACTAACATATTTGGACACCAGGGTAGCCGGCGACGGTTTGCCAGTTATCAAAGAAGTTGAAACGGTCCTTGAAGAATTGAGGGGTCTCGTAGTGGTGGAGATCCCACATTCCGCCAGGAGCAACTGGAAAAAGTTAATATTGGATGCTAAGTAGGCTAAGATTTGAGAGGACTTACTGCTGGTGTTGACGCCCGACGGAGATGCTTCAGTTGCCTGAGATGCAATATAACTAAAATTCCATCAATGATCATTACTTTTTTAAAAAATATTTGTTTTTTTAGACACTTACGTAATGTTAGGATAGGCCTGCTGTAGAGCTTCCAAGAACCTCGGATAACGCCAGTAGTAAGAGTCACTGAACCAGTCCTCGTTTCCAATCTCCACAAATCTATTGCAATCCAGTCAGCACTCCCGAATCAAGATACCACGCTCTCTAAAAAAAACTTACTTGATCACGAAAGGCTCTGGGTGCCCATGCTTGGCCCTTAGCGCCCCCCAATTCGTATCAACACTTCCAGTCGCGTACTCAATCTGATCAACCGCTTCCTGAATATAGAAATCCAGCTCATCCTCTGGGACAGTATTTGCCGGGTGCACGTCTGCCTCATCAAGCGAATATCCCGCATATACAGTCAACAACGGCTCAATCTCTAGATCCTCACACCATTCGAGAAACTCGAGATATCCCATGCCGTCGGTGTTGTAGTACCTCCAGTCAGCAGGTCTTCCGGGACGGTCAATAATGGGGCCGATGTTCTTCTTCCATTGCCATCTAGTGGCAATGCTAAGACCTTCCAGATTGTTTCCTCCAGGAAATCGAAGGAACTTGGGAGCAAGGTTATGGAGGTGCTCAGCGAGATCCTTTCGGAGACCGTTGGGCCGGTCCTTGTAGGTGGGTGGAAATAGGGAAATAAGATCGAAGTAGAATGCCTGGCCGGCTGCCTCGGCAGCGTCAAAGGTGATCGCAAAAGTGTTGTTGCTGTTGGGAGCCCAGACTTCAGGCTTGAGGACAGTCTCGAACTTCGTATAGTTGTGGGTGCTAAGGTCTCCTTCGAAAGTGATAGCGTTCTCAACCCAAACATCATCTGTAAGATCAGAGCGTAATGAGACCTTAATCCCGGTAACGTTCTTTGCATAAAGCGCGCCATTGGGTTTGATGTAAAACGACGCATTATAAGCTTGCCTATTTTAAGAATTAATTTAATTTACTCCAAGGTTGAGTATTTTCTCAAGACTTACGGTCTCACATCCATTCCCCACCATCCCTCATTGTAGAACCCGACTTCACCCGTTGCGTTTTGTGGGATATCAACACGCATCACGGTCGTAAGGGCATCAGACAACGGGTTTAGAACGTCAAGAGAAAGCACCGCGCCTCCAATTGACTTCCAGGCAGTGAGAGTCGGTGCCCATGCACACACAGGGTTCTCTGACTCGATGATTCTAGCGCCGCGCAAATTGGGAACGCTGCCAAAGGTGACATCGGAGCCTGTGGTCGTAAGTACTCGTAAAATTTAGTGTGGGTAGGGTCAAGAGAGTTTACCTTGGAAGGCTCGGTTTCGAATCAATTCGGCATAGAGTCCACCATCTCCAGAGTGCTAAATTTCTTTGTTAGTCTAACTCGTAAGAAAACAGAAAGTAGGAGGAGCTCACATTGATATCCTCAAAGAACAACCCATGTAAGTACGGTGCAGTCTTGTTCCTAGAACCGGACTTAGTGGTAATCTTCAAGTCAACCGCATAGCTTGTTCTGTTGGTGGCAGCAGCAGCAGTCGTCAACGAGAAGCTCAAAAGAGCGCCAATTCCTAGAAGGCCCTTCATCACGACCACACTGTAGAATTGAATTTTCAGCAGAAGCTGTTGGCTGGCTAACCTTCGAGGAGAAAGTAGTCACCTTATATAGAGGAAAGCCCAGGAAACTAATATCAAGTAACTCTATATATTCACTTTATGTACTTTATATACAAATCAGCCGCTATGCCGTTAAATTTCATCCTTCCTTGGATGACGACGATGTCTGTTGATCTTGATTGATCATGGCCTCACACGCGCCAATATTACTTCCCTGCTACTGAGTTTAACCGTTATTCGGCTTTCCTTCGGTATATGTACCGGCCTGTAGAGCGCACTTCGGAGAATCTCTCGGAGTATCGTTGAAGCGAGTATTGTATTGAGTGAGCTTGACTTCCTGGTTTGGTTTTTCGAAGAGAAAAACACATGCGTCCACTACATGCATGTTGCTGAAGCTAACCGGGGCGATAATTGTAAATGGCGGCAACGTTGTGGACCTGGTTTCATCCTAACCGCATATCTAAGAGAAAAATCGTGGTTAAAAAGCCAAAAGGGACACTGAGCCGATATAGGGTGGGGATCATGGGGAGGGAGAATGCCCATAATAATGCGGGGGGAGAAGAGATCTGGGGAAAAGGCGTCGGATAAGGAGATGATCCGCTGTAATATTCAATTTACCGAGAAACCCCAGGGCAGCTTCTAAGATGCATTTAGGATAAAGTTCTTCGCACAGGCTTCTGTTCGGTATTCGTCAAGCGATACCTCATGGAGGGTTCGGTGATACCGATGTATTTTATTCCACTGAAGGTAAGAATAATGAGCATTCTTTAATACTAGCTAGAGATACCTGGTAGGTGTAATCTGAGAGGCCTTTCAATGGTTTCTATTTTAGCTGTAATTGGTTATAGTGATCGAGCTGTATGTGCTCCTCCTCCTAGGTCTCCCATGAGTCAGTGGACTATTAGATTCCAAACACTCAAGATCTCAACTGCTTCATGAATTCGCCTACCGGAAAACGGAGCACACTGTCTTTATCTCATCCATATCCTAAGCTAGTATTCCGGGTAAATATTGTGTCCCCCCCATCATTTACTTTATTTTTTGCGGGGTTCTGTCGCGCAGCAATATCCACTTGATGTTAGAGAGAAACCTGGTGTGAGAACAGTGAGATTTAGCCGATACGCTAATCCTTGTCCCTGTCAACGGTAAGGGCTAGGGAAGGAGGGCAGTTCTTTGTGGGTCACTCTTATGGTAATAATGGTAGTTATGCCCTTACAGAACTTGCGGGGGTTACAAGGATCATGCGTGTGGTCCTTCATGAGAGACCCTCTGCGATCCCGTTCCTCCTGACCCTATTCTTCCTGTTCTCTTTCAGTACGAACATGTAGCTACCTCATATCCATCCACCTTGGAGCTCGGCACCGCGTTGTCAACTGACATATAAGAATTGGTTATAGCTAAAACAAAATTTTGCCTAGTTTTGATACGGGCTTTGTTTCTAGAACTTATGAGGAATCCGGCAGTAAACCTATATATACATGAGTTTCCTCCCTCTTACCATCTTTTTACATAGACATGTAGATTTATCCTCGTTTCCAATGTAGAAAAGATGGGGATCCAGTGTTAAACGCAGAATATCGTAATTTTTGATGGACGTATAAGTATTTACGCGCCTGGAACTACACTACTCTCCCCCATTTGTAAAACTACAGCCTTCAAGCCGCCCCTGGCCTTGTGCTTGTAGAAGCCACTTCTTTATGATGTGAGGCTGTTGGTGTTCGAGCGATAGAAGAATTGTCTGACTCCTGCCACCTGACTTTATGACCAAGGCGAGACGAAGATTGAAGACATAGCCTGGCTTTATTAGAAAGAGGAAGAGTCTATAGAGAACAACACAAGTACATGTAGCCACCTACTCCTTGTATTAGCACTCGGGTACTAATGCAATAGATTTAACTGCAACATATACACATATTATATGCGCACTACATGCAATGTGAGTTTGATGGAATGGAATAAAGGTAAGACAGAACAGAAACACCGAGCCAAAACCACATGTACTCTGAGTGGTGTTCTAGCGCATATAGATTTCTCGCAGTGTGGCTATACCAATGTACACCTGTTCTGTCTTTTGTTTGTCCGGGGAAATTTAATTCACACCGCAGGCCACAGCGCAATATGTCCTGTGCTGATTAATGATATACAAAAGTAGGGTAAAATGATCATCAAGCTGGGTCTTTCGACCACGAACAAACTCAAGAGAGTGCCTTCATAAAGGAGCGGCCCCGAAAATTCGAAACCAGTTTTCTGGTATGTACCTGACATTCGGATATATATATGATCGATCGACAAAAAGCATCTGTATATATAGGGACTGGTAACCCGGGCTCTAGCTCTACGTACTTAATCACAGGAATCTAGCTAGAACCCCCATCTGGTTACATGAATTTATAAATTGATTGGTTCCAGAAGAGCTCGGACCGGCTAAAGTCTGCACTAATTACATGCACCTGCCTAAGAATGTTTAAATACATAGATGGATTTGGGATAAGATTGATGATCATCACTCAATCTTTGGTAGCGAAGAAGAATAACCGGTTGATTGCAATTGTCTACGTACATGTAGCTACATGTACCCACGTATACGTAACGCAAGGGCTAGTCACGTTCCTACATGTAAGCTCATATCCCCAGCTTTTTACTGCTCTGCACAATACAGGTATACTAACAGAAAACTATTGCCAAGCATCTTCAAGATATGAAACGCGTGTATCGAGCGGTTTGCCCCTAATGCGTGAATGCATGAAACGAAGTCACGAACTAACACTCGACAAAAGACGTTACGGTATGTGCTACTTCGTATTCAAATACGACAGGAACTGGGATTTCAAAAATCGATCTAAACTACATGACACAAATATCTAATTTCTCCCTTCTCCAACTTTTTGAAAGGAAATTTAATATAAAATAAACTACATGTATGTATACCCTGACATTTTCTCACATCGCAGAGAGGTCGCCTTATCTAGACATACCAGCCCTCCGGCGAGATCTGATTAATATTTTATCTACGTACCTATGTGGGGCGCTAATTTTTCTTACTATCCATTCAGCATTGAGTGGAAATCTTCCGAGGGGCGCACGCGGACAAATCTAGATAAACTGGGGTAACAGTGTGGGAATTAAGACTCATAGAATATCACTCGCCCAATTTTATTGATTAATATTTACTTGAGGTACTTATTTGAATACTTGAATAATATCAGAGTGTCTAGTTGCATGGGTATAAAACCTAAACTTTGATTAGTTAGGTGACATCGTCAATGCGCGTCGTTGCGGTTGTATAGAATGGGCTACGCTCCTCTGTGCGCAAACTTCCCACCTTCTGGGCTCAGCCCAAGGAGCTAACGATACCTCCAATTTCGCCCTACCACCTCCAACACTTCCAACACTTCCAACACCTTCAACGTCTTCAAACCTTCAACACCCCCAATACCTCCAACACCTTCAACACCTTCAACACCCTCAACACCATCACATCACACCATCACATCACGCTATCAAACATCGACAACATAGACAACAAAATCCTCCCTCGTATGACACTAGTCATCGGATATTATTCAACTCAAATTCAAAAGTACGTACAAGAAACACTTAAATCTTTCCATCTCGATCTTTACCTTCCCTCTCTAACCGGGCTCCCATTTTGACTGTATCTAGGTGTTTTTTTCTCTGGGCCTGTGTTCCCGGCTTTTCTTATAACCATCGAGCTCGTGTCTCGAAGTCGAGCCTGTGTCTTGACATTGAGCTCGTGTCTCAACGCCGAGCCCGTGTCTCGGGATTACTACCCACGGTAGCCCACCCTTATCGTCAGGGACGCTTGTATGTGTAACAAAAATTTCTACCTCATTTCATTCTTCTCTTGATCTTTCTTCTACTAGGCCCTAGTTCTAACTACAACTCTAGTTTGTTCGCCTCTCCTTTCTCTCCTTTATAGGAAATGAGGTTTGGGTGGCTCCCACACAGCTCCGGTGCACGCTCCGGTGTAGGCAGGGTGTCCGGCATAAAGGGGACCCACCTTAAAAGTCTGCCAATTGCAAGGGTGTGGTCCCCGCAGGGGTCGGTTCCCGAGTGCGCGGGCCAAATATTCCGACACAGGCAAGCCCTGCCCTACACCCGCACCGGTCATCGGGGTGGAGCTGGTATGTTCTACGTAGAGAGGTAAGTTTTAATCTTCTTTTGTTTGCCTTTATTTCCCCCCTCTTTAGTCCGCTAATGTTAGGGTACTCGATCCCGGCAATTTGCTCTTGCGGGCTTGTTGATGGGATATGCCATACGGGGTATATCTCTAGGATCGTGTACCCTACCTCTTCTCTCTTTTTTTGGTTGCTCCTCTGGCTGCTAGCGAGGGGGTTACTAAAATTTTGAGGAAATGTTTGGCTTTGTTGATAGTCGTCACAGCTTATCACTCGACATGTTTTGCCAAGTGCCAAGTCTTTAGACCACATCAGGTCCCCTCGAACGGTAAGCCTTTCTCCAAATTAACGTACCAAAGAGACAAATTGACTTGCCTACACTGAGGCTTCTGTTTACAGATCTATTGATAAAAACTATCAAATGGGATTATTCTTTCTCTCAGGAAGTAGATCGCGCAGGTCATTTTAGGGCAGTCAACAGCCTGTTAACTGGAAAACTACAACGTCAAAATTGCTCTCAATTGAAATCACTGTTATCGAATTAGGGGCGTGAAAATCAATGAAGTCCGGCGGAAACTGATCTTAAATTCTCTCATATCATTCCTCCCATACATATTCTTATTCTTGTCAACTAACACTATCGTCACAACTTCCCGCTTTTCTTCCCCCAGTACATACAATTTTAACCGGCCTGGTAGATTGCCGGCCCGGCAACAATATGAGAATTTACTAAGCTGTAGTTATGTGGAGTGACGTAAAGATCCTCATCTACCAACGCAACAAAGATCGTCCCATTCAGTGTCGGGTTCAGATTACTGAATAGAGTTCCAT